AGAAAGGAAGGTCAAGTTGGAGTGTTGCCTAGTAATGAAGCTTTTACAAGGCCCAATTGCAGGAAGGCTTTGGGGCACCAAAATGTTTTATCTCAATAACCATGGATTCAGCTTATTTTAGGGAAATTTCACTAATTAAGACCATATAGGAAAAAGTGAAGGGAAAGAAAGGAGAAGACTTAGCCAAATGATAAGAAACCAACTAGGGTTTATGGGGTAAAGAGGAGTTCCAGTGCCTATAAAAAGAGGTCATTGGCTACCTAGCATGGGGGACTTAACTCAACCACAGCAATCGAGCGAGCATATTCTCTAATTGCTGGAAACATCAAGCCCAAGCACCTTCTCTTCCATATCCTTCTTCTCTATCCTAAAAAATCAACGCAAGTAGGAGCAAGCATATTCTCTCATTGCTTGAAGCACCAGATTCAAGCTCTGGTTCTTCCATCTTCTCATTCCCTATTTCAAAAAAACCTATTCCAGATCTGAAACACCCATCCTTTCAAGCCAAACTAAAAGCATGATTATCACCTTCTTGGTAAGAAAACGCATACATCACAAGCCATCCTCTAGCTATTGGAAACACCCATAATTTCAAGTCTTAATCTTTTCTTTTTGCTCTTTTTGTCTTAGAACACCATGCCAAGTAATAAACGGTGCACAAAAATTTCTACAAGTCACCATCCTCAGATTCAAGCATCAAAGTTAACTTTCTCTATTCCAAGAAATCCGTTCATGTTGTTGGAAGTATTCCAGAGTTGCCGAAAGATATAGTCTATCTACAATTACAAGCTTTTTCCTTTCCAGCTCTCTCTCTCTCTCTCTCTCTTGTGCTAAACTTATGGGCTTTTAGCTCTCACGCCATAAGCTTTTCATGCCAAGCCTAGCTATATCTTGATTCACCAAAGCAAACTCTCATGCCAAGTCTGTACAATATCAATGCATCATCTCCAACTCTTTCCAAAGCCGCCGAAAGTCAATCCAAACAAGTAGCAGCAGCTGGAACGCCTCTTCTAGCACCTGTTACATTATGTCTCAAGCAAAGCCCTTTTAGCGCCTCCTCAAATCTATCGTCCAGCAAGGTCCTTACAACTGCTGCTATATCATTCTCATCAAAACTTGCAATGTACTAAGGAGCCATTGAAAAAAAAACCAAAGCATTCCTTAAGACTTTAACTCTTTCGAGATATTTTGGGGCCTGGTGCCGCAAACTCCTTACAAGGGTGAAAGAGAGCTCAGTCTACCTCTCAGCAATCTAATAATCTCATTGCAGCAAAAAATACTCCAATAAGAGTTATTTCTTTGATTGGTGAAAATGAAATGGCCTCATACATATGTAAGAAATCTCACACGAAATAGAGACCTACAAATGAGGTAAATAAACCCAATCAAATGCATACATACATGTTCACCTGTTTTAGATTTGTTCCTGTGATGGTAGGGTAAAGTTCCCCATTGTCTTGTCTTGAAAACCATTTGTGGTCAACAAGTCAACTTTCTTTTGTGTATGAGTGTGCCACTGCTAGCAATAAAAACCCTAGTAGACTTCTTTAAAAATGGATAACTTGCGCCCCAAGTTACTGATTTTTAAACAAGCGATTGTGAATTTGGGGGAGGAATATCTCTCAAGTAAATTCTTTTCTTGTCTCAGACTGGTGAAGACTTCACAATTTTTCACAGTACAAAACTAGTAGTTCTGGCTAGAATAAATAACAAGAAAGTAAACTGTTTCAGGTAGAACTGCCTTTTATAAGACTCAAAAATGGAAGGACAAACTCTAAAAATGGATAAAGGAGTATTGGACTTCAATTTCTGCCTGGATAACTACTTTTGATCCGGACTGAATTAGATGTATCCATGCTGGATTGGACCATCAACACATTCAACTGTCAAGTTTCAGCTATAAATCAATACCAACGTTTGAGTTTGGCAAAGCTTTAATCTATTTCAAGCCCTAGAAGACTTTTTGAACTGGCAAAATTGGAACCTCTTCAGTCTGGAAGGAGCATAAGTGACTGGATTTGATGATTACTAAGCAGGGACTGCGTTGTAGTACATGTTCTGCTTGATCAGGGCCCTCCATAAATTTGTTAAGGTTTTCATATTTGCAAAACCCGAACTCTGCTTGTTTTGGCTTATGCTGAACCAAATTTGTAACAAGAGAAATCTCGCTTTGTATGACTATTTCTCTGAAACTGAACTGAATTTAGAGACTCTGAATTCTAGCTTGACTTGCTTGTTGTGGCTCAATGAGCTTTGGTTGCTTCAATGTTTTGAAGGTTTTTTGAGATCAAGTAATCATTTTGAGTTTTTGTTTTTTGATTGATTTTTTGGCTGTCCTTGATCTGTTCACCTTCTCTCATATTTATAGAAAATGCTACAGTGGGATTTCTAATCTTTTAATAATGGGCGGCAAATTTTCTAAAAACAAGATCTTTTATTTTAAATGTCAAAGAAAATAGGATTTTTATCTATTCTGGCAGACAAACCATCAACAGTCAGTTCTTTATGGTGATCACTTCTCTATTTTTTGAAAGAAAAACCTAATCCTTTTTTAACTTTTAACTACTTTTGTAAGAATTCAATCTGTCGTGATGGTTAGTTTGTTTTTTTTGATCAACAACTCCATACTCCCTACTTATCTCTTTAGAAAAAAGTAGTCTGCTTATCCCTTGGAAATGATGCCTATTCTGATGTAGATTAATATAAAAAGGGATATTGACCTTCTTTTGACTGAAAAGACTGGAGATTGTGATAGTTAAAATTGCTGACTTTTTAATGTCAGGTAGTCACATGGGTTTGCTTCAATTTTGGGCTATTCTCTTTTTCATTTAATCACGCCAAGCCCAGGTTGAGTTTTGGGACTATGGGCTGATTTCTTTTCTCTGTTTCCAAAGCCCAAGTTTATTCTCGTGGGCTGACAGGTCCTGAGCTGGGCTTTCTCAATTTTTGGGCTCTTGATTCCAATTAAACGGAAAAGTCCAAACTACTTGGATTCTAAGATTGCTTTGTCGTTATGGGCCTCTAGCGCTGGGCTGGGTGTGCAGAATTTTGGCCCAAATAATACCTTACCATAAGGTTAACACACACACGTACAAAAACATATGATATACATATCTATGAAAGAGGTATGGAGGAAGTATAATTATCTATGGACGAGGTATACATATATATGTTAATTATCTATAGATGAGGTACGTATATGAATGTTAATTTCCTTTGGCTGATAAATTTGAATTTATCAAAGAAAACTTGGACCCAATATATAGGACCTCTACGTCACCAATAGGTAAAGTTGGAAACTATTTATCTCTAATATATATGTAAAGACTTATCCAACTCCATACAACCATGGTTGTTATACTTCAATGTGAATAAATGATAAAGAACTCTATACCAACCGTATAGATTGAATAACTCATACCTATAAGATAGGTATGCAGCCAATTAGGAAAGAAAAAAAACCATATGAATCCTTCTAGTGCTTTAGGGTAATATGGTTTCATATCTACATTCCATATCTAAAAGCAAAAAGTTTTGAATTCATGAAGCACAAATGCAAAAACATAATTTTAGGGATGTGTATGCTTAAATTTTCCATTTCTAACTAACAATCTCCTTTTATTGAGAGATTCTTCAAATAATTTTATTTAAGGGACATCCTTTAGGGTCCACTACAATTTTTTTTTTCAACAATCCAACCCAACTTATTATTATTATTATTATTATTATTATTATTATTATTTTAATGAAGAAAAGGGGAGAAAACCTCCAAACACCAACACAACAACTAACTAGAACTAATAAGACGAGCTTTATTGCAAAAAAGTCTACATTCATAAATCATCATTGCAAAAAATTAGATAAATTGGAAACTGTTTCGACATCTAATTGTGTCATATAAAATCAATGAACATGGTGTTTTAAAAAAGTACTAAAATTTCAATAATTTAATTGAGTGATCAAATGATATCGGATTCAAGTGATTTTTTGTAGAAATGATCTTTGAATGAATATATACAAAATATACGTTTGGATTAGTGAAATACAATGTAGAGTGGGCCTTATAAGTGTGTCCCTCAACTAAAGCTACATGTTCTAACTAATGGCATATAATGTAATTTCATTCCCTATAATGGACATAAGAAGAATTTACATAGCCACACGTTTAGCTTGGTGGACTGCAATGGACAAGGAAAATTAGTGTCATGTATTCATTACATCACATCTAAATTGGACTTATCTAGCAAAGGATCCACTAGAGTAGTGGTTTGGAACAATTGCTCCCCCAAGAAAGGTCCTAAGTTCGAGTCCTAACATCTGTTTAGTGTGTATGGATTTAGTATGCTATCGCCTCTCTTAATAGAAAATGTCTTTAAAAAATAATATTGGACCTATCTAAGAACCCCTATATTTTTATTCAAAAGAAAACTAATGTTCCTTACATAATTTCATGTGTACAAATCATACATAGACTTTAGCTTATGTACGTTTCAATGTCAACACTAAAACTCCATACGTCACATGGTTTACACTTGCTGCAATCTGTAATTATAAAATTATATTCTAGAACTTGAAATCTGGAATAGATTATTTAACAAAATATAGAATTGGTTTTTAGAATTCAAAACCCATCCATGATTTGATTGCGCGTGTGTTATTATTAATTTTTGTTTGCCAAACATACCCTAAATACAGAGGCTCATAATCCTATCTCTTTTCCCGTAAATTAGATTAATTTAAAATAAATTATCGGTTTTATTTAAAATATATATATATATATATAACAGCGTTACTTCCTCTGAAAATTCGGCCTAAAAACCAGGGCTTAGCCAGTCACAGGTCACAAGCCTAAATTTTGGGCCCCAAAGCCCAATATGATCCAACCCAGTTAACAGCACCTGTGATGGGGCCCACAAACAAAAAGGCCAGTACCCCCTCTATCAAACCTAAAATCCAATACCATCCAATTGCAGCGTCTTCTTCCCTGGCCACCCACAAACATGGCTCTACGTATGTCCGTACAGTTCCCGATAACCTCAGCCTTCCTGTTACCCGCAAAAGCCGGTCACGTTAACTCATCCGTACGGTTGAAACCGCCATGTGCCTGTAACCATTCAGTTTCCCGGTTCCAGCCCAGACGGCCCCTAACAGACACGAGGAGCAAGCAATCGCTTCTCAAAGCCGTTGACGAAAGCCAAGCAAATTCCGAGTCCGGGCCCGAATCGGTGAGCACCCAGCAGAAAGAATCGGCGGGAGATGGAGAATCGGCGGCGAGCCAACCCGTCGAGTTGAGCGAGTTGGGGAAGGAGATCAAGGAGGCTATGCAGAAGAGGAAGGAGGAGAAAGAGGGAGACTTTCTGAGCGGAGTGGCGGATGAGGTTAGGGAGATCGAGTGGCCTGCGTTCGCGAAGGTGTTGGGGACCACTGGTGTGGTGCTTGGGGTCATTGCTGGCTCCAGCGTCGTTTTACTTACTGTCAATGCCGTTTTGGCTGAGTTTTCCGACCGAGTTTTTGCCGGCAAAGGGGTTCAGGATTTTTTCAGCTGAGAGTCTGAGGTAGGATAATGTTCGGTGCAAACCCGGCCCACCCTAGCCCATCTGCTATGCTAATTGAAGAGTGAAACTGTATATGATAATGTAATGCAGGGTCATATGACTCATTTTCTTTGTGAAATTTCACTCTTTGGTCAATACACTATTTGAAATCAATACTCAATAGCATTCATTGTATATTCAAAATTTATGGTTTTTTTCCCCTTAATTCTTACTAATGAAAGACAAGCATAACTAAATAGGCTTACAAATACAATCATAATTCAGTGCAGTTCTGCTACCCTGATCAACCAAGACCCAAAATCTCTAGCACCTGGTTAACTTTAAAACACACCTCATTTAACAAGTTCAAGACAACAAAACAAAGGTGGTGGAAGAGCATCAGGAACAGGAGCCTTATCATTCATTCACTTCCGCCGGCAGGGCCGACCAGGACTCCTTGAGCAGTCCCTTCTTTCCGAGCACTATCGTCCTTCTCCTCACCCTGTTCCTTCCGTATCTTGATCTTGTACTTGGCCTCAAAATCAGAAATTTCCTTTTTCTTCTTTTCCAATGCCTCATTCAGCCTAGCAATAACCTCCTCGATCCCCTCTTTGTTGCGCTGCACAGCAGGCAGGACCTCCTTGATTGTTCTCTCCACCAGCACACCTCCGATCATCCGGTAGCATCGCCTGGATGGATCGAGGGGCTGGATGGCACTGATGACCAACGAGTGCTCGCTTGCTTCCATCTCTAGCTCAGTGATTTTCGAGTAAATTTGGTTGAGTTCTGACCTCATAGCAGCAAACTTATTTGCAACTGCTTGCTCATTTACATATTCCTTTTGATCTCCTTCAGCTTTACTACTGGCCATGATTGTCTACAATGATATAACAACAGTATTCAAGAGTATGAGGAATCCACATAGTCAACAGTATTTAGACCACTGCAAAAAAGGCTTAGATATTGCATGTGGTAGAAAACTGGAAAACATACTTCAGATTCCCACAATGTAATCTTCTTCTTTTAAAAGAAACAAAAACAAAATATTGCAGCTGCATCTACCATAAATGATGATGCATTTCATACATGTTCACCTCGAGTAATGAAAACTGACTTGATTTACTTTACAGATTTTTTTTATAAACAGAATATTGCAACTAAGGAACCATTTTTCAATATGATAGACCACAAACAAGTATATTTTGATACGAGATTCCAAATGCAACTATAGTTTGTGCGACTGTCCACAACACAACTAAGGATGCAAACGACTGCATCCCAGCAGGGAAGTTCACTTTGTTGACTCGTCTATGTCTAGCATGCTTGCACTCTATATGCACATACATACAATCTGTTGTCAACTTGTCAGAAGCTCCTTGACAATACTGCTTTTCCCAAATGTTTAGTCCTAATAAGGCAGCAACATTAGGTAGCAATTAAATGAAAAGAAAAAGTTGAAAGTAATTAATTCATACTTGTCATCCCATAACTCGTCTATGTACAGTATGCTTGGACTACATATACACACACGTAGAATCTGTTGTTAGCAACTCCTTCACCATATGGTTTTTCCAAAATGTTTAATCTCAAGGCAACATTATGTCCTTTAATGAGATTCTCTATAATGTTTGATATGTTAAGCCAGACACCTCGCAGCCTTCGAATATCTTATCCATGAATCACTTAAATACAAATTTGAGTCTTCAAATGAGTCTCTTTATAACCCTAAAGTACCTTGAACTGGAATTTAAAGTTCTACATAATAAACAAACAAATAAAAAGTTCTAAAAGTAATTTATTCAACTGAACTGGCTAACAAATAGTTATTTACTAAAACCTAAAAGCTTCAAAACTACTTATCTATTTCTAAATCTCTACTCTATAAAAATGAAGTTGGTGAGGAAAACATGTTGAAAGTTAAAACTACATAGTCGCTTTGGAGAATAAGTTTCCTCCCACTGTCCTTTAATTTTTCTTCAACACGCTAGCCATCTCTTCATATTCAAAAGTAAAATTAACACTAAAGAAATATGATTTCCGTTTTCGAATTGTGTATTCAACCTAAGATATACTGTAATTGGTTGTCTACACTTAAAATATCTTTACATGGTTCAAGAACTCAGAGAAAATTTTATGAGATTGGTTCCTAAGTATTTTATTCAAGAGGTTACTAGATGATACCAGAATTCACATACAACGACTCTCCTCAGTACCAAAATCTCAATAATTATATTTAGCGCAATGAAATATTAATCTGTTTTGTTTTCGCTCTGCTTCATGCAGTTTCAGGAACCTCAAATTCAAAATCGAAGCTCTAATCCAATACAACAAGAAAAGCTTTGAGCTATACCCAAACACTCCCTTTCCTCATTACTCAGATCACGGCAACACAAACCTTCACCATATAAAGTTTGCCTCTTTTTTGGGGGGGTTCAATTAGACCTAACCAGTCATCACTTCTGATTAACTTTACTAAAAAATCAAAGGAATTGAAAACCCTACGATCCTACTTCAAAAGAGAAGATACATTTAGTCTGAAAGTCAAACGGAGAAGATGATAGCAAAGCAACAGCCCATGGGAAAGAAAGCGTACCTGACTGGTGTCGCGAGGCGATAAACTCTTGACAAGAGTGGGGGAGACGGTGGCTCTGTAGACTATAGAGAGTCGCAGCGAGGCGACTGACGAAGGAGCGGTTTAGCTAAGTTCTTTTTCTTTTTTTTTTTTTTTTTTTTTTTTTTATTCTGATTTTTAATAAAATTCGGTTTTTTTTTAAAATTAAAATTATATTTTATAATGTATATGTTATAATAAAATTGGAAAAGAAAAAAAAAACCTCTATCCCAAATTTATCATGCTTTTTTTTTCCCACTAATTTATATAGGTCACGTGCTCGATTCCCCTTCCAAGACCTAAAAAGAGTCCCTTTTGTATGTGTATATGGCCAAACGAGAGGTGTGGTCCACCCTAAACCCAGTAATTTATGTGCAACTCTCTCTCTTCTTTTAAATTTTTTTAATATATAAGTGATAGTCCAAATTATTCTAAATTAATTTAATTTACAAAAAAGATGATTCGAACTTGACTATAATGGGGGGGACTCAACCCCTAACCAGCTGCCTAATCCACATTTTCCCTATCTATTTCTTTTACAGTGCGTTTAGATGAGGAAATTTAAAAGTACAAAGAATTTCATAAATGACAGAAATTAATGTTCTAAAAATTATAAAGTTTCTTGTTTGGGTGACGGAATTTAACCTTTATTTGTAAATTGATATGTTTTAAAAACTCAATCTCTCTTAGGATTTTAGAAATAACGACTTTTAGATAGAATTTAAAGTTGGGATTTATGATTTCCAAATTCTTTGATTTTTCCCATGAGGAATTTCTAAATTTCTATGTTTTTTTTTATCCAAACACGGGAATTGGTTCATGTCAATTTAGAAATTCTGACTTTTGTCAAAATCCCAAGTTTATTTCCCTCATTCAAAAGCACCGTTAGGGATTTTTGTAGAAATGACACATGAACTTATACCTCAGTTTCAATTTGTCATCTTTAAAAAAAAAAATAAGAGAACTGTCACCTTAATTTTTCAAAATTCATGATTTGTCATCTGACTTTAACACCATCCAATTTTCCATCAATTTTAAAGGTATTTTAGTCTTTCCATTTTCAAGGGTATTTTAAAAATGAACAAATCATTATTTTAAAATTTTTTTTAAAAAAAAAGCTTAAATGTAAAAATGTCTTTATGTTTTAACATATTGGCTTATTCAAACCATGTGTTTTCAGTTTAGCCAATTCGGTCATTGTGTTTAGGACCATTAGCCAATGTTGTTCATTTAGTTGAATTTGATGTTAAATACACATAATAAACTTTTTTTGTCTTTTGAAAACGTATAAACCTTTTTGAAATTAATTAAAAAACTGAATTAATCTAAAATATTAAAATTTATTAAAGTAAACCATAACATTAGAGAAAGGCTCAGACAAAAATAAATAAAATAAAGCATTAGAGAAAGGAAAAAAAACTTGAAAAAAGGGGATGAGGGGTTGTCGAGGAGGGAAGGACCTATCAACAGAGAGGTGGGAATGAGGGCCATGGCCGAAGGGGGAGAGATGGAGAAAGGGGAGTGGGGCGACGATCGGATGGGTAGAGATTGGGGTGAAGATGGGTTGGAAAATCTGGGTGAGCAAGCAACTGGCTGAGATGGAGTAAATAGCTATAGATGGTGGGGGTAGGAGTTTTTCTTGTGTGTGTGTGTGTGAGAGAGAGATATATATATATATATATTAAGGGGTAAGGTAGATCGGAGTTGGGGTGGTGGGTTGTTGTTGGGGAGAAAAAGAAGAGAGAACAATGGTGGCCGGCGGTTAGGATTGGAGGTGGTGTCTTTCATTTTTTTCATTTTTTAGTTTTAGGTTTTTTAAAAATTTTATTTATTTATTAAGTTAACTCTTATTTATCTATTTTAAATTCTATTCAAATAGTTATGTTTTTTTAATTAATATTTAAATAGTTTTAAATTATTTTAAAAGAAATTTTAACGAAAAGACTAAAGTACCCTTAAAAATGGATGGAAAATTAGATAGTGTTAAAGTCAGATGACAAATCATAGATTTTGAAAAATTAAGGTGACATTTCTCTTAAGGGGGTGTATTCAATTTAGATTTTAAAATAATTTAAAGAAGTTTAAAAGTTTAGGTGTATTCAATCATGATTTTATAGAAGTTTATACAATTATTTGTGTATTCTATTCAGATTTTTTAAACTCCATTCAAATTTGGATGTATTCAATCACGACTTTAAAGATTTCATAAAAGTTCGAGTGTATTCAAAAACCCATTGCTTTTAAAAGAAATACAAAAAGTGGTGGATTTTGCTTGATTATTGTTCGCGCTAAATCTGAACAAATAAGAGTTTAGGCTAACTTACAAGTATGCTGATGGTTGAGGACCAGGGAGACCTTCTTCCGTGATGTCCGAAGGTTCGAGCGGGGGCTGGATCCGAACTGAGGAGGGGATACCGGTGTGGTACCTACCGAAGTCACTCCGATGCCAAAGTTAGTAACTAAGAGCGATTCTATTAACAGTGGAAGCACTAGTCAAGTCAGAAAGTCTTACCACTTGGCCGGGCCAAGGGGCTCTATTTATAGAGAGCATTTGTGATGCTCTTAGTACTCAGTTTCGATGTGGGACTCGTGGGAGAGTCTTCAGAGATCGACACGTGCTCTGACATGTTCTGGCAGGATTTCTGAGACGACCTGTCAGGGTTGGATTGATGTGACTGTTGGTCGCTCAGCACACCATGCCGAAAGTTGGCGTGGGTAGCTGATGGACTGTAGTTGATCCTAGAATCGGTATAGAATGCCGAAGGAACATTCGACATGGCCTACTTGAGCTGCTCTCGGCTTTAAGTGTGTTCCATGTGTCACGACGGGGGTGGGTGATCAGATATGATACAAACAATTATAGATTAATTTTAGGACATGAAAAATCTTTGCTTCCCCCCCAGAGATTTTGATAGATATATTATTTTTATTCTCAAGATATGATTTCACCACTTCTACTACCACCATCTTATCATGGCTATCACCACAACCATCATTCCCACCACAGTTTTTGTTGTCGCCGCCACCATCACCGACATTGTCGCTACCCCTAGCACCATTGCCACCTCTACCTCCACCACCACCCCTATCGTCACCAACACCAACACCACCGCCAATACCATCACCATCACTGCCACCACTACTACCCTTACCCCTATCTCCACCACCACTACCACTCCCACTATCAACCCCACCATCAACCCCCCACGGTCACCACCATCACAACCACTGCCAGCATCATCACCATCACCGCCACCACTCCCACCACCACCACCTTCACCACCTCCACCACCTCACAGCCACCGCCACCACCACTACCTCCCCCACCATCACCCACAAACCACCATTGCCACGGCCATCGCCATCACCACCATCATCACCACCCCTAAACCCTTTGTTTTGAGTGCTATAAACTCCATTAAAATCAATAATAAAACTCTAACAAACTCAGTTAAAATCTATACACGCATTCAATCAAAAATTATGTGAAGTTTGTAGAATTTAGTCAAACTCAATTAAATTCAATTAAACTCCATCAACTTTATAACTTTTAAAAAAATATAAATTGAATATACCCTCCTTAAATTTTTCTTTAATGTGACAAATTGAAACTGAAGCGGTTCAAGTGACATTTTTATCAAAATCCCTTTCTTTTAAGGTTAAAATAAAGTAATTTTTGTAGGTTTAAAAATTTATTCACCATATACAAGAAAAAAGATAAAAGAGAGTACACTTAGGCTCGGTTAAAAGTCAAAAACTCGAAACAACCCCAAAGCCTCATTCGTTCCTCTCGTTGCACTTCCCCGCTTTCGAACCCAAGCAAAAATCCGCTACACCCTCTTCACTGTTATTCTCAACTCTCATGTAGAGCCAACCCTGGCCCAGGGCGACCAGGGCCACAGCCCTGGGCCCAAAACTGTGGGGGGGGCATAAAAATATGGTTTTTTAGCCTATGTATTTACATTAAAAATAAAATAAAATAAATATATAAAAAAACTCAAAACCGTTTGTGTCCTATAAGGAAGTAGACGTAGGGCCAGTTTGGCATTGCTGTGCTGTGAAAATAATCGCTGTTAGATTTGCTGTGAGAGAAATCAGCTGTGAGATAAAGTAGTTTGGCGTTTGGTAAACTTTTTGTTCAAAGTATTGTTGGTATTGATTCCCACATAATTAGAAAATAATTCTTGCATAATCATCAAACCCAGTGCCCTCTTCGAAATTGATTCATGCATAATCAGAAAATGAAAGCACCTCATTAGCTTCTTTCTCTTATAGCTTTCTCTCACAGTAATTTTTAATAATAAGTGATTTTTTCATAGTTTACCAAACGAGCTGGACTTCCCAAATTTTTTTTAAAATCACTTATCACCCCAAATAAGCAATGTCAAACTGGCACGTAATCATTAATCATGGCAGGTTGGCAGCACAAACCTCTTTGAGATTCTCTAGGAAACTAAATATAAATTATATAACATAATATTTCAAAAAATAAAAATTAATGAAACTAAACATATGGAAACAAAGAGTTCCAAAAAACAAAAAAAAAAAAAAAAAAAAAAAAAAAAAAAAACGACTAAAAAAACTTATCTTAACCAAAAAAAAGACCTGGCAGTGGCAGCAACACACATTGGAAGCTTTTGCAATTTGAAGGTCTTTCTTTGTGTCATTATTTTTTATATATATAGATGTATAATATGATTTTTGTAAGAGACATCTTTGTTAACTTATTTTTCTTTTTATTTGATTTAGCAAAAAAACTCAACGGAAATTCATATTCTTCACAATTGGAAATTTGAAGTTTCGAGTTGAAGAAAAATATGCTCAAAATTCAAATTTTATTATTCTTTGTTTATTAATTTTATTGTTATTGTTTAAAAATTAAAAAATATTATTAAAAAAAAAAAAAAAAAAAAAAATAGTTTTTAATTTGTCTAAAAGGCACTCTCTAGAAATTTGCCCTGGACCTTAGAAAACCCAGGACCGGCTCTGCTCTCGTGCTTCCAAATAACTTCGAAAATCGAAGAAATCCAAGCACTCAATTGCCATCGGAGCCATCCAAATCCGGATTTCACAACCCAATTGTTGTTATATCTCGGATTGATTCATCAAATCAATCAAATTCCAGTCGAAAGCCTAACCCAAGTTTACGAAACAGAGGCTTCAAGATACTGGAGAGAGAGAGAAGGAGGCTCCGCCTACACTTACAGCTACACAAACCCCAAAACCTGTCATAAGGTATCAGTATCTTTCTAAGCATTATTATTATTTTTTAAATCGCTAATTTATTTTTGTTTCTGGCTGATTAGGGTTTTCAATGTTCATATGTTACTTGCAAAGATCGTTTTCTGTTTTTCTTGCAAGATTTTAAGTAAAATAGACGGAATTTGAAGATTTTGCTGCGTGATTTTCTCAGTTTGCCAACACACCTGATATTTTGGACTTTATCTGCTTTAAATTGTTTCTCTTTGGATGTTCCCACTGCCTGCCTACCATTGTTTAAGGACTTTAATATATTTTGACTTTGTAAAGTTTATGTGGTTTGATTTATTTGATATTCTACAATTCCAGGCGTGGAGTTTCGCAGTTTAGTGTGTTGCAAATGGAAGTGGAATACGATAGAGATGACTCTCCAATGAGAGAGCATCGGGAGGAAGGGATATATGATGATTTAGATGAGAATGGGACGGACAAATCAAGCAGGCATCGCAGCAAGGATCGGAAGAAGAGTAGCCGAGGGGAAGAGAAGGACACTAGAAGTAAAGACCGGGAGCGTTCGAGGAGAAGTAGTGATGATTTTGTGAAGGAAAGAGAGAAAGAATCGAAAGATTCAGAAAAGGATCGAGTATCTAGCAAGGAAAGGAGGAAGGATGATAGAGATGACCGCTATAAGGACAAGAGTAGAGATAATAAGGTGAGGGAGAAAGATTATGATCGAGAGAGTCATAGAGAAACAGAGCATGAGAGGGGGAAAGATAGAAAGGATAGGGGAAAGGAAAAAGAGCGGGAGAAGGAGAGAGAGGTAGAGAAGGATAGTGATCGAGGACGAGACAAGGAGAGGGGGAAAGAAAAGATTAAGGACAGGGATAAGGACAAGGAAAGGGAAAAGGAAAGAGACAGGGCAAAAGAAAAGGAAAGAGAAAAAGAGAGAGAAAAACATAAAGATAGAGAGAAAGGGAGGGAGAACTATAAAGATACCGATAGGGATAGGGTGAAAGAAAAATACAGGGAAAAGGAGAGGGAGGCGGATCAAGATAAGGATAAATCAAGAGATAGAGTAAGCCGGAGAAGCCTTGATGAGAATTATGAATGGAGCAAGGATGGGGGAAGAGATGATAAAGCTAAGCTAAATGAGGAGTATACCGGGGATAAAGACATTAAGCAAGGGAAGGTGTCCCATAATGCTGAGGATGAACGGAAGGCTGAGGGCTTATCAGGCGGAGCACATCTATCAGCATTGGAGCTTGAGGAACGCATCATGAAGTAAGTACATCTTCATATATGTTCTCTTTATTCCATATTTGATTATCACATGAAACTTTTTCATTCTTTGAAATATTTCCGCATAATTTCTCATTTTGTATTATTGCACTTTATGCTCTTTGTGAAGCACATGAGAAGTTAGATTGTAATGTATTTAAGGAATCATGTAAATTGGTCTCATGGACACTCTGAACCTTTATGTGATATACAATACGCATAATATGCTTGGGCAATTTGCTTTAAAAATTAACAATAATCACAGGGAAACATGTAAAAAAATCTACCTGGTTGTATATTAATTTGAATCAATATTTTTTAAGAAAATAATAACAATCCAATATATTCTATTTGGTTATTGTATTAAAATAAATTACAAAATTTGAACAGAGAGATGGTTGTAGCATGCAAGCACTGTTCTGTTGGGAACCAACTGTCAATTTATTATTTGACAAGTTTTCTTGAGGATATATCTTGTGATTTTATTCTTGTTTTCTGGTTATATCTTGATTTTGGCTGCAGCTGATTGACACAGTTTTAGTACACTATAGTTGTTCATCTCATTCCAATCTTTGCTTGGAATTATTTTCTCCTATATAAATGGAGCTGAATGATGGATGTTATGGGAGAGTGGGTATTGTTTTTTTTAATTTTATTTTATACAATTTTCAACTACATGAGTCGTCTTTTATTGCATTTGAACACTTGATAGAATGACAATATAGTTATATTCCGTTGTGTTACTGTTAATACAGAATCTTCTTGTATGTATGTTCCATACGTAAACACCTTTTTTTATGTTTATTTATGTTAATTTTTTTTAAAGACAATGCCATGTGTAAAATGACTATTTCTTTGCATTGTGGTTACAGTTTAGTTATATTGGTTTTGCTTTTTGCTCAGGACAAAGGAAGAGAGATTAAAGAAGAAGAAAGAAGATGTTCCTGAGGTTTTAGCATGGGTCGGTAGAAGTCGTAAGCTCGAGGATAAAAGGAATGCTGAAAAGCAGAAAGCATTGCAGCTTTCTAAGATTTTTGAGGAACAGGTTAGTTTGATAGTGTTTTCTTTTTTTCTTTTTTGCATTTTGTTTACAGTTAGTTGATTTTATGATAGCCATTCATATTATGTGTATTTTCTCAGGACAATATTGGTCAAGGAGAGAGTGAAGATGAGGAGACAGCCCAGGATACCACTCGTAAGAATGCTTCTTACTTGAGATTTTTTTTTTAATATTGCTTAATAGAAGCTAGTTAGTTGAAGGGCCATCTGGACATCAACAGGAATTTGAATTTAGTTCTTTTTGCATGATTTTTTAATAAATATTTTAGCACATATGCGACACCATGTTAGAGACAGATTGCATATTGTATGTAGAACTTGTAGACTTATGGAGCACGATTTACCCCTGAGCACCAGATAAAAAATCATAAATCTTGAGGACTTGTATCTGTGATTCTGTATGTCTCTAGGGGTTTGGTTCAGCATTCTGTCTATATGCACTGGTTTCTATATATTTCTAGTTTATAAGAGTGTAACAATGACTCGACTGTGACTGGTTGTGGGACGCGATGCTGTTGATAGTATTTTTAAGAGTTTGATTCAGATTTTCAGTTGACATGTCAATAATGTCTGAATAACTCTTACAATCCATGAAGTATTTCTGGTTGCTTGGTTAAATTGATCTCACCTTTACTCTAAATACCTGTTTACAGATGATCTAGCTGGGGTTAAAGTTCTTCATGGCCTTGACAAAGTAATGGAAGGTGGGGCAGTTGTTTTAACACTCAAAGATCAGAACATTCTAGCTGATGGTGGCGTTAATGAAGGTAGAGTAGCTTGGAATTACTTTGGTTTTGTTAGGGCCTTGCTCCTTATAGGCATGGATTATTTTATTATTAATTTTTTTTTAAAGAGGTTGATTTTTTTTCCCCCCTAATGTAACAGACATTGATATGCTTGAGAATGTGGAAATTGGAGAGCAGAAGCAACGAGATGACGCTTACAAGGCAGCAAAGAAAAAGACGGGGATTTATGTTGATAAGTATGTTGACTATAATTGTAACGTGTAAACATTGTCTATTCTAGCCATCTACTATAATTTGGCATTTGCTGACATATCTCATTACTGTGCTGGTTGTTATTAACTACTTGTGTGTATTATGGTGTCTCAGGTTTAACGATGACCTTAATACAGAGAAGAAAATTCTTCCACAATATGATGATCCAGTCCCAGATGAGGTCAGCATTTTCTGTTTTTATTTCCCAAACTTTGAGCTTAGACCCTAGAGATTTTGTTCATTCATTCTCATGAACATTTTGTTGAAATGTTGAGCATAGAGGTTTTAATATGTGAATTTATGTTTCTTTTCAGGGGTTAACTTTAGACGAAAGAGGACGCATTACTGGTGAAGCAGAAAAGAAACTCGAAGAGGTACTATTTTATTTCTCGTCATAATTTTATGATTGGTAATAAAAAGAGAGAATATGATTTAAGGACATTTGGTGCGGTGAGATGGTGTTCTCACAATTGTTGCTTCCATTGCTTTCTGTTTCTGCCGGTCTGGTCTGGTCTTATTTTTATCTTTTTAGAGTTTGGATGTATATGATTTATATGCTCCAATTTGCATGAGTTATGCCCCTTTGATGTTTATAATGTGATCTTACTGCGTTTAGATAAAGACAAAGACAAATGGAAAAGACTAACAGTAGCTTTATTTCTTTTGAATTAGCTGCGTAAGAGGATACAGGGTGTTCCCACGAACAACTGCTTTGAAGATCTCAACATGTCTGGAAATATCACATCTGATTTTTATACTCAAGAAGAAATGCTTCAATTTAAAAAGCCCAGGAAAGGGAAAAAGAAAACCTTGCGAAAGAGGGAGAAGCTAGATTTAGATGCCCTTGAAGCAGAAGCTGTGTCTGCAGGATTGGGTGTTGCAGACCTTGGTTCTAGGAATGATACAAAGAGGCAAGCCAATAAAGAGGAGCAAGAAAGATTGGAAGCTGAAAGGAGGAATAGTGCATACCAGTTGGCTTATGCTAAAGCAGATGAGGCATCTAAATCGTTGCGTCTGGAACAAACTCTTACTGTTATACCAGAGGAAGATGAAACTCCTTCCTTTGCAGATGATGACGATGATCTCTATAAATCCTTAGAGAGAGCAAGGAAATTGGCTCTTAAAAAGAAAGAGGAGGAGACGGCATCTGGTCCACAAGCAATTGCACTCTTTGCCACCACCACGGCCAGCAGTCAGACTGCCGATAATCAAATCCCCTCAACTGGAGAGTCACAGGACAACAAGGTTGTCTTTACAGAGATGGAAGAGTTTGTCTGGGGCCTCCAGCTTGATGAAGGTATTTTATTTCTATGTGTTTTTGCCTTTTAATCAACCTTAGGTGATTGTGTAGTTGATTCTTTATTGGCCAAGTGTGGGAATCCTTCCCTTTTCCCACTTAAGACGTAATGTCTGAATGGTCATCATCTTGTAGTTAGCTGGTGGCCGTCATCCTAATTCACCAAATTCAGGATAACTTATCATTTCCCCATGGAGGGGTATGATGCTGCTCCTGCTGCTTTTACATGCCGATTTGATCTTTGCTTTTGTGCATCTTATCTGTTTAATGTGGGTCAACTTGTGGGCATTCTTGATGTAGGATATGGGTGAATTGAGTATTTAGGTAGTTTAGCGGAAGCAAAAACAATGGAAAACAGAAAATAGGATGATGAACAAAGATAGGTCTGGAATCACTCCAGGTGTTTGGCTTCACACCAAGTAGTCTCCAATCTCTGGAAAATAAGCTTTACTTTATATCTCAACAACTCAACTCTATAATGAATTACATAGACAGGGTATTTATAATAATCTAACCCTAGAGTGAAAAGGAAAATTACTTATTCTAGGAAAGAAATCCTAATCCAAATAAAATAGGAAACTTAGAAATCCTACTGAAATCTGGAAAAACTAATAATCCTAATGAAATCTGGAAAACTTAGAGAACCTAGGAACTAACAAATAAATTAGGAATCTAATTAATAATTCCCTCTTCCATCTCTTTCGTTTGTAAACCCTAATGGGCTTGACAAAGATGTCCTCATCAATTCTACAAGTTTTAGCATTTGTTCTCAAGGTGATTTTGATTGTGGCCTTTTTAACCAGTGGAAATTCTAGAATGTTCTGATGCTATATCATAGTTTCATGTTTTCGTTAAATCTTTTTCAAGTTTTTCCACAGCATGTATAATTTAGAAAGTGACTGTTTTCCTATGTTTCCCCTTCTTTTTCAGAATCTCACAAGCCTGAAAGCGAAGATGTTTTTATGCAAGAAGATGAAGAGCCCAAACCTTCCCATGAAGAAAGAATGAATGAACCTGGTGGATGGACTGAAGTTAAAGATATGGATGAAGACGAAAAACCTGCTACTGAGGATAAGGAGGAAATAGTTCCCGATGAAACTATCCATGAAGTTGCGGTCGGGAAGGGCTTATCAGGTGTGCTGAAGCTGCTTAAAGATCGGGGAACCCTTAAAGAAGGTATTGAATGGGGTGGCAGAAACATGGACAAGAAAAAGAGCAAGCTTTTAGGCATTGTAGATGATGATGATGAGCCAAAGGAGACCCATACATCACGTCAAAAAAAGGATGAACACAAGGATACTCGTCCATCCTCTTCCAGCCATCAAAAGGAGACTCGTCCTTCAAAAGTCTATCAAGAAAAGGATATTCACATTGAGAGAACTGATGAATTTGGCCGAACTGTAAGTACTCCTGCCCAGTTCTCTTACAGTTTTTTTGTGTTTTTATGGTCTAAATAACAGTGTTACACTGCAGTGAAGGTGTTCATAGAATTCTTAGTCAATTGATAATATTCTTATGCACGGGCTAAATTTTAGGGTTGGGAGTGTAGTTCTTTAAAAACTGTGTAGAAAGCAAGAATATGTATGTTTGTTTCATCAGTGATATCATATTAGCCATTGTCAATTTAGATATTCCTATGTTTATTTCATGAAGTTTTGGGTTTGGAAGTGCTATGGTTCTTTAAAGCTGGAATGCAGGCAATATTTTGGATGTTTTTATCTTTGCTTCATCTGTGATCATGTAATATTATTCTACACTGCTAACTTATTTCCTTGTTTTCACCAGTTGACACCGAAGGAAGCCTTTCGGATACTTTCTCATAAGTTCCATGGGAAGGGGCCTGGCAAAATGAAGCAAGAAAAGCGAATGAAGCAATACCAGGAAGAACTGAAGTTAAAACAGATGAAGAGTTCAGATACACCATCACTGTCTGCGGAGAGGATGAGGGACACTCAAGCTCGCTTGCAGACACCCTATCTTGTACTCAGTGGTCATGTTAAACCAGGGTAATGCTTTGTTCATTTATTTCATTCGACTCAGTTTTTTGTTTTAGTTTTGGATAAAGTTTTTAAACAAGAAAATCAATATACTTAGTTGGACTAGGTAAGTGTTGGAATAGCATGCTTTATTTTGTATATTCAAATGTTAAAACAGGGTGTTTAACTTTTTCGTATGTTATCAGGAATTATTAGGATAATTTTTATAGTCCTTGTGCTATGATAAAAGATGGATTATGGGAAATTTAATGATTCTGAGTGTTAGTGGCCTTGATAGGCAGTGCAGTATAGCGCTGCTTTACCTGCTGTGTATGTCATTGGCAGGCCATCTTTGGTATCTAGATTGATTTATATGTAACAGTAGAAGTAGCAGTAGTAGTAGTGGTTACAATTTGAAACCCCAAAAGGTACCTATCTAGCTATTTTCTAGTGTTTCTTCCCTCCCAAAGATTGCTGGGTTGGGCAGGGGGCCAGTTTCGAAGCTGAGTCAGTGAAGCTGATTGGTGGATTCCTGGGTATAAATAATAATAATAATCATCATCATCATAATCATAGTAATAATCAAATGCATTAAAAAATGACTCAATGAATTCTCTAAAACGTGAATGTCTCAATTCTCTAAAGAATTGGATAAAGAAGCCTGAGCTGTGGTATAGGCTTCCCTTGCCTTAACCTTTCTATTTTTCATTCAACATTAGCATCCCCAATTAATTTACCCTTTTTCCCTTCTGTTCTCATGTTGCCAGGCAAACGAGCGATCCCAGAAGTGGTTTTGCTACAGTTGAGAAAGATTTCCCGGGGGGCTTGACGCCCATGCTTGGTGACAGAAAGGTAAGTGAATTTGTATTTTTCTTTGCCGTTATTTCATGATGTTGATGTTTATGTATAGATAGACTGATATTCACAGGATCCAGTCTTTTCCAACTGGCAACTTATTAGTTATTTTGAAGTGGAGGTTGATCGTGAAATGTTAGTTTGTCCAGGGACAGAAAATAGCCTGATTTGTGATTCACACATTCCTTCTGTACTTCGATTGATTATAGTGTTTTGAAGGAGGGGAAGGGGGTAAGGGGGGAGCAGATTGATGAAATGTGAACTCTCAGTTTCTGAGAGCTTGGAAATGAAACATATTGCATCTAAAATGCTTGTAGATGATATTGTACAAAGTGCATTGGCTTCACAACTGGCTGATAGTTTGTAGTAGGATGAAGTAGATTATCACTATTCATCCATTTGTTATGTTCTTTTCTCTCGCCATTTTTTAATTTCCAATAGAAATAATATTATATTTTTTTTTTTTCAGGTTGAAAACTATCTGGGGATAAAGCGCAAAGCAGAGCCCGAAAGTTCAGGAACACCAAAGAAGCCTAAAACTTGAAGTTCTCTTCGGCTGAAATTTGGAGTTGACCTTAAAAAAATTCGTCTTTGCCCCTGTAAGTACTGTATCGTAATGGGCAAGTGGCTCACATGTGTTGGCCTGGGATTTTGCCCTATTTGTTCTGCTACTGGCCGTAAATAAACTTGTTTTTGACAGAGCCATGGAGAAAAATTTCAAGGTAGTTTCAGATTGTTTGACAGTAACAAAAGAGATGTTATTTTCTTCTCTGATAATCTACATAAACCGTTTTCTGTTTGAACAGGGTGTTGTATTTGCTGTCCAAGGATTTCTTTTGATCTGAGGTGTGACTTTGACTATGGAGTTCAGACAAGAATAGAATCATAGGTCGATCTAGTGTAGTTGGGGTGTGGGTAAAAGGTTTTCATTGGTTTCATAAATAGCATTAATTCATAATACTTATTCTGTATATAAGTAAAAGTGAAACCAATGGAAACCAAATTCCGTTGTCGATACTGCCGGAATAGTAGTACTGAAGTACATGTTACTCTTATTCATCAGGAATCTACTGTGATCACGGATAAAGATCTTACCGCTGTCTATGTTTGGTTTGGTTTACCAAAAGTTTAAATTCTAAAACCGATCAAAATTCCTAATGAACACTTTAAAGATATTTTTTTTTTTTAAGGAAAAAGATTGTACTTATGTCAAACTCAAATGACCTGTTTGTTGTCTGTTATTGTTCGTGCTGGAGATGTTCTTGCCAACGTCGTGCAAAGTTCGAATTTCAATAGTTCAGTGAGTGGTTGTTTGAAGCTCGTTTGGTATGATATGGTACAAACTTGTAATTTCCTTAGGAGCCCCGGCAATGGTGTGGCTATCTTAAAACTATGCATCCTCCAATCATTAGCAGGGTCGATTTTGAAGCAGAATGCCAGCGTAAATTGCCTCAGGCACTCACATCCGTAGAGGTGTGTGGGCCCTACAGTAACACGACTGACGATATGCTCTAAGATGTTAAACAAATTTAATCAATCTCATTGGCGGATCTATTATTAAAATGAAACAGTGAAAGGAAACAGATCATACAAGATCCAACTTTGACTTCAGAAGTGAACTCACTACAGATTCACTAGACAAAATAATGAACCAGCCTAAAACCAGAGAACAGATCAGGGTTCAAAGGTTAGAGACCATGTTTTCGGATTAAAACAGGAAGAAAAAAAAACAGGGGGATAATCCTACTTTAAGTTGAGAAGCCTGATTAATTCAGATTCACTGGTTGAAACTCGAGGCAGCCAGCAACAAGGGAACAGCTCAGGGCTCGAAAGTCATGCTTTCAGCTTCCCGTCTCACCGACTCAAACAGTACAGAGGACAGATACCTCTCCCCAAAGCTTGGAAAAATCACCTACAACGCATTAAAGTAGATGGAGAGAGAAATTAGCAGTTGAATAAAATGCCAACACAAGGTCAATAGAAATAAAATCCAACTTACAACAATGAGCTTTCCAGAATTCTCTGGTCTCTTTGCAATCCTGATTGCAGCAGCGGCAGCAGCTCCGGATGATATTCCGACCTGGAAAGATAATGCAATAAGCTCAATAGAAAGACTGACATACAATGATTGATACATAAATATGGTAGAAATTTTAAAAAACACAAATACTAACTCACTACAGCTGGTTGTTAGGTTAAGAACTTACAAGCAAACCTTCTTTATGTGCAAGAAGCTTTGCAGTTTCAATTGCTTCGTCACTTGATATCTGCAACACATCACAGATATTTGGTAAACAGGAAGCAGTTATAGCTGTTAAGACAAACTAATAATTGACGTGTAAGTGCCCTTGAGCTTTCTATCTTATACTTTATAACAATGCTTTTTTTCCCTATTGATGGAGTCATAAAAGTAATAGCTTCAAAGCACATAGTAAACATGCATTTTAATGTGCATGACACCCAGTTACTGAAATTAGATTATGTTTGGACATTTTTTGGTATCACGCAGGCATTCCAAATGACAAATAAATGTTGTGTTTACATGAGCTCACAGAAATCAATGGCCATTCATAACTTTTGACATCATAACGCTACCAAACACAATATTTCCGGCCTGTGCATCATTACTAGGAATGATTGTATCACAAACGAAAATGTCATGATTTATATAATATGAGGAACTAAGATCAATACAAAAGCATTTGAGCCTCACTTGAATAACTTCATCAATGATGTTGACTTCCAAAACACCCGGGATAAAACCAGCTCCTATTCCTTGGATCTTGTGTGGACCTTTAAATTAGAATGAGTATAATAATTAACATCAACAACATGCAAATACCAGATTTCCTCCTTCTATTTCAAATAAAATAACATTTAAATTTTGACACTAGAATAAACAAAAAGGAGCTAAAAAGAAAATAGAATCAACCTCCATATATAAATAGACTCATCAGTTAAGAGTTATTTGAAGATATGTATGTTTATGCATAAGCTTGAGGAAATCCAAATTATTTGCACTATGTGGTGGACTTGGGTTTCCAAGCTCAGCACTAGAAGGATTATCTCCTAGACAAACTTTGCAGTATATCATTCAGAAGCCAATTAAAGTTGAAAGGCAGACGCTGCAGAAAGTAAGAGTCTTTAAACATTCTAGCACTAAAAGAACATAAGCAGAAGATTCATTCCACCAAAGTAGTAACTGATTATCCCTCAGAGAAACTCCCATCTATGCTGTCAGTCACATCTGAGATTAGTACTTCAACTGTTTATTACAGCCCTATCTCCATCAGAAAGTATCACATTCCCGAGACTGTAAATCCTACATGAAGTTATGAACATCTGTTGCTTATACTTTAAATTATTTCCATTTCGCTAATGAATGTTCATAAAAGAACACACATTTCGAACTTCACCCACTCCCTAAAATGGTTCTTACAAATGAGCCTTGTTAATGTGCATTTTTTTCGATAAGTAGTAAAACTTATTAATGCATTAAGACCAAAGGAGCATATTAGACAGTTCATTACTTGCATAAACTTTTGCCTAAACTATGGAAAAGGTCGCTAAATAAATTGCAGGTACTATATTATGCAAGGCATGCAAATAATCACAGAAAAGCAATGCAGTATAGCTCACCAGGCTTTCCTCCAGTTAGGACAGGGCTTTCAACTGGTTCCACACCATACAGCTAACATTAAGGAAAATAAAAACAATAAGACAAAGTAAAAGAGCATTTAAACAGGAAGAAAATACAGACTATTGTTCAAGCTAAGACTCAAAGCTAACCTTTATGTTAGGGTTCTTCTCTTTTAGAAATTTCCCTGCACCTGTTATAGTTCCACCTGTACCTATCCCAGAAACAAAAGCATCTACTTTCTCGCCTGAACCTTCCCATATCTCTGGTCCGGTGGTTTCGTAATGCACCTACAGTAACACAAATCACATAACTTTCCAAACACAAGACCACTTTTGTTTTTCAGTTGCATCAACTACATATGCTATGGAATTTATTGAGCAAACACCTTCGGATTGGCAGGATTTTCAAACTGTTGAAGCATGTAGGCATCAGGTGTCTTAGCCAATATCTCTTCAGCCTTCTGAACAGCACCTTTCATGCCCTTCGCAGGATCTGTGAGAACCAACTCAGCTCCGAAGGCCCGGAGGATGATTCTTCTCTCAAGACTCATTGAAGCAGGCATTGTAATGATAAGCCTGTAGCGTTTAGCTGCTGCCATGAAGGCTAACCCGATTCCAGTATTACCACTTGTTGGCTCGATGAGGACACTCTTCAGCAAACACAGACCAACCAAAGTCAAAGTAATATCTGTCAGCTCACAATTTCCATCAAATCAAAATCTCAAATCATGCATCTAGCATGCTCAAAAAATTGGTGAAACCAAACAATGTGGTAGTTATACAAAATTCAGACTATTATTAAAGGGTTCACAATTTCACAGACACTGCAGACCACTTATGTTTCTAGCTAAAACATCCCATGCTAAAAGCATGGTTGCATCTTTTTCATCAATAGCAATTGAAAAAAGAAACATGCTAGTGGAGAAACTAAGCATAGAATATGGGGGAGGCGGTTGCCTCCTCTTTTTCATGCACAAGTTCTTCAAAACATAAACCGCCTCCCCTTTTTCATGCACAAGTTCTTCAAAACATAACACTCCTACCTAACTATCAAACAACCAACCTGCCCTGGTGTAATAAGCCCCTTCGCCTCTGCATCTGCAATCATACTATAGCCAATCCTGCATTTTTTTCCCCATAATTAGGAACCTTTAAAAAATCATCAAAACACAATATTTTCAAGTCATCGCTGCCCTGAAACCAGTAAGCATAATCATTAACAAAAGAAAAAAGACCAAGTAGAAAGACATGCAACTCAAAGTCTATACCTGTCTTTTACACTAGAGCAGGGCTCCATCATTTCCAATTTGGCAGCGATACGAGCAACACAACCGTCCACAACATGGTTCAGATACACCAATGGGGTTTTTCCAATTAACTATACACAATGAAACAGAGGTTTATATCATCATACACAAACCACTCAACTCCAACTCATTTTAGTGTACATAAAACCAGGATAACTTACTTCAGTAACATCTTTGGCTATGCCAGCCTTCTCAACTGCCATTTTTGTTTCTCTGTGCAGATTACTGCAAGCAAAAACAAACAAAAGAATTAATTCTTCATAAGAAAGTTATTTTTCTTTAAAATGTTATTTATTTATAAATAAATCCACTTAAGTCAGAAAAGTCTAAAACAATCATTTAACACAAGAAAAGGAACCAACTATCAATTGGGAATTGAATAAAAGATTAACGAAAATTCTTTGATATGTTTTAATTTCCCTTCTTTTATGAATTTCGTTATCTGATTATGATCAGAAAAGTGGATTTTGTTGCTGGTTTTAACGTGTTTTGTTCTGAAAACCCCAGAAACGAGTTCAGTTGCAGAATCATAAGCTTATCGCGGACGCGATCAGTGAAACGAGATGAATTCTAGAGGTACGATTAACAATTAATTAAGAGATTAAGACAGAGGATATCACCTGGACACTAACAGAGAAGCACCACCTCACAGCTGATGACCTCGAGACCTGTTAAGAAGATGAAGCAATGGAGCTACGAGACCCAACTATCGCACACACATATATATATATATATATATACGTGAATCTGAAATATGACGTCATAAATACTAGTTTTTGGGGGACCCTTTTATTGAATCTAGCCCGCTTTCTGGCCCTGCAACTGTTTTGGGCAAACACGGTATGTGATATGGATTTGATCACAAGCTTCCAAATTCCAAATTTGACAAATTTATGTCAGTACAAAAAAAGTTCACATTATGCAATGCCCCATAGACTATGAAATGTGAAAGAGTTGTCTGGTTTGACAAATTGTCATTTCCACTTCAACTTTTTTCCTTGTGAATTTGCACACTGGATGACATGGGCTCTGGCTTAAATGTAAAACCCAGTAAGATTTTTTGTTTTGTTTCCAAACCCAATTTACCCAAACCCCTAAATAAACCACCACAAAACAAGACACCAACTTTACAAAACCTTATCCTTTCCCCATACCATAAACGTCACTAGCATAGTTAGCTGCATTGCCACAAAACCCTTCCCCTCATTTCCCACCTCAAAAAACCCAACACTATGGCGGCCCTTCACTTCACTCCATCTCCTTCTTTCACTCTCCCAAAACAAAGACACACAACCAGACTCTCTGCTTCCTTCCAGCTCAATATCCGGCCCCGCCACCTGTCACGGCAATCCTGCACCGTCGGATCCTACAAGGTGGTGGTAGAGCACGAGGGTTTGTCTACTGAGCTTGAGGTGGAGGCTGATGAGACCATTCTAGAAAAGGCATTGGAGTCTGGGCTGTCTGTGCCTCATGATTGCAAGCTTGGGGTGTGCATGACTTGCCCTGCACGGCTTGTGAGTGGGAAGGTTGATCAGAGTGAAGGTATGCTGAGTGATGATGTGGTGGAAGGTGGGTATACCTTGCTGTGTGTATCGTACCCACAGTCGGATTGTCACATTAGGACCATTCCAGAAGATGAGCTGCTATCTCTGCAATTAGCAACAGCTAATGACTGAAATTTTGGATTTTGGCAACTGGGTTTTTTATTTGACCCATGTTTGTATTGAGTTATGGTTTGTTGAATACAACTGAAAAGGCCTGCCTTTAGTTTTGTTTTATCAATTATAAATGGTATGTGCTGCTGCTATCAGTTTGTGTTTTGTTTTAGTCATATGATTGGATAGGCCTTTGAATGGATTGGTTATTACCTGGAGGGAGCAATTTATGTATATATATACCTGAAGTTGATTGCTTTTTCTCCTCCTAGTGAAATGGCAGAGCTTAGTGACAGAATCTATTTAAGTTAAACAGATTATGGGTGCAATAATTTCTCCGGCTTCATTCCAAATAATGACATATTGCACATACACAATGCAGAAAGAGAAAAAAAATTATCATTATAATTTATAGATTACAAAGAAGGAAATTTAGACCAATAGTTCCACGAGATATGGCAAGATGATCCTAAATTTGTATTAACAATGCTAGGGAATTAAGTGCCTGCGATGAACATAATAAAGTACCATGTTTGCCTGTATCTTACACCATCAGGCTGATTGCTTAGCTCCCCGGAAATTCATTTCAAAGCAGAGAACTTTTGTTGTTGAATTGCCTAAGCCAGCTTTTATACCTCATAAAATGAATTGAATTCACCACCATAACAGCTCAGAACATCCAGCCATGTAGAAATCACAAACACGGTTTTGTTTTGTTTTGTTTTTTTAAATGAAACATATGGAGCTTATTGTAGCAAGATTGGCTTGATCAGAACCACGTGCTCCTAAGCTGAATATGAGGAACTGGGTTTCTTCCTTGTTATTTGCTTTAACTTCACCTTCACATTAATGCCATTATCAATGATAGACTGAAGCACAAGTTGAAGCTTGCCTTCCAATCTCTCCCCTTTCCTTGGTGTGTAAATCACATCGTGGATATCATCAGCCAATGCCCTCTGAGCCAGAACTGCCCCAACAGCAGCACAAGCAGCTGCATTCCTAGTCGAACCAAGGTCAAATTTCATGTCTTTTGATATGGAATGGGCCACAGCAACAACCTTACTGGTCACTCGGTGAATAATGCAAGCACGAACAGACGCCTTCGATATGTAAATGTCCAGGCAAAACGGCTCATGGAAAGGACCTGTTAGCTGGTTATAAGTCGGAGTCCTCAGCATCTTCTTCCCAACACAAGCAGTGTCCATTTCATCAAGCTGAGAATTGTTGGCATTTCTACCTTGTTTTTCACTTCTAGAGAATAAATCCCGAATTGGGCTGTCTGTTTTGCTTTCTTTGAGCTCACTACTCTTCCTTTTAATTTCCTTTGGATCATCCTTCTGCTTAGAAGACTTCTTCCTACCATGAAAGTCGAAATTATACTCTTCATACTCTTTGGAATCGCGGTCGAGTTTATAGAAAAGACTGCCTCGAATCCTCATATTATCAATGTCATCAAAATCCGGGTCACCCTCGACAGGTAGAGAGCAATTATCAACCGGTTCATCAACCACTTCCTCCGATAAGTAACTGGATTCCAACGCAGTCCCCTCCGTTCCACGCCCTGCTAGTGCCAAACCCGATGAAACCCGCCATGCATCATGGTCAACAAGCTCAATATCATAGCTGTCGGAATGAGGTTTAGCATCGGAAGGGAACAGCGGAGAAAGATGAAAGCTACTCGAATAATTAGAAACTTGTTCAGAACGATGGAGAATGGGAATGGTGGTGTTGGACTTGGGGCCAAAACTACGAGCCCTCGAAAGGAAATGCGGATATACTACTGAAGCAAATGTGATTCCTCTCTTGAGGAACATCACGGAGGTCAGTTGAGACCGCCACTACAAAGTAGTAAAGACCAAGCCGTGCAATTTCGAAGACTAACGGGGGTCAAGTATTATATCTAGATTTGAGCAAAGAGAGTTGTTGTTGTCTAAGGAGCAAAGCATCAAACAGTTAGTCGGCAAGGACTGCTATACCTCGTTTACGCTATCCCAAACTATCCTTTCTTCGTAACTGTCGTCCCAACCAGCTGAAATGGAGCACTCTCTCTCTCTCTCTCTCTCTCTCTCTCTCTCTCTCTCTCTCTCTCTCCAACCCACTGACACTGACGCTCAAGTGTGCTAGGTTCGTTGCATGCGGAAAACTGGTCATTGGTTGATCATAGGACCCAACTATGGTCTTACAAATGGGTAAGCCAGTGGTCGCTGATCAAACCGGGACGAAGGAAGTTGCTTTCTTTGTCAAATGATGAGAACGAAACCCGTGGTCGTGAAGAATGGACGACCCTATACACTTTTGATTATTTATCTTCTCTGATCCACCAATCCCACTCGTGCCACTTGAGCTAGACCTCATAAACCCGCCATTTTAACTTGAATTTACGAGCCGCTTTCGTCTATGCACAAACCGTATTCTAAAACCAAAATTTGTGCCAAGCATGGCCCATTTAAAATGTTAAGAAAGAGAACACAAATAACTCTTCAATAATTGAAGAAAACAATCGGCTTACTTACTCGGTATTTGTTGTTGGAAAGATTTCTGATTAACAGATTTTTTTTGGTTGCCACAATTAGGAAGGGAAAGGGGAGTTTTCTCACGTGTATATAAGTTGTCATGAGGTTTTGAACTTGAGATCACTTATCTGCAAGTCCAATCCTTTTACACTGGACTAGACACTGTTGACTGACTAACAGATTAATTGGATGACCAAATCACTTAAGAGTTGAGACATAACGGGGAAGGAAAATTGTGTGGATTCAAGGAATAAAAATGCATAACGAGAGCCGTGAAATTGAGTTTTGGTAGATGAATTCTCTAAACAAAATGAAATTTGATTTCCAAAGAGAGGCTTTTCTGCTCATTATATCTTAATTTTAAGTTCACTTGAAACAAACAAGAACATCTCATAGCTAACCTAACCACCTGCAGCGATCAATCCCACTGAGGTGCTGCACCTTACAACTTGGGATCGGAGTTTAACTTTTGCTTATGGTTGTGTAAACTGATCAAGGCCCTAGAAATATTAAGCCTAGCAAAAGTTCGACATTTCAAGCCTGAAAGATAAAGCATGCAATGACATTTGGTTCAATTTGAACACAATCAAGAATAAAAGAGGGAGAAAGAGCAGCATAGAGGAGTAACAGTCCTACAACTAAACTGAATAACAGTAGAGTGATACCTTGCGTTGATGTTTTTCAGTCATCCTAACAACTTTTCACAATCACCTAGTACTACTAGAGTTTGATCAACATTAGAAATACAGCTTCCCGCCATGAGAAGGCAAGAAGCATGAGAAAAATATTATGATTAACACACACAGACATCGCTACCATTAAACGGTTAGTGATTACAAACAAGCCATTATAAAAAGAGGATGAGATTTGGGGATGAGTCATCATATCAGTGGTTACCATCTTCACAAGAGCCTGTCATTATCTATCGGTAGTAAGCCTGCTGATAAGCTGGTACCATACCATTGCCATAACCCCCGTATGCAGGATAGTTCATGGGAGCTCCAGGATATGATCCGGCAAGTGGAGGGGCGGCTTCAGGTGAGTACGCATAAGGATTGGTTGGTGGGCTTCTGCTGCCATACATGGTGGGTGGGGAATGGTACGGTGAGTACCCAGCAGGATACTGAGCATGGGAAGGAGACCTGACAAACGTCGGAGGAGGTGTAGGGAAAGAAGACACATATGCATTCGTCAAGCGTCCAGCCTTGGCTGGAGGCATGGGACCTCCATTGTTGGCTCGTGTTCGTTTGTTGGCAGGGACTGCAGCTGGCCTTTTCTTCTCTGGTTTCACCTTCTCTAGCTGCTCAAGGCGCTTCTTGAGGTTTTCTGGAGGAAATTCTGCCTCAAGTTTGTAATCTTCAATACACTTGATGACAGCTCGGAGTGCAGACTGCTCTTTGCGTCCAGCTAGGTTCTGCACAGAAAGTAATAAAGAAAACATTAGTGATCAAATGAAAACGCAGGTTTCTACAGGTTTGATTATTCTGCATATGAGGAAAGGAGACTGAAGTTCATGCACTTCTAAGGACATTTTTCTGAAGAAATCAGAAATGAGACACAAGGATGTGAATGACTGCAGAATGCCTCATCATCAAGACATCCATAACAAGATGTATTATACCTGATTATTCCTACTGCTTCACCAGTTAATTGACACATAAAGTGGAAATCAAATTCCACTCCAATAGCAGGAGTTTGTTGTCCCAAAACTTTTCAGTATATATACTTGTTCCAACAATAAGATAAAAACCAGGGATAAACACTATGAGAGCAAGCATGAATATGAAATGATATAGGAAGAATTGCATGGAAGAAATTTCTTCATGTTTGAAACGGAGAGTGGAAATTTAGACATTGACTTTTCACTCATATGTAATAATTAATATAGGGTAAGATGCTGATATTATGTATTTTTTGTAGATGGCTACCATCCTCTCCATTAGAGGAGAGAGCTTTTGTGGGGGTGGGGGAATCCCCCTTTCTACCTTCCTTAAAACACAAACAAGGGAAAAGTTCCTTTCACATTCCCTTTTCTTTCCCCTCTCTCCCTCTATCTCTCCCCTCCCAATCATTTGAGAAGGTTAAAAAAACAGGGATTTGTGGGAATGAGAAGGTGGGAAGGGGATTCAACCCCCTCTCTCCCCCACCCACAGACACATAACTGGAATTTGAAATGCTGTAAAGAAAGAACCAGACACCACTTTGAGAAGCATATTCACGACTGAAAGTCACAACATGCAGGATCAAGCAACACCAATAGGGTGCAATGATTAAAATCATACCGCAGCTCGACCAGCATTATTGGGATCTTCCATAATAGAGGCTGCAGCTTTCTTAGCATCTTTCAGAAAAGCTTTCAGCAGAGGAACAGGAGGAAACTTGTGCACAAGTCCAACTTCATAAGTGAAATGTACCGCATCAAGCTGTTGTCCCCTGCTGATTAATTCTTCAATCATATCTGCACATATCAACAGCTTCTATACATTACAATCTAGTGAAGGGGCCCTCTTACTGTACACATAATGAACCATATCCAAACATTCACAAGAAAGTCAGACAGAAAACTTAATATATTTGCAAAACTATTACACGGTCAATGAGATATCTTCATAATGCCAAAATCTTTGAGAAAAAAAAACATTAAAGTTTGGGGGAGACTTGAGCTCTTAGTGATTACAAAGCATGTGGAAATAAAACATTGATTAGGTCTTACAGTTACTATCCACATGCTATGATTCAAAGACTGGTAAGAGGTTTGCACTTAAAATCGTTTGGGATAGAGGTTAGATCCATCATACAGTCATATGCGAAGTAAGAAATAAACAAGTAAACTGGGAATAGCTGAAGAATAATGGTGATAATATGCAACACTGATGAAACGATTATACAAATTTATCATTGAAAAGAGCAGAAATTTCCTCATAGAAATAACCTGACCTGATCAAACCCATAAGCCTTGCTCAAAATTTACTAACCAGTAACCACATCGAAGCATGCCAATTTATCTATTACATATAGAGCTCAAATAGGTAAAAATGGGAACACACATTTTCCATAAGCTCTAAACAAAACCAAGCAATGGCCAACGAATTACATGGAAAACTAGAAATGGCTAATAGCACAAGAAATAAATGAGAACAAGTTAGAATTAGCAACGCACCCGGCATTTTCTTGGCGAGGCCAAGCGAAACGGCCAGCTTAGGCATCTGCTTGCGCCAGGCCGACCCAACCACAAGTTTTCTGTACAAATCAACATCCTCCTCCTTCACAATCCCAAAAGTCACCAAATGCTGCAGGAACGTGTGAACATCAGGAGTCTTCACGTTCTCAATGCCACCTCGCTCTTCCAAACTGGCCTTCCAAGTCTCGGCGATCTCCTTGGCACGTTCCTTCACGGTCGGCGTCACCAGAAGCCTTGATTTTCCGATCTTCGGGTCGACCACCACCGGAATCAGAGACTCCAGAACCAGAACGCAAGCCCAGCCCAAATCGTTACCCCTCTCGCTCTTGTCAACTCTCTTGTCCACCGGAAACACCTCCGATATCGCCTCGAGCACGAACTTCGCCGGATCAACACAATCAGCCAAAGCCAGAGGCATTTGTGACCTCAGAGCCTCCAATTCCTTCTTCCTCGCCGTCACGAACCTCCAGAACCGTCCAGAATCCATCTTCAAGCACAAGGACTTGAGATTCATCAGCAATCCCTCGTTGTCGTCCACCTCTCCATCGTCGTCGTCGGAGCGACCTCTCTTCAAGACCTTGAGCGCGGCCTCCTTGCTCTTCTCGACCTTTCCGACCGCGATCTCTACGCTCTCCATGATTGTGACCTCCCGCTGCTCGAGCTCGTCGAGGGACTCCTTGGTCTCCTGCTCTAGGTTTTGAATTTTGCGCTTGATGGCCTCAGATTTCTTCAGTAAATTCTGCTCCAAGGACGTGAAGTGGTCCGAGAGCTCCTTCCACAGTAGAGTACAGCTGGTCATGAGAGAGGTCTGCCTCTGGAACTCGTCGAAGCTCGGCGGAGTCAACTCTGTCAACTCGCCGGGATCGGGGATCGACCCCATCTGGTTGTCGTAGTACGGTCTAGCTCAGTAGTAGCCAAGCGAACAAGATAGGGAAGAGAGAAGTAGAAACCCTAGAATTTGGAGGTAGAGAGAGAGAGAGAGAGATAAAGCAAGCTGAGCTGAGCTTAAGCTAAAGGTAGCCGTGGACAGGAGAAAGAAGAAGACATTGCGATGACGTGGGTGGATGAGGGGAAGACACGTGCAGAGGTGTCTCAAAAGCAGCTACTAGAATGCGCCGTGGCGGGAGAAGGCGCTAAAGTGAGCGGGAGGGTGGGGGTGCGTAGGATAAGAATACTAATTTGGTAAAGTAAAATGATGACGTAAGATATAAGGGGGTGTTTGGATGAGGGGGAAGCACTTTCCCGGAAACCGAAGTTAGATCAGAGAGAGAAAAAGTAGAGAGAGAGAGAGAGAGAGAGTGGGGGATGAAAAGCTGGAGAAAGTAAAGAGTTGGGGAGGTGGTGGGGTGGGGCAGGCCCACTCAGACCACCACATGGATAGAGTCAGATAAAGTAAAGAAGAGATAGATTGACGGGTAGGTATGGGTGAGGACAAACATTTGTGGGAACAAAAATAACATTATTTTGTTATTTTTAGTCAATTATGATATTCAACACGTAATAACTTTTTCATTTTTATATCTGAAGTCTAAATTCGATTCGATCATTTTTTAATAATGGGGTTTGTGGCTTGAGTGATTAAGAGTATTAACTCCTATATTCAAAGTCTAAGTTCGATTTGTCCATTAATAACACTTGGATTAATCCCTTTGTATTTAGATTAATTCTTTGTAGTTACTGTATTTCCATTATTGTATTAATCTTATATAATTATTTGTATTGGTATTAGTTCTTGTAAGTGAGGACTGAATTATAATGCAATCTATCACTTTTCTTTTTCTTTTGTTTAAAAAAATAAGAAAAGAGTATCATGTAGGTGGTGAGAGACTGAACAGAAGAGACGAGAATGAGGCATGCGCATGATGATCAGTCGTGAATCAGACATTCACTATCTAGGGTCTACAATAACGGCAACACACCACGGTCTTTGAGTCAGACTCGGGCTCCATGAGTAACAACAAAAGGAATCTTTGTTAGTTATTTCTCTAATAAACTATATGGGAACAAAATTCTTTATACTAGATCCACACCTACTACTCGTGCAAATTAATTTGTACATACTGTCAAAATACTCACATGAATTGTGTGAATAAAATAATACTCAAACACGCATCATTCATATACAAGTCAACAGTTTGAAAAATTACTTTCAGTTCAGGCTACTTATATGAAGAGAAATCATATAATATATTATTAAATCTAACGGGAATCGTATAGTTTGATCTCAACCCTTTGCCTCCTTTTGTATGAGATGGACTGTGATATTGGATAACCGATGAAGTCAACAGTTTCATATCAAGTTAGCCATGGCCTCTCCGCCTGGCAAATTTTTTATTTTGTTATCATTTAAATCTTCCTAAATTTTAAACATTGAACAAGAGAACAAAATGCAGAAAAAACTGAGTAAAGGCTTATGACTCAAGTGATTAAGAGTATTTGCACCGTCTCTAAGGTCTTAAGAGCGATTCTCCTCTTCCCCAATATCTCTTGAGTTTAAAATCCATAATTCGTGTTTGGTAAAGCCCATTTTTCAAAATCTCAACTCAAAAACAACTTAAAGACCCAATTTTATAAACAAAAAAATTGAGATCTCTCTCTCTCTCTCTCTCTTCCTTTTTTCTTTTGTTAATTTCAATTTCGAAATCTAGGGTTTGTGATTTTCTGATTTTAATTTCAAAATTTTTAGATCTTAAAAATAATTTGGAGTTCAATACCTAACAAACTTTTAGATCTTAAATATATTATATAAAAACTCATGTTTAAAAAAATTAAAACGATTTGAGTTCATTTTTCTGAATAGGATACTAGACGAGCCTTTGAATTTTTTTTGAAATTCTTTATGTTCTTTTTTCGATAGGCTTGTACTGATATGTCCAAGGCCCAATGGACTGTCAAGCCCACATGAGAGGTGGGAATTTAGACATGGAAAGACAGGTCCCAGGGATTGTGATGGTAGAAATTGACCCCAAGTTACATGACAGGGAAGACCCCTTATGACTCTACCAGACAATCAAAGTCTACTACAACTAACATTTTCCTTCCCATTAACATCAAACATTAAAACATGTAGAAAATAAATCTAGTCCTGGTGAATTGAACTTCCAATAGGCTCAATCAAGTTAATTATTAAACAATTATTTGCTGCAATTGTCAGACAAGTTGTTCAAAAAAAATACAAGCACTCTAAATCTTTTTTCTTCCTAATTTGAATTCTCTTCTTGTGTCTGAATACAGCAAAGCTGTAGCAGGAAAAAGCTGTGTACCAACCAAGACAGGCCATTACACTTCCAAGAATAATAGGCAGGCATCCGAAGGGACTCTGCCGCCGCACGGCACTAGAGAATGCTGTCCATGAATTACAAAAAGCTTCCATCACCTTCACTATGATAAGGTATTTAAGTAATAAATGACACGATATATGGAAATAAACTACAATACCTTAAATGCCACCAGGAATCTACTTGGTTGATTTGTATTCCCTTAGGCTTTCAATCGCTACTTTCTTTCTTGTGTCAAAATCAACCTTGTCAAGGTCATAAGCAGTTCCGAGATAGCCATACAGGATCCTCTTTTTCTCCCGCGTCTTTTCGTCCAACTTCACAAGGTATGGATTGTTCTCGTCATCCTTACTGCCCAGTGTTGGGGGCTGTAAACGAGCCCAAGCCCTACGTCCATGATTGTCCTTAACAAAGAATTCTGCCATGCGCATGGCCTCCTTAAGGCCTGCTTCGTCACCCGAAAACTTAACCAGAGTCATACCCAAATGACCATCTCTACCATACAAGGATTTTGACTTGCCACTCCCAAATCCAAGATCTGCTTATCAGAAATGCCACAAGAAAACAGGTAACTTGTCAAAAGGACTTCTTTTTTTTTGGGGGGGGAAATTCTCTCAGTGCACAATGAAGCCATCAAGGCTCAGAATGGAACCTCTCTATTTGTTCCACATGCCATGACAATGACTGCTAGCAGCCATAAAAGGCAGCTTCAGATTCTCTATCGAAAATCCAAAGCTACTTAAAACAACCCCCTATTGATAGGAACCTTTAAGAAAACGGTTTTGTTGATGACCACCAGACCAGCGTCAAAAGGCTCTCATATGGTGCAAGGAAAACATACGATATGCACTCATGACTAAATGAACAGAAAATACATACAAAAGCACGGAGCTAATATACCCGACTAATAACAAGATGATAGATAATTGTAATGTCCATAAGCATAAAAGAAAAATAATTTTAAAAAAAGGTATAAGATCCAGTAACCGGAGGATAAACTACCAAAAACAAAGAAAAACAAAGTAGCAGTAGTCTTATATGTTATTTGCAACACAAGTAAACTCTAAATACAACCAGGCTAGGGTCACTTGCCTATACAAATGGCATCATTTTGCAGTTGAATAAAAAAGCCAAGCACAAAACCGCAATCATATATTCAGAAGAAGTTAGAGAGTTTGAAAGAAACTACTTAAAATAGCAACCAAGCCTATTAAACAAGGGAAAACCATATAACAAAAGTTTAAATCAAATGTAGAGTAAACCTTTGAAGTTTATCTAGGTTCTATCTATGGGAGATCAGAGAACATTGCTCATTTTGCCAGACAGTGCCCTTCTTGGTTTGTCTCAGTTCAGTAGGAGGTTTTGGCCCAATTTGCCACTTTTGGCTGAATGGCTTGGAATTGAAGTGCATGGACGAAGTGAAGTTTATCATGTAGGATCAAGCAATGCACCAAAATAGGGGAAAAGGATGTGATAGTGCACATGTCAGGTAATGCATATAGTGACATACCGGGTAAAACGAAAAAAACACGCTCAGGATTTTTAGACAACAAAAACCAGTGTGCTTACAGGTTTAGGTAAGGCAGAAAAAGTTCTGACAATTGACACCGGCATTCTTCTCCCTCAAGATAACTCAATATGAGACAACACCCAGCCTATTCGAATAGGGAATTAACAAATCCTTTCATGCACCGCATGACAAACCAAAATTTTACAAACAGAAAACTTAAGACAACTTGAAAGAGACTGTAATTTTTTGCACTTGTTAATCTTTGACATCGGAAGTCCAAGATCCTGGTAATACAAACAGAAAACTTAAGACAACTTGAAAGTGACTGTAATTTTTTGTGCTTGTTAATCTTTGACATCGGAAGTCCAAGATCCTGGTGAGCCAAACCCAGGTTCCCTTATTCGTAGCCAGTAGTAAGAGCAGTTGTACAGGTATGGGGAAAAGCCAAGCCTATGCGCAAGGATTAATTTAATCATCACACAAAATTCAAAATGAATAAATCCATTAAATAGGAGGGTTTGTAAGGAAATGCAGTCTTAAATGTCAACACAACAGGTTAGCTTAACTGGCTTAAAGTTAACAAATTGTGGTCTGGACTGGACCACAGAGTAATTGTGTCTTCAAAGTCACTAGACCATGGAAGTTAGGAATTGTTCTGTCCAAAGTCGAAATCAAACAATTGCTTAACAAGGTCAAACTAATCAAAAAAAGGGTGGGGGAGTAGATTAAAAAACGATGACATCAGACTCAAACCCTGAACCCTGGAGAACGAGAATAAAATAGATTGCAATTAAGCAGGTATGTACACAATGACCATTACCCCAAACAGGAGGACAAACCATAGGCTGAACCATTAAAAATGAAGAATGAGATTCAACCAACCCAAATTCCTTGCCGGTGCTTAGAAGGTAAAGCAATAAAAGGAGTACATAAATTAGAAACCCTGCATAGAATCAGTTTGGCATACACTCATCTCAACCATACTTTAATTGCCGCAGAAAAGTAGAACACAAGCATGGCATGATGGCACATAGGAGAAGAAGATGACATATGCAACAAGTCATCTTCATGTGGCCTAATCCTTGCAAACTAAGGGAAGAAATGCCTTCTATATTTGCCACTCAGCTCGAAGGCCATATCAAGAAGTTGCATAACAAAGATTTCTAACCATGTCCCCAAGTTCCAGAAGAAGTATATAAAACAAAACCAATATATTATCATGGAGGCACTAATACTAATTCACATGCACCGGCAAGACCCTTTCTTTCCGCACTCAAATCAATCAAACCATAAAAGGTGACAGTTGCGGACTTTATAACAATGAAAACTGGAGGAGTTTGAGAGATATTCTATGGCAAACTAATTAACTATATTCTCCAGGAGGAAGATAACAAAGCAGAGATATCCTCTGGAATAGACAGGCAGTATGCTGTATTTAAGAAAGGGTTGCCTCCATCCAATAAAGATATTTAATCTTTTCAAACGTGGTCTCCAGAATTGCAGATTGAAATAAAGGGCTCAGGGCTAAAATAGGATGCATGCAGAGTATTTACTTGACCTGGGCCCAACCTATCCACAGGTACATTCTGATAGAAACAGCATAAAGAATGGCACAGTATGAACTATGAAGGAGGAAACTATACCTCTAATAATACTATCCATTGCTTTATTGCCCAAACCCTCCATGCGGCCATCTTTACTCTTTCCCGTAACTGTATTATGAATTATCACCACAGGTGGCCACATAATCAGATCATCCACATTTGCTGCTGCTTCTTCAGCAGAAAGAAATTGATATGCCTTTGAGTTATCAGGAGGCTTCAAGTAGTCCCACCCCATCAGAACACACAAAGCCTTGTGTAAGCCCAAGTGATCCACACGCAAGTCAGCACTATCAGAGTTGTAACTGTGCATGATGAGACTATGCATATCCGGAAAATCTTTAGAAGACCTGAAATTATGCATATCAAGGGAATTGAACATGTATTTCAGGTTTACCTCTCAGATAGCATTATGACCCATTAAGTTCGAACTCAAAAGGGCAATGAAGAAGATGCATTTACCAGGAGTATACTAATGAGCTGATATCATTCTATCATCTTAAGCAAGGATTCAGGTTCATAGTTTCATCAAATGATATCACCTAGGTGTTATAACCTAATGTAAGACCCTGACACAAGGTAAATTATTTATAACAGAAAAAGGATAGCTCTGTACGCTTGGGGCATACACAAATAAATGTGCAAGCACAAGCCTCAGATTCATAGATAACGCAATGATTGCACGAGGAACTCTAGCACCATCCATGAGAAAATATCATGTATTGGAGTAATTACTGCACATAAGAAGCCAACAAATGCATCTAATTGTAACTCATGCAAACTAAATTCTCATACACAGCAGCAAAAGAAGGTCAGTTTTACCACAATGGTGCATAATTTCCACAACTAACTCAGAAATTTACAGGGGAAAACAAGTAAACAGTAAACTCAGCACCATAGGAGGGCTTATGTTTCATGCTCTCCTAGTCAAACATCAAAACACCAATCCTGAAGTCTCTCATATAATCCTTAGTTAAGCAAAGTTGGCTTCTAAACCTTTGCCGCAACACTTTTTAAAGTTACCACTAATTACAATCACACAAACTAGGTCAGCTGAACCACACATACCTGCATAGGTTATTGACTTTTCCGAGTCTTTGCATAAATATTATTTCAACAAACAATAATTTGTCCCTTTGACTCATACATGGAGAAATTCCTAGTATTCTAATGAACCATGTCGAATGATTCATGCAAATGTGATGGCAAGTGGTCTAGGTTTTGAAAATTATAAAGGAACAAAGAAGACAGAGGTAGTACTATTACTTCCAATCGTGATGAAAGGCAATTCGGAAGAGGTTCTTGTAAACTTAGTTCATACAGAAACATGACACTGCAAATAATTCAAACCACGAGAACGCAAAGCCAACAGAATCCCAACTTATTGGAGGGGAACAAAAAGCATGGAAAGAAAAATGTAGCCACAAAGACGTCACCCATCAAAGTCTTGAACAAGTATCTATAAAAAAGGAAAATTAGTATAAAAATCCTAGAAAGACTCTGTAGGAAATTACTTCCATTGTGAGAGTCAGCCTCATATGTTTTTACAATTAAAGTCAACATGCTAATCAGCTTCAATTGTCTGCAGCCTATGAGTGAAAGTTCACAAATTCAAGGCCAACCATTACATATGGAATGGTTCATGACTCACATTCCAGACATAACTCAGAAGACAACAAGGGCATCAACCAATCAGAACCAGTCAGCAACAAAATATACAAAAGTGTCTGATGTTTTTTGAAGGGAAAAAACGAAAGGAAATATCCACATATGGAGTCCTTACCAATAAAATAAGCTCAAAACACATTTTCTACTAAATCTATGTCTCACACATTTCCATACTCTATATATCTAGCAATGACGGGATAGGATTCAGGAAAAAATAAAATGGAAATTATTGTGTACACTGTATAACCAATACCAATCCACTAACCAGAATATGGAACCATATAACATTTACAAAACCACATGGCCCAAACAAGTATTAAAAAAGCAGTAAAAATGAGTCTTTACATGCGCTCAGCTCCTATCCATCACAATACAAGATCAATGAAGAACAAGTAAAGACAGCCATTTGGAAACAAAAATCTACTGACAGTTTAGAAGTCCTAGAGCAGAGAAAGAAAGAAAATATTAAATATTTGCAATGGATTCATCCTGGAATGGCAAGAATACAAGTTTGTACACCGACGTGCCATGAATACAGGTTGAAATATAAGCTCCTCTGAACCACCGAAATCATACTAAACAACAAGCAGAGGTCATGAGGATCCTTTCTTATGCATATACATATTCTCCATCAAACAAATTGGATTCCAATGGTTTCAAACTACCAAAACACAAAAACAAAAAAAAAGATCCAATCGAATTAATTTAGCCTCTAGACCTCAAAAGTTTAGAAACTAAGAGCCAGTGCCCATTTTGCAACAAGTGAGATAGCACTGGTAACAATCTAAAAGAAGCATAGAGACACAACCTACACTTATGGAAATGAAGCAAGGATCAAATTAAATGCTCATACCCAACTTCCATTCAATTGCACTGAATAATCAGGGATATAAGCTGGGATGACCTAAGGCTTACTCAAGTCAAATATATTTCTGATAAGCCAGCAAACCCAATCTGAATCTTAGCCTGGCCAGACCACATTCGATAACACTAGAAAAGCTCATCTCAATCAACTTTAGGCTAAACTAACCAGGTATTTTGTGCTACCATCTAACTCAGAGTCCTAAAACATAAAAATAATGGCCCCAAATATGTACAAAGCTATAGGAATAATCAGCAACCACCTTTACTATATAAGAATGTAGGAAAATTGACAGACTGAAAGTAATGACGTAAGTAGAAAATAATACAGCCTTTCTTACCCAATAAGTAAAGGACAGATGATACTCCAAACACCTTCAGGGTCTAGATTTCTAAAGGGAAATCTAAGAAAAGCATAATATTCAAAAGAAAACAAACATTACATCCTTGGAGATAGCCTAATTTATCAAAACAACTGCGACCATCTGAATCAAAATAAGTTAGCTAGGTAAAGTTCCAATCTAAGAGATGATAGTAGAAATATCAGCTGCATACAGAAAGAACAAACCAAGACATATGAAATGAAAACCTCCCTGAAGTTACACTATAACAGCAGCTACCATATAACAAAGCTGCTGCTTCCACTAAAGCAGTAAACAAGCTTTCAGAAACCTACAATGAACTCTCATTAAAAAAAAAACAGTGGAAGCCTTATTATTAGAGAAAGGTGAGCGGGAGATTTTCTCTCCAAGGAGATAACCAGGTCTTCATTCTCCACCAAAAGTGAAATGTCTTTTTTGATTGTTCATAAAGCCTAATACATTTGCTGGAAAGCTTAACCAGTAAGGAAATAGAACTTCCTGATCCCATTTAGTCGATAAGATAAAAGTGGGGAGATAACTAAGAACTTTCATAAATACGTTTAGAGATGGCCCTTTGATTATTGACAAATAAAGCAAGTTAGATTCACATCCATCCAGACCAAGAAATATAAATAAATAAAATTCATATCCACCACGTAACACAAAGCACATGTCCTTGTTCACACATGTCTAGCACACTGGATGGAAGGCCACCATATCCTAGAGGATCACACATAAATTACACACGCAAGCAGAGAAATGTGTACCAAGGTCTATTGGAATTGACCAACACAGTTGTCCTGAAATTTCACCAAATAGCTAATGCAAAAAGTAGTGTCAACAACAAGAAGGGCAGCATAATCAATAAATCCTACTTGTATTTTACAAAAATAACAAAAAAAACCTCAATACATACATATAACTTATATCTCCACGAAAAAGTCTCACTATAGTTACCTATGTATAACATATTTGACCACACTGTGAGTCAGACTTAGACAATATTAAAATCTATGCTGTAATTTTATTACGCATCCTTATCACTTACAACATCAAAGCTTCCACCCTTACCTTTCTTCCCTCCATACTCCTTCAAAATGTATACATTACAACTTCATCATCAGCCCATGCAATAGACGATTCTAGCAATGCATTGGTAAGCAACAAAAAACAAACAGCTGTTCCTAACTTATAAAACGAGCGTAAGCTATATAACGTTTCCAGAGAAATGCCACCGATTTCATCCAATGGCAAAGGGGAAGAATGTAAATGACACAGTTCTCAAAATTCATCCACTTCCACTTATCCTACACTTAAACAGCTAGAACAGCCCGTAGCCTAAGTATGCACTATAAACCGAAGATGCTGAAATCAATGAAACATTATTCTATCAACAACAAACATGTTTTAAAAGCGAATACGCAACTGTTCTAGCTGTTCCTAACGTTATAAAATGAGCGTAAGCTATATAACGTTTCCAGAGAAATGCCACTGATTTCATCCAATGGCAAAGGGGGAAGAATGTAAATGACACAGTTCTCAAAATTCATCCACGTCCACTTATCCTACACTTAAACAGCTAGAACAGCCCGTAGCCTAAGTATGCACTATAAACCGAAGATGCCGAAATCAATGAAACATTATTCTATCAACAACAAACATGTTTTAAAAGCAGCAACGTAGAGAAAGCAAATAATTTGCACCAGACCTGGCACAAGCAAGACAATGCAGACGCCCATTCTTCCCATCCTCCAAGTAAATCTTCCTCTGTTGCGTATTCTCATGAATCAGCTTCACGTAATTAAGAAACGCCTTCTTCAACGCACTCTGATCAACTTGAACATGCTTATGAACCACATTCTCACCACCACCACCTTGCCTAAATGCCGCACTCTCATAACCCCCACCACCAATCCTCATGTACTTGTTAGCTCTCGCCTCCTCGCCACCACGGCCTTGGTCCGCCGCCTCCCGCCGAAACGGGCTACTCGTTCCCGCCAAAAACTCTCCCCGGGTACCAGGACCCACCGGAAACCCATTTGGATTGGCATGCTGCATAAACTGCGGCCGGCGCATCCCAAATTCCCCTGCTTTATCCCTCTGGTCCTCTTCTTCGGCGTACTTTCTCTTTACGGGCCCCTCTGCGGGGCCACGCCCATCGAGCCCGAGCGAGTTCCAGTAATCCGGACCAGGCCCCGGCGGTCCACCCGGCCCAAACGGCAAGAACCGGCCGGACGGGTCCATAGGCGGAGGGAATTCTTGATAATCGGGCGGGAGAGCGAAGTAGGACCGAACGCTGCCGTCGGCGAGAACGAAAGTTCGGCGCTCGAGCATGTGGAAGCCGTAGACTGGGGGAGGGGGTGGGCCGAAAGCGGCCGGGTCGGGGAAGGGAAACGGAGCGGGTCCGGGAGAGGGGGCTGATGGCGGGTGCTTGGGATGGGACGGCGTTGAGGTTGCGCCTGGTTTCGGGGATGGGCCGGAGTTGGGCTTCACGGGTTTGGGGTCGGGTGGATTGTTTTTGGTGGTGATGGCGGTGGCGGCGGCAGCGGCGTTGGGGGAAGATTCCCAGCGAGATTTGCGGTTAGAGGCGGAGGAGGAAGAAGATGGCCTGTGGGGTGGGCCCTTGGGATAAGAACCTCCGGCCATCCTGGGGCTAGGGATTTTGGAACAAAACTATATTTAATAAAAATGGAGCTACAGAGAGTGCTCAGTCTGAAAGTGGGAGAAAGAGGGATGAGGAAGATGCTGCTGGGAGTCTGGGAAAGTGGGAAAAACTAGGGGTAGCTGGTTATGTTTTAGAGGACTCAACTCAAAGCTGGACTTAACTGGATTCCCCGTTCTGTTTTTCTTTTTGGTTCAGAGATTCGAGGAAGTGTGGAAAGGCATAAAAACTTGTGTGAAACGGCGCTGTTTTGCTATTCCTAATCACAGTCCCGATCTCTTGGACTACGGGGGTCCAAGGGATTTATGGTCACTCACCGTTGAATTACATTCAACGGTTCACTCACTTTTGCACTCATTCTAAGAAGCTTTTTTGAACTGTTAGATTAACATACAACGGTAGGTGACCACAAATCTCTTGGACCCTTGTGGTCCAAGAGATCGGGACTGTTCCTAATCAATAGGGGTCCAAGAGATCGGCGCTATTCCTAATCAATCGTGTTGTTATTGGTCAAATAAATAAATAATGTTTCTCATGAAATGGATAGCACTATTTTGTTATTCGGCTAATCACGACATGGTATGTATAATAATTGTAGCATGTCTAATAATTGTTTATACATGACAGTCTATAAAACAGTACACAAGTTTACGTTCTTTTTATTGTTTCACGAAATATGCACGCCCCCAAAATGTAAGAGTTTCAAACGCTTGATTGTTTGCCAACACCATATTCACTAGTCAAAACTCAAGTTTTGCATGCAATTTCATCTTGTCGTGGTTTCCAATTCACACCTCTTTCAATATTTGAGGCAAGCTTGAAGTAACACCTCTTTTAATATTTGAGACAAGCTTGAAGTAACACCTCTTTCAATATTTGAGACAAGCTTGAAGTAACACGTGATTGAGTTGTACCACAGAACTATACTACTATACAACTGGGTCTGAAGCCGAGTTGGCATTCAAGGCTCAAGTTACCGTGAGTACATTCGAAACATACTAGACAACCAGTTTTTACGACACTAAACCAAATATATGCATTGGTTTTGCTATGATTTAACAAACCACTCTGCACTAATCTATTTCGATGCCAGCTAAACCAAATATGTGCATGATTTTTATATGATTTACAAACCACTCGACTGCACCGATCAGAGGAAGGTAACGGCTCATTTAAGCCATACTAATCAGAAAGGCATTGCCCTATCAACAATCTCAAAATCATAAAAAGGATAACTGAGAATTTTAACTAATATAGGGGATCAAATTCCATTGCATAACATACTATCCTCAAACACAAAAGACCAAGCAGTCCAAAGGAACAAATAAAAGACAGCTAGACATACTGCATGAATCCATCAAAACTGAAGTAGATTGAGGTTGCTAAACTAGAGGGTATTTGAAAATGTAAAACAAAATGCGCAAACATGATATCCAAACAACATCCAAGAAAGATGATAAAAATTCTTCAACGCTTCTTGGAGACACCAACAGTCTTCCCCCTGCGGCCAGTGGTCTTGGTGTGCTGTCCACGCACACGAAGACCCCAGTAGTGTCGAAGACCACGGTGATTCCTGATCATTGAGAAAGAAATATCAGTCACAACTCCAAGCCCAATAGTCTTAAACAATATAGATGTTCATCTGAGTAGATAATATGTAGGCCAGTAGACATCAAAAACTGTCAAGTAAAACCACTTAGATAAACTGCCCAAATTTAACTAAAATGACAAGCATCATCATGTCTGGCCTATCCTTAATCTACTAATATATCAGATGAATAGACAAATTACTGACCCCACATAATTATAATACTTGTATTTCCAATATGTTTCTTGCTAGGAAAGAGTATGCAAGGGACAAAAAAGAAATTTACTTGGCTACTTCCCAGATACTAGGATTTAACTTGGAGCTGTTAGCTGTGAAGGATCTAGGACAATCTAATCTAGAACAATTGCCAATCACTGACAATATTGCTAACCAATTACATAGTATATTAAACTCAGAAAGAGAAGCGTTATGCAAGCTCAGATTAAGATTCAGCATAAACATATTAGAATAAGAAAGTAAGCCAACAGTACACAAAAAAGAGTCAGTGGACAGAAGCATAACAAGAAGAGAACAGATGACAACACCAACAATAAATCAGAAACTCATCAAAAGAAAAGATAACCAATACTGAAACACAAGCAAAACAACTAGAAAACAGACCTGATCTTCTTCAAGCGCTCAAGGTCATCCCTGAGCTTCATGTCCAGAGCATTGGAGACGACCTGAGAATATTTACCATCCTTGTAGTCCTTCTTTCTGTTCAGAAACCAGTCAGGGATCTTGAACTGGCGTGGGTTGGCCACGATGGTCATCAGGTTGTCGAGCTCAGCGGCAGATAGCTCACCAGCCCTGCAGTGTGGCTCAATTAGACCCATGTACACTAAATAGTGATCTCGTGTGCACCCAATACTGAACTCGCTTGCCAATTCATAACCCAGTATCATATAGTAATATGAAGATGAAAAATAACATAGGGTCCCTATTCTCTAGTCCACATCACTTACCACTGGAGTAAAATGTGTATAATTCAAATATTGATGTGCCAATACAATCAGCTCAAATATTACAATTGCAAATAAAAATTCCAATAGATTCAAAAGAAATGGAAATACATAATGCATTCCAGCATCAAAACGATGCAAAAAAGTTGTCAAAGTAACAAGATTTAATAATTGCTATTTACATAAATGAATAAAATCTAACTAAATGGCTACATATAATAACGAAATAGAGCTGGGAAATGATAAATCACATTGGACTAAATAGATCTATGACTTTATTTAGGGAAATAAACAAAAATAAAGAAGAAGAAAAACGAACCTTTTGTTCATGTCTACGTCGGCCTTCTTGCAGACGATGTTGGCGAAACGCCTCCCAATACCCTTGATGGAGGTGAGAGCGAACATGATCTTCTGCTTTCCATCGACGTTGGTGTTCAGCACACGCAGAATATGCTGAAACTCCTCATTTGCGACGAGAGACTGCAACAGAAGAAAATCAAAGTAAGATTTAAGATTAAAGGTTGAAGATGAAGATACTGATCGAAACCAGTCGTTTGGAAGGAATTAGCTCACCATGGTTGCGGCGTTAGGGTTTGCGCTCTCTCTCTGACTCTGCGTGTGTGTGTGCGAGCGCGCCGGGTGAGAGAGGACCAGTGAAAGAAAAAGATGGTTTTAAAGGATTATATCTGGGGGAAGTTCGTAAAGCCCAAAACCCTAGATGGGTATTATGGGCTGCCGCACATCCTTACGTGCACTCCTTATTGATGAATTCGTAGCCGTCCATCATTTATTCGACTATCCTCATAAGATGTGGGTCCCAAAACAGTATAAATTTTAGAATTTCAATTCTCATGTATAAAAAATATATATTAAAGCCCAAATGGAAAATTTTAGTAAATAAGAGAAAAACTTGCATGTTTTGTGATTTTTATCACGGAAAACGTTATTAACAGAGAGTAACAAAACAGTGATATCACCTTGGCAGAGCAGTTCTTCTCTGAAAATAGAGTGCGAAAAGTCGTTTCTTCTTTTCATAATGACCGTTGTATCCTTCATTTTAATCAAAATCTCAGTATGTGTCCCTGTGGATAAAGCCCATAACTCGAAAATGACCAGAAACAATTTAGAAGCTTGAAGCCGAGGCAGAGACTGTACAAAAAGATTTTCTCCAAGCGACCATCCAGCCATTGGAATTGTTTTCAGGTACCAAGTACTTTCTTCTTTTGCCTACACCTCTTCAATTCTGAACAGCAAAGATATTTAATTGACTTATGTTATTCGGAAATTTAGTTGCTTTCTTGAGTATAATGCTTTTTCTGTGTGATGAAGCTGAAACTCTGAGCAAATGGGGCAGTAGGGTAGCAGAATTCAAGAGATTGCAGCTGTTTTGATTTCTAGAATGCAATGGATATAGCTAGTCAAGTTGCTTGAGATTAATTGAAGAAGAATGGCTGTTCATGTTCTTCTTGCAGCAAAGACCTTTCCCCTTGTAATTTCCAGGACACGGGAGAATACCTTGAAACCTGCCAAAGAGTGTAAGTACTGAAAAAATCCTAATGGGTTTTCTTTTCAGGGCCTGAAAGTTTCATATATGTGTTTTTTCTGTATCAACTGTAGTTAGCCTGAATTTTATCTCTTTCTCTTCTTCTTTTGAGGAACAACCCTGAATTTCTATTTCTATTTCTTAGAGGTTATGGCAGAAACAGAATGTGCATTGTGATTTATTCAGTCTACATGTATTCTTCTCACAGATTGGTTACCCAAAAATCTAACCATCTATACGATTAACATCTAAGCAAATGTTTAGTGTTGATATATGACTGCATAATGGTTCTCACCTGATGGAGATGTCACTCACTACACAAATTTTCTCTTTTGGCTGTTATTTTGCAACATAACAGATAAAGTACAATCCAGGTGTGAGCTGCCCTCTCAAGAAGCTTCATCAAGTCGCCGCCATTTTGTAGCTGGTGCCATGATTGTTACGATTCTGACCATTAACTATGGCTTAGCACCATCACCAGTTTGGGCTGATGATAAGTCGGATGATGAAGAGGAAAAGGATGGAGTTATAGGTGCTCTTAAATCACTGTTTGACCCTAATGAGAAAACAAAGTCTGGAAAAGTGTTGCCGAAGGCTTACTTGAAGTCAGCAAAGGAGGTCGTGAAGACATTGCGCGAATCGCTGAATGAAGATCCCAAGGATAATGCCAAATTCAGGCGTACTGCAGATGCAGCAAAGGAGTCGATTCGAGAGTATTTGGGCAATTGGAGAGGACAACAAGAGGTGGCTCAAGAGGTATAGCTAATTAACTTGTATGTTCAAGGACATGGAACTGTTGAATTAGTTCACTGTTTGCTAAGAAATCTAGTCTTTGGTTAATAACTTGCAGGAGTCTTATGTTGAGATTGAGAAAGCGATAAGATCGTTGGCCGGCTTTTATTCCAAGGCAGGGCCATCTGCCCCACTGCCTGAAGCAGTTAAGTCTGAGATATTGAATGATTTGAATACAGCTGAAGAGTTTTTGTGAGGCATCAGATTTTTTGGGGCAGCACGCGTATCTCTTACACCGAGTTTAATCAGTTGATTTGTGGAGAGAACTTCGAGAGCTTCAGTTTGATGCCTCCATCATTTCTCGACACTGAACAAATTTGTTGTGTAAAGCTCTTTTGCTATTAATATGTATCTCATTTGGCGAATTTCTTATGAGCAGCCATATGTTGTAATTTTATACGAGGAACAAATCTTAGCAAAAATGGAGCAGACATTAAATGCATTTCTTTCGGACGAGAATTTGTTTGCCACATCAAAACCACTAAATACTCAAGAACCTAAGTGCCCATTATTTTTACACCAATCAGGAATAACTTATTGCCACTGTAATACATATACAACACCTTTGTTCGCATAGCTGTATAAATACCAGCCATGCGACAACTCACGTCTACGTTTTCGTCTTGACATCTATCACTAGAGATCTGATAACTAGCCTTGTCTTTAACATGGTGGAGCTTTAACTTGCTTTTATCTTAGAACATAAAGAGAAATCACCAAACTGGATCTCCTTGATGCGGATCTATGGAGCATCAAGAACGTGACAGGACACCTTTTGAACTGCACATAATAGATTCCACAAAGTTAAGATCAAGTTTCATATGTCAAAGAGTAAATAACACATTGAGTAACATGGTTGATTCACCAAAGATCAAGAAAAGATTAATTATCCAGTCAGATCTGTTCGAATGAAATTGGTTCATATCAAACCTTGGCACAGTCCCAAGGCGACGTGGGTCATGTTCTGTGGCTTGTCGGAGAGCCCTAGCAAATGCCTTGAAAGTTGCCTCAATAATATGGTGAGAATTTCTTCCAGCAAGCTGTGCCCAACCAAAAGTAGAAAATTATGTCACAAACTAAAACTGGAGCAATGTGAAAACCATTATAGCCCTGCTAGTTGATGAATCAAAAGAAAAAAGTAATTGGTGTAGTTACTGACATATGTAGAAGATTATGCACCTGAAATGGTTGAATAACAAGTCCATTTCATATTTCACAAAGGAATGTTCAAAGGTACAGATAATTGATTCATGCACAAAGAGAGATGGCAATTTAGTCATCAAAGTTCACTTTTAGTCTCTGTCTGGACAAACAAATATTTGGATGAATTAAGATTTTCAAAAACGCTATGCACACTACCTGCCGGATGTGTAGTGTCATACCAGAAGTATTCACCAAAGACTGGAAAAAATGTTCCACCAGCTACGAAAAGGACAGTTCAAACAAAAATTAGTAACTCTAAACACCTAAAAATTTCCAAAAGCAAATAGAAAGAAAGGATCCCACCATACAAGACTGGTCAAGTTTTTGAGCTCTACAGATAAAAAAAAACATATGCAGCAGGAATTTGAAGCCTAGATTTAAAAATAGACGAAGAAAATTAAACTACCTGAGTGTCATATGTCCCAACCCTCTCCGTGGGTATCTGCAGATCATAACCCAAATATGGTCGGCCAGATAAATCCTGAACAAAAACCTCTAATGAATCATACTTCTTATTTTGGAATACAGTAATTTAAAAAAGGACATATAAACCAATTGACACAATAATTGATTCTACAGCAGCTGAACAACTGTCCCTCCGAAAAAATTAGCATTCTAGTCTCAAGACCCCATCAAGCTTGGCCCTCACACTTTGTCCCTCTTGATAGCACCAAGTTTACTCTCATACATTCATATAAATCAAAAGATAAAGCCTAAGAATTCAACATAAAATTTTCCTTACTGTCAAATATTATTATACATTTATTTTAGTGAAATGGTTGTATTAAACATACCAGTGAGACATGTATCAGAGCTTCATCAAGAGGAGCAGAGAAGTCACCAAACCTGTTGATTCCTTTTCTATCACCAAGTGCTTGAAGCAAAGCCTGCAGACCAAGCAGAATTAGATTATCAAGATGGGCTTCTACAGATTATATGGATTCAAAACAGAAGAAAGATGCTGGCGACCCAAAGGAAATATCAAGATGGGCTGCTTTCTAGATTACCGTTCCGATAGCAAGAGCAACATCTTCATTTGTGTGATGATCATCAATGTGGATGTCACCAATAGCCCTTACATGCACGTCCAACAACCCATGTGAAGCAAGTTGCTAAAATAAACAAGAAAATACAACAAATAAGTAATGGATCATGTTATATACAAAAGCACATGAAACAGAACCATACATCACTGAAACAGCTTCTCTAAGCAGAAAATCAATTTAATCTATTTCAAAACAAATCCAAAACAGACCTATCACTGTAAATTGAAGTTACAAGTATAATATCAATGCCTTCAAACAAAGAATGAATTTTAACTACATAATTTCAAAAAGAGCTAAGAGCAAAATAATACTGACATCCAACATATGATCAAGGAAGGGAATCCCAGTACTAGAATCAGCAACTCCAGTGCCGTCCAGGTTTATTTTGACCAAGACATTGGTCTCCTTGGTCACCCTCTTGACCTCCCCAATTCGAACCCCTAAGAGAGTTACAGCCCCAGCAATTAGAATTCAATTTAAATTTCAAAACCCAGTTCAAGGATTGATATTAGGGTTAGGGTTAGGGTTACCTGAGTTACTTGGGGTCGGGGAATCGGTCAGAGTAGAGCCATTGTTTTCGGCCAGAGAGGCACGCGGTGAGAGGCTTCTCTGAGAGTCCATGTGTTTGAGCTTCAAGTGGCGGCTTGGGTTCAGTGAAGAAGGTGATGCGCGTAGAGAAGGAGGGGTGGTTGTGAGATCTGTACGAGAAACCGCGAAGCTAACCCTCGGTTTTAGTGGAGGAGATGAACAGTTAAGAATACCGGGTGGCGCTGCTGCTGATAGCTCCATTTGTGAAAACGGAGGAGGTCGCTCTTTAGAATACGGACTTTGTACTTGGAGGAGTTAATTCACTCTTTTAAAATAGATTTTGCTCAACTATTTCTTTCTTCTGTAGACGTGGGAGAACCTCCACAATCATGTTCTCTATTTTTTAATTAAATTTTAGCTAAAAATATATAAATGTTATTTTATGAGTTCTCTATAAAATTTAAACTTCAATCGTGCTCTCTAGGTTAGGGAGTTATAAATGCTATAATTCTTTTTTAATTGGTCCATCTCAATTAAAAATAAAATAAAAAATAGTTAGCATATTTGAAATACTCATTAAATAAAGCAGCATTAAATTATAATGAGTCACTATGAGTGCTTTCTCTCTCCTCAGATTTAGGAGCTCTTAAAGGACTTCATGTTTTAGGAGGTGAATAGGAAGCATGGTTAGAGTTGTATAACTTATATTTATACAATTCCTCTCTAAAATTTGTTTAAGAATGTTATTTAGAAAGCTCATTGTGAATGTTCTTAGGCCAATTAGCCAAAGTTACCACCCACCCAACAATCGAGTTCGACTCTCCTTCCCGTACATTAGACTAGCTTCGGATATCATCCTTGTAAAAAGAAACTAATTTTTTTATTTGTTTACAAAATTATTAGCTTTATAAACAAAAAAAATTATTAATAATTAGTATTAGGCCAATAAAATCTTATAATATTATATAATATTATAGCAATCAATCCATATTTTCTTTTTGGAATTTTTAGATTCAAGTCCTTAGCCAAAAAAATTTGCTAGATTAAGTTCGATAAAAAAAATTATCATGGAAGCTATATGGTTGTAGCTATATTTCTCCCTCCAATCTTAGAAGTTGGGAAAGAAAAAAAAAATTGGTGAGAATAAATAATAAAGTAGCATCAATAACTACAAAAATTAGAAGGCTTAATGAGCAAATTTGATAGAATTAAGCTTGGAATGTTGAACAATACAGTCCATATATGATGAACGAAAGGGGCAGGGATCAATGGCATATACAAAGTTACACACTTCAAACCATATGACCAGACATAATGTTCTTCAACCTCCTCGAAATGATGACTGCAATTCCCACAACTCTGAACCGTCGATTAATCAATCCATGCTCTTCTTCTTCAACCTCCACCCTCCGATTAATCAAACCATGCTCTTCTTCTTCTTCAACCTCCACCCTCCGATATCCCCACCGATGCTTGAGTCGGTGAATCACACCATAGAGGTAGGGGGCTACGCCTGTGTACATGTCCATTGCCTCCCTCTGTATCTCTAAAATGTGAAATCTGAAGAGAGCAATAATCATTCATTCAACTGATTTTCAGCATTTTATACGAGCCGAAGAATAAGGTCCGCATTGTTTTACTAAATGCAGGCACGCACGTCTCTTAGAAGTGGATCCCATGATGACCATAAGAATCAACAAATCCAATTAAAAATGATAACAATCTATTAAGAAAAAAACGAAGAAAAAAACCTTGTCTTGGAGGTAACATTTCACAATATTTCTAACAAAACAGTAGTTTGAGGTACAACGTAACATGCCTTGGTTTAGAGAAGAACACAAGAGATGCTTGAATATAACAAAACTGAAGAGCTTTAAGGTTCAAAGGACATAAATATACACAGGAATGAGCCATCATATGATCCTATGAGCAATGGGATTTTTAGTCCAATAAATCTACACATCTAACGAGTGCTTCAGACATTTTATGGCAAATCATCATCAAATGCATGGGAACAACTCCTTTCAATACCAGAGCACCTTTTTCCTCTTCACTCAAGAGACCTTCACTTATCATGCACCTATACCGCTAAGAAAAAAAGTCAATGATAAAACCCCATACTTGAAATTTCGAATGAGAAGCTGATCTGAGCTACAGAAGTTGACAATATTGAAATTTGTTGCTTCCAAACAGTTGGGCAATCAAAATTGCGGCTGAGGTCTGTTGTTAATGCTGCACCGGCACTAGGTACAAATGTTAAAATTTAACATGAAAACACCCGCTAAAGAATTTTCTTATACCACCTGTCATGTGATGAGCTGACATCGGAAAAATCCCAAACTTCACATCAAGCAGATCCAGATATACACACATTGAAGCAGCATCAGTCTGTTACTGCCATACCTGGGACGTTCAAAACGTCGTTTAGCATCAGCAACTTCACCATTGACTTAATTGTACATAACACCATCCTAGATGCAACAATTGCACATCTTGCAACTTCCAAGGATAAGAAATAATCTTGAAGTCCACTTACAGTAGAACTAGAACCTTAAAACCATACTAAAAACAAGGCAAAGGACTATCAATTTCCTTGGAGTTGTAACAAATTCTTCTTATTCATGCAATCCAAATCAGGGCATCGCCATCAGCTCCAATGCCCCGCAAAATTGTGAACAAATGATGCTTTCCAACACTCAGAGAGATTTATGGTTTGGCATACAGAACCCAGCAAACATTTCATAATTATATCAAACAGAACCAGATTCAGCCTTCCCGGAATCAGTCCTGGAACCATCACTAGATACTTGAGGAAGGCTCTTTTCACAATCCATTGCATCGGAAGCAACTTCTGAAGCCACGCATGATTCGTTTTTAGTCTCACGATCAAACTGAATATCCAAATCACATTTATTTGGCAAGGAACTCTCATTAGCATCACAGAAACTGGAATCTTGATTTCCATTAGCTTCCTCCGGGGTGTTCTTCGCAAAAGTTTCTCCTGAAGAGTTAATAGGCTCAAGACAGGCAACATCAACATTCTCTTCATGGGAATCATCTTCGCAGGAATCATCCAAAGCACCTTCTTCCAAAGACTTTGAAGAGTTTTCTTTCAGAGAAGAATCCAAAATGGATTCTATTTCCACTTTTTTATCGTGGCCTGTATCAGGGTGAGACTGGCATTTTGCATCAGAAGCGTATTCTGCTGACTTGGTTTCTGAATCAGAGTCAGAAGATGTAGTTCCCTTGTTTGAAACCTGAATGTTACGTTCATTAGAAGCATCTGACGACCTACTACTCAACATGGAAGTGTTATTTAAAGAAGCACCAGCCCCCTGAGAGGTAGACTGCATTTTATCTTCAACAGGAGAATCCAGAGCTGGTTTATTTTCTGTCTCTAGAGCTTCATGGCTTGTATTAATAGGAGGGAATTCCTTGTCAAAAGTAGATCCAGCTAATTCAGCCCCTGAAGCAGAGTCAGAAGATATACTCCTTTCAGTGGAATCTAAATTTTTACGTTCATCAGAAGCATCTAAAGAACCACTCATCACAGGAGTATCATTTAAGGAGACACGGATACGTCGTGAACCAGAATCCGTAGCAGCAGCTTCATCAACTGTTTCATTGATAGGATGCAAACCAGCTTCATCAGACCCATGACCATCAAGACTAGCCGGAGAACCAATGTCTGATTTCCTTCCGCCCCCAGGCTTTATACAATCCTTGCCTTCGCAATCCACTTGCTTTAAATCTATTGCAAGGTGAAAATGAAGGTGGAAAGGAAAAGCAAAGTCAGAGAACAGGCTAATATTGTTGTGATTAAGGAAAATCAAAAAACACTTTAAATAGAACCTGTGTTGGCTGTCATGTTCCCCTCATTTTCTTGATCTGCTAACAACTTCTGTAGCATGTCTATACCAGGGAACACTAACATATTCATCGACCTCATTTCTTGCTTGAACGATTCCTCAATAGAAATAAAACCAAAAACTTCTGTCCATGTATGCATGAGTTCCGCAATTGCAGGGATAATCAATTTCTCAACCTTTAGAGAGCATAGAGCCTTCAAAATAGAAAGAACAAGAGCAATCAATGATATATAAGAAAACACAACAGGTAAGACTACAGTTGAGAGAGAACAAATTCAAGTTAAAAAATTTCAAATATCCTTTCCATACAAATAAAATCACCAAAAAAGCATGGTTCTCATAGCTTTACCGATTCAATGGCATAAAAAAGCCGACGGCACATCCCTTGTCGCCTATATATGTGACGAGTTCCAATGAATGGCATCTCTGCTAACTTTGTACCGTGAAACCTAACCAGAAAGTAGATTACATAATTTAAAAGAATGTGTTTACATGATAAACCAAATAGAGAACCATAGATCTCAAGAACCAACTTGAGAAGAATCTCCCCTCATACCAAAACCTAGTTATAGACAGTAAACGATTCAAAGGTACGTTCATTGTCATGCCAACAAATGCACAAGCGCAGTAGTTTTAGGGACCCAATTAAATTTAACAATACCAAACTTATCATACAGCACTTCACATTAAAATAATAAGTTAAAGACAATCAGTTACCAAAAAGTTGAAAATATAAAGTATAAACAACTCATAATGTTTTTTGGTTTAGGAAAGTAACTCATGATACTTGACTATGTTACCAATGATAATACAAACACACACGTACACATACTATTATAAAGACAAACCTATTTGCCAATCAAATATATACCAGTATCATATGAAAAGGTATTAATGATAGACTTAAAAAGTAAAGATGGCATGATACTTGTAGATTATTTCAGCTTCCATTATTTCCTACTTTTACTCTTCCTCCTACACTAGCTCCTTAAACAACTCATGAGCACGAATAGCGCTTGATAATCCTTCTAGTAGAAAGTAAAAATAGCTCATGAACTTTTACTAACTCTTTTGACAAAAGGGGAAACTGAAATAATGAACTGGGGCATGTACAAACAATGCAATAAAAAAAACCAAAGATGCAGCCTAAAAAGTCAAGAAAAAAATGCATATGTAACAACTAAGATATAAATAGCCCTCACATACGAGAATATACCTGATAGATGCCGCAGAAATTATTTCATCACCTCTCTCTAAGATAGCGGTGTAGAATCCACCGTAGTTCAGCCGATTGAAGTTCGATCTAATAAAAGGGAGACAAAATAAATCATTACTCAAACACCCAGCAGCCTATCTTACACCCCAAAAAAAACAAAACATATAAAAAGTGTACTTTGAATCAAGTTTACAACTCTCAATTAATCTTGAAAGCCAGCAGGTAAATATAACACAACATATGCATGTATTTATCTTGAATTTCAATATCTACCCCACCTTCTATTTGGTGTAGCAAGGTCTTGTTCATGAAAATCAGAGAGTTGAAAAGCAAACTTTCTAAGATGTCAGCTAAATCAACATTAATGGAGATCAGCGCTTACCCACAATTATAAAGAACATTATGAATTAAATTGATCCCACTCCTCCTGTCAACAATAGGCAAAAAACATTCATCCATAACAGTCAAAGCAACAGCGAGCTTAGAATTGCTTTCGACTCTTTGAGGAAACCCTTGATCTTCATCTGTTCTATGAACAAGTGTCCATGAAAATCCTGCTTCTAGTTCATGTTTGACCCCAAGATACTTCTTCAAATTCTCAAAGAGCTAAAAAAGCAACAAAATTAAAGTTTGAAGTCAGTGCCTTAAAACGAGAACACAAAAGTTAGAAAAGGTTAAAGAAAAACACCATTTCTACATCAATCTAAACCATAGAGGTTTTTGCCAATGAACAACGTCATTGCAGAGAAATAAAAAGGAAAAAAAAAAAAAAAAAAAAAAAAAAAAAAAATAAATATAAAAAAAAATTACCAAAATTTACATTTTTTTCTTTACACCATACAAATTGATATTTAGGTAATAAAAATATGAAAAAAAAAAAAAAAAAAAAAAACACTTCATGTTCTTTTCAAAAAATCTTCATGGCACGCAATCGGCCTCCATTTTATTGAGGAGCTATTCAAGTATGACAATGAATATCTACTTTATTGGAGGAGGTCCTGGATTCAAACCTTTTGGCCAGAAGTTTGTTGTATTATTAAATGAAAAAAATATACTATGGCATTGTAATTGTTTTATGTTTGGCCATTGAGAAAAGAAAAAAAATATCCCAGTTGAAAACTAAAAGCTAAATCCTCTTTGGATCTCTGTTCAGAGAGAAAATAACCAAGGAAAGAAGGAACCCAACAAATACAATATGCAATATAAATAAATTATGTTGGTCAAATATAAAAGAAATTACTAAAAAAGGGAATAAATAGACATACTTAGATTATAATCTCTTATCTTAACAATCATGCACACACATATCAAGGCAATAAAATGCTTGAACCCCCAAATAAATACCTCTCTGCATTTCTGTCCACAGAAGGAAGAGCCTAAACAAGGAGAATCAGCAGGACTAGCATCCATTTCCTGACTACATGATATGTGACCTACAGAAGTAAAAAAAATTAATTTTCAGGCAGTGCATATGAAAGCAATGGTAACAAAGCCTATAAGCAGATGCCAAGAACTTCAGAAGAACAAATGATGAGTACATTTTTTTCCACAGAGGCTGCAAGTGAGCAGTGCAGAAACAGTTGTATCATCCTCTTCAGCAACATTCTCACTTGCTATCCCACAAAATTTGCATGTACAATTTGGACAGTGCCAATCACCTGGAGGAAGCATCTGCAATGAGAATAGATATATCAATACCTCACCAAGAGTGAACAAGAGTAAATCAATTCCTCAAGTTCCCACCAAAACCACTAAGAACAATTCATAGTTCAGATTTATTAGCAAACTGAATCAAACTTGTTTCTCCAAGTTTGCCGGCAAAAGACATCTAAATAAACAAGATTTGTATTAAGCTCCTCTCAAGTGTCAAAACTTGCAAGCACATTCGAAAACATTTCCCAGACCACAGAAACACACCCAATTCCATGACTCACAATCCAAAAATTCCTCTAAGATCTCAAGATCACAGATAAATTTGCAATCCCTCTCTATCAAAAGTAAACCTCAACTTCACAGAACTAAATAGGTAGAGGGAACAAAAACCCTCAATGACCAAAATATATCCCAAGGGAAACAAATTACACCCAATGCACTGTTGAAAATATAGATAGCATCAATTTGGGAACCATATCCTGTGATCTGCAGAAAAATAACATAAACATACCTGTATATTCAAGCAGCTCTGATGAAATGTTGATGGACAGCTATCACAACAGATCAAATCCCCACCATCTCCACAGAGGCCACAAGTATCATCATCAGGATCATCACCGTCAACTTGTACAGAGTGGAAACCGATGCGTTCAATATCCTCTTGTCTATTCCATGCATCTATCTGACATTGCAGAAGGGAAACCCCAGAATCCAAACATATATTTTGAAATGGCTGGCGCAATTTGCTTCCCGCATGAATCTCAAATTTTGAGATTGTTAGGATTTTACTACAGCAACCACAGTGAATGCCATCTCTTGTAATCCAACCTTCCAGCATTACTTTAGTCCTTCGACGATTCATATACTGCACCTTTTGGCTCAACTGCACAGTTCCAGAGTCAATCAGCCAGGAAAGCAATGTTCTTTTTCCAGTATATGGAACATAGCCATCACTTTCTGAGTTTGCCCCCTGTTTAGAACCACGAACCAACAAAGTACACCTTCCAAGCTTTCTACTTTTCCTTCCATGTGGCATATGAGAACTAGATCCTGAGGACGGTTTTTCAACACTGTCATGTAAATGATGAGAGGAATTCTGCCCATTTGAGTTCACACTGGCAAAACCATTTTCGTTCATTTTACCCTTGAATGACTTACCACCCTGCTTTAAGTAGGAGCTTAGTTTCTCCTCGTAACTAACACTATCCATGCTGTCTGGATCATGCTTGACACTTGAAGATCTTTTTATACGGACTCCTCTTGCATTCTCACTGTCAGCATCAACCCTATGCTTCTTTTTTCATTTCTTTCTCAATCTTCTTTCGAGTTTTCCTGGTTAATTGGCTGAGTACATCATCAGTTATAGGTGAAAATGAAGACCCCTCCGCACTACGTTTAGCCTCATTTTCCTCATTTAATTGCTTTTGAAGCGCATCATAAGCCTTAATGATGGACCAGTAAGCTGTACCTGCTGGGTTAATGTACACAGCATCTAGATAGTCTCTGTTCCTTCTAGGCCTATAATCTATTGTCCAGCCTGCAGTCAGGAGCATCTCCCGTATTCTTTCACGTAGTTTTTGCTTCTCCGTGCCACTACCACGTCTAACTTTACCTTCTTTGATTCTGATTGGAGGAGTCTTTTCGAATGAAGGAGCATCTTCATCTTTGCAAGCAGCCCTCTTCATTGGTTTAGAGGCTTCCACATTCTTAGGTCCGAGCTTCAATGATGTATCACTATCCTCTGAATCAGAGTCGGAGCCCTTACTGCTCTTAGTGGGTAATGATTTTCGCAAATTTACATGGTTTTTCTCTGTCCTAACAACTGAAACTGGTTTCTCAAGAAGCTTTGGTTCTGAGTAAAATGGAGGGACAATAACATTCTTCGCAATATCTTCACTCCTTGGAGCCTTTCTACTTTCTTTAGATTTGTGAAAATTATAGTTCTCCAGTGGCCCACCCAAATTATTTTTCTTCTTCACCATAACCTTCAAAACACCATTTTTACCCTGTAGCCTAATGGACTCCTCTGATTGACCCATGAACTTGTCTCTCAATAAGGGTAGCTGAGCTCCATCCCTATTCATCTCAAACCTACCCCTGTCAGTATGATCTCCCCGATTCAAGCTACTTGTCCTGTCAAAGTACAAATTCTTCCTCTTGCCAACGGCATGTCTACCTGAACTAGTTTCAAATTCCCTCTTAATGCCACTTTGTGATCCGGAAAACCTTCTTCCCCCAAAATCAACTACCCCATCATTGAACCGTTTCCTTCGCATAATTTCTGCATCATACTCATCGAATTCAAACACCTCCAACTTACTTCTCTTTCCTCCACTCTCATCCAAAAAACTTTTACCGATCATACCATCCTCATCACGCCTAGCATGTTCCAATCTTTCCCTCTTTTGACCAACTTCGCTCCCTTCAACAGCGCCCTTATCTAATGCTCTTAAACCATTACAAACCCGAAGAGTTTCAGAGCCTACCTTTCTACGGGGAGGCGGAGGCACCATTATCTCATCACTAGACCCTGAATCGCTTAAGACCAACCTCGACCTTTTCTTCTCCTTCTTCGGTTCAAAAACCTTCCGAGAACTGGAAGAACCGACACCACCACTCAACCCATCCGGTTTCTTTCTAACAATTAAGCAACCTGAAGAATTTCTGTTCTTCACCAACACCCCAGAAGGGCCAACAGATCTCACACCTTCGTCCATCTACATCAACCACCGCAAACCAAAACCCCCAATTTCACAACCACCCTTTAATTCATTCCAAATTCAGCAAAATCCGAGACAGAAACCCTAATTCTCTCACAGAAAAAATCCGCAAACAAAAACCCACCAGATCTGAAGCAAAAATACCCAAAATGCCTATATTTCAATCTCACTAATTCCAAAAACACCGTACAGTGAAACGGCAAAGGAAGATTTCAAGAAAATCTTACCTCCCCGGCAAGGCCCTTGGACCCCGTCACCGGCACTTCGCCGATTGCACACGCCCGATCGCCGACGACGCAATTCTCCGAATCACATAGAGGGATGAAGGGGGCGGGGCAGAGGCACAGGAAGAGAGAAAGAGGGCTGGTTTGGATTGTAAATATTTGCAATTGCCACTTTGTAAATTACAAAATACACAACCATTCTGCTCTGTATTTATATTTCCATTTTCTCCTTTTTCTTTTTTCTTTTTTCCAGATTTTGCATTTATCATGCGTTAATATTTTCTCAGATTTCCCTCCAAATCTTTACGCGAGGCTTGACTCGAATGCATCCACGGTTTGGATGTGTCCACGTCAGATGGAGCGCAAGTGCCATCGGGTCGGGTTGATGACGTGGCGGGAGCGGTGCGTGGGGCTGGAGGCTGTACTACTTTTCTTTTGGGATCCTCCTAGATAAGGATTTATCGTGTTGACCACGCGCAACAGAGAGAGAGGGAGAGAGGGAGAGAGGGAGAGAGCGCGTGAGAGGGGAGTGCATAGACAATGGGATCTTTGCATGGATTCGATGATTGGGTGAAGAAAAAAAAAGAAAAGACTGACAAAATTGGAAGGGGGTGGGCCCCGCGTTGCTGGGCTTGTATGAGCTGAGGCCGAGGTTGCCAAATTTATAATGAGGATGTCGTATATGGACTTTTTATGTGAATCTTTATATTAGTCGCATTATTATTTTATTGAACTTAAGTAAATAAATCATGTGGTTAATATGAATGTCCACATTTATGGCCTATATATTGCATCCTCACCATAAAACGATTCGAATAAGATGAGTTCTGAGTTTTTTGGGCTTGTTTTGGTAATAACTAAGAAGCATGCTTTTTTGGTTGGTGATTGCTTGGCAACACCAACCAAGGTCGTGTATCTTTTTCACACACTAATATTTTAAATTACTTTTATTTATAAGGATGGAGATCGAACTCAAGAGTAAGAGATTGGCGTACTCTCTTAATTCACGTCTACAATCTTCTTTTGAAATTATTGTTTTAATATCTTTCTTTTCAACTTAAGATGTACGAGAATGATTCAAAATTTAGATCTCTTATAAATCAGAAATAAACCCTAATCTTCCAGGGAAACTTCATCAGATTCTTTTTGTATATATTAGGAATTTGACTAGAGGGTTGAGTACAATTTGGATGCCTTTGTTGTAATTGTAATGCATAGTTGGAAAAATGAATTTGGGCCTCATTAGGGACCAGGCTCAGTGCACCGTTTTCATTACTATTTTCGGTGGTGGCTGACTTTTTCATCGGATTAGGCCACCAACTCCAATTTTACCAGTTGCTGCGGCTTCCCTTAGGTAGCTAGCAATTAATATTGAGTCCTATTCTACGTAAAATAATAATAATAATTCGTGGTAGAGCTAAATTTAAATTTGTCACACCAAATCATACATATGACTGAATTAGAATTATGTTAACCTTAATCTTTTCTTCCAATATTTTTTTTTTTTTTTTTTTTTTTTTTTAACAAGTATGAAATTGCAGCTACTTCGCTACACTTGATACTCATGACCCATCTACATTCTTCTACGCTTCATTGGGGTTTTCCCCAATTTTTCACCCATCTACAGTTATCCTAGAATCAAGTAATGCATTCAAAGAGTTGCCAGCTAGTTGCAACATTCCCCACTAACAAAAAAAGAAAGAGAACGAATTAGATCACTAAAATTAATACTTCTCTATATCATCAAGAACAAAAGCCCAGGGAAGAAAACGAACAAACGCACACACAATCGGTTTCATGCCGCTCAAGGCCCAATCGGTTTGGATTTGGACTTCACCATTTGGGTTAGAAGTCAAATAAGCCCAAGGCACTAAAGAAAGAAGAAGAAAAAAAAACCATGTGCTTTTTTGTTTAACTCCAAGCTGTTGGTCCTAAATTTGGGTTTGAGTCTCCCTCAGTTGCATTTGATACGTGGATTTGAGCCATGTTAGTTCTTGGCGAAGCTCATTCTCGTAATCATCTAATCAGTAGCGGAGCCAAGTTCCCATCTGTTGGGGAGGCTAACAATACGATTTTTCACTATTTTTCCAAAATTTGCAGAAGTTTATTATAAATTTAAATGTTGGAGTTTATGACAACTACTTCAGGTCGAAGTGTGGCTCCACCCCTGCATCTAACGGATGAGAAGTGGCTGAAAGTTTTTCTGAGATAGAATTTCTTTGCTTTTATAATTCTATTCCTTTTCAAAGTTTGTTACATCATTGTTCATGATTTTCATCACAATGAGTTGGATTATGGAGTCCATCCCTTTGATGGCTTATCATGGGACACTATAAGTCAATATCCATTTGCCAAATAATTGGTACTAATTTTTTCACTCTTATTTTGTGCAAACATCGTACCACCGACAAAAGAGCTGGTCCTAGCTAGGTGACAAGGTGCACATAGTGCTTCTGTGGTGCATGCACTTTCTTCCTTTTTCTTTGTATATATTTTTTTAATCAACAGTGAGTGTAATTCAAACTTGAGATCAATATTAGGAAAAAAAAAATTCACTACATTATCTAGTCCGTATTTAATCAACAAGTGAGTGCGATTCAAATTTGAAACCAATATTAGAAAAAGAAGTATCACTAGACAAATACCTAGCCGGTATAAGTTGAATACATATTCAATGTAAGAGAGTATATAGCAAATGATGGGGAAAAAAGAGAGGAGGGGAGGTTTCAATTGGCATGTCAAAACCAGTAAGTCATTTTTCTTGATCAGCTGTTTGAGGTGGAAAAGTCAGAGACTCTTCAATGACAAATTAAAGGTTAGGGAGGGAGCTGAGGAGGAGGATGACAAGAGCTGAACAATATTCAATGTAAGGTGGTGCTGTTGTTGTTAGTGATCATGCGTTGCTGTTTCTTTTTCGTACAGTTAGCTTTACTACTTTTCATGATTTTCTGATAGACAGATAATTAACCCAACATGGGAAGGTTGTTTGTTTTCGTTTCGTAAAGACGCTTTCAAAAGAGAGTGATGATGATAAGGGAATCTGTCTACGTGTGATTGTGATTATACAATCACTTTTTCTAAGACCAAAAGCCTTTTCAATGTTTTCATGCCGCATGCGGGGACATGAAGCAATCATGCAAACATCAGTTACTAAAGTGGAACTGTGAAACCAAAGGTGAGAGATTTTTCCACAATATTAATTCGTACGTACTTAGTGCCATCACAGTTGTATTTGTTAGGTTGACGAATTCACCCTTGTCCGTTAAATTTGTAGTGAAGATGTAATCTGCTGGTTTTTGTTTCCGCCGAAGTTAGAAAATGAGAGGGAGTTTTCTCACACACATTGCCAAGGTGTTATTGGAATTCGAACTTGAGACTACTCGTCTGCAAGCCCTTTTCCACTGCTCCAGCGCACCGGTCCGTTGACAAACCTGCCGATTAAGTAGCTACATTCTGTAATTGAATATGGCATACACCCCTGCAATATTAAGGCATTATGTTGTTTGTTGTGGCATTTTTTTTTCTTTTGGCCTGGGTAGTTTGTGGCATCTCGCACATGGCCCCGCAGTTAGGTCCATGATATCTAAACTCGGAGCTAGCTGGACCATTCTACTTTTGTTCTGTAGTAGAACCACCCACAACGTCTTAAAGTGGTATTTTTTTAGGCTCACTTATGGGAAGGAGGAAAAGCAAAGGAAGGTAGGGGTGGGGGAAAAGGAATTAGATCATTGAGCGCAGACTAAACTGTAGCAGTTACCTGTTAGTTCATAGACTTTTAGGTGCTCAGAATGAGAAATGTAGAAAGGAAAATGTAGCTATTATTCCCCAAGGTGAAGACCTAGATGGCAAAACAGAACTTGTGAGGGTGAAGATTTTGAAATGGAAATTTCCTACCTTCTAGTGGCCAGCATTCATTATAATACACCCCATCACTGTCATCTGCAGTCGTCATAAATCACATTAACCTTATCTCCAATAGGGATAGGAGGGTCATAAGAAAATCTCCTTCCTTCTAAGAGATGAGACACAGAAATTCAAGGGATCTGGCTTGTTGCTTTCATGTTAGGGAGCAATGCATGTTGATCCGATTTTTACCTTGAATTGTTTCCATCTGAGAACAGAACCTACAAACTGTAAATTACATCTCTCTGATTGTACAACTAAAATCCATCACATTCAATTTTCCTATCTGTGAAAAGAGGCAGCTGCTAGTATTATTTGAGAGTGTGAGGCTTACAACCTGGTGACAAAATTAGAGAAGTCTGCAGGCTTTAAACATCTATAGCATCAACTGGTAGAGAAGTTGCCCTGTGAAGAGAGTGTGGAAGCATCGCTCCTACGTAGAAACTCTTTGCAGTGATCATTTGCTCAGGACTGTAAGCCCCATCAATTACCTCACAATTTTGGAGACTTTGGTTTGCCAAATATTTCTTTTCAGCATCCACTGGAAAATATGTGAAATGCTTTCCTGAGGAAAAGGATTTCAGGGAAGGTTTTTTGTTTTCTTTTGTCCGCCGGGGTGAAACGAAGGACATTAAAGCTCCATTCTTTTCCCTGTGCTCCGAGTGATCAGAATTTGGACTTGGGCTTGAAGTTTTTGGTTTTACTCCAAGCTGTTGGTCCCTAATCTCCCTCAACTGTATTTGATACGTTGCTTTGAGCCATCTTAGTTCTTGACGAAGCTCATTCTCATAATCATCTAATTGATCAGAAGTGGTTGAAAGTTTCTCTGAGAAAGAATTTCTTGCTTTGGAGTCGCTCCCATTGTCCATAGTTATAATTCTCTCTTCCTTTCCAAAGTTTGTTACATCCATTGTTTCATGATTTTCATCACAATGGATCTCTCTTGATTCTCTTGAACCTTGTGAGCTGGATTCTGGTCCATCTCTTTGAGCCCAGATATCAGCATAGGGCACACCATTAGAATGGCTTGATGTTCTGGGTGCACCATCTGTAAGACATTGTTCTGACCCTTCAACTTGGTAGGTAATCTCTTCGAAACGGCCATGGACAGCAGCAGATCCATGTTTAGAACACTGAAGAACTTGGAGGTTCTTGACACCTGGACTATCTGATGATGCATAATCCAGAATGGAACCATATGAGGCACAATTTTGACAAAAACTTGCATTATTGCAATGGGGACTTTGTTCTATGCCTTGGCCACTCTTCCACCCTGGTACCAAGGTAGCAATTTCACCATCAATCATCTCTGCTATTTTTGTCACATCTTGGTCTGTGATATCAAGCTCAGCAACCATCTCTCTAGCAACACTCAATGCCGTGTCAGTCTCAGTATCAAATGGGAAGTAGATGTTTCGGATGAGGCCTGCAGAGAGAAGGAACCTTTAGTTTCATTTCAGGATTGACAGGATATAACAACAATGATATTTAGAATACTTGAGGAATTAAACTGAAACTTTCACCTTCTTTATCTGCAATTCTGAGCCTTAAAAAGATGCCATCATCTTCTCTCCTCCTTCCTTTGATTGTGAGGTCAAGATCACCCAAATGCTCATCCTCTTGACAAGCAAATAGATCAATTTCACTCAATCTGTAATCAACCGGATGGTAATCCAACTCATTTTCAGTTTCATAACCAAGACAATGGCCATACCCATTACTCAAAGAGCTGTTACTGTGATGAAGTTCAGAGTAAGGTTGTCTTAAGAGGGGCCCTATTTCATACATATCCCTTGGATACTCTACTGGCCTTAAATCATATCCATAATCATCAACCCGGAGGAAAGGGTCTTTCAAAAGCTCACTAGCAGAAAGCCTACGAGACACGGCCACTAAGCATTTTTCAACAAAACGCCGCACCTCAGGATCCTTTACTTTGTATAGAGCTTCTGGTTTTTTCCCCTATATGAAAAATTCAATACATAAATCAATTGGTAGAAACAAAAAGCAATCTGGAAAATTAAATTGAGAGTTTTGAGTTCCTACAGAGATAACTTTCTTATAGATTTGAGCAGGGTGAGTGCATTCACTGTATGGATATTCAAAGGTAACCATCTCCAAGATGCACATCCCAAAGGAATAAATGTCAACTAATTCATTGTATTCCTCTTCATAAACCTCTGGAGCCATGAACTCTGGCGTTCCTGAGCAAGTAAAAACAACCAAAGAAAGAGAGAAACAAAACAAAGATAAGATTATCTCAAAGTGCAAAAACTCTATCCGATTACAAGTTTGCTATTAGAATAACAAATATCCAGCAGTTTGTTATAAACTGTGACATATGCTTGAACAGTCAAAAAATTCATTACCTCAAATTCTCAAAGCAATTCTAGATATTCTAATCACTGAAAAGACTTTTAAGCAGCTTGAAACACTTACCAACACAACGATCAGCATGCGATTTACGGAGGACAGCAGCGAGGCCAAGATCACCAATCTTGACTTCACCTTGGTTCCCATTGATGAAAATATTGTCACACTTGAGATCTCTGTGGATCACAGGGGGATCATGGCTATGGAGATAGAGAAGCCCTTTCAAAATCTGCCTACACCAGTGCTTCACTGCTCTGATGTTAACTCTCTTGTGTTTTAGCCTATACCTAAACATGGAAGCCAATACAAAATATACCCACATTGAATAATTAACCAAATTTATAGACTCAGACCAGAAAAGAAGGCAAAATGGAACTTACTGTCTGAGAGTACCAGAAGTAAACATCTCAGTAACAAAGTTAATGTGTCTGTTAGCAGCATCAACCCAAGAAGAGTAAAACTTCATGATATTGTTGTGCTTCAAGGTCTTGAGCAGATGAATTTCACGGTAGAGCCTCTCAAGATCTTCAGGGTTCCGCAAGAAGTCATAAAGCTTCACTTGGTTCCATGCTACTTCAATCCCTTCATACTCATCAAAGGCCCTATAGCTGCAACGACCAATACATAACATGAAAAAAAAAATACATACTTTTGTACATAAACAGGCCCAGCCAGTCAGCCACCGTAATAAAAATTCAAACTTGTACACCAAGTTGAGAAGGGTATTGAACCAAAATTCAAACTTGTGCGCTAATTTGAAAAGGGTATTGAAACATACACTGTTTTTGAAGCTCCTTTGCCAAGAACTTCATTGTACTGCAAAAAGCAGCAAACTTGAAGTTAAAAAACAAGACCCAAAATTCTGTATGAACACAAAACAGCAAAGAGGGCATGAAAAACAGGGAAAGGAAATGAGAACAGGAGCTCACTCTTCCATATCTTCCAGTAGGATCAACTTCCACAAACTCAGAGAAATCCTGTTCAGGGTCAGTAACACCATTCATTCCTTGTTCTATTTTTAGCTATTTCTCCTTGTTAAATTTTTTCCCTCACCACCATATGCTGTTTCTTGTTTCTATTATCTCAACAGAGAGAGAGAGAGAGAGAGAGAGAGAGCAGATGACTCATCCAATGCTAATAGCTTAATATGCTATGAATATTTGATAAAATGGGGGAAAGATATGGAATAATTGTTTATTGTGGAGGGAAGAAGAGGAAAGCAGAGAGCCTTGGAGAGTCCACCAAGAGCAGAACAAAGTTAATTGCCAACTACAACAACTCTTTTAGACAAGAAGGCCAAGATTTCACTATTCAACCCCAAACACAAAACCTGACAAAACACCCTCTCTTTTTCACCCTCCTGTCTTTCTATCTCATCACGAGCTGTTAGCCTGTTAAACCAACCACTTGCAAGACATCGACCAACCAACCAAGTTTCATAACTTTTTTTATTTATTTATGTGTATATATAATCATTAATTTGTAAATGTGATATTTTATGGTTCTGTGGTACAAAACAACAAATGGGAATGTGGAACTTTTTCATTTCTGGGAAAAATTTAATTTAAATCATGAAAATCTTGTGAAGACTTTGTTGTAGTTGGAAAATGGTGGGTGTGGTGAGGAGTGGACTGGGAACTTCAAAGTATGATTTTTCTTTTCTTTTTTCTTTTTCTCCCTTGTCCTCTTCTTATAGTAGCTTGTTCTCAGTGGCATGGAAAGCACCTCTTATCTCTTGTAAAGTTATAATCTATGAAGATCAATCACCTTGGATTTTGTTGCAACTTTCATGTAATTTATGTTGTGATTTTTCCCCTTTTTTAAATGACATTGAATATGGATTCTATTTACTTTAGCCAGCATATTGTAAATTTGTAATGTTCTCCACATCATTCTTGTATTTTTAATCTTTTTTATCATATTATTTTGAATGTCAACACGTCGAGCGTCAGTACTTATTATGTGGTTATGAAGAATTTAAGTTATTTAACCAAGTTTTTCTTTGAGTATTTTAATCCTAGCTCTCATTATTTAACCAACAATACCATCCCTTTCAAGCAACAAAACGAAAATAACTATGAACAATTTTTAAAAATTCAAGCGTGACTTGATAAATCTTCATTATTAAGAATAAAAATAAATAAAGAATAAATAAAGTACTTAATTTTGTCGGTGCGCACCGAGAGAGAGAGAGTACTTAATTGGTTCAAAATTGGTTTGGAATTACTCCCAAGAGGTTGAAATGGCGAGCCTGCAAAACATATTGTTGCTTATAGCATCATTAGGTGGGCAGGATACATTAAGATGATCCCATGCATTAGTTAAGTTTGGTATGCTGCTTAAACCTTTAACATACAAGTTACAACCTATATGTGATCTTTTATAAACCTCAGTCATTTTTGAGTGAGATCATAACACCGCATATTAATTGGATGTGTACCGTACTTTATATCAAAGCCAGTGAATTGGTCCCATGCAAGTCCTTTGTGCCCAACATTGTTAGGTACATGCAACATCTAGCTAGCTGTGCTCAAAATCAAATGTACACCTGTGAAGTGTGACCAAATCAAATTAATTTACACCAAATCCTAGCCCACCATACAATTAATTGAGCACACTACCACTGTGGCCAAAGCAAAGGCTAAAGAGGCACATGGGACTCTACAGGTTAGGTATAAGATATGGCTTCATTTGCTTTGTAATATTTGCAGTCTTAATTGGTAAACTAATTTCATTCATTTAGAAGTTATTTTTTTTAACGGGTCTAGTCCAGTGAAAAATGGTATTGATTTGCAGATCAATGATCTCAAGTTCGAACTTGCATGACACCTTGAAAGTGTGTGTGTGAAACCCCCATTTCCTTAAAAACTATGAGGACGGAAAACATACAAATTTGTTGACATATATATACATATATATATATATATATTTTTGGTTTCCCGAATGTTTGGTCTCCAGTCCAGATCAATCGTCGCAGGACAGAAGTGGAGCCAAATGGTCCAAAAATCCCACAACACATATCAGAAAAAATGTATTGGAACCACATCTTTATGGCTTGGAATAATATCCACCGGCCACTACATGATAGCAACATAAAATTGAAAGTGTCTGGTATACTTGGACACAAATCGAAGAAAACCTAAACTCATTTTGCATGGCATATCCACGCAATCTTTCAATTAGGTTAAATTTTTGTATTTTTCATACAAATTATTGTTTGGACTTTTGCTCAACTATATTTTCTACTTTATTATACATATAGTTGAGGATTTTATTTTCTACAAGAGCAAAGCTCATGTGTGTGACAGTGTAAGAGTTAGCAGCAGTGTGGTGAATTTCATGTTAGTGTCTTCTTTGAAGCTCCGCAACACCTCTAAGGTTTACGAAACTATCAGATTGCATACTTAATTATTTTTTTTTGTCATTCGTGGTCCTCAAGGTTAGTATGCATGATCACAAATGGTCCCTGCCGTTAGGTTTCGTAAAAAAACTCCGTTAGTTTGCTGACGTGGCATATATGTACATTACAAAACATCCTTAAGGTTCACACACCTATCACAAATGGTCCTTAGGGAATTTTTTAATTTTTAAAATTTAAAATTCATAACATTTTTGTTTTCTTTTTAAAATTTTATGAATTATAATTATTTTAAAAAATATATTAAATTTTAAATACATGTGACACTATATTATTGTAGTTGTGGGCTCCATATGTATGCCACGTCAACAAACTAATGAAGTTTTAAAAAAATAATTTAAAATTCATAAAATTTAAAAATGAAAAAAACTAAAGGTTTAGGGTTCATAAATGGCCCTTAAGATTAAAATCCTTCTATAAATGGTTTTTTCATTTATAAATAATTTTTTTAAAAAACCAACATTTTATGAATTTTAAATTAAAAAATAAAAAAATTTCGTAGGGACCATTTGTGATAAGTGTGTAAACCTCAGGGATGTTTTGTGATATATATGTATGTCACGTCAGCAAACTAATAGAGTTTTTGACAGAACCTAACGGCATGGACCATTTGTGATTGCACATACTAACCTTGATGACCATAAGTGACGCAAAAAAACATTAAGAATGCAATTTGATAGTTTCGTAAATCTTAGGGACATTTTGTGATAATAAGCCTTTAGTAAAAAAATATCCAGGTATTGTCCTCAATGTCATTGGCAAAGCCGATAGATGCCTAGCATTCATGACCAATTACGAAGGCAAAGGCTGATACATTTTCTACTTCTCAGTTACTAGTTACTGCACAAACGGTCACACAATCATAATAAGTACATTTTATTCTGAATTATATACTAATGATTTAAACCGTCTAGTTTATAAACTTTTTCAAAAACTATCTATGCAAAGAAAATTAGCTAAATCGGAACTTATTTAGCTATTTGATTATTTATATTTGTGTGTGTGCACATTTTAGATTCCTGAACAAATTTCGAATTGTAAAGATAGTTCTTCAAGAATAACCTGAAGTACAAACAATTCCGATCGTTGTATTGTTGAGTAGACTCAAGAAAAATGTGTGTATTTTTCTTACAATAAGAACATCTTAACATAAATATAGATAATATTTTTACTTAATTTCATTAAATTAACATTTTTACTATTTTCAGTCTCATTTCTCAACATTTATTGACATTGATTTTGTTTTTTTTTTTCAATTTATATAAATCATTATTCTTTATTTTCAGTCGTCAGTGGAAAAATAAAAGATTGACACGCAACAAACATAGAGGGAGACAATTGTGTTTTGATTCAAAACCAAGGACAGTGATTCCTCCGTGATTGAGATTTTTATAAATATACCTTGGACTTGAAGATGTTTTGTTCTCTTCCTTCCATGATTCTTAACAGTTAAATCAATTAAATAAATTTAATATTCATGGATCATGTCATGTTGGCTAAGTCATGAGTTATAACAAATTAGCAAATTAGCTAAGCCTGCAGTTTGTCATCTGTGTTATGTTATGATAATACTCAAATAGCTTATAAATTAAATTATACTCCTAAATTATTCTTGTAATGATAGTACATTGATTTAACCAGTAGCAGTCTATTGAGCTTAATTTTTAATCGTATCACAAAGCGAACAAGTTAAAATGGACCGACCGCTGATAAATATTCAAAGAAATTAGGTCTTCGAAAAGGAAATTGTAAAGATATTGGGCCTATAGTTCTATGATGCATAGTGATAGCATAGTGTGGGTCCATATAAGAATAGAGTCCATGATTCTTTTTCACAAATAAAAAGGAGAGTCCATGATAAGTGGTTGGGTAGTGGACTTTTAGAGATTATTTAGTTTGCTTTCTCTGCCTTGCGCTTGGCCTTTGAGCTCTTAATTCAGCTCATAGGTAGAATCTCTCTAAAAACTGGCGGTGTCCACGAGCTCTTAATTCAGCTCATAGGTTGCCCCTAGTTGCGTTGCGAAATCGGACTCCTATACCACTTGTTAAGAGTCTATGTGTAGAATTTGTCATTAAAAACCGGCTTGTAAGAGAAATGTGTCTAAGAACTCTTAAATCATTCTAAAGTATGCTATATTTCCAATGTAGAAAGCCATAATGAAATTGGGCCAGAGGACGAGAGTAGAGTTTGTCAGCCTTTTTGAAGAGGATCTAGACGCTACTTGCTGCTGCTGCCGCACGCTACATTAAGCGCGGGAATCCGTTGGTTTGTCTCTAGTCCTTTTCTGTCTCTCCTTTCTTTGTTTTTTTCCTTTTGGGAATCAATACTATAGAGAAATGGTCACGCCAACCAAACACATAAAAAGAAATAAATTAATAGAGGAATGGTTATATTTGGTCTCTAAGCTTTTTTCTTTATGAATTTGATAGCGGAGGGATGTTTCCGTCCAAATGAATTAATAATAGAAGAATGTTTGAAATTTTCTTTTCATTAGGAGAATGTTTAGTTGATATGCAACCAATGTTATATTACTAATGTCACACGGGAAAGATTATTATACTAAATTGGGCTGATTTTAGTCTAACATTTATTGTGTTTGTAGTGCTTTGTTCATGTATTTGGCCTTTTCGGCTCTTGTATTATATGTTTGTTTCTTTCTTATTAGGATTTTGAACGAATATTGATCAATTATGACAACAAAAAAAAAGAAGTCACACGGTTAATGCATACAATTCGAAAATCACAATTAAAATTTTATTTTTCTTGTTCGAATTTACTTAAACATTTTTTAATGCTACTTCTTTTCACAATATTGGAAAAGCTGTGTGAAGTTCGAATTTTCCGTCGAATTAAAAAAAAAAAAGAAAAAAAAAAGGAGAAATTAAAGTTAAAAGTCTCATATTTCAGTTAATCAGTAAAAGTAAAAGATAAAGATAAATGTAAAAAAAGTTCAAGTATATTATGGTTGTGCCTACCTCTCTGTTTCTAATGTGTCTTTTCTGGTCCAAAATTCCGAAACGGTAGTTCAGAGAAAAAAGGAAATGGAAAACAACAGTATCATCTCCGGCGACAAGCCCACAGTGATGGTGACGAACGACGACGGAATCGAAGGTCCTGGACTTCTGGCTCTGGTTCAAGTCCTCGTCTCCACCCGTCGCTACAATGTTCTTGTCTGCGCCCCTGATACGTATTTACTTCAAAACCATCAAACACTAAAAATATTATTCACTTTGCCCAAATCATTCGAGTCTTTTGTTTATTGATAGAAAAAAAAAATTTCATTTCCGTTTGCAGGGAACAGTCAGCTGTGAGTCACTGCATCACATGGCGTCATCCAATTGCTGCCAAGCAAGTGCATATTGATGGAGCAACAGCCTATGCTGTTTCTGGTATGGAAATTACAAAACCACATAAGCATTTTTCCCGTTTTATGACAAAATGGTCACTACCCCTTGCGCCAAAAACACAAAAAATGAAAAAGTAAGAATCTTTATTCTTGATCAACTTTGCAGGAAGTCCGGCTGATTGTGCTTCTCTGGGTATCTCCAAAACGCTTTTTCCTTCAGTTCCTGACCTGGTAAATATTTCTCACTTCTGTACTAGTGCCATGGTCACATTTCTTATCTGTTTTTTTTCTTTCCTGATTGCTAATTACCTGTACTTTTTACACACAGGTAATCAGTGGCATAAACATGGGCAGCAACTGTGGTTATCACGTGTTAGTAATTTTTCCTCTTCTATTTCCATCCTGTAATTTGTTATCCTGATTTTGTCTCAAGACTTTTGCAATTAACAGAAAGATATCTGTAACTAGTACCAGCTATGCCCTGTATGAACTCTGAAAAATCCCAGTTCAATTGGGTCAGTGAAACTATCGATCATTTTGTATTTGTTGAACACCAATATAGTTTTATACTCACCAGTTGCTTTTGAAAAGATTTGGATTTCCACCAGATGTTGTGGTGAGGAAACTAGAATGATTTTATTCGCATAAGATATCCAAACACACTTATCATAAGGAGGCAGTCTTTTCGACTTTCCCCTAAAAGCTATGATGATTGATTAAAATACTATGTTCTCAGGAAATCTTAAAAATTCACCCAATTAGTTTTGTTCCCTCGAGTGGGATCACTAATCCAACTGTTGTTCCTCACAAAATACAGTTTTATTTTTCTGGCCTGTTTCTGCTCATAACTCTGTTGAAAGATTTCTGTATTTGGAAATGTAGCGTTTACTCTGGAACAGTGGCTGGTGCTCGTGAGGCCTTTCTTAATGGTGTACCTGCAATCTCTGTATCCTATGATTGGTATGTATACACTACAGGTTTGATACTTGTATTGCTTGTTGAACAATATTCATTTGTACATAAGTTGATGCTGAACCTAATGGTATTTTGTTTTTGCCAAAATTTCCTTCAGCTGCCATACATCCTTTTTTGACTATAAAAGAAAGTAAAGAAGTCTTATGTTGACCTTTTTATTCTCCTATATGAATACATTGAATACTGGCATTACAGGGTTGGAGCTAAGAGCAGTATTAATGACTTCACACTTTCTGCCGAGGCTTGCTTACCTATCATAAACAGAGTACTAGCGGAATTAAGAAACAAAACTTATCCCCAAAACTGTTTCTTGAATATAGATCTGCCAGCAAATATTGCTAATCATAAGGTAAATTTCAGGATGCATGCTGTGTTTCGGGAATATTCGGTATACTGTCCTTCGTCAGATTCATCTTCTCCTTAATTTATGAACTTTAAAACTTGCATGCCTAATTCTCAGTCCTTCCTCTTTTCCACCTCTTCAATATGCTCGTCTGTGTGAGTCATTTTTAAATTGACTATACTACAGTAGACAAAGCTCATTGATAAGCACAGTAATATTACATATAAAGGCTATTTCATTACAGAAGTAATTTATATCAATAGTTTATTTTCTTTCCTTCGTGGTCCTCTTTGTATTTTTCTTGTTTTCCTTCGACTCCATTTCAATGCAAGATTTGTAGGCAGTTTGTTTCGATGCTATATCCTTTAGCAAGTCTTACTGAAATGCAATGAGGTTGTTTGGTTTGCTCTTAGTTAAATGGTTAAGGTATGTAATCTCCTTTAATATTACGAATTGCAGTAGTCAATCCAGGAGGCTAACAGGAAGTTAGCCTTATAGAACATTTACATAGACATTTTGTTCATCTTAAATGTATTAACTTCTGTACTGTGTTCCCTCAACGTACTTTTGGTTGTTCTGATTATGAAAATTATACTAGAAAGCCTGGCTAGGTTAGCATTTTACCATAATATTTTAAATGTGACTTACCAGGATAATGCTTCCAGTTTTATGACAGGAGGATTAGTCCTTCTGTTATGCATTGATTTTGACACGTGCTTTGCAATGTTGTTCTGTTCTTTTCTTGTGCCTTAATAGGGGTATAAGCTCACTAAGCAAGGTAAAAGTTTAATCAAAATGGGGTGGAGGGAAGTTACTTCTGACAAGGCGGGAGGAAAAATGTTGTCAACAATGGTAATGGAGACAGAATCAACAGCATCTACAGAAATTAATACATCAGCTACATCAGCAGAACATCTTTTGTTCACGAGAGAAGTGGGTCCTCTTCCTCTGTGTTATTTATTGTCTACCTCACTTCTAGTATTCACTTATAAATATTTGCCTTGCCTTACCTCACTTCTGCATGAAGGCTAGTGGGCTTTTTGTTTATGCTGATATATTATTAGTGTTGGATGTTTCTCGTTACTTTCTCATTCCCCTGTGTTATCTATTGTCTACCTTCTTACCATTTCTTCTTTAGAAACTTTATAGTTTTGGCTTGTCGTTTGGCAAGGTGATTGATTGAGAAATCTTGAATCAGAGTTGATGAAGGAGTTAGATAATCAAGAAGTCTAGTGTTTGGTGTCTCTGTTGGGGATTACCCTGTGTTCTTCTTTGGAAACTAGTCTAGAAATACTCCGTCTATATTTTGGTTTTTCTTTGTCATTCAAAGGCAAAATTGTTAGAATTGTAGGGAAAACAAAGTGATTTTATTATATTGGAGGAGAATAGTACATAGCATGGTGTAGGCTAATTGGCCTCCTTAGTTTTTTGGCTTATTGGCCATCACACTTGATTTAGATTAGTTTTGGGCTATTTGGCCCTTACACTTTGATTGGTGAGCTTATTGGCTCCCTAACGTAGCTAGCTTTGGGTAGCTCTTGGCTCCCTAATGGTTTGGGAGTTCTTTTCATTGGACTCCCCATATGACTTGGTTTGGGTAGCTTTTGTGCTCCCATATAGACTGGGAGTTGATTGGTTCACTCCACATTTTATTGTGGTTGCATGCGTATTTATAGGCTTGATCAACCGACATGCTTTGTTCCACCGACTTGGGAAGATCAACCCCAGCCATATGTTTGTATGCTCTAGAGATTTCTTCCACCGCCATACTCTAGCCATTTACCTATCACTTTTTCTAGATAATTCTCCAAGGTTGCATGTGGCTGCCGACTTCCCATCAAGCTATAGTACTTTCTTCAAGTTTCTAGATTTTTCTACAAATATGCATTAATTTCAACAAAAATTGACCTTTCTGTGGAAAAAGATAGTTTAAATATTCATTCAGGTGAAAGAAAATCACTTTGGATCCTAGTAACTGGTAGATTCATAATGTATACACTTTTCAGTTAATAATTGAAAATAGTTCTAGTGAGGTATTTTGATGGAAAACTGATGTGTTTGTTATTGCTTAAAAAGGTTGATAATTTGGCGGTTGCGGTGTTGGTGAAGGTAGTGTTGCCAATGTGATAGTAGGCACAGGATTTGGCTAACATGAGGTGGTAATGATGGTGGTGGTACGGATATTACTGGCAATAGTTGCAACAAGGGTAGTAAGGAGGGAAATTATGGTAATAATGTATAAGGTTTAAATAACATTCAGTTTAAGTTGATTTAGATTTTAGATGATGGAAAGGATGATAAAATTGTTTTCTTTTATATTTTGCACCGAACAAGGCACAAAGTACTCTTAATTGCCTATATTTTTTTTCATGCTGAGTGTTGATTTCCTTTCTTTTCTTTTTATTTTGGTATTATCAAACACCACTGATAAATTCAGTGCTAAATTTAGAATTGAAAACACACTTAAATAAGTACTGACTTGTCAATTTCAGCAAACTTTTGGGTTCTCAAACACTCCCCAGGTCTTTTCTAGTTGATTTGTTGGAATGTGTGAGATGGAAATACTTGATTGTGGTTGACTCAAGTGAATGAGCTGTACAAACATGATGCCGTTTAGAACAGCCCTAAGTGAAAGACATAATTTTTCCTAATTTGCGTGCATCATGTTGAGGATCTGTTTTCAATTATGTAGATAAGGAGTGGCCAAGTTGATGAGGATGATAGTGACCACCGATCTCTTCAAGAAGGATATGTGCGTATTTTTGTAATTTCGGTAAACTTATTTTTGTAGAGTGCGTGTCCATACTAACACGTCCTCATAATTTAATTTCAGATTACTGTCACTCCTCTTGGTGCCTTGTCTAATGTTGAGATAGATTGCCATGCCTACTTAAAAGAGTGGCTGCCAAATGTAGCTGAACGCTTGTCTGCATCGGCATTATAAAGCTATTAAAGCATCTGGTTAGTATAACACAGTAGTCTTTATAAGTTTGACTTTCAGTAAGGTTTTGGGATAAAGCCTGTACTTGTTTCAGTTTCCTTCATGTATTTACTAATTTTGAACAGCCTTTCTATGCAAATGATATGTACTTGTATGATTGAAACCTGGTCTCTGCACCCTTGTTATGAACTAGTATGAAAGAGTTCTATGCCTTAAGTGCCTGCCTGAAATCAATTCATTGCCATTGATGTCCAGTTTTTAGCTGTTATTGAAAGGAAATGCTCATTTTGTGCAGGATTTCTGAAGGGATTTTTCCATCTCAAACGCTTTGCCCTGCGTTCAGATTGACAGGGTTTTCAATTGTACTCAAACATTATTTTTAAAAACTTAATTAAGGGTTTTATAAACCTTATTCTATATGGTGGATCCCCTATTCTAATTTTCGAAATATGATGCTGTAATTTTCGAAATGATAGGTCCCTTATTCTATATGGTGGTATTGTTAATCTATTAATTAATTTAGTAGCAGTCCTCATGGGTGTCATATTTAAGTTTTGTATGGATTGGGGACGTTTTGGCTGAAATTTTATCATCTCATTAAGTTGCTAAGAAGAAGTCAGCCACCAAACTAATTTGGATTGGTGCTGAAAGCCTTCATGACAAGAAATCAGCAACAACACTAATTGCCGACAAGAGCAATACAATTGCCGACAAGAGCAATACAATTGCCGAGTTGCTGTTCTTTTTTTATTTTATTTAAAAAGAAAACTCTTGTCGGCAAGTAGTCCTTTTTATTTTTTTATAAATCTTTTCTTTTCAGTACAAGCGATTTGGGGAGGAGGTTCATTGGGTGCCTGAGGGTTTGGAACCTCTGCCCACATGACAAAAGTGGAAGAGCTCAACTCACTCAGCTATACCTCATTGACAATTAGACTTATTATTCTTTAGGGTGGAAAATTTGCTAGAACTCTAATGTGAGCAGATGTTAATTAGAGTAAGTTTTGTTGCTTTTTTTCTTTCTAAATGAAGCAATTCGGGTAACAATATTATAGCATGTTTATTTATTTGAGATGAGTCTTTAATGGCTTTTTCCCAAGAGTATTGGATTATTTCAATTTCTCACTTTTTACTAATACATGGATATTAAATTATTCAAATTCCTAACTTTTCATGTGTTTATTAACACAAAAAAAATATTTAAAAAATTTATGTAAGTTTCACATACAAATCCGTAATTCAATTCCACGCTCATTCATTATCTCTTTTATTATTGACTTCCATGGTTCATAACTTCCCCATTTGAAGTAAGTAGAGGATAGGAGGATAGGGACTTTTGGTGGCTAGTCATACCCTAGAAAACGTGTTGAAGTTGGATATCCCCAAAGTGGAATAAAAAAAGTTGTAAAATATCTAAGTTTAGTAACAAATATCTAGTGGCATGAAGATGCTCGTCACTGCCTTTATGTTTCCAACGCACAAAACAGCAAAAATGGTAAAGTCTCTCAAGCTCTCTTCCTCCAAGAAATGGTCCTCTAGCTTTCGAGTCACGCATAAAACAATCAACTACAGAGTTTTTTATTTTTTTATTTTTTTATAACTCTTTTCAATAATTCATGGACTTGGTCAGAGAGGACACCGACGTTCAACAAATTTCCTATTACTATTGGCCTGGAATTAGTATTTTCCATCAATAATTAAAAATATATATTTTTATACTTAAAAAATGGATCATGAGAGTTTGAAAAAATTAAGTTATGTGCAAAAGTGGACACACACACAAAATCTTAGCTGAGGTTTTGAAATGTTATCCGGGCTCAACATTAACTTAGTTTTGCATTTTTGAAAATAATATACAATAAAGTGGAGACTAAGTGCCGCTAAACGTTAATTATGTGCCAAATTATAGACTTGTTTATTTGTTTTGTTTTTCGCCTTTTAAAGGGGATGTCATCTAAGTTCACTGATTTTCTAGAATCAAAGCCAAGAAGTCACATTATTAAAGATTGCTCGACATTTTTGCCATGACAAACTACTCGATGTGGATGATATATTTTCTTTTCCAAAACATTTTATATAAGACATGTAAATCATGCAGGTGTCCAATCCATTCTTTGATAGACAAACTGAAGAGACAAAAACAGCCACCTCAACCACTGAAATAGACAAAACAACAAAAACAAACCATATGAAAGAAATAGAAAACAACTAAAAACTACCATTGATTTGGGCAAGGCTTCTCTGCAACTTAAGTTTAAAGCATACAGCATATCTCATGATGTAGAAGAAAGATTCATTCAGATTTGGAGCGCTTCAAAAACTCAAGAAAAGCATATATTTTAATGTATTACATTTACAGAACACCAAAAAAGAAAAAAAACTGGGGGTAAAAACCTTTTTACATGTACACCAGTATAAAACATTAAAACATAAATATTGTATATACTTGGCTGGAACTCTCTCATATACTGTGAAGAACATTGGGGCCTTCGCTCATGCTTTTTGATGGCAAAGAAGGTGTATGTGTATGTGCCTCCACTAGTATTGACCACAGGACATGCACATCCTCATAGGGGCAGGATTTTACATCCTCATACAGAATGTATATCCCTCTTCCTGCTACAAACAAAGGCCAAATGATTCAAGATAGTATAAATATTATGCATATCCAAGAGGAAGCAGTCTGTAAATTGGTATTCTGTATAGATTCTTGATGAATGAGTGGAGAGAAGAGAAAGGAAGGAAACAGAGAAGAAGAAGTATATGCATGAATGAGAAAATTGTGTTTTTGTTGTGTGTGCGTGCCCATGCGCTCGCATAACAGTTTTAAAGCAAATAGATTGAGATTGTGAGATAGACTAAAAAATGGAGGGAAATGCAGGATGTGTTCATTGATTTGGAACTAAGCATGTGCAATTTTGCATGCTGAAGTTTGGGAAAATTGCAGGGTGGGAGTGAGTGATCACTAAAAGAACTTACTTTTCTTCGGAGCTGAATGGAGGCGAAACCACAGCTTCTTCAAAGGAGAGAAGAGGGAGTGCAGCCACCCCATTTGGAGAAGAGGGTGTGGCTCATGTGGGTGAAACACTTGGGAATGAAATAAACAATAAGACAGGGTATGAGATAAAATGTAGGTATTGCTTAGACAAGGGTGAAGTTTTTTGAAGTCACTGTTTCCAAGACAATTTTACAATTCCTGTCATGCGGATCACATTTTTCTCTTGGTGCCGTGTCTTTGTCAAACCTCTTTATCTTATAGCAGAAGGAGCCACCCTACCAATCAGATTTGCTTTTCACACTTCTACAAAAAGCTCTCCCCTTATAGCATCCCTTTGTGATTCTGTTCCTTCTGCCTCAAGACACATTTTTGGTTTTCTACTCTTGTTTGTGTGTGTGTTTTGGAAATTGCAATAGTTACACACTCGCTAGTGGGGTTTCTTCTTTTACCATTTTTGGTCACTTCTTGTGTTTCCAAGCTTCCTATTGGAGTCTCCTACAAGGTTTCTGCCTTAAATGCCTCCACCTGTCCCATAATCTAAACTTGGTTGCCTTAGAAGTGTGTCTCAGACATGGCTTGCTAGCTGACTCTGAAATTTGACTCATTTGGGACACATCAACCTTTGGTTTCATGCCATTCTTAATTTGCTTTTGGTTCATCCTAATTTTCTGATTATACTTATAAAAAAACATGAAATCTCCTACAAATCATATGTGAATAAGGCATAATTATCAATGATTGTCATTCCTAGGGACATGAACGTATGGAGGTTTTTACTGATTTATTTCTGTTTTGGCTGATGGAAATAGCCTTTTGTGCTGATGTTACAAGGCCTTCCAGGATTAACCCCTTTTTAAATCCTAATCACATAAGCTTATGATCAGACAATCTGTCCCAATCACTGAACTACCATCTTCTGCTGACCAGTCCAAGCTCTCTCCCACCTTTTCCTACCCTTTTGCTTTGTTGGGCTTTTTATATTTTGAAGCCTGTATTTCCTAAGCTGGCAAATAATGGTAGGCCATTTTTTTCAATTTCAAATTTTATACAAACGATATTGGAGTATGGGGAAATCGAACCTAGGACATCAGATGCATGGATGCATACTCTTAATCACTTGAGCTACAAACTCATTGTCATAATGGTAGGCTTTTAGCAAGCCTAACAACGGAAAACAGCGGTTTCTCTTCACCTACATCACTCTCCACATTGTGTTTGTCATACTTTTCCTTGTTGTGCACTCAAAACAATTATGAAGGAGATTCTTTATAAAAATAATAATTTTTCAGTGTGACCGTAACACTTTAGGTATGTGTTGACCCACTAAGGGCCCATCAACTTAAAACTTACCAGCTTGCCTGTTAGAGGCCTATTGACCCCAGCCCATGAGTTTACCAAATGCAACCCAAATCCACCCATGAAATCGGGAGCTGACCGGACCCAATTGCCTGATCAGTTGTTTACCAGTTGTCTCATTATCTTGTAGTTTCTTTCCTCATCCAAACACCAGGACAAGCTTACATGGCAAGGACTGCAGACACATGAACCATATTGAGACCTGGACTCTGACCCATCATGTTGATTCCTGTCCGCAACCACAATCTTGTCTATGAACCTATGGTTCAATCAATGCCCTACAAATGTAGCCAGTCCAAAACAAAAGGAAAAAAAAACAAAGAAAAAAAACAAAAAAATGGAGATCCTCTGGCCCAAAAGGTCATCAGATGATAATTAAAATCATCTGTGATCATCTACAGTAGAAGAAATTTGCATCAATACACAAAACACAGAAGGATTCTGGGGAAGAAGAAGTTCAGAACTAAAGATCCTCTCAAGTCCCAAAGCAGACCTGCCAAATTATACATCATGATGTGATTTTTATTCTTTAGTGATGGTATAAATTAATTTCATTTTTGGCTTGTAAAGCAAACAAAGAACGCAAATGATTTACACACACAAGTTACACAACCGAAAGCAAGAGAATCTCTGAGATGTTGGGGTCTAATCATTTAAATTTTACAACTTCTTTTTGTTTTCTGTCTAATCACAGCAGTAGTTCACCAGCAGCACGTATGAAAAGGATCCTATAATTATTATAATCACTTTTGTTTAACGGTAATTTTCCTGTTTGCCCGATCAATCAATCAAGCAACGACTAGTGGGACGTCGTCTGTTGATGATTAAATTTCTACCTTATTATTTATGAAAATTGATCAAACAAACTATATTTTTTTTTTTTTTTTTTTTTTTTGTTTGGTATAGAAGTATAGGTGGAGGGAATATTACCTCATCTCAGAGTCAGAACATATCAAGGTCTTTTTGATGACTTACAGAGGGAGTCTTAGCCCATTTTTAGGTTTTTACAAATTACCCATAAAAAAAAATTGTCAGCAACATAACTCGAACCTATGCCTGAATAGTAAAGATAACAATTTTTACCAACTCAACCAACCCCTAATTTGCAATAAACAAATTATACTGAATAGTGAACATATAATTGAGTACCAGTAACACTGTACCATGCATGGCAGCAAGCTGCAGCCACACATTAATCAAAACAAAGTTAGACTTTTAGGAATGTTTTTGAAATTTTTTTATCACGAAAACCAATTTCATTCGTTTACCAAATAGTAAATAGTACTTGTCGGCAGTCACTGTAAGTTATTTATAATTATACACACAAAATTGTTGCACCCTGCATTTTTTATACTTCACAGTCAATAATATGAGGCTTATCATAAATTGTTTGGCTTACATCATTGTTAAATTTGAATATCATGTGAATAGTATGGATTTAGATTCTTCTTCTTTAAAAAAAATAAAAATAGAGGAGATTCTAAAAATCCGTTCAGGATAAACAAACAATATTGAATAGTGAACATATAATTGAGTACTGTACAATGCATGCCAGCAAACTGCAGCCACACATTAATCAAAACGAAGTTAGACTTTTAGGAAAATTTTCTAAATTTTTTTTTATCATGAAAACCAATTTCATTCGTTTACCAAATAACACAGAATGTATCGTCAATTATTTATTTACACAAAAATTGTTGAACCCAACATTTTTTATACTTCACAGTCAATAACATGAGGGTTCTGCTTACATTTATATAATTTTTGGGTATGAACAAAGATGTCATGACAAATTAGGCAGTCTTGGTACCCAAAAAAAAAAACCAGAAGGAGGGTTCTGTTTTTCAATGGCGAAGTCATTGTGTGAAGTCAGAAATTAGGACAAAGGGCCCCAACCACCACGTGAGAGCTCTGCGCAGAGTCCATGATATGATCTGTATGTGTGTATTTGTGGTCAAAAAATGAAAATGGCAGCTATTTGGGTACCCACAAATGGCTAATGGCTGCAGAAATCATGACAGAAAAAAAAAAAATTTTAAACATTTGTTTTGTGTATTGTTTTGCAACGGTTCGTTCCATTCAAGATTTGAAGACCCAAAAGTCGTCCAGCTTTGCCACCAAAGTCTAATCCGAAATGATGCATCGTCTTTTTGTATTGGCCATATATTTTAGGATCATTCAAATTTTTACAAGTCATCTCATTAGTTCAATATTTTTTTTCTTAGAGTAGGAGAAGAGTAGGAAAAATAATAATTTATTAATTTGTGAAAGGTAGACGTAAAGTAGTAAACAAGTGAGTTGGGTTTTGAATTTTTGAGTCCAAATGACCAACTCTATCTTCTATACGTACCACCATGACATTCTTGCATATGGGAATGCTGTACTTTCACATTCTTCAACAGCCAGAGACTACTAATTGTGTTTCCATTTTCATTTTTTTTTTAATATTAAAAAATTCGTCCAGTTGGGTCACACCAAAGTCTCCCTCAGAACTACTTTTAAACTTTAATTAAAGTAGTAAGCAATGTTTTTGAATTTATGAGTGAAAAGAGCAGCACAATAAGTCGCTCTCAGTCTCTGGATAAGAAACTTGCATATTACGTATTTTGCTACTCCCGTTCAATCATGTTTTGTCATGTAAAATCTTTATAACTCGTGACAGAACGTAATTAGTTTGTTATAACAAAACAGTGCTATATATTCCTGTGATTTACACGTTTTCCTCCTCCCTCAGACCAGCTGGTTCCTGTGATCAGATTTTTGGACACAGTATATACACAGAGAAGAGTTGCAGGTGCACTCAATTTCAATGAAACTGTTTATATATATATATTTGTATAGGTTATAATGCATGTACAACTGTCCGTGCAATCTAATTTGGATCTGCATTCTTCAACAGTTGAAATATCCATCGAATTGTAATATTGTGTGGCTGGTTTTCATTTGTGATAGAAATTAGCAACTCTGCCACGATAGGCTGCTCCCATTCTCTGGAACACTTTTCACTGCTTTGCAGATGCATGATGCACATGCATGCAGCTAAACTGTTCGTAGTACGTACGTACGTACGTATTGCATGTGACACTGCAAGCTATAGTTGAAGAGCTGTTTTAATTTACTGCATATTTTCATATCGCTTTCTCCAATCAACTTGGCAAAATTTTTACCATTTTCACGAAGAACATCCTGATTGGTTTAAGTTCAGCCCCCAACCCTCCAAAAGAAAAATATGAAACATCATAAGTTGTCTTGTGAGGTCAGACATCTTGGAAGCATGTGGTCCATCACCATCATCTAATGGCACCAAAATGTTCACTGCTTTTGAAGCTAGCTTTTCTATATAAGATTTTTTTGTTATCTTGGTTTCACAAGAGTTCAGTGATTAAATTAAGATTAGTAAAGATAATTTTTTGAATCAATTTTCCACCAAGCAGAACCATTTAACATCAATCATTGCGATTGTACATGTGAAACTAACGACACTTGGGGATTATTTAGGTTATGGAGATCCAGAACATCGCTAAACTTTATTAGACTAAACTGAATTTCTTTTTACAACTTTGAGGACTTATGCAGAGTTTCTACGCTCAGATTTGTTTTAACGGACGTATTTTCTTTTTGTTGGGTTTTCGGTATCTTAAACATGTCCCGAATTGCTCCGATTAATGCAAGTGATGTATGGAGAAGACAAATTTTTTTATATAATTAAAGAATATATAGAGGCAATTATCCATGAGTGAGATTTAGTCATTGAACTAATTATACTCGTAATTATATGAAATGGTATATATATATATATATGTGTGTGTGGAGGGATATATCTCTCTCCCCTGGAAATATAGTTGTCTCAAGAACAGTTCATATAACCGTACCCGCCTACCCGGCGGCTAAAAAGGAAAAATTGTTTTGTTCGTGCAGATTGCTATCTATCTTGGTGACTTGGTCTAGTTTCATCTAGACAAGAACGCTTTCAACTTCTGCCCTAATAAGTCAGAAAAATGGGACAAAGAGAGACCCTACCCCATGAATTTTGCAAATTGGCCTCCTTCTCTCCTCATTATTTTTAGCAAACAACTCTGTGCGCCTTTTCACCTCATTTCGTTTCTACATATGAATACTGGAGGAGAGAGTACGAGCCAGAGAGGAAAGCAATATGTTTTTTGAATTTTAAAATGCAATGATTATATTATATATCATACTGTCTTTGGACCTTTGATTTAAGGAGACTCTTTGGGTGTATTTTAACTGTACATGTGGGGTTTTTGGGGGTTTGTGGTGGGCGTGCATGTAAACTCCCTACCTAAATTGTGTTACGGAAATAATATATATATATATATAGAGAGAGAGAGAGAGAGAGAGAGAGAGAGAGAGAGAGAGAGAGAGAGAGAGAGGAGAGAGAGAGAGAGAGTTTTAGTTTTTCTCAAATATTTGAGGAACATCTTTGTAAGCCTCACTACACGTTGTATTTCAATAATCCGAATTGAACCATTTGATTAGATGATTGTTATTATAGTATTTTCTTGAAGCACCGTGTTCGTTTATTTTGTTGGTTTTGATTGGATGCTTTAATGATTTTTAATTTGCATGATTTTTTTTGTAAAAATGATCTATGAATAAAGATTTGAAAAATAGAATATTTGGATCGTTGAAAAAAAAATTCATAAGGGACCCTAAAAAGTGTCCCTTAATAAAAAGGGACAGAGAGAGGAGAGGAGAGGAGAGGATGGTGTTTCAAAATTTGAATCAAAAGAGGGATATAAGGGTAGGTGGAAAAATGGAATATACAAGGAAGCCACTTTAGCACACTTTGGGCCACGTGGGAGGGATTTGAAGCAACAACATCATATTGTTTTTGATCCCCACAGTCATAATATCATGCTCCTCAACCATCATATTTCATATACATTATGTTTATATGTTTGAGAAATATATATAAAAATTATTCAAAAAGACAAAAGAAAATAAAAGAAATAGAAATAGAAAAAGGGAAAAGAGGAAGTTGGGTTAAAGTGTGGAAGGAAGAATCTCTCACACATTTGAATGAGGACAAACGAAAAAAATCTTTCGCTAAATACCAGCTTTGCCACATTATTTTAATTATCACGATAAAGCTTACACCTTCACCTTTGGAAACCCCAAATTACCAGCCTAATCTACGCTGGATTTGCCTTTGCACTCTCAATCTCAACTTATATATATTTTCCCAACCCTCACTTTGTACGTTCTTTTAGTTAAGCGACGAGCAATGGCTTTTACTTATGGAGCCCAACCATCTTCTCTCTTTGTGCGCGTGTAAGTCAATAATCTCGTCTATTTTCACTTTTTTTTCTCTACCCAACAACATAAATATAACGTTTAAGATACTTGTCGAACCAATGATATGATATATTACTTTGATGATTTTTAGTCTAACAACGTAACATATTGTCCGTATACACGATAAAGAAGAGCATAAAATAAAATAAAATGAGAAGTGTAGTGTTTCCTAGATTCTTCTCACCTGTGAGAGAAAATTAAAGTTGATAATAGGGTTTAGGAGGCATATAGCATAAAATTTTAAGCTCTTTTGACTTGTTTTAATTCGAAAGTGGGCAAGCGGTTAACAACTTACAGAGGAGATAATCGAAAGCTTACCATCTGCATAAAGAAACAAAGTAAACCTAAGATTAATTAATTAATTAAAAGGAAAGGGTCGGTGTTTTTAATTTTGATTAAGGAGATGGACACGTGGAGAATGTCAGCGACAATGTGGGGTCTTTCTAAAGCCAAGCGTGGAGAAAGGGGAAGGTCTCCGCCGTAAGAATAACGGAGTTGGACTGGGTTTGTATGATATTCATGTGAACGCCAAGTATCAAGGTTTTGACTTCATGGGACTATGTGTTGATATTAATTGCGCCAATACTATGTTCTTTGTTTGCTCCCAAACATTGTTCCTGGAAATTGTGGTTGTATGGACACACTGCATGAATACTGATTATCCTCTTCAATTCTCATCGGTCGACGGTAGCATAAATTATAAAATAACAATCATTTATAACCAAAACAACTAAACAATAATCTTACATGTCAAATTAGGTCAAAATAAGTGATTTTGATTAACAATTCTTTCTTTTCTTTGGATAAAGGGCTGTTAAGAAGTTCACTAACAATATATACCAAGCTAACGCATTCTCACACGTTTAGTGGAGAGAGATACAGGCGGCATGTGCAATTCCACTATACAAAACTTATTAATTGAAAATATATGGGGAATGAGAGTTAGAGGTATGAACTTGGGTCGGATGTTCTAATTCTATCATGGTATAAGAGCATGCTTAATATTTGCACGCTATGATACTCAATATCTACAAATCAACCTTTTAAGTTGTCACTTTCGTTAGTTTAGCGCGATTGATATAATTAATAAAGTTTTTGGCTTATGGTTAAGCAGTAGAGTGTATTACTTTTAATTATACCATGGATAACATACCAAACTCCATAACAAGAGATCATTACAAACCAAAAACACAATTTGATACACAGTATCATGTAAAAGACAGTTTCTTGGAGTCAAATATACACAGTACTATCATATAGTATGTTTAACCAAATTGGTGTAGCAACAACAAACATAGCATGGATGGGATCGATTTTGGTAAAGAAAAAAGGGAAAGCAGCTCACTGTTTCGTCACCCAAGGGAAAAATACAGTGAAGCGCAATTTGCCTAAGAACTTGAAGCAAAACTCACAAATTTGTGTATACAATGTGTACGAGAATATACTATGTAACATTCATCCAACGAAGCTAAAAGAACAAGAAAGGTACTGTTTTGTGTGTGACATTCGATCATATATATATATATATATATATACACACACATATATGCCCTTCTGTTCTTTTGTCCCGCAATATCCGTTCACGTGTTGGAATTTTTTGCCCCTATCATCACAACCTATACCCCCACCATCCCACCTTGCTTCTACAAAAGTGCCATCATTGCAACTCCCATTCAATTTACCCAAATAAAAGTTGTATCGTGCAATAATTACATCCAGTACCACTGCAGCCTTTTTTCACTTATACAAAAGCCACCAAAGTCTCTGTATCAATCATCACGGTAGAGTAGTTATTCTCTTTTACCGGTTGTATACAACTACGTGTTTGGTACAACGTGATGAACGATACAGATATATAGTTAAGTGATAAATATAGAAATCTTTTGTGATGAGGATGTTTAGAATGTAGACTAGTAACATTGTTTATGTCTGATATGGGCAAAATATAGTGAATTATCCATTTTGTTTGTGATTGTACCATATAACCACAATGAAGTAGAAAGATTTTATCATCTGCTTATGTGTGTGCGAACGATTTCCAATGGTTAATAGTTTGGTATCTTCTAAAACACGTGAAGTGAGAGATGTTTCTTTTCTTTTAAAAAGAAAACAGTAAACTTTGTTCTTAAGAAGAAAAGAACAACGGCTCTAATAAGGATGTTGAAAGGTTTGAATTCTACACAAAAGCAGAAGGGGAAAATGCTAACATATGTGTCTCATGCATGCAAAGTGAATGTTAGTCATTGATTATCGTTACTTATACAATAGGTTTCACAGTGAATTCCGCATCAGTTTCAAAAGTCAAATGCGCATACGACATGTGAAAACAAAATTGTAACATGTAACATAAAAAAAAATATATATATATATAATGATATCTATGACCATGTACAAGTAACACATGAGTGACCATCAAGCAACCATGTGAATGGTCTTAACCACACATTAATATGGGAGGCAGGCACATCATTATCATCATGAAGTATATGGGCGCAGGCATTAAAGCAGCTCCATAAGCAGTAATCGTAGGCGACATGTAGGCAAGTTACATTCTAGGAAACTATCAAAAATGAAAATGAATACGTTTCTGATAAAGAAACACGAGGACGAACAGAGAAAGGGACAGAGGTCTGAGGTCAGGGCAAAATGGGAAAGTAATAAAGCTGTAGCAATTAAGTGGGGAGGTGGGCGATGGGCTTGGGCCTGGACCAGCCGACCTTTTCCGTTACGAATCGCTTTCGGACCCATCATTGCAACATGTTACAATGGCATTGACCAAACCAACCAGTTGACGACGTTTTTAATTTTAAAAAAATCCCATTGTTTATTAATAAAATAAATATAATAGCTTTTGCATGCGCCAGTGTGCTAGCCTTGTAACGGCGTGATTAGCTGTCGTTTTGCTATATATAGCCCCTCCTCTGCCTCACTCTCCTTTATTCAACGTTAGATCAGTTTTTCAAGTTTCAACACCTTTATTTTCCCTCTCTCTCTCTCTCTCTCTCTCTCTTTTTTCTGAGTGAACATTTTAATGGTTGCGTGAATTTGAAGGCTGGTATAATAGAGTGTGTGTTTTCTTGGAACTGATTCATTGATTTGATCTCATCACCATTTGTCGGAAATCTCTCTCCAAATGGGAAAGAAAGATCATCATCTGCAGCAGAGAGATCAGCAGAGCAAAGACGACGCAAGGGTTGAAGCTGTTCTTCAGCTTCTACGAAAACAAGCCCCACTTTCAGTCAAACAGGTTGAGCTTCCTCACCAACTTTCAGATCTCCATGTTTTGCTTCATGGGTTTTCAAAAAGTTTGCATTTTGTTCACGGGTTTTTCCAGCCAATCATTTTTTTAATGGACTGTGTCTCTTTTTTTTTTGGTTTTGCAGGAGAAGTTTTGCAACACTGCTTGTGTTGAGAGGTTTCTGAAGGCAAAAGGAGACAGTGTTAAGAAGGCAGCCAAGCAACTGAGGGCTTGTCTTTCTTGGAGACAAAGCATTGGCACTGGTAGTTTTCTTCTTCTTTCTCATTTTTCTCTGCTGGTGTTACTTATTCTCTTTTTTAGTGCATCTTGGTTTCTCTTTTTGTTTTGTGTTTAAGCGTAGAATCTTGCTTTTTCCACGCTTTGAATTAAGCGTTAAAGTGTTTTAACCCAACCACTAATGATGAAAAAGTGAAACCTCTCTCTCTCTCTCTCTCTTCTTTTTATTACTTATTTTAATGTTGTTGTTTTGAACACACAGAGAACTTGATAGCAGATGAGTTCTCAGCTGAACTTGCAGAAGGGGTTGCCTACGTGTCCGGGCATGATGAAGAATCCAGACCCGTTCTGGTAAAATTCAATAATGAAAATAAATTCAATCTCTATCTCTTTCTGTTTTGTTTTGTTTTCCTCTGTGTTTTTGTTTGTTTATTAAACAACCCACGTTTCTCCTTAACTTTTTGCACAGATTTTCCGGATCAAGCAGGACTACCAGAAGTTCCATTCACAAAAACTGTGAGTAGCAAACAAAACCCAGAAACTGCTCGAACAGAATGTGTCCATCTCATCTTCTTCTTGTTTTTGCTTTTGTTTTTCCTGAAATTAATTTTTGTATTTTCCATTTTTGTACATTTAAGGTTCACTCGCTTATTGGTTTTCACGCTGGAGGTGGCCATTGAGAGCATGCCCAAAAATGTCGAGCAGTTCGTTCTCCTTTTCGACGCAAGTAAGCCTCCCAATCTTACCCTTGGCATACCAAAATCAAGAAGGCTAATTTAGTAATTCAGCACCATTGTACTTCAAAACTGCACACTTCACTAGCAAGCTAGCCTAGTTAATGAGAAACCAGGCGGGCAGTTATGTCGGAGGAAGAGGCACTGTGGTCTTCTGGGACTGAGATATCAGCAGAAATTGTCCGGAGTGCCCCTCAGGTGTCGCGGTCAAACCCTCAAAAGTAGTCCAGAAATGCAGGGGCATTATGGGGAATCGGAGTATCAATTTTTATACCTCTTCCCCTCCCCTCGTAGAATTGGTCAATTCCCAAAACTGCTCCTTCCTTAAATATATTGATCCTGCCAGGATTCTACTTTTTCTGCTTTGCCAGGGACCCTTAAAACACTTTTTATCCTTCCAATTAACAATTATAATTCAAAATTATGCATGTAATTAACACTAATAATATTTGTTTAATTTTGATTATTTATTAAAAGTCGCGGTGGATTTTGCAGGCTTTTTCAGATCAGCTTCGGCTTTTATGAACTTGTTGCTGGCAGCACTGAAAACTGCGGCAGAGTACTACCCAGGACGGCTGTTCAAGGCCTTTGTAATTGACCCTCCCACTATGTTCTCTTATCTCTGGAAGGTAAAAATGTTCATCAAAATTCAAAACAAATGAGTTAATATCTGGTTGGTTGGTGTTAAAAAAGTCCAATGTTACTGTTGAGCTTGCTGGGTTTGTGTTTTTTTCACTGTTTTTGTTTTGACTAGTTGTGCATAATGTATGCTGCTTTTGGGTACAAACCCCACCTATAAGCCTTATCCTTTTAAGGCTTAGGTCACATCCAATTGGGTTGCAGTGTTCAAAAACAAGTCAATGACAACCCTATTCCCACTTCTTTTTGGTGGGGGATGCTGATCATCAACTCTTGATTATTATTGCTTTTGCATGGGTTCAAATTATGCCACAATTATTGCTAGGGCTTGCTTTCAGAGATTACAATCCTTGGAACAGTAAAAATCTAAAGATTAAATAGGTGTTGCTATGAAAAAGGTCTTGGACTTTAGATAAAACACTATCAACACCATATATGACACAAGTAGTTTCAAGGGAGGATCCCCGTTTGTGTGTGGGTTACGACAGTCGGGCTTCATCATGTAAATTTGACTAGCACCCGATTGTCACGCCAAACGAATCTCGCCCCGAAGTTTTTCTCCAAATCATTCCAACATTTTACCATGGATGTTAACGTTGTTTTGTTTTTGGTGTTGGCAAATTGTTACTGATCATTGTGTGACCACAATTTAATAAGTCAAATGTGTTGAGTGTGACGTGGATGTGTTTTATTGGTTTGTAGGGTGTACGACCCTTTGTGGAGCTCTCTACGGCTACGATGGTGGTGTCATCACTAGACTTTGAGGAGTCGTTGGACTTCAACGACTTCTCAAACTACCCACGAGCCTCGTCCCTACGATTCGACCCTGCGTCAATCAAATCAACGGCCAAGATCGGCTCCTGCTCCTCCTCGCGTTTCTCCTTCACTGTTTCTCACCACCAGTTCGACTCTCTCAAGCCTTGGTACCTCAGCCTTACCGACACGTCAGCATCCAAAGTAGGGCCCACCAGTCACTCCCCACTGGGACCCGCACTCATCTCTCCCCTAAACGCTCGGTCGTTCTCCTTTGCATCCCCAGCCGCGAGAACGCCACGTGGAACCATCCACGGCTACGGCAACTCGGCGGCCACGAGGAAGAGCTTGTTCCCGTCAACCCCACTGCCCCAACGGTGCACCAGCAGCGAGGCGAGCACAACCCCTCGCCACCCTCGGACCCCACGCCCTTCGTTCCTCCAGTCACCGGCCATGTTCTTCCGCAGCAGCACTAGCAAGGAATGCCACGTGAGCAAGACGGAGAAGTCGCGGGAGTCGTTCGTCCCGTTTTTGAAGTTCTACAGGAGGCCGTACGACGAAATGATTTACAGGTCAAAGATGCGGCCCCCACTGGGCGGGCTCATCTCCATCGTCTCTCCCCACCTGAGACGCCGCCACGTGTCAGTATCGCAACGGTTCTAAACTGAAAAACCCTCCTCCTCCTCCTCCAGCAGAAAAGCGAAGTACATAGGTTACTATTAAATTAACAACATGAGTCCTTGACTTGAGTACTAATAATTGATTAATTATTTCTCCAAAGTCCAACTCTCCTCGTGCAGTAATTAATTATCCAAGACCAAGAAATTAAGAAGAAATTTTTGTTTAGAGAGAGACGACGTACTAGGCAAGGTGTGAGAGACTGTGCAGCATTGTCTAATTTTGAGGCTCGGGAACAAGATACCGTGGTCGAGACGGTGAACAATATATTTGCGTTGGAACTCATATGCTGTAAAACAACAAGAAAAAAAGAAATCTTTGTTTCATTTCAATTCAAACTTTGATATATATAAATATATTTTTCTTTTTTCTTTCGTCTTGTGGAATCTTTGTGACGGAACCATATGGGTTGAATTTTTGTTCATAATAAAATGGACCCGAGTTTGAAATCTTCTTCTTGTAGGGTTTCGATTTGGTTTGGTTTTGGTTTTCAATTGTTATTTTAAGAAATGGTAGGAATATGTGTCGGAGTCTGTGGTTTAACAAGTCAAAATGTAGCTACGTGCCAACGTTCTTTTTTATTTTTATTCAAGCAAAGTCGTACCCTTTCTGATCACATATTTGTATGAACGTGTGGGTGAGGCTTTGGGAAGTGAAGTTTTTGCAAATATTTATACATTTTTTGTATGGACATGTTTGGGTTGGGGCTGCGGCTTTGTCGTGGACCCATTGTCCTCAGGGGGCGCCAAGGTTCGGTTCCTCAAGAGGTGATGTTAGAGTCTCAAAGTTCATCTGTTTGTAGCTTATGGCTTTTTCAGTGCTGAGATTTTCTGGCTGATTCACTGCTAACTAGAGAAACCCAATTCGTGAAAATATATATATAAATTAGAGGGTTTGGTTTTGTTGATTTATATTTTAATTTTTTAACAGCAGTTGACAAGTTGCAATCATTATTATATATTTTTGAAGTTATATGCAGACAAATTGGTACTGCTAGAGTGTTGATGTTTTGGAGCTTATTCTGTGCAGTTTTCTGAGTTTGAAAATGAGTCATTTTCGTTTGTTTTTGGGAGTGCTTTGAATGGATGTGACAGAGTCGTCATATGCATTTTGTAACATTGAACTTTCTTCGTCAGTACATGATTTGCCTAATTTAGCAAATTGGTAAAAATAAAATAAAAGGGCTGATTTATTGGGCCAATCTGAGTGCCACACCGACATGAATTGAAGCCCAATGTGTATATTTTATGGACCAACCAAAGTTGTCAAACAAGTTCTTGCATCTTGTATTAATTCTAAAATTTTATAATTCTGTAATCGAGTGAAAAATGACATTAAATTGTATAATAACAGCATTAAGTTCGAATTCCATGACAACTTGATAACGTGTCTGTGCGAAACCCCCCATCCTCTTATAATTTAGACTATGACTTGTATTAAAAAAAAATAAAGTTCTATTTTGCTCACGCTTCTATATTATGTTGTGTTTATTAATCTACGACGAACAAAACAAGAAAAAGCATGGAACCAAAGAGTATGCCCAACCCATTTTCTTAGAGGGTCTGCAAGGTGTGGGGTGGGACTTTAACTATCTGTTTCTTACAATATGCATTTTTCTGCCTCTCCGTGTGTAGTGTGCACATAAGGAATTTGTTAGTTTGATTTAGTGTTGGAGTGTTTTCTTGCAAGTACCCCTTTACATTGGTGGCAATCGAAGATAGTGTCTGGTTTCTCAACATTGATTACGAGTTTAGTTGTTGGAGGACCCGAAATTTCATGCTCCAACAATTCCCTAAAAATTTAAGCTTCTAGAGTAAAACAGTTGTATGACTGTTGACACATCCTTTTTGGTTATTTTTGAAGAGTTTTTTCCTTTTCAATTAGGATTTGGCTAAGAGAATAATAACATGTCTTCTTGTTTGTTTGCGTATGATCAAAGCTTGATTATGTTAGTATGATGGACATTTGAACGTTGGTGAACTACGCTATTTTGCAGATAAAAGAAAAAGCATGATGCTAGATTGGCCCAAGAGCTTTGACATTATTAATGGAATTGCTAGGGGGATCCAAAAGCAGCGATTCCATTCCAACTTTATCCAACACTTTGACCAAGCAATTCCACTTCTAAGTCCTCCCATCTTCGTTCGTCCATCTGCAAGAAAGAATTAATGACATGAAGAATATATCAATTAAACCATTTATTTTTTAATTTTTAAACCCATAAATTTCAAAATAATAGAAAGAGGATAAAAAGAACTCCTTCGTTGTCGGAGGCAACAAGACAAAAGCGATGCTCAATCGCTAAACATGAGAACATAAAACACAGAACAATCTTAACAACTAGCTCTTCCATCTCTTCACAATGTTTTTCATCACTTTTTGTGATACTTACTATTTTATAGATGCCTAAATATATAGCAAAAGAAACTTCATTTTGATGCCTTAATAGTGACTGGTTGAAGGGCTTGCGGACGTGTTAAGCCGCCGAACTTTTTTTGTTGCGGTGGAGATAGGGGACAAGTAGGAAACAAGAGAACTAATTGATGGAGTGTTGGATATATAATTGTTCATTCAACAAGCACTTTCTGCATTCCAACAACAAAAAGTAGGAAACTAGTTACTAGTGCAGCAATAATATAGAGGCAACTACTTCACGAAGAAGCAATTCTAGGATTTCCTTTTGAGCAAGTAGGGCCCCCTTTTTTTTTGTCTTCTCAAAAGCAAGAGACTCTTTGGCACCATCTGCTAAGCTAAAGCTAAGGAGTTATCAAATGCTTCTTATTGTGCCAAAACTAGCATCACTGAACTTGTTTACCACCTAGCAGAGGCTGCCTGAATTCTTTTTAGAATTTAATAAGCACCATGCGAAAAATTGCGTATGTATAGTTGGTCTTACATTCCTTAATCTTATAATGAAATCAAGATAGGAACTTATAACAAGACCTTATTAGAGTAACAATGTCCAAAAACACAAGATGAACACCACACCACACTCAACAAACATTATTGCTCATTAGTGTTGTAAATATAACAAAGATGAGATATCACTTTGTACAATCAAATAGTTCTACATTCCTCGTCGCCCAAATCATTGAACATCATGCAAATCATTGAATATATCATCCCACATCTCATCATCAAACGGGTTTTCTGCACTAAGAGGAAGAGGCATATCACGATAAGGAAAGTTAGAACCCTCGCACATAAATGTACTAATATGAGACGCAAGCTTTGATATTTCATCGTCGTTCTCATCGAAACCAAAACAATCTCTGGCGTCCAACATCACCAAATCTTTGCACCCACGCAGCAATGTGACAAGACTATCATGATAAACTTTTGCACCCTTCAAATTTAAATACGTGATATTGGGCACCAACTTCGCAATTGACAACGCATGATGTTCATCAACATAGCCCTTGGACAAATCTAAACCATAAAAATTCTTGCAATGTGTTTGTATAATTGCAAGTATTTGAGCCAAATTTAAGCATGAACCCAATGATAACACCTCCAAATTTTTCCACTTGCCAATCAACTCTAGTTTCGTGTTATCGCTGTCCAGTAACTTTAGTGGTAAACTCAAAGTCACAAGGCCAGGACACCTGCACACATTCCATTTCCACAACAAAATGCTAAATTTACATTTACAAGGAAAATTAAACTACACTTGGTTTGGAATTTTGAAAATTAACTTAAATGAGAAAACTTACACATTTGCAGCAAATTCAAAGGCTTCTACTGTGCAGCATTTGGGAAGCTTGAGCACAGTAGCATTTCCGCTGCTCCTATTGATCACAAACTTTAGAAAAGCGGTGACAGAGCAACGATCCCCATCAATTTGATACTCACTCGCAAATCTGTCCATAAGATTTTGAAAATTCGGACATTCAGACACATCCCAAGGCCAGACTTCAATACATTCGTTGTCCGGGAAAATGAGAGATTGCCAGCATGAAGGGTTGAGGGTCGCCTTGTACCATGACTTGCACACAAAAGGGACATCCAAAAGCAGTGACTCCATTCCAACTTTCACCAACACTTTGACCAAGCAGTCCATTTGTAAGTCCTCCCATCTTCGTTCGTCCATCTGCAACAACGATTTAATATAACTACATATGTATACAGTAAAAAGAAAAAAAAACCCATAAATTTCAAAAGAATACAAAGAAACCTGGGAAAACAATCATATGGTAATCCTTTTCCTATATAATAAGAACAAACAAGAGAATTAATTGATGGAGTGTTGGATAATTGTTCATTCAACAAGCACTTTCTGCATTCCAACAAACAACAAAAAGTAGGAAACTAGTTACTAGTCCAGCAATAATATAGAGGCAACTACTTCACGAGGAAGCAATTCTAGTATTTCCTTTTGGAAAGGCAAGTAGGGCCCTTTAAAAAAAAGAAAAAAGAAAAAGCAAGAGACTCTTTGGCACCATCTGCTAAGCTAAAGCTAAGAAGGAGTTCCCAAAGCAAGGCAGGCCATAATTGTCCTATAAGCAAAGAAATCATCCTTATTTAAGCTTCTCCTTACTTCCCTTTTTGGGTTTTTAATCGAATTCAGATTTGAGCCAATTAAAAAAAAATTTAGGAAACTAGTCCAGCAATAATAGTGGCAACATAATATAGTATTTCCTTTTGGAAAAGAAAGTAGGACCTTTTTTTCAAAATCAAGGGACTCCTTGACACCATCTGCTGAGCTAAAGCTAAGAAGGAATTACCAAAGCAAGCAAGGCCATAATTGTCCTATCACCAAACAGATCAAACTTCTAGAGGACTAAAAGAATAATGCCCCTAAATTGTTGTGCATTTTTGTGGTGTTTGAGCCATATCTACTTTCTATTAGACTTCACAACAAAATTAATTATTTTTCAGTGGAGAAAACTTAACGAAGAAGAATTTGTAGTTCCAAGTAATTAAAATCTACAATTATTTCAACATTACAATTTCCACAATATCAATTGAACAAAATAACTAAAAGAAAGGAAATAATTTAAATAAAAGATAGGAACAATTACAAGCCCTCATGAAAATAACAATCAAATAGTTCTTCATTCCTCATCATCTTCAAATTCATTGAACATGCCAACATCGAAGGGGATTGAACCTATTTCACAAACCAAATCATCCGTAGAAAACCACCTACAAAGAAATTCCGGAAAAACAAAACCTTTACTAATATGAGATGCAAACTTTAATATTTCATCATCATTCTCATCAAAACCAATACAATCCCTGACGTTCAACACCACAAGATCTTTGCAGTCGTGCAGCAATGTGACAAGGCTATCCCGACTAACGATTGCACCTTTCAAGTTTAAGTACTTGATATTAGTCACCAACTTGACAATTGCCAATGCCTCACGTTCATGAATTAAGGTCATGGACAAATCTAAACCGTAAAAATTCTTGCAGTGTGTTTTTATAAGGGCAAGTATTATCACCAAATTTAAGCTTGAACCCAATGACACCACCTCCGAATGTTTCCACTTGCCAATCAGCTCTGGGTTCATGTGTTCACTCTCCAATAATCTTAGGGGTAAACCCAAAGTCACAAGGCCAGGACACCTGCACACATTACACAATAAAATGCTACTTTAACAGGAAAAATTAAAATATACTTGGCTTGGGCAGTTAGAGCAGTGAGCAACCCACCCTTGCATCCAAGTTCAAATCATCTTATCTGTCGTTAGATTAATTTAAAGTAATTTAAATAAAAATATATAGACTTACGAGTTTCAAAAATTAAGTTCGGTTAAACAAGTGAAAATGAGAACAAGTTAAAAGGAAACTTACACATTTGCAGCAAATACAAAGGTCTCTACTGTGCAGCATTTGGGAAGCTTAAGCAGAACAGCAGTTCTGCTGCTCCGATTGATCACAAACTTTAAAAAAGTGGTGACAGAGAAACGATCCCGATCAATTTGAAACTCACTCGCAAATCTGTCCATAAGATTTTGAAAATCTGGACATTCAAAATCATCCCAAGGCCAAATCTCAGTACGTTCGTTGTCTGGAAATATGAGACATTGCCAGCATGAAGGATTAAGGGTCACTTTGTACCATGTCTTGCACACAAAAGGGACATCCAAAAGCACTGACTCCATTCCAACTTTCTCGAACACTTTCACCAAGCAGTCCATTTCTAAGTCCTGCCATCTTCGGTTGTCCATCTGCAAGAGTATGACAAGGAATTAAAAGAAATATCGAGCACTAAGACAAAAAGATTACTAAATAATAAACAGAAACCTGGGAAAACAATCACCTTAAGTTGAAGAATGCAGGGCTGAATGCATATGGTAATCATTCATAATAAGAACCAACAAGAGAAATAATTGATGGGGTGTTGGAAAATTGTTCATTCAATAAGGACTTTCTGCATTCCAATGCAGTGCATGCTCTGGATGTTCAAAAGGACTTTTCCCATTCCAATGCAGTGCATGCTCTGTAGATTCAAAAGGACTTTCCACATTTCAATGCAGTGCATTGGTTTCGGAGGCTGATTAGGGCTACGCACAGTTTGATTAACTGGACCAAGTGCTTAGAACTGCGTACCAAACTGAAACCGATCAAGTCGATGAAGGAAATTATGGGACCAACATCGACCCACCACTCTCATCTACCGACCACACAGTTGGTTCATGACCAAGCAAATGGTTCGATGCAGGTCGGTTTCAGTGAAGAAAGAGAGCGAGAAGAAAGAAAAAGAAAGGTTGAAGTACTAATAATGCATTATTGCAATACTTAATTGAGAAGTTTGTATCTGTACAATTCAATGTAATAGCACAAGCTATAATTAGTGAAAAAACTTCAAACTGATGTAATAGCACAAGATATGCTTACTAGATTTATCAAGACATTCCTACAATATGTATACATAATGAGATAAGCAATGCCTATTGCTGTAACATGATCTTGCATTAAAGAAATAAATGCTAGTGAAATATAGAAGAAGATTACATCGTGGGGTATTTTGATTGCATGGAAAATTCCTCTGGAGGCAATTCAATCCAGGAAGACTGTAAACACAGAGAACAATTATTATTTATAATAATTAAACTGTAGTGGAAGAATCCATTAAACTGAAAAAGTGTAATAGCAATCACCTTATGTTTGAACTATCGGTCTAAAAAAAGGGTATTTCGATTCAACTCACGTTATGTTTGAACTGTCAAATGTGAAGTTGTTGACCACTAAATTCTTGCATAAAATCATTAATCAATCCACATATGAAGATGAGAATTTCGTGTTCAAGATCTCAACATATCAGTACTTCAAATCCATCCCTTCTAATTTATTGAATTTCATTCATGTGGTATTATATATGCACAATGAAGGTGATTTGGACCATAAAAATGAAGGTGAAAGATAAAAAGGAGACATACAGTTGCGATATTGTGGTTACCCATGGGGGAAAGCTTCCTGAGAAATAGTTGCAAGACAAATCTCTGCACATAACAATACAGAATGAGAAGGCACAAAAATGCATGAAAGTTCAAAGGAATTTAAGTAAGAAAAAGGTTGCCAGAATATGCACACACACACACACACACAGAGTACTGGTTTCATTGCCAGTACATATAGCATACTTTTATGACATTAGTCTGAAGTTGATTGCTCTTTTGGCTTGGAAGAGGTCCAGACAGACTATTGTTTCCAAGAAATCTGGCCATATCAATTATAGGAGGCACCCAGGAAAAAAAAAAAGAAGAAACAAGAAAAAGGTGAGATGAACGACTAAGTTTCTGAGCAGGAAATTCAATGGCATAAGTACAGAAAAGGGGAATAATGAAGGCATGCCTTATTACAAATATGTAAGAGAACTCATGTTGAACAAAGAACTTGGGAGTTCGCCTGTTAAATTGTTGAAACCCAGATCCCTGCAACATGAGTGATAAGCAAATTAATTGGTATCTTTGGGATTCAAGCTTATATATCTGCTGGAACGCACAGTATCTGTAAACGTTGATATTCTCCAAAATCAGTAGGGATGCTACCATTGATTAATGTATTCCGTAGAACTCTGTTACACCACCAAAAAAAATTAGTGGACAAGTAAATGGAGTAAGATTTTCAATTTGAAAAGGAAAACGAAGTTTGATCACAGTGCGTGAATGAATGAGGTGTTAACTTACAAATCAGTTAAGTTCTTCAAATTTCTTATGAAATCAAGAGACGAGCTCACATAATATATATCACTGATTCGCCTTCATTATCATACACAAACATAAATGATGCCCAGTAAATGGAGGGGGGAGAGAGAGAGAGAGAGAGAGAGAGAGAGAGAGAGAGAGAGAGAGTTTAAGCATTTGCCCTTACAGAGATTCCAATGAAGTCAGTTGAGAAAAACTGGTTGGTATCGGGCCTTCAAAAGAGTTCCCTTGAAATCTCCTACAAAAACATTTGAGATGCTTGTGAATAAAAGACCCATCTCAGCCATGCAGATCTGCTTTCATAAACTGCAGAAGGTTAAAAGTTTGCCATACTTACAAAGAAGTCAGTTTTCTCCAATTCCCAATGAAAGAAGGTATATTCCCTGAGAAAGGATTGTCTGATGCATAGTTAAAATTCAAAAAGCTGACTCATAGTAAGCTCATCCCAGAATAGAAATCTCAAAGTACTGAATAAACAAAAAACTTACCGGATTTTCATTTTGATGAGCTTAGCAAATGTTGAAGGAATTTCTCCACTGAGTCCACAACTGTCCATGTAACTGTGAAAATAATAAACTGATTGCTACCAATGTCATATGATAAACGCATTCCTTGCTCATCGATAATGAATTAACAAATAAACCGCCCCTTTAAGAGAAAATAATTACACATTGCAACATGTGATTCAAATTCGATGAGTTAAATGAAGCACTCACAATAGCCCGAGATTGACTAAGTTACCAAGTTCTGGAGGGAGTGTTCCAGATAAATTATTTGATCCAAGGGACCTGCAACAAGTCATGTTGAAGAGGTATAGAATTAAATGATAGGGGGTTCTATATTTAACATGTCCCAATAGAGCATTTCTCAGTTGTCTTTGCTTACAGCATAGTTAGCTCCTTAAGGTTTCCAAGCTCCTTTGGGATGGGCCCAGAGAATGAATTGTGGGCAATTGACCTGAATGGAAATATCAATTAAAGATATTAGCACATGTTTATAATTCAGGATGAAAACAGAGTAATTTTATGTATAGTACTATGTGCTTCTTTGGCCCATATGGTATAACTCACTTGGGAGTCTATGCTTCACTACTTACAATACTGTCAACGCAGACATATTGCCGATGAATGCTGGTAGGGGACCGGTGAAATAGTTCAGATCAAATTTCCTACAAGAATTGAAACAAAATGCAATGACCAGCGATTAATCTCTGAGTATAAAAAATATTCGTGACAATTTTGAACGGTAAGAAACCTGTGTCTTTTATATGAAAATGTTAACTGCGATAAACCAAACAACAGAGAAGGGGTTTGGAAAAACTTCATACAAAACGGCCAGATATCTTAAAGCCTCAAATTCTTTTGGAAACACCCCTCGTTTGTTCAGAGCGTGAACTCGACTGGAAAGAAAAAAGATTGAGCAGTTAGGCACTTAATATTACAATTGATATATCAGGCATGTTCTGCTTAGTTTTCTAAACTTGATAATTAATTGATTTGCTACAGTCAACAACACAAGACTAAAGAATATGGAGAGAGAGAGAGAGAGAGAGAGAGAGAGAGAGAGAGAGAGAGAGAGAGAGAGAGGCTGGATTATTCTCTGGCTTTTCAAACTCGCTTCCATTGATGGAAAATCCAATGCATTGCTCTCATCCACTGATAGGCAGGGCTTGCATGTCCCATTGCTTGAATATTGAGATCAACGCCGTCACTGCATTCTCAATTCAATCACTGCGTACACATCACATAACGTCTTTATGCTATACCTGAAAGATGGCTAGTACCTTCAGATGGAACGGTAGTAGCATTTTGAGCCATGGACACATGAAACCAGAAGCAGCTGAGAAAGCACAGACTGCAAAAGAAGCCAAAGGAAGCTGAAAGAGCCAATTGTTGTTTCAGACTTTCAGTCAATCGCAGTGTTCGAAAAATCGGCCTAGGCGGTCCCTAGGCAGGCTAGGTGGCTAGGCTGTCGCTAGGAAGGCGCGAGGCGGCTAGGCTGTTGCTAGGAGGGCGCGAGGCCGCTAGGCGGTCGCTAGTCGGGCGCGAGGATGCTAGGCGGTCGCTAGGCGGCTAGTCGGTAGCTAGGCGGGCGCTAGGCGGCTAGGCGGCTAGGCGGTAGCTAGGCGGGCGCCTAGGCTGGTTGGGTCTTTTTTTGTTGCCGAACCCGGAGGAAGAAGCAGCCGGCACCAAAGAAAACGAATCGAAGCTTGAGTTGATGGAGAAGCGAAATGGCTTGACTGTGAGTGCGAGTGCAAGTGCAAGCTTCGTGTTCGTCTGGAATAGTATAGCCGCGCGGCTATACTTTTAAAATATTCGAATGTCTTTAAATCGGCAATAAAGAAACAAGGCCTTATTGGATATTTTGGACGACAAAATGTCAAATTGTCAAGGATGATGAATTGCCGAGCAGTTTGATGATGTGGAAACTAAGCCCTACTAACGTCATCATAGAATCGATTTTTCAACATTGAATAAAATTTCTTTTAACTGAATTATATAAATTCACAGTTTGAGATGCAAATCAATGATCAATTGAAATTTTCCTCAGACTTGTATAGAATATTGAGAAGCCTTTTGGTGTTGTCAGTGTTGAATTTAGGAAGAAGAAAACAGGGGAAACATTGTTGTCAAACTGGTGCTTCTCCCTATACACTCAATAAACTGTGAACAACTTTAAACCAACAATTCAGTGTTCCAATTTACAAATTTTGCTCATGTTTATAGTTCAAAGAGTTTCACATGCAAACAATGCTCAATAGCATCTCTCCTCAGACTGATTCCAATTCGAAAAAGTTGTTAAAAACCAGAAGATTCAATTGCTTAACCTTTAGATCGTAACATGATACAACTGGTTCATGAAAAAATAATCTAAATCAACAAAAAAAAAGTTGATTATTTAAGTCAATTCTTCAAAATCGCATTCCTCATCATAATTGCATTCATCATCATAATTGTATCCATTATATTTGTCATTTGCAACATATGAATCGTCATCTTGGCCTTGTCTGGCTTCAGCCTTTTCACTGTAACCATTACTTTCACGTTCAAACTCATCATCATGATTGTTCTTCTCATTTGACAGTTGCATATCACCAAGACTGCCACAATTAGACTTTGTGCCTTCCTCAAATGCAGGTGCATAACCCTGATTTTACACATGAAGAAAAAGATCAGATGAATCAAATTCAGTATCTATTAAAGTTCAGGCAATTACTCGCAGAGAGATACCTCCATTTTCTAAAACCTACCAGGATTTTTAACTAGGAACTACATTGCAAAATCATTATAAAATGACAAAAAAAAAACTTTGAACCATATAACTACCCCATTAACTGCCCAATTAGTTAACTGATCATTCATGTAAACCACCAGATTGATTTTCAGATATCACAGTTTCATGTCTTAATCCATGCTTAATAATAATATACCATCTTCCAAAGATTATTCTTTTATGTATTAAGTTCTATCCTGGAGTAGTTTGTGTGACTTGGATATACCTTTATTCCATTAAATAGGAATTTGGTGTCTGCACACTAACCAGACATTAAGAAAACAAAAAATATATTGAACAAGTAACATCATTTGACAATCGAAATTAAACGTGCCATTAGATTTGATTGGCTTTTAGTCGCTTGTAGTCTGTGCATCAGTGAACAAGACCTTGGATGTTGACAGAACATAATATGGGATTTGCAAAGCATGAATTAAGCAAAATTGATTCTAAAATAAGACATATAAAAGATGCTTACAAGCTCTTCATTTAATTATCCAAAGCTTCATAGTTGATTTTTGCACTCAGCCTCTGCAAGAACAAAATGTCACATTAGTATGTGTTAAATAAATTATAAGTAGGACAATCAACATTGCAGGAAAATTTAAGGACCAAAAATCCCATAAACCAGTTTATTATTAACTTACATTCTTAGTATCCATCACAGTAGAAACTTTGACAGCCTTTTCTGGCTTTTTAGCAGGAGCAGCTTTCTTGGCCATTCTGGCTCGTTTTCTACTCTTTCCCTGCCAATTTTATAGTTGCACATAGAGATCAATACATAAGACTCAATGCTGGCAGTAAAACATACACAAATAATCGAAAGATCAAAAAATAAGTCAAATGCAAATAAGATTGAAGTGAAAACTTTCAACACAGTATGCAGTGTGTGACTCAAATAACAGCTCAGAACTAGGCAAGAACTCCACGCTGGATGAGACTTCCAAGCCTATGCTTCAGATCCAATGCACATATGACATGCAGCAAACATAAACTCAAATAACAGCTCAGAACTAGGCAAGAACACCAAGCTGGATGAGACTTCCAAGCCTATGCTTCAGATCACAATGCACATATGACATGCAGCAAACATAAACTCAAATACAAGAAACGAGGTCAGTTTTAAAAGTGAAGAATTCCTGCACAATCACAGAGCTAAGGAGAATGAAGAGGCAAATAATGCAGGGGCTGATAATCATGATTAACTACATACATAACCTCAATGATTTTTAATCTAAAGACTCAAAAGCCAAAAATATAGATAACAAATAAAAAGAAACCATGGAACAAACAGAAACTAAGAAAGCCCCTAGCATTGCACCGAATCCTTGTGAACACACATGATAAAATTTATGGATTTCCAAAGGCATTACCTTATCATAGTCCTTGTTCATTGCTTCCCAAATCTTCTTTTGAACAGTGCCGCCTGCTTGCTGTTAAGGTACCCAACAACCTACAAACCACAAGCATCATGCCTTCCATGTCAAAATTCCAAAAATAAAAAATTGAAGCAACAATGATATACAAATCCAAATCAAAGACAGCACTTTACTGATAAGTCTAGATCAAGCACTATGTTTATACCATATTTGACCAAGCAACTAGAAGCAACTCTAGGCAAAGCAAAGAGTCCCACATTGGAATATTACAAGAAGTGAAGGCTCCCCCTCATCTATAAAAGGAGACCACTCTCCCCTTAGAAAAGGATCCTTGGGCTAGGCTTGATATTTAGTCATGGCCTTCTCCTTTCTTACTTTTATATTTGGGTCCAACCCCATGTACAAATGTAAATACACAATATTATAATAATGAGAATATACTTCTCCGTGGACGTAGCCCATTCATTAAGGGTGAACCACGTATATCTTGTCTTCTGTATGTTTATCGCTTGCTCCAATCCTCACACACTTGGTGAAGGTCCTCACCTTCACCCATCATCCATCACACCTCATCACTAAGTTGGCCTCAAAAGTGCCGAACCATTTTTGAGCGTCAACACACTATATACCAAGTGGCTATGATGGAAGTGATCTTGAAGAAAGCTGATGGATCATGGGCAAGGGGTAACTTTCAGTCAGGATCACTGCTATTGTCTGTCATTAATTTTTACCCTCTATTTTCAAACATAGAAAATGTGGTAGATTGTCATGAACCAAGAACAAAACTTTTCACAATAACCATGAAAGGATATTCCAAGAGCATTGATATGTAGATTAAATTCAAATCATCATTGAGGAATTTGAGCATCTACCTTCTATTCATCAACGTGAGAAAAATGGGCAACCACGATTAAAACTCAAGAAAAGCAAGAGCAATATACCGCTGGTTTTTATTTTCAAAAATAGTACAGGCGCGCTTCTATACTATGTTTGACTTAGGCATAGATATAATCACCAAAACCTGCAACACATGATCATGAACACTTCAATGGAGAAATTGATGGTAGGGAGCTTAGGCACTGATTCGAGTAGCTTAGATCATTTAAATTTTCTTTTTTTTTAAAAAAATAATACTTGCGTACGGTTGCTATTTTGGGGGAAAAAAATAGTATAGCCGCTCGGCTATACTATTAATAAATAAAAAAATACCGAACAGCACCTTAGGGCCATGTCTGACCAGTATAGCCGTTCGGCTATACTGTTTACAAATTTAAAACAGGGACCCGCCTAGCCTTTCAGCACCCACGTGTGAAAACAAGTATAGCCGCGCGGATATACTAATTTTTGTTTAAAATGCCCGGGTATAGCCAAATGGCTATACTGTTTTGTAAAATGCGCAAGCAGGGTATAGCCATGCGGCTACACTATTTGCTATTAAACAAATGTCAAACTCTTCCTTCAAAATTATAAAGGCCATATGAGTCCACGAATATGGCAAATCACAAAATATCACAAAATTGCACTCTCACCACACACACACGTAGGAAACACATGGCTGCACATACGAGAGAGAGAGAGAGAGAGAGAGAGAGAGGAGTTTTATGCAAAGTGTGAGAGGGTGGGGAGGAGGGATGGTGATGCGATGGGTTTTGGGTGGGCGGAGGAGGCTGCTGCGCAGTAAGGGTTTAAAGTTGTTAGAAGGGGCGGCAAGAAATGAGAAGAAAATCTGTAAACATTATTAATTCTCTCTCTCTCTCTCTCTCTCTCTCTCTCTCTCTCTCTCATTGCAGGTGTATATAGATGAAAAGCAGAGGCTTCTAGATTACGAAAAATCCATAGTCTGCATTACGAAAAATCGGCCTAGGCTGCCTGGGCGGGTCTGGGCGTTGGCTAAGCGTTGCTAGGCGGGTCTAGGCGGCGCTAGGCGGATCTGGGTGCCAGGGTGGGTCTGGTTCTGTTCTTTTGTTCTTTAAGCCCATTATCAAGCATACGAGCATATCTAAAGGAGCCTATTACTCCCAGGTTTCACATTCTTTTCATTTTGTTGGATTATCTTCTTATGACTAAACATAATTGATCTGCTAGGTGCACTTTCCGCTTTAATTTTTTACTTATGAATTTGTTATGTATACATTGATAATTAAGTTTTGGTTATTAACTAAGAAGCATGGATACGCCAATTTAGTGGCGTATCCCGTATCGGATACTCGTTTGGATACGATACGCTTCGGATACAGTCCGATACGCATTGGATACGTATCGCAGTCAACGGATACGTCAGTTGACTAACGGATACGAGTATCCGACATTCCAGACACGAGTATCTGACTTTTCGGATACGAACCTCCGGGCGAAGTTTGCCGTTGAGGAGCCCCTGGGTGCTGCGTGTGAAGAGGAAGGGAGGGGGAAGAAGAAGAAGAAGATGTCAGACTGGAGGGAGGTAGAGAGGGAGGGAGAGAGAGAGAAGAAGAAGATGTCAGACTGCAGGGGGAGAGAGACAGAGAGACAGAGAGGGAGAGAAGAAGAAGATGTCAGACTGATCTCAAGTGACGACGTCGTTTGCTAAAACAGGATTTGTAATAGATATATGTATATATATATATTTTTTCATAGATCTGTTTATGGGTTTGGGTCTTAAACAAATGGGCTTTGGGTAATGATATATTTGGGTGAAAAAAGCTATAGATGCCTAAAAATATAAAGAATCAGAAAAGAAAGCCCAAAATGCTACACTATATTTATAATTTATAATTTATAATCTATTTAAAATATATTTTAGGTTATATATATTTATTAATATATATTTATAATAGCCGTATCCATGACGTATCGTATCCTAATTTTTGAAAATTTGCCGTATCCCCGTGTCGTGTCGTGTCGTATCACCGTATCCGTATCCGTGTCCGTGCTTCTTAGGTTATTAATGAATCTGGAAATTCTGATATGCTTTAATGCAACTCTAGTAAAAGGAATACATAGTATACAACCAGAAAAACGTACAAGGAAAAGTCTTAAACTGTTAGGGCTGTGCATCTAAAATAATTGATTTCAGAAAAACTATCAGGAATAGAAATAAGGAGAATTGAAGCTGTCTAACAGGGTGTATAAATGAATTGGCTTGATTCTAAAGATTGAAGTAGCATATAGCTTTGTTTTTTTGGGTGTTGTAGCAAGAGCACTTGTTACAGAATTTTTTTTCACATGGTAAAGAAAGATAATTTCATCTCTAAAGAAAATAAAATATGAGATGAGCACCTACATGCCTTCAAAGTTAAATTTCCCTACAGATTTAACTAAAGTTTCAGTGATCATGTTTAAAGAAAGATTTTGTATTGGTTGAATTGCCAAAGCACTTCTTTGAATACAACATCTTAAATATTCAAGGCTAAATGATCAAAATGGCATTATGAAGTTTTCCTCTCAAAATGAGGACTAGTATGGTTCAATTCATAATGGCACAAGATAAGACATCATGTGGTTTAGTCTTGTGATCTAGTTTATATAAACAGGTTGTATTCTCCTCAAAAGTGAGAATATAGCATACATACAGTTGTGGGAATAAAGATGTTTTAAATGATAGCCTAAAAGAAACTTGAGCTTTAACCTTGTTAAAGAACATCAGTTTTTAAGAACTCTATTCATTTAAATCCTCTGCAGTTTGTTTCAAGAATATCATATTGTTTTTTGTTTAAAGAACACTGACTTATTTGGTTTAGTTTTCAAGTGGTATAAAGTACATACAGTTTGGACACATAAGTATTTCAAGGTACATGTCAGTTCTCATAATTTTGGTTCAGTTTTCAGTTTTGAAATCTCAAATATGATGTCTGTTTGGATATCTCTTGTGTAGAATTTCATGTAAATTTGTATTGAATTTTTGGTGGATTTATAAAGTTGATACAGATGCACATAAACTTTCCTGACAGATTCTGGACTATGAGTAAAGATTAATGAATGACTCATCTGAAGCTTTTCACATGACCTGTAGCTTTTGCACGATGGACGTATATGTGTCTTCTCATAGACTGCAAATTTTCGTGGTTATTGAATATGGATTTTAATTTTGGCAAATTTTTAAGTAACTTTAATTTTGGAAACCATTAGGAATGTTTGGCTAACTGAATTGGTTCAAGATTCTCTTCAGGGTTTCAACATTGAAACAATAGAGAATTTCATGCTCTTAAATAGGAATTAATATGGTTTGTTAATTTCTTTAAAGATTTCTTGTGAATGTAGGACATAATTTGTGGTATTACAGTTGCTAACATCACAGTTTATGCATAAAGTTTTATCCCTTGACCCCTGAATGACATTCACAGAAAGAATTTTCTTATTTGATAATTTTTGGGAGTCTTATGTATGCACGAGTTTGTAATAGGCCAGACTTGGCATTTGTCATCAGTGTGTTAAGTAAATTCCGGTCCAATGTTGGAAACGCTCATTGGAATGCAGTAAAGAAAGTGTTTTAGGTATCTGTAAAAGGCAAAGAGTAACATGCTGGTTTAAAAGAGAACTAAAGATTTTTGCAGGATGTCCTGAAGTACGTCGACCTCTAGTAATGTATTCTTGTTGGATGAAGGGGCAGTTTATTGAAAGGAGTCAAGGAAGCAACAGTTGCAGTTTTATTGTAATAATACAAGAGCAGTTTTATTCTAAAGAAACAATAAAAGATCTGTAGGTACCAAGCATTTTCTTGATGGTTAAAGAAAAGATCAAGGAGAGGCATCTCAAGATAGATTACAAAGATACAAAGTCTATGGTTACATATCCACTTAATAAAGCTGTGCCAGTAGATGTTTTAAGAGCCATGTTGAAAGGATGAGGATCTTGGCAAGCATTCATTCAACAAACTTGATTAGTTCATATCTTGATGGCGTTCCATGTAGATGAAAGATTTGTGTACATGATCTTGGGGAATGTTTTTAAGTTTAAATGAACATTACTCCCTCTGGTCTTGCATAAATACATTCATCTGACAGGAATTTGATTATAGGAATTTTTTGTTGTGAACTCATGGCCATACAATACAACTGCGTTTGAGCTATAGATTGACTGTTAGCCCTAGTGGGAGACCGTAAGCATAAATAAGGGCTTTACACTCATCCTAGTGGATTACAACTCAAATGCAGAAGTAAGTCCATTTACAATTCACCTTGTTGCTCATACAGGTGCTGATACAAGAACAAATTTAAAAGCTTAAATGAATTAGATTTTTCACTTGAGGTGGTGTAATATTTCAATATTTTTTTTCTGTTCTTTGGTGGGTTGGTTTTGTGTTCCTATGTGCAAGAGGAGGAGGAGACATCTTTTTTTTTTTTTTTTTTTTTTCTCTCAGCAAACAAGAGGGCATGATCAAATGTCAAAATCTATAACAGAAATGCAATATCCAAAGAATGAAGAGCAGTCCAACCAAGAAGAACCATCAATGGATGAATATTGAATGCATAAAGATTAATCAAGTTTCATGCGGAGTTGGCAGAAGGGAGGAATTGTCATCGTTGTCGTTGGTGTGGTGAGGTGAACATGTCGTTTGAGAGAGAGCCAAGAGAGGAGAATAAGGCGGGAAGCATGGAGGGGAATGGAATTAGAGGCATGAGATCTCTTCTTCTACGGAACTGACTTGTGCTTCCCAATTTCAATCTCAAGCTCAAATTTGCAGCAAAATTTTTTCAATTTCGGGTTTCAGACTTTCAGTCAATCGCAGTGTTTGAAAAATCGGCCTAGGCGGCTAGGCGGGTTGGCTCATTTTTTGGTACCGAACCTAGAGGACGAAGCAGCCAAAACCGAGGAAAACAAATCGAAGGTTGAGTTGATAGAGAGGCGAAATGGCTGTGACTGCAAGTGCAAGCTTAGTGTTCATGTTGAATATATTGAAAGCGTATAGCCGAGCGGCTATACGTTTAGAATATTCGAATATTTTAAAGAGAGTAGCCGAACGGCTATACACGGCAGCTATACTCTTTAACTATACAATTATATCATTTATGGGTTTAGGGCTAAAATACCACTTTAGCCCATTGGGCTACAGTTATTTCTTCAATTATTTTATTTATACAAGCGACGTTGGGGAATGAGAATTTAAATTCTTTCCGATACATTCCATTCAAATATGTAAAATGTTGCTACTGGGGTGTGGATGAGGGTGAGGGTGAGGGTGAGCGAGCCATCAGAAGGGAATCTGCACGGTTCAATTCCCCAAGTCTTCTCCGCGTAGTCTTGGATTGTTCTGTCTGCTAAATATCCCTGATCCGGCTGTGCTAAGGATGCTCATCTGAGTCCACTTATTTGGATCCGCAAATGCTTTATCAACGGCAGCCTGTAGTCATATAGATTCAAATCCCATGCACCATAGTAAGTTATACAACACCATACTTCCAAGTGCATATATATGCTTTGGGTTGGGACTGCCAAGTAAACAGAAATAATTACCTGAGCCTCTAAATTGCTCTCAAAATCAGAACCAAGCAAATAGAAGTCTTTACCACCGTCCACAGTATCACATAGAGATTGAAAATAGTCTTTAAAGCCGAAATAGCCATCTCGGACCATTACACAATGGCCAAAAACGACACCAAACACATGCCCTCTAAAGAATCTGAAAATTCTAGACTGGTCACCCCAATCACTAACTGGCTAAGTGAGTAGGATTGAAGTGACTGTAATTGCGTACCTTATAACACGTGCACATTGCAGTGGTATTTTAGAAAGATCCTTCCTCACGCAATTTGGGAACTTCAAGAATCTTTGCCCCAAACAAAAACTGGAGAAAGCAAATTCTAAGAGAATTATCATTGCTATACTACAAAAAAGTATATACTATATACCAATCTAAAATCTTGAAATAGTGAATACACAGATTCCATCTTGCAGAAGTTACAGCAAAAGAAAATTTCAGTTGGTCTACAATACTTGACATCACAATCAGCTAAGCTGAATACAACTACTTGTGACGCTTTCAGCTAGTGAGTTTTGATGAGAGCAACTCTGATTAAGGACAATACCACAAGAAAATACTTAAATAGGACATATTTCTTGAGAAAAAGTTGCGGCAGAAAAGCGTACAGAAATAATTAAAAAGAAAGAAAATTGACTACATACCGTAAAGAAAACTAATTCCTCATTTGCAAGAGCTGCTTTGAATTCATTCTTTTCCAGTTTCTCTTTGATGAAATGTTGTAACTGCATAAAGAAAATTGGCCTAGGCGGTCGTGATTGTACATAATGGTGCAGTCCTCAACAATATAGCATATGCATTCATGGTTAGAAAACCTGCTAAATGAGGTAATACAAGCATCTGTCATGTAATTCTCAGTGTTTTACAACTAATATTTGGAGGTAGGAAGAGACAATCCGTTACATGTTTAAGTTTTGCAAAGATTTGTGGCTCAACATCTTCAAGATTGAAGTGATATAGTTACACGTGCCTTCAGAGTTCTTGAAAATTAGAAAACCAACCACCAAAATTTGGAAACTACTCTATAAAAGTAAAGAGATATGCAAATATAAACAACAGCAGACTTAATGGCAGAAAACTATAAAGATGTATCATAGGAGTGGCCTCAGTGTCCTCCTAAGAACATTGAAGAAATATTTTCCTTTTCCAACACCTGTTACAGACCAATTAGCAAAGGACTTTTGATACATACCTCATGGTGAGAGCTTTTAAATTCTGCAAAAACTCTCTTGAACTGATGAAAAGGTCGATAGAAATAGGATCTGAAGTTAGGCCCAAGCGTCTTTAGCAGAGGGTCATCAGAACGGTTTTTTATGAACCGCAAAACATCATATTTGTTGAGTTAATGTGAGATTATATTTTGTAAAAAGCAAAATAGTTTAATTGTCGAAAACACTTGATGTTGTCAGTGCTGACGGGATTTAAATTCCCGCGACAGTTCACAGATGGTCAGAATATTATATTGACTATATATCAACCTATCTGAAGTTCTGAACTACTACTACGAGTGTGGGATATCTAATATTACCTTCAAGAATGTGCATCTTGTGAATTGTCGTTGAACCCTTCAAGAACGAGCTCTAGGCGGGCGCTAGGCAGCTAGGCGGTCTCTAGGCGGTCGTTAGGCGACTGGGCGGTCGTTAGGGGGCTAGGCTGTCGCTAGGGATATCCAATATTACCTTCAAGAATGTGCATCTTGTGAATTGTCGTTGAACCCTTCAAGAACGAGCTCTAGGCGGGCGCTAGGCGGCTAGGCGGTCTCTAGGCGGTCGTTAGGCGGCTGGGCGGTCGTTAGGAGGCTAGGCGATCGCTAGGGGCCAGGCAGGAGGCTAGGCGGGTTTGGTCTTTTTCCGGTGCCGAACCCGGAGGACGAAGCAGTGACTGAGAGAGCAAGTTCCGTCCTCTGCGAGTGCAAGCTTCGTGTTCGTCTTGAATATATTTGAAGAGTAGAGCCGGTCGGCTATACTTTTAAAATATTCGAATCCATTTAGAAAGTATAGCCGACCGGCTATACTGTTAAATTTTAAAATACATTTAAAGAGTATATCCGCGCGGCTGTACGCTTTAAATATACAATTTTGTCATATTATTTTAGGGTTAAGGGCTAAAATACCAACAACAACCAAAAAAAACATGAGAAGAAAGCTCCAACTGCACATCATATCTCATTGAAAAATCAACAAATTATTGTCCAACAACTTCTTATATTACCGTGACAAGAAGATGAACTAGGTATGCACAATGCTAGAGGATGGTGATAGCTCCCTTTAGAAGGTATATGGTAGTTCTTTGTTAATAAGTTATAAAAATATGGAATGCAAAGTTTTTCCACATATAAAATCAGATTCACCTCGATACAGTCATATCAATGGATAATGCCAAGTATATTAAGCAGCCGCCTTTTGTACTCGAGTATTCGCTTTGTGTGCACATCAAACATTGTATCTAAACTAACCTGCAGTTGAAAGTGACAAATTTCAGTGTAATCTATTAGACATAGCTTCAAGACAAAAGAGAAAAGATGAACAGGATAGAAGTTCTAAGAACTTGTGACCAAAACTTCACACCACTCATTGCTTCAATGTACTCAGCGAGCCTCATTTTGTTAACCTTCTTAACCTACAACATGAACATATATACAACAGATTTAAATAATAATAATACAAAAGAAGAGCCAAAAGCTTAATATATTTTTGGTTCCTAAGCATATATCAAGCCTAGAGAGTACCATCATCCATTATTATTGAAGGTCAGGATCTGCTGCAGAACAATCGCAAGCATATGTGATATTACGCAAAATGTAGCGAAGGAAGTTAGAACAGCCATTTTCCAAATTAAGCAAACATCTTATAATGAAATCAAGATAGGAACTTATAACCAAGGTCTTAAATATCGATAGTTTCGGAAATATCGGTGGTTTAAAAACACAGAAATATCGATGGAAATTTAGGGAAAATATCGATATCGATAAAAATTGGATAAAAACAACGGAAATTGTGATAAATACATGGAAATTTTTAATGAAACTTTAGAAGAAGTTTATTTAATCAAACATCTATTATTTTGACACAAAAAATTGGAAGGAAATGCATTGCATAGTGGGTTTGAGTGATTTAAGTTGATTATATTGCGAGCTGACAAACTCTGTGACTTAGAAAATATGGAGTAATTAATGAAGAGAATTAAACACCCCATAGTAATTTATTTATCATTTTTTAGTACAATATTTTACACTTTATAAATTTCATGGTAAGATACATGTGTAACCTTATTTCACATTATTCATTGGACATGGTACACGTTCTTATATTTATTATTTATCAAAAATTGAAAAATAATTAAACCAACTTGACTTTTCATGAAAATTAGGCACTTTACCATACTTAAAAAATAATAGTGAAGATTGAAAATTAACTCAGAACATAAATAAATTTATCAAAGTAAGAATTAAGTAGTAAACAAAGAAAATAATTATAGAGATTTAAGTAATTAAGCAACAATTTGAAGGGGAATTTAGTAATGTAAGTACTTGTAATGAATAATAAAATAATCAATAACATTAAATGGATTAAATAGAAAAGAAATAAATTATATTAAGTAATTAAGTAACTGATCAACAATATAAAACAATAAGTAATTATGTTAATTTCTATTTTGAGAAACAGCTCGCATGTATTATAAATACATATTGCATAGTTATTATCACAAAGTAATGACTGGCGTGATGGTTAAGTGGTTGCAGACCTTAGAATGGGGAAGGGGTTTGAACCCCTGCATGCGTGAAGTGAGTTTTCTTTAATTTTTGAATGTTCAGATTGCAATATTATTGATAATATCGTTGTATATTGACCATTTGCAGCTGCCACGTGAACGAAAATATCGTTATCAAAATATCGGCGAAATTATCGATATTTAGTTCCTTGCTTATAACAAGCCCTCATTAGAGTAACAATGTCCAAACACACAAGATGAACACCACACCACACCACACTCAACACACATAATTGCTCATTAGTGTTGTAAATATAAAAATATATATATATGAGATCACTTAGTACAATCAAATAGTTCTTCATTAATTGTTACCACGAAGAAATTCAAAAAATTCAGAACCCTTGCACATAAATTTACTAATATGAGACGCAAGCTTTGATATTTCATCGTCGTTCTCATCAAAACCAGAACAGTCTCTGGCGTCCAACATCCCGATTAACTTTTGCACCCTTCAAATATAAGTACTTGATATTAGGCACCAACTTCACAATTGACAATGCCTCACGTCCATGAACAGAGCCTTTGATTCTTGCAATGTTTTTGTATAATTGCAAGTATTTTCGCCAAATTTAAGCATGAACCCAATGATAACACCTCCAAATTTTTCCACTTGCCAATCAGCTCTAGGATCATGTGTTTGCTGTCCAATAAATCTCCTGGTAAACTCGAAGTCACAAGGCCAGGACACCTGTGCAAATTCCACAACAAAAATGCTACATTTACATTTGCAAGGGAAATTAAACTCGGTATACTTTAGGGTTTTGAAAATTAACTTGTTTTTTAAACAAGTGAAGAAAACTTACACATTTGTAACAAATTCAAAGGCTTCTACTGTGTAGCATTTGGGAAGCTTGAGCACAGTAGAGTTTACAATGCTCCGATTGATCACAAACTTTAAAAAAGCGGTGACAGAGCAACGATCCCCATCAATATGATACTCACTCGCAAATCTATCCATAAGATTTTGAAAATCCAGGCATTCAGACACATCCCAAGGCCAGACTTCAATACATTTGTTGTCTGGGAAAATGAGCGGTTGCCAACATGAAGGATTGAGGGTCGCCTTGTACCATGACTTGCACACAAAAGGAACATCCAAAAGCAATGCCTCCATTCCAACTTTCTCGAACACTTTGACCAAGCAGTCTGTTGATGCTAAAAAATGGTTTGGCACCTTTCCCGCTCAATTTAGTGATGTTAGACCTTCGATATGCTTTTGGGCCTTGGTGGAGCACATGATCTGCAAGATAACGCACGCTTAGTAAGACCTTAGGGCACTGGTGTGGTACCGGCCAAAGGCTTTCCGATGCTTAAGTAAGTTCGGATATAGTAAACTTAAACTGACATATCAATAGACAATATGCCGTAAGTTCTGATTACCTCCATTTTGGGATAGTGGTCCTCTTTTATAGGCCTTGGGAGGTGTGCATATCATTTAGAATTTCGATGTGGGACTGTGGACGTCGATTATGGGCATGCCACGTGTTCTGAAGAGGGGAGTTGCCCTAATCGTCGGATCGGTGGGCAGGGTGCCGAAGGCTACCATGGTCAGGCTTAACCTTGTCCACGTTGATGAGTTGATTTTATATTATATATTTAACCCCATTCTTAGTATATTTTGGTTAATATTTTGGAAGAATTTTGATACTTTGAATTAGATTTCCAATATAGGACTTTCGACTCCCTCTGGAGCAAAACATAATCAAATGGACGAATTTTGGAGTAATTCCAGTTGGAGGACGTTCGTGAGTCACTTGGCTTGATCATATCAAAATTTAAGACTTTTCTACCAAGCGGTTATTTTCTGGCGATAAAATAAAGGAGTGATGTGCAGTGCTGGAATAGTGACGTTTTGGGCTTGTATTGCGTTTTTGGAGCCCAAGATTACCTTGGATGGGTTCATGGCCTTCTGGAGAAGTGTTCGGAATATTTTTATCTTTAAAACGAGCTATCTTGGGCCAGATTTGGAGGAGATTTGAGACTAAAACGTGGCTGGGCAGATTATGGGCAGATTCTCCTAATCCAATTTGGACTTTATTTCCTAGTCTTATTTTATTTTAACTTAGTTTCCTTGTGGGGATTGGGTAGCTAGGTTTTAGGAGGTATTTAAACTCCTTTTCACAGCAATTTAGGGACTCCCTTTTTACTTCTTTTTGGCTTTTGGAGCAATTGCTAGGGTTTTGGTTTTTCGCGACTTTCAGGTGTTTTCATTCTTATTCTTCTTAATGATATTTTCTTGGATTTCAATTGTGAACATGCGTAACTAACTCTCTTTTGCTAGGGTGAGGCCACGAGCCTTAGCAAGAATATGTAGTTTCTGTCCAATTTGCTTATGATTATATGCATGCAGGTTTTCGAATTATTCATCACTGGGTTAAACTATCTAAGTGTCTTGATGCTTGATCACCATTAGGATGTTTAGAAAAGTAATTTGATGCAGTTTTGGTCGGAGGTCGGTCCCTGAAATTGACGAAGGCTTCTTGTGATTAATATGTGCAAGTTCACTTAGGATGAATACCACGTCTTAAGGGTTGCATGGTTTTTTCAAAAGGTTTCACAGAACTTAATGAATCATGTATGTTTAGATTTAATCTGAATACCACAGACGGATTGCATGTGTGATATACGCTCTGTGTTGGGGGTCCAAGTAGGCATATATTAGGAGTACCTAACCTTCGAAATATGCATGTATAGGTCATAAGTAATTGGGGGAACTATATAGAATTGTTAAGGTGACGGCGGATCCCTAGTGCTTTCTTAATTTGATTTCTAAAAACACAACTGTTTCTCTTGCTCTTAGCTTTAATTTTGCATATTGCCTTATTTTTATTAGTTAAATTCCTTTTAATTTAAGGTCTTCAAATCAAACATCTCAACTTTCTCTTTTGCAATAATTAATTAGAATTTGGTTGCTACGAGTTATTTAATAATCCCTGCGGAGAACGACCTTGCGAGAATCATTTATACTACAATAACCTTGTCATTCTTGCAAGTTTTGTAGGAGTTTTAACCCTGTTTGCGCAGGTACTAAAAAGCCTATCACACGTGTCTGGTCCTCATAGCATGTTCATTTTGGTATAAACACAGTCCATTTCTAAGTCCTCCCTTCTTCGTTCGTCCATATGCAATAACGATTTAATATAACTACATCTGTATAAAATAAATTAATTAAACACCAAACTAAAAGAAAAAAATCATAAATTTCAAAAGAATACAAAGAAACTTGGGAAATTGTTCATTCAACAAGGACTTTCCACATTCCAATGCAGTCAGTGGCTCCACCACGGCGTCAGACGACCCCATGGCAGCCTTGGAAATGGCTTAGAGGTTATTGGCTTCTCTTGGCAACCATGGGAGACGACCCCATGGAGAAGAAAATGCAAGCTGCTAGGGAGAAGAAATAGGAAGGAAGAAGAAAGAGAGAGAGAGGGGGAGGAAGAAGAAGAAGAAAAGAGATGAGGAAGAAGATGAAGACTAAGAGGGAGAATAAGATGCGCCGACATAATTTTTTTTTAAAAGGAAGATCTTTGTTAGGGGTTTTTTTAATATTATTTTAATTTTGTTGAGTAGACATATAAATACTAAAAGTATAGATGAATAGCATAAAGACATCACTTACCATAGTGGTCTTTGAATAGAATTGGACCTTAAGGTTAATGGTTCAACACTCTTTTTTTTTTTTTTTTTTTTTTTTTTTTTTTTTTTTATATATATTATTATTATTTTTTTTTTTATTTTTGGGTGAGTTTAGTTTATTTATTTAGGTTGGTGTTATTATTTTGATGAAATTTATGGCTTACATAATACATATATGAGCTTGATTTATTGAATGATGTTTTTGTTAGTTGGAATAAGTTTGGTGTGTTTTTAAATTATTATTATTTTTGCATTATTTCATTTTAAAAAGAAAATTGGAACTTTAACATTATGACTCCATAGGGTAACAATCCTGGATCCGCCACTGAATGCAGTGCATGCCCTAGATGTTCAAAAGGACTTTTCACATTCCAATGCAGTGCATGCTCTGTAGATTCAAAAGGACTTTCCACATTTCAATGCTGTGCATTGGTTTCGGAGGCTGATTAGGGCTAAGCACAGTTTGATTAACCGGACCAAGTGCTTGGAACTACCTACCAAACTGAAATCGATCAAGTCGATGAAGGAAATTATGGGACCAACATCGACCCGCCACTCTCATCTACCGACCACAGTCAGTTCATGACCAAGCAAATGGTTCGATGCAGGTCGGTTCCAGCGAAGAGAGAGAGCGAGAAGAGAGAGAAAGAGAGGTTGAAGTACTAATCATGCATTATTGCAATACTTAACATGTGAAGCAGTAGACGTCCTGAATAATGAGGATAGCATAAAAAGATGCGGATGCTAGTGAGGGGAATTTATTCCACCTGTCAAGGAAATGCCAATTAAACTCATTTGCTGAAGACCTGATTAAAAGGTAACCACTAAAAACTAGAACCCCGATTAACTAACTATTATTCACTGATTTTGCAAACATAAAGCTCTTAATATCGAACACTATAAATATGGTCGTCCTGCATGTTGTGTATTAACCATATGCTATTGTTGAATGGAATGGTAATGATATACCAAGGGAATAAACTCATACTTGCATAGGAAAGAGAATAAGTCAACTCTAAATTAGATCATGATAAAGATAATCTTTTTTAAAGTAGTTTAGTCTGCAATGCATAGAACCCTTAATTTATTAAGTAGCCAATCACATATTCGTCGCACGAAGTTTTCCATACCTTCAACCACCATCTCTTTCCCCTCTCTCTATATAACCTTCAAATATTGGTGAACCTCCATCCAAGACGTCTTCCATTTGATGCTGCACACATGAAGTAACAAGGAGTTGAACATGAGAAACAGAAATATATAAGTTTATCCAATATTACCTTCAAGAATGTGCATCTTGTGAAGTGTTGTTGAAACCTTCAAGAACGCGCGCTAGGCGGTCACTAATCGGTCTCTAGGCGGCTTGGCAGGCGCTCCGGTGGAGAACCCAGAGGACGAACCAGTGACTGCGAGAGCAAGTTCCTTCCTCTGTGAGTGCAAGATTCGTTTAAATAATTGTATTCATTTAAAGAGTATAGCCGCGCGGCTATACTCTTTTAATATACAATTTTGTCATATTATTTTAGCCGGCTATACTCTTTTAATATACAATTTTTTCATATTATTTTAGGGTTTTAGGGTTAAGGGCTAAAATACAAACAAAACAAAACAAAAAAACATGAGACGAAAGGCTCTGTCCTCTACGAGTGCAAGCTTCGTGTTCAAATATATTTACAGAGTATAGCCGCGCAGCTTTAAATACACAATTTCAAAAATACCACTTTTGCCCATTGGGACTAGAGTTATTTCTTCAATTATTTTATTTATACAAGCAATATTGGAAAATGATAATTTAAATTTTTCAATACCTCCCATTTCAATTATTTCCAGCTATTAGCCCATTCTAATCATTCATTCCTTTTACTGGACATTGCTCATAGAGTATCTGAACCAATTGCCTAATCTAGAATCTCTTATCCTAGACTTTGATCATCGTATGTTGAACAGAGAAAACAACCCCTTCCATCCACTGGCATTTGTGCCTACTTGTTTGTCTTCACACATTAGGATAATCTCCATGAAAAGGTTCCCAAGAAAACGTGATGAGATGTATGCGACTAAGTATTTGTTATTTGTTGAAGTTCAGTTTGGTTATGAATAAAATGACTGTTTATACTATGACTGCTACTGGTGTTGTCACTTCTCCCCGCCCGAAAGAGGAGATATGCATGGGAATTTCAATGTTTGAATGTGGTTCAGAGAGTTGTCATGTTGAAGTTCTATGAGATGCAATGCAGGTCTCAGTTTCACATCACAGGAGTTCAAGGATCTCTCCAAGTTATTGTTCAAGCATCATCAATCTTTGAATTTGAAGTTCTTTCTATTCTTTCTAAGTTTGAAAGTGTGTTCTATTTCTTATAGACCTATCTACTGTTGAAATGTAACCGTGACACTCTGTATGCATACTTTATAGTGTGTGGATTGGATGTAATAAGCTGGTTCTGTTTTTAGTGGTGTATTGCATATTAGTTGTGTTTGAGTCTTCTTGTTTCTCTGCCTCTCGTTGTCTAATTAATATACCAAAATCACAAAAATAAAGTTTAGTATTGATCTAAAATTTGGTCCATCTTCTACATGCTGCGTCTCTCATTTGAAAGACAAGTTTATTGCCCAAAAAATTTCGAGTAGAACCATAAGTTGTGGGTAGGGCTTCAGCACACCAACTGTGACCGTCTTCAACCGTCGACATCCTCTCACTCCCATGACTGGATCTACCGGTTGATGAGGCCTTGGCATTAAGACCCTAGCCCGAGTTAAAAGACTAAAATTGTAGAGCATCATCTATGGAGTTTGGATTTTATTCTCCTTATTGCTGACTTTGATCATCGCTTTGTATTTGTGAATCTTTTGGATAGATATGCACAAAAACAGTGATGGCTAAGCCAGTTTTACCTCCATGATCCTCTTGTCATTAAGCCGGTTTTACCTTATATATAGGCATTTGTGAAATTAATAAGCCGGTTTTACCTTATGTCTTTCATTTGTTTTTGGGAATGTTTGGGATGGATGCGGACAGAGTTGTCATATGCAGTTTGTAACACTGAATTTTCTTTATCCGTACAATGAAATCCAACAAACAAAACAAAAGTACACAAGAGCGGACTAATGGATTCCAGACAAGAACGCCTTCTTGAGGGAGTTGATGAAGATAGAATTAGTTAGTAGTAGTTTGCCAGACGAGATTCTTTGTCTCGTACTTTCGTTCCTTCCAACGTTATATGCTGTGTAGACCACTGTTTTGTCTCAAAGATGGAGCAATTTATTATGGACTGGTTTGGCCAATCTAGACTTGGACGATGGCGACGATTTGTTTTCAGTTGAATTCACCTGAAAGAATTATAACGTTTGTCGATCGTGTGCTTTCATTACGTGATCAGTCACGCAACATCACAAAATTTCATCTTCACTCGTTCAAAGATTTATCTGATGTAGTCATTTTGCGGAGGGATTAAGGGGGGAAACGGTCCTTTTTTCTTACTTAAATTTCTTAACAGTCTGGTCTTGTAACAATCCTAAAGGTAAAGACAAGCAATCCCATGTCCAACGGAAATCAATCCATATGGCAACTTTCGCATTGTAAAATTTTTCTGAAATTTTAACGTTCTTTAGCACAACATTTGCTATTCCTCTCGAATTTGCTTTGCAGGACTATTACAAGTTGATTTTGCTCTGCAACTTCTTTTGAATCTCATTTCCTTGCAAATTTGATGCAAATATTTGAAATTTGTGAATTAAGCATCACCTTTGGGGTTTGGAGTTTATTCTATCACGCAAGAATCTAAGAGTTCGACTATATATGTGTTTTTTTATTCTTTTCTTTTTCAGAATATTCTTTTTGTTGAATACTAATTCAGTCATCATATTCGTTCTCAGGACAATTACAAGTTATATATTCTGCATACGCAACATATCTTTCAAATGGGGCACGCAACATGTAGAAGATCAACCAATTTTTATTTCAATGATAAACTTCATTTTTGTGATTTTAATTAAAGGCAGATTAATTAGAAAAATAAGAGACAGTGAAGCAGCAAGACTCAAAACACAGCTAACATGCAATACACCATTGAAACAGAACCAGCTTATTACACCCAATCCACACGCCATAAAGTACGCAAACAGAGTCTTATCCTTACATTTCAACTGTTGGTACTATACTTTGATTCTGTGCATACCTGTTAAGTGGTGACTATATCTTCCTCTGCACTGTTACCAAGTCTAGAGTAGAACCATAAGCTCTGTTTAGGGCTTCAGCACACCAGCCGTGACCGTCATCAACTGTCGGCATCCTCACTCCCATGACTGGATTTACTGGTTGATGAGATCCTGGCATTAAGACCCCAGCCAAAACTCGCAGCACGCTTGAAGCATCAATGTCCAGTATTACTCTTATTTCTGGAACTCCTTTGGGGGCCAGCGGAATTCCCGTGATCTTGAAATAGCCCAGCAAATGATTTTCTTCCACCTTCTTCCCCTCTCCTTCATACACAATTATCAGTGCTTCAGCTTGATTATCATGGGCGGTTGTGAAAATCAGATCTTTTTGTGCTGGCATTGTGGTGCTTCTAGGTATGATGGGCACAAAGTTGTTTCCATCAGCTCGAATACCAATGGCCAAAGGAGTGGCTTGAATGGTTAGCAAGTCCAAACTTCCAAAGGGATCACTAAGACCTGATGCCACCGCTCCTTCTAGTGCTGCTCCAGAGACAGCAGCTTCCAATGGGTTCATTCCTTTGTAAAGCTCCTGCTTTTTGCATGTGCTCATGACAAGGCTTTTTATCTTTGGAATATACGAACATCCACCAACAACTATTACATCGCTCACATCCTCAGTATCAACCTTTGCATCGTGCAAGCACTGGATTATGAGGCTCGCACACTTATCAAACACATCTCGGTTAACTTCCTCAAATTCCCCGCGATCCACAACCTTACATATTTTTGTTCCATTTCCCAAGTCAACATCAACTTGAACATTAGTTTGGGAGGAGAGACTGTGTATTGCCTCTTGGGTTGCAACTCGAAGTAAGCCCACAGACTTTATATCATCAAGTCTACAACTAGTTAAAAGACTCTCGGAATCTGGCAACAGATGACGCATCATATTCTGAAGCAAGTCTTCCCCTCCAATGGCAGATCCTGCTAAGGCTTTTATTTGAGAAACTCCTCCAGCCGTAGCAGTTACAGCTACATCACAGTATCCAGCACCCATATTGAAGATTAGAGCAATCTTCTCCGATCCAGTATTTGAGTTCTGAGATGCATTCTGTTGAGCATATAACAACGCAACAGCAGTTGGTTCAGGCATCAGCCTGAGTACATGAAGACCAGCCATGGCACAAGCTCTTTCAATACGAGTCAGCTGGAATCGGCTGAATGAAGCTGGAATGGTCAGGACAACATTTTTTATGGGCCGTTTCAACCGGATTTCTGCCATTGCCTTGAGTTCCACCAAAAATATTGCCACTACTTCTTCAGGAGTGGTGGACCTCCACACATTGTTGACCAAGGCTGCAATTAATGGGCGCACCCCAATGCCCAATGTTTGTACTAAAAACGGTAGGCTCTTGCTTGAGTGGACAACTGGATCAGTATCAACTCTGCCAATTAAGCGTTTCATGTTGAAGATTGCAGCTCCGGATAACACGTCCTGCTCATTCTCGAGTTGACTGCTTACTCCCCCTGATGGGTTCTCATCCTTGAATGTGACATATGAACGCATCATCTTCTGGTTTCTAGTATTCTTAAGGAGCTCAACCTGGGAGCCATTCCAGACCGCAACACTGCACTGTGAAGTGCCAATGTCAATTCCAATTGCAGTTTCAGAAAAAGTGGCTGACGATTTTTCCTCTCCAGTAGTTTCACTATCGGATGCCACGGTGTACGCTGGCTCAGCCATTCCTGCATTACAAAAGATGCAAAAGGATGAAGATGTGCACAAAATCATTAGAATAGAAGAGAGCAGAAGAGGAGACTCAGAGAGAAAAAAAGGAAAGAGTAGGCAAAAGTGTTACAACATTCATTTTAAAAGTCTGTCTAAAAGAGGAGAAACATTTGTATGTGTTGTTTATATTACCTCCCTATCACAACGTACTTTTTGGGATCAACCACATAACAACGGAATCCACATACATGCAGTAGAGGAAGGTAACCAGAACTTACAAAAAAATCTCCTCGATTATAATATGGACCATGACCCTTAGCCCAAGTGGTATGCAAAAAAACAAATACTCAATTTCTTGTACTCGTCATCAGAAGCACCATACAACAGATTGTGTACAGAGACTACAGTGAAACAGAAAAACAGCAAATGGGACTCAACGCAGCATTTTTTGTTCCAAAATATGGATTGGGGCTGAAACTTAATAATCCTTCAGAGTTACACAAATTTTGTTTGGTACGTACCATTTCAAAAATTCAATACGAGTTCCACTTTCCCCAGATTGTGCTGCCAAATCACCCAAGAACCAGTTATCCCAAGCAACTCCTATGAATCCCAAGGTTTCATGTATGATACCACCCTGTGTCTTCCTAAATTAGTATTCTACATATTGTTTACTTACAAGCTGACACAACGAAAATGATTCTCTTTTGCAATTTGAGGATTTGTTAAGATAATTCCTTATTGGTACTTGTTTTAAAAAAAACCAAGGCCATGTTCAATCCACTCCCTTAAAAACCACTAAACCCTCAAACCATACAGAAAGAATTGGCAAAATATAGTTCATTAACGCCTTCACACAAACACCTATCGGGTATTTTAGCCATTAGCCCATTGCATATTTGTTGGTAGAAATACAAGAGACCAGAACCCCACATATTTGACTTGAAATTGAATATATAATATCAAGACAGAGCATCAATTATCAAATCCCAGAATACAAATATGTCAGAAAATTGAAAACTTTGAAAAATGCAAAGAAATATGTGAAGAAGAGCTTGACAAGAAAGCTCGAACTCAGAACAAAAGATAACGCTCCAAAACAGAGACACGACCCCTTTGCATTTCCAGAAAGCAAGAACTAGCTCTTGGGTACCAATAAAAAATAACTCAGAAAACAGTAATGACTGAAGCAATAAAGCAGCGCATGCATTCATAATTTTGCCGAGACACAGAGATTTCTGAAGCTCTACTCTATGCATAAGCAGCTACCATAACATAACCGAAAAATAAAAAAATACATAAAATAAACGCAAAATGTTATGTAAAGGAAATGAGGAGGCACTTACAGTTGAGTAAGAGAGCAGAGCAGCAATGAGAGCTTAGAGCACAAACAGGGGAGAAAAGATACAACACAAGAAGAAGACGAAGAACCGCTTCGGTCTAGAAAGAACGAGAGAGAGTTGAGCATCTTCTTAATACAACGGTGCCCAACTTCTAGAGCTTCCTAGAGTGAAAGGTGGCAGCAATCACCTTTTTGCCTTTTTTTTTTTTTTTTTTTTTTTTTATTTTTATTTTAAAGTTTAGAAATGTTGAGCACTCGCACCTTAAGTTCTGAAGCCACCATTTACAAATTATTTTTTTTCCTTTCAATTAATTGTCCGTTTTATGCTCTTATGATTATTGATCGATAGTATGATGATCATTGATTTTCAAAGGCCATTCGATTTGTGCCATGTGTGATCAAAGTCCACAGCTTACACCAAAACTGCAGTGTAGGGTGCAGGATTTGCTTTCGGTGCTCGCTAGAAGGATCCAGACCGTAAGTACCGCCAGAATACATGGACTGGAATGGAATGCCTGTCGGTCTTGGGCTCGGCTTTGGAGCCCAAGCCCAAGCCCAGACAATCCCTCTATTTATTTTATTTTATTTTTTCAAGTTACGACGAAGTTATTTTTTAGTACAAATGATAGTCTAATAAATTACACAAGAGAGGTGTTTTCACACACATACTATTACCGTGTCATAGGAGTTTGTACCTGAAACCACTTGTCCGCAAGCCAATGTCTTTTTTCACTAGAATTAGACCTCGTTGATTATAAATAAAACCCATAATTCATCAAATGGAAAGTTTGAATTTTAATGTAAAAGGAAACGACTTTTGCCCTAACAAACTATCCTAATCAAGAATATCATTTCAAAACCTCAGAAAATGTTGGTGTGGTGTTGGCACTGTGGTAGCAATTTTCCTCCTGGGTGGATTTATGGAAGATCAACGCTCTACTTTAATATGTTTTTTCAAGATTCCCTGCAAAACAAGAACAATAATTGGATGAACATCGGCGTAGTGTTGACCAATAGCCCTCCGATGCATAAGTCAGAAAATAATATAAGGAAGATGTACACCGGTGGGGTATTTCTGAACAAGTATCTACAAAGGAAACAATTGAAAAGTAAATGAACCCATTGGTCCCTTTCCCAAAAGTCATAGCCAGAGCCGCCTTGGCTATAAGCTCCTCCTCCTCCTCCAAATTCCTCTCCTTTCTTCTCTTCCTCATTTCACTCTTCATCATCTCTACCCACGAACGGCAACCACAATTTGGGGTTGTTCTGAATTTAAACTGAGAATTTGAGAATTGGGCAGAGGACTAAATGCTGATCGAAGAAGAGAGGATGAGCCCTTGGCTTCATGGAGCAGCAGGTACTAACTAATTAGCCTTTGCTTCCAAAACTAGACCATTTACCATTATTTTTAAATATGGATGAAGTTTTACCATCAGTCACCATGGTTTCTAAGTAATGTGTTTGATGCAGGAATAGGGACATAGAAAACAAGGACATTGTGTTGTGGTACACCATGTGCCTTACCAAGAAGATTTTCCCATATTGCCAACAATTAGCAACCAGTTTGAGCTCCGGCCAACCAATTTCTTTGAAAGCAATCCTGTCCGGCCCCAATATGCGAAGAGGTCAAATTGCGCATCCACCTTCAACATTGTCCCGGGGAGAAATTCTGCTTGAAGGAAAATGAAACATCCAAGTATTGCACTTTCACTCTTTTTAACCTCCTTGTACTATTTCCTAATTTCTGCATGAAGGGGAGCTTGGGTACTCCTTTGAAGAAAAGTCATAAATTTGATCCAATGAGTAGGGGTGGCAATTTCCTACCCGACCCGTTACACGACTCGAAACCCGCACGGAAAAAACACGACTCGAACCCGCACGATTAATAATTGGGTAATTTTCGGGTCAATCCGTTTTGACCCGTTTATTAAACGGGTGGGTTTCGGGTCAACCCGCCAACCCGTTAAAATACATGTGTAACCCGTTTATTAAACGGGTCATGTCACGGGTCGTGTCAACCCGTGTAAGACACGCCAACCCGCGAAAAAATATAGGGAAATAGAGACTTCAAAACACACATATGGAGTTTCGAACCTCCTCCATCCTCATTACTCTCCAACACCTTATCCACTATGCTAGATACAACTTTGTGATTATATACTATGCCTTTTGATATTTATAATGTTTCTTTTTCTTCTTTTGTTTTTCTTTCTTTTCCGTCTATCTTCTCCTCTCTCTTTTTAAATTTCTTTTCCTTCTCTCTTTTCTCCTCTCTTTTTTACTTCTCTTTAGTTTTCTCTCCTCTCTTATTTTTTTTCTTTCTTTTCCTTCTCTTTAGTTTTCTCTCCTCTCTTTTTTATTTTTATTTCTTTCCTTCTCTCTTCTCTCTCTCTCTCTCTCTCAATTTTTTTTTGTTTCCCTTCTCTTTTCTCTCCTCTCTCTATTTTTTTTGTTTTCATTCTCTCTTCTCTCCTCTCTCTATCCTTTTTTTTCTTTCTTTTCCTTATATCTCTCTGTTTTTTTTATTTAAATTTTTTCAGTTGTGACTTTTGTAACATGCATGTTATTATTTATCAACCCGTTACACGACTCGAAACCCGTACGATAAAAGACGACCCGAACCCGACACGACACGTTTATTAAATGGGTTGGGTTCGGGTTGAGCATTCTTGACACGTTTAATATCCCGACACGACACGACCCATTGCCAGCCCTACCAATGAGTCAGTGACTACATGTCATGCTGATGATCATGCACCAGCTTATTGAGTACAACTCAATCAATCTTTTTGCTCTCAATGCAAGAAAAATACCCCCAAAAAAAATTGGGAGAGGCTGAGAAATTTTTAAGTAGGCCATTGAATTGAAGGCATCCATGTATAGTTTGGGCTATGCTGTAAGAATTCTCAAAATATAGCTCATTGGGCATTATAGGCTCCACCTGCTGCATATTTGTTGGCAGGAATTAAAAACAACCACAGGCCCACATGACATACTGCTTCCTGGTTCTTTTAGCCAGCAATCCTCATAAATAACTCTCCTTGAAGTCAGATTTAAATGTCTATATCAATGCATCGGAGAAATTGTAGAATACTACAGTTATATAGCTACGTGGTACATCTTGTACACATGTTATAATATGGTGCACGATATGGTTTATTTTTTTCCCTTTTAGAGAATAGTATTAATAAATATCCACTTATATTATCATATGTATACAAGATGTGTCACGTTCACGTGACCATACTACTAAAGTCAGTGAAAAGATATTTATGAATGTATTTAATATGGTTTCAAGTATTGAAGTAAACAGCTGATAGTATTTATGGTTCAATCTTTTATTAGTCGTTGACATATAATTATTATTGAATCTTGTAACATTTTCGTCCAAAAAAAAAAGAATCTTGTAACATGTGGCTTGTTTAAGAGCAAGTAGTTGCAAATACAGGTGTGTAAAATGATGATCGTGCCCTTCACTTCATTATCAAAGACTCGAAAGCAAAGCAAAGCAAAGCCAATTAAATATGCTTGCTCTCAGTGCAAGGCAAAGACACAAAGCAAGAGCGAGCCTGCAAAATTAAAGTCCAAGACAATGTGAGTTGTCCCATTAAAGTCAGGGCAGTCCCTCTTTATTATTATGCAAATTTGGACCAGAGATTCTATAAATTTTTGCTTTTTTTCTGTTGTATAATGCCAAACAGAACAGTTAGCTACCTAGAACCACCTCTACCCAAATTGATTCCTTTAGGAATTTGCAAAGCAAAAATCCATGACTGCTCTATTTATAGCCATTAGTTTGATCCTACAGTGCTGCTTCTCAGCTAGCACATCCCACCCTCTAGACACTCTCAACCCAACTGAGATCAACAAAATAAGACTCACAGTTCAGAAGTCTCACCTTGGATCTCTTCCAAACCTCACCTTTCATTTTGTTGACACTGAAGAGCCAGAGAAACCTGATGTTCTCAAGTGGCTATCTTCAAGTGAAAAAAAGAGGTCCACCCCACCCCGGCAGGCTAAGGTGGTGGCTCGAGCCGGTGGTCAGACCCACGAACTCATTGTGGACCTGGCTACCGGTTCGGTCATATCAGACCATGTCTACACAGGTCATGGTTACCCTCCTCTCAGCTTTACTGAGCTCTTCCAAGTAAGTAAACTGCCTCTCAGTCACCCCAAATTCAAGATGTCAATTTCAACAAGGGGATTGAATCTATCTGAAGTTTCCTGCTTACCCTTTTCAATTGGTTGGTATGGGGAGCATACAACAAAGAGAGCTGTAAAAGTTCAATGCTTTTACAGAGGAGGAAGTGTCAATGTTTTCACAAGGCCTATTCAGGGAATTACCATGCTAGTGGACGTTGATTTGATGCAGATTACAATGTACACTGATAGGCTAAGAGCCCCTTTGCCTAAAGCTGAGGGCACTGATTTTCAAACACCAAAAGGCAACTCCAATTCTGCTTCTTGCAACAAAACCAATAGTGGGTTCACCATTTCAGGCCACAAGGTCAAATGGGCAAATTGGGTTTTTCATGTTGGGTTCAATGCTAGAGCAGGAGTTGTGATCTCAACAGCTTCTGTATTTGACAGCAGAAAGAAGAAGTATAGGAGTGTGCTATACAAAGGTCACGTGTCAGAGACATTTGTGCCATATATGGATCCTACAAGTGAGTGGTATTTTAAGACTTTCATGGACTTGGGTGAGTTTGGGTTTGGGAGATCAGCTGATAGTCTGCAGCCACTGATTGATTGCCCAGAAAATGCAAAATATGTAGATGGGTATATGGCTGGGGCTGATGGCAAGCCTCAAAAGGTGCAAAGGGCCATTTGCATTTTTGAAAGGTTCTCAGGTGATGTTGCGATGAGACATACTGAGATTAACGTTCCTGGAAAATTGGTAAGGAAGTGTTTAAGGTTTAAGGTTTTGATTTTTTAATACTAATTAATCTGTGTGCTTGCAACAACCAAAAAACCTGCAGTGTTAATATGAAGTGGCTGGTTTTGTAGATTAGAAGTGGGCAGCAGGAGACGACTTTGGTGGTTAGAATGGTGGCTACTGTTGGTAACTATGATTATGTTCTTGATTGGGAATTTGAGCAAAGTGGCACCATTAAAGTTGGGGTAAGTTTTTTTTTTCCCCTCTCTCTCTCTCTCCCTTGATTCCTTTTGTTGATGCTTGGAAGTTTGAGATAATTAAGCTCATTTCTTGTCAGTTCGACACTTCAGTCACAAGCACTAATCTAATGGGAAGTGTTTATGTGCTCTCCAAAAAACTTTTGGTTTCGAGTTAGAACCTCAGCAAATTAGAGTTTCGATATCATGTCAAACAATCACTAATATCATGTGAATCAACCAGAGCTCAATCACTATAATGGCTAATAGAGAGTGTTCCCCCTACTTCATTTGAGAAAGAAAACTAATTATGATCATCCACTTTGTTGCCAGGTGGGATTAACAGGTGTGTTGGAGACGAAGGCCACGTCATACACAAATAACGACCAGATAAAGGAAAGCGTTTACGGAACTTTAGTTTCAGAAAACACCGTCGCCGTTAACCACGACCACTTCCTCACCTACTTCTTAGACCTTGACGTTGACGGTAACGACAACTCCTTTGTCAAGTCCAAGTTGCAAACGGCAAGAACAAACCCCGTTAACGCCACATCACCTAGAAAGAGTTACTGGAGGGTGGTTAAGGAAACCGCCAAGACTGAAGCCGAGGCTAGGATTAGGCTCGGCTTGGAGCCAGCTGAGTTGTTAATTGTGAACCCAAGTAGGATGACTAGGCTTGGGAATGTGGTGGGCTACCGGCTGATCACTGGACAGCCGGTCACTTCTCTACTGGCTGATGATGATTACCCGCAGATTAGAGCTGCTTATACTAAGTATCAAGTTTGGGTGACTGCTTATAATAAGTCAGAGAGGTGGGCTGGAGGGTTCTATGCTGATAGGAGCCATGGAGATGATGGCTTAGCTGTTTGGAGCAAGAGGTAACTTTCTGCTGCTGCTTTTTTTTATCTTTTAGATAATGAGCAAGAGGTAGCCAACATTGTCTATATCTTAGTTCTGTTCTCTGTACAAATAGCTGAACATTTCATTGAAAATGGTTGGGGTTTCTTGAAATGCAAGTAAAGAAACTGAAGTTTCATGGGAAATTGGATATTAAAGTTTTAACAGGACTCGCCAAATAGAAATGGGATCTATAAATTTAGTATAATGTTCTCTTACGAGGTATCCTGTTATGTTGTAAGATTGTTAATTTAAACTACACATTCAAACAAGAATTTAACATATCAATTGCCGAGATAAGTTGGTTAATATGTCAACTGATAAGAAATCAGTCGCCGTGATGTTGTATAGTTTAATTTTGCATGAAAGTTGACTTAAGAGGGAACACTTTTTCCATGGCATGCAGGAACAGAGCAATTGAAAACAAGGATATAGTAGTATGGTACACAGTGGGATTTCATCACATTCCATATCAAGAAGATTTCCCAGCTATGCCCACACTTCATGGTGGGTTCGAGCTCCGCCCTGCAAATTTTTTTGAGAGTAACCCATTACTCTAACAAAGATGCTCTCCATAACACGTGTTAAATTCTTTTACAAGGAAAACTCTTATGACAATTACTTTTAACAGTAATCTTCCAAAGTGCAATTACTTATTGTTAATTTAATTGATTAAGGGTGGTTTATAGATGATTGGATTGCCGCTGTTCACTGTATATATAATAAGTTTGTCTGGTTGTTGTATAGATGATTGGATTGCCTCTGTTCACTGTATATATAATAAGTTTGTCTGGTTAGTGACAACAATGGATGCTGTCAAATTTTCTCTTTCAAATGTGGTTTGTGAAGGAAGTCGAGATTTCAACTCCAAAACCAAGTGACGATGAAGCGAGTGACTCAACTTCTTATAAGCCGATTACGTGTAGCACGTGTGTATAGATTATTCAGTTTGCAATGGAAAACACCCAAATTAAGTGACAAAATTGCCCAATGAATTAGACAACAGAATGGGAGAAAATCTCACTTATGCAGGAGCCCTTTCGGCTTATTAGTACTCATCACAAACAAAAAACCCAACTAGTTTTTGGTGGTGCAATTAGGCCAGTTCACATGCTTATGAGGTATTGTTCTAACTTTAAGCACTGGACTGCTCTCAAAGAAATTGGTTGGACGGAGCTCAAATCCACCACTCAATGTTGGCATCATTGGAAAGTCCTCTTGGCAAGGATTGTGGTGAAACCCAATGGTGTACCACAACACTATGTCTTTGTTCTCAATCTGCCTATTCCTGCACGCACAAAAATGACCAAACACTCGGAACAAAAATCAACAACAGTGTAATTTAGACTATTGCTTGTATATAAAAAACATGGTATTAAAAAAATTTAATCACACAATTAATACCTTTGGCTCCACACATCTAAAGTGTCACCTCCTCTGCTTTGATCAACATACTTTCCTCCTGCCCATTTTTCGGACTTGTTGTATGGTGTGATCCACACATTGTACTTGGTGAAGGCACCGCGAATTTGTGGGTAGTCATCCTCTACCAAAAGGGGTCCTGCAACTGACCCGGGAACCAAGCGATAGCCAAATGGGTTCCCGGGTTTGGTTTTCTTGTTAGGGTTTACTACAACCAGGTCTGCTGGCGTCAAACCCAGGTGAAGTCTTGCATCTGCTTCAGTTTTGGCTGTCTCACTTACAATATTCCAGTAACTCTTCCTTGGTATGCTCTTGTCTGTCACACGTTTTGTCACAAACTTGTTCTTGACGAAGGAGTTGGCTTCACCATCCACATCAAGGTCAAGATGGTAAGTCAAGAAGTGATCATGGTTCACGGCAATGCTATTATCTGCCACTAATGTACCATAAACTTCCTCATGTATTTGGTCATTGTGGGTGTATGTGACCGCTCCAATTTCTAGCACACCTGTTAGCCCAACCTGTTTAAGGAGTTGAAGGTTAATTACAAAACATAAGTATCAATGGGTAATGTTCGTTGTCAGACTCATACTGTCAGACTATGAATCGAGACCAGACATTCTAGATAAAAATCAACATGATCAAAGGTCGAGATTCACTATCTATCAACATAACCATTTCATACATACATTATAAAACCCTATCTTGATATGTACCTCCATTTTAATGGAGCCACTTGGCTTGAATTCCCAATCAATTATGTAGTCATAGTTGCCTATAGTTGAGACCATTCTCACTACCAGAGTCACCTCTGCCCTGACCTCTGTTATCTGCAATTCCATTGAACTCTCTTAAGCAAAACCACAATTACATTAAAAACCCATCTAAAAATACAAAAAATTAATATAAAATAACAACTAAATTACCTCTATATCTGGGATGGTAACTTCTGTGTGGCGCCACAGGATGTTACCTGCATGTCTTTCAAAGATACAATAAGCATTTGATATCTTGACAGGTGTGCCATCTTGGCCGGCATAGTAGGCATCCATGAATTGGGCATTGGCTGGGCAATCAGTCAAGGGCTGAAGTGGCACAGTGGAGAGGCCAAACCCAAATTCTCCACAATCAAAGAAGGTTTTGTAGTACCATTCCTCTGTTGGGTCCATGTATGGCACGAACAGCTCTGACACAAAGCCTCTGTACAAGACCCTCCTATATTTGTGCTTTTCTAGATCATATATTGATGCCTGAGATATAATTACACCGGTTCGAACATCAAATCCGAGATGGAAGGCCCAGTTCGCCCATCTGATCATCACAAATTCACTATCAGTTTTGGTACACATGTATATACACACGTCTTTCAAAGATTTTGACAAATTTAACTGAATATTTAACTTTAAAAACCAACACAATCGAATCGGATTCAGCTCGTGAAAATTCAATTCAAATTGTTTTCATGCTTCTTTGGTCTTGTAAGCATTGGTAACTATCAAAATTATGAATAATCTAAACCATTTGATGATAGGGTAAAACTTAGCACCTATTTGAGTTATTTATCCTGAGATTTTCGGTGTTTTCACAGAACTCTCTGATGTTTCAAAAATTACATGAATACCTCTTGAGGTTTCCAATTGTTTTCACAAAATCCACTTTAGCTGATTATTTTCGTCCATAAATTGGTGATTACATTAGACAAAAAAAACTTATGCAAATGACAAAATTTACCTTAATGAATGTATCTGCAATCTAATCTCAAATGCTAACTTTGTCATTTGGAGAAATTTTATATTTAAAATCATCAATATTTGGAAGAAAATCAACTGAAAGGGATTTGGTGAAAATAATTTAAAACTTCAAGAGGTGTTCAGGTAATTTCCAAAATCTCAAGAATTTTGTGCAAAAAATCAAAACCTTAAAGAATGTTAGTGTAAATAACCCCACCCATTTCATAACCAAAATACTTCCATATATCTAGCTTTATTATTCATTTCGCATCTAATTCCATTAACTTTGTAATCATTGAATTGGATTAGATTCTAACACTCTTTTTTTTCTTTGATCAAAAGATTCTAACACTCTTAACTAGAATATTCCACTTAGCAATATATTATTAGTAAAAAAAAGAGACAAAGTTGTCTTTAACTTGGTGGAAATATGTAAATACAAATTAATTAAGTTTGAGAACTAACCTGACAGTGTTTCCGTCGAGCTTGAACCCTTTTTCCGCAGACACAACTGGAGCACCATTTAGCTTTGGACCAAAAGGAGGCTTCTGATTGGCCGCTTGGTACTCAGTTCCCTCAGCTTTTGGCACTGGAACAACAAACCTATCCTTATATTCAACTATTTTCTGCTCTTCCAGATCAACCACCACTGTTATTCCCTCCACTGGCCTCACATACAAGTTCACGCTCCCCTCTTTGTAAAAACAATTTAATTTCGTTGTTCTTTTAGTCTTCGCCTCTCCAAACCACCCCACTGAAAAAGTGGTGCACACAACTTCGGATATATTGAGTGCTCTCTTTTTAATGGACTGGATAAATGGTCCATATTTGAATGGGAGCTCACTTGCAGCTGATTGTTCTTCATCGTTTAGCAAAGGGTAGCCATGTTGGTTGTCAACTTTAATGGTGGAGACTACGGAACGGGCTGAGATATCGACTATGAGCTCGAGGGTTTGCTTGTTGAGTCGTATAACAACCAAGGCGCGGCGAGGAGGAGGGAATTTTGTGGTGGTGGGTTTTGATTGCCATGAGAGGAGGGTGGACTTTTCTGGTTCATCTAGGCCTACGTATTGGAAGCTTAGGGTTTGGACAGGGTATGATTTTTCAACTATGGTTTTGACATGGGTGAACTCGGATGGTGTTAGGGAGTCTAGGGGATGATGGTGAGTGAGGCATGAGGCTGGTGAGAAAGTGATGAAGATGGAGAAGACTAGTAAGAGAGTTGGTGCCAATATTGGAGCCATGGCATTGGATGGAAAAGCCTTACATCTTTGGTCCCCTTAAATAAGAGTTTGATCAGCCAGTATAGCACAAATTCTCGATGCTACCTTCGAGTTTACTATCAAGCTTTTGAAGACTCTGTTTTCTAAAAACAAAAATTTATCCCTCACTTAACTAACGTGTAAGGTGTGACCCTGCTCCTTTTCTTATTTCTGTCCTTGTTTTGTGTGTTTGCGTGTCTATCAAGTAGGGTTGCACTTTTTGACTGTGATGTAGAACAAATTATAGGCTTGCACTTACGAAGTAAATTTAGAAAACGAACAAAATTCAAAATCAGAAAATTAGGGTACAAATATGAAAAATCAAGCTTGAGCATCAATTATATGGCACTAAAAAAGAAGGAAAGGTTGGAATTTTCGGATTGATTGGGGAAGCTATCTTAGCTCGAGAGATTAACAAATTTTGGTCCTCCCCAGCCTAAAACCCTTTATCTTTTTGTATGGTAGTTGAAATATTGGCTCAATACGAGCCTTACCCACAATCTACTATAGATGCTATATATTCAAGTCTTGCTTAAACTGAATTGAATTGTTTGTGTTCCTAATTTTCAACCACTACTGCTAGCTAGGTTATTAAGTAAACCCCCCCTTTTTTTACCTGCGAAATGGAGTTATTGAATTTTTTTTATAAATATAATCGAAATGAGAGATAATGTTGAAGGAAGTTGAGGTTTCACCTCAAAATCAATTGACAATGAGTGGCAGTAGCTCAACTCCTTATAAACTCAGGCTAAGTCCCTTAATTTTTCAATGTATGACAAACACTCTCAACAAGTCCCCGCACGTGTGGCAAACTTTCAAGTTTAATACATGAACAACATATATTGGGTGACGTAGGAGCACATGTGTTGTATTTGTCCCACATTATTCAATGAATTTGCAATTGATTACTCCAATATTATTGATCTCCAACAAAATTGATTACAAGGAAATTGGTTTGAAGGATATAGATAGGTAGGCAAGGGTGGAACTAGAAATTTTTCAATGGGTGGGCTAGTTAAAGTTGTTATAGCTTAAAATCTAAGGACCAATTTTTGTTTGGGTACTTACTGTTTCTATAGTTTTTCTAGAAATATATTAAAGTACAGATTTGGATAAATAGTAAAATTTTGAGAGTTAAAATCATGTGTTTATTAAGAGATTATTTTATTAATTGAGCAAACAAATTAAATATAACATGATTATATGCCTACAAAAATTGAGTGGACAGTGGGTTACAAAACTACATTTAAGTGGGCTACTAAGTTTTTATGTGATGAATAACATTAAAATATATGTAATATATTTTAATTTTATAAAAGGCTACCTGGGCTAGAGCCCATGGTAGCCCTCTACCTAGTTCCGCCCATGTAGGTAGGGAAGGGAAAAGATTGAACTCTTAAGAGATCAGGACAATCGATGTCGTGAAGCAGAAAAAATTGAGTACTTTAGAATAAATTAACCTCCCTATTCCTGCGCATATTAATAAGGTACGTACAAAGTGATAAATACAATAAATAAAATTAATAACAACTATCACAACTATTTTCAGAGTCTTATCAAAACTCGACAGAATAACGCTAAGGTGATTGCATTTTTTTAAGTATATACAAGTTCGGCCAAATTATTAATCATGCATGATTCACTCGCCCAAATTATTAATAAACACGACTGTCACATAATATAGAGTATTACCATACTCTATATAATACCATACCTGCTGAGGCTCCATGTTGCTAGAGTATCACCTCCTCTGCTTTGATCCACATATTGTCCTCCTGCCCATTTTTCAGATTTATTGTATGGTGTAACCCACACATTGGGTTTCCAGGTTTTGTTCTTTTATTAGGATTTACCACAACCAAGTCAGATGGCTTCAAACCCAAATGAAGTTTTGCATCCGATTCAGTTTTAGCCGTCTCACTTTCAACAGTCCAATAGCTCTTCCTTGGAATACTGGGGTCTTTCACTCGTTTGGTCACCATTTTGTTCTTGACAAAGGAGTTGGCTTCCCCATCCACATCAAGGTCAAGATGATAAGTCAAGAAGTGGTCATGGTTTACAGCAATGGTATTGTCTGCAACTAGTGTACCATAAACTTCCTCCTCTATTTCGTCTGTCTTGGTGTACTTAACCCCTTCAGTTTCTAGCACACCTGTTAGCCCAACCTGTTGAAGATGTTAAAGTTTACATATTAAGCATAATCCACTTGCTAACTCGTATATTTATTTGCAGACCATATTTGCTATAACTCGTCGTTATGTGGCAAGAGAGATTCACTCACTACTTCATCGTTATGTTTAGTTGATAATCAAGAATTATTGTTTGTGTTGATAACATCACGTGATATGTCGACAAATTATAACATGTACTAAGTCTTATATTCATCATTTTTGGTTTAGGATTTCAATATTATAATACTCAACATTTGGGTTTAGAATTATGATATTAGTGATCCTAGACGTTAATTTAATTAGGTAAAACCACCTCATATACCTCCAGCTTGATTGAGCCACTTGGCTTGAATACCCAATCAATTATGTAGTCATAGTTGCCCACAACTGCAACCATCCTCACCACTAGCGTCACCTCTGGCCTGACCTCGGTGATCTGCAATTCAATTGAATTCCCATCATATCAATGCCCCAACAACATAAAAACCAATCAACCAAGCAAAAATAATAAAATATAAGAAAACTTGAATTACCACTTTATTTGGGATGGTCACTTCTGTGTGACGCCACAAAATGTTGCCTGCTTGTCGTTCAAAAATACAGAAAGCATTTGATATCTTGACAGGTGTGCCATCTTGGCCAGCATAGTAGGCATCCATGAATTTGGCGTTGGCTGGGCAATCAGTCGAAGAAGGTTTTGAAGTACCAGTCCTCGGTTGGGTTCATGTATGGTACAAAAAGCTCTGATACAAAGCCTCTATACAAGACCCTTCTATATTTGTGCTTTGCAAGATCATAAATTGATGCTAGAGATAAGATTGTACCAGTTCGAACATCAAATCCGAGATGGAAGACCCAGTTAGCCCATCTGACCACAACAAAATCAATTAAAAGAGGAATATATAGTACCTATACTTATTATTGTTGTTGGACTATAATTAAGTGATCGATGATGAATATAATTGTTGCTGGACCATAAATGAATATCCATATAGAGCTAAAATAAGCATTTTACCGTTCAAGCATCGCCATATATATTTTACAACTGTTAAAAATAAAATGGATAATAAATCATGATTATAGTCTAAAATATCAATAATATTGACGAAATATCGAGAATATTATCCTTTTTTTGAGTCAATGATATTTTGAAACGTATCTATACACATATCGTATAAATATCGATAATGAGAAAAGCAGTGCTAGCTAGCTCCAATCCAACCTCGCGGATGGGGACTTAGGCATTGGGGGTATGATTAGTACTTTTCAGGTTTCCCTAACTTCTCCAAAGGACCGGTCAATTCAAGCCAACCAAGCAACTAAGGCCACAACCAAAGCTGAAAAAAGTATCCATGACAGATTTTAGCTACAACAAATTCGCACCAAAAGCCAAGGCTCAATCAAACAAGATGGGAAAATTAGCATTGCATAATTTGTATCTTTGTATATCAAAAAAAAGAGAACTTTCCCAACACGTGAAAGATATTAGATATAGACACTTTGTGGCCAGGAACAAACTGAATTCTAAATGAAAATTAATCTCACCATTCGAATGTGGGAACACCTCATGATATTTACCAAAAGATATTAGATATAGACAATGGACAGTGGACAGCACCACCAATTGGCCAAGTAGGCATTTTCACATAAATTTGTATTATCATGATTCATAATTATTAGTCTTGATTATTATTTTATGAGTATTAATTTATTTAGAAAAAAAAATATTTCATGGTGCACGTTGGGGTATCCGATCCATATCCAAATCTTGGTGGTTGGTTCACCCGATTTAGAGATTGAAGTTTAAATATTAATAATAAAATACGTGTTCTACTAGATTATTAATTTGGTACACCGCATCATCAGTATGGCATAAGTATACAAAATAACTTCTCACTATTTAGGGCAGCTAGGATGGTATATGGTACATCAACGCACCACATGTGTTGCCTGTTGGATTGCCAACAGATCATATCCATCTAGATTTTCTAGTGTACAATGCATAATCAATCTAGGTTTTCTAGATGCCATTTATAGACTGGTTCTGGTGGCCTGAACTGAACCATTTCTATATTAGCTAACCTGCATTCTAGAGAGAGAGAGAGAGATGAAAAGGAAAAACCATTTGATTTGCATGTTTTATTATACAAAATTAACACATCTTTATTGGGTGGCGATGACATAATACAAAATCTTATAGGGTAAGAAAAGAAGAAAAGAAAGCTAGGCATAATTAGGGTTTTGTAGTGCAGTTCACGTGATTAGGAGGTTTTGTTTTAAGAACTGGATTGCTCTCAAAGAAATTAGTGGGCCGAAGCTCAAACCCACCACTTAATGTTGGCATGATTGGGAAATCTTCTTGGGAAGGAACATGATGAAAGCCCATGGTGTACCACAACACTATGTCCTTATTTTCGATCCCTCGATTCCTGCAATGCATTAATTTTGACATAAATTTTGAAGCAAAATTTGTTAATAAATGTGGTTCAAATAGTATTATCTAAAACTGTCAAACTCGCACCAAATGTTAAAATATACCTGAGGCTCCAAGTAGCCAATGTATCATCTCCATGGCTCCGATCAATATATTGTCCTCCTGCCCATTTTTCAGACTTGTTATAAGGCGTGACCCATACATTGTAATTAGTGAAGGCACCTCGGATTTGTGGGAAATCATCAGAGGATAAAAGTGGGTTTGAAATTGACCCTGGAATCAGACGGTAGCCTATGTTGTTTCCAGGTTTGGTCTTCTTGTTAGGGTTTACCACAACTAGCTCCGATGGCTTCAAACCCAACTGAATTTTGGCATCTGATTCAGTTTTAGCTGTCTCACTCTCGACAGTCCAATAACTCTTCCTAAGTGAGCTCTTGTCTGTCACTCTTTTTGTCACCAAATTGTTTTTGACAAAGGAGTTGGCTTCGCCATCCACGTCAAGATCAAGATAGTAGGTCAAGAAATGGTCGTGGTACACCCCAATTGTGTTTTTTGCTAGCAATGTTCCATATGCCTCCTCCTTTATTTGACTCGTGTGGGTGTAATCTGCAGCCTTCACTTCTAGTATTCCTGTTAAACCTACCTGTTTTCAAAAGGAAAATAGCCTATATACCTTAGGATCATCATTGTAATTTTCTCATCTCACTCCCTATGAAACCATAAGTGAGTTCCATATAAAATATGGGTGTGATTTACAATGTGATCAATAAATATATTACAAGAAATCATATCATACCCCTATTTTGATGGAGCCACTTGGCTTAAATTCCCAATCGAGTATGTAATCGTAGTTGCCAACGGTTGTGACCATCCTCACTATCAAGCTCACCTCCGGCCTAACCTCTGTTATCTACATTACCATCACCATATATATAACTCTCATTCATAATACCACATCTACACATATAGTAATGTTAGAAATTATCACATGATGTGACAATTGATGTATTAACAATAAGACATAACAATTGATCTAATATCACGTGATCAGCTAATTACTCACATAAAATACATGAAGGGAATTATCGTAATTGAAATTAAAAATGAATTCTAGTAAGCTTACCACTTCTCCTGGAATTGCAATTTCAGTGTGACGCCACAAGACGCTCCCAGAATGTTGCTCAAATATGCAAATAGCATTGGATATTTTGACAGGGGTGACATCCTCCCCAGCATAGTATGCGTCTATGAATGCAGCATTGGCAGGGCAATCAGCCAGTGGCTCCAATGGCACAGCCGATTGACCGAACCCAAACTCACCAGCATCAAAGAAGGTCTTGTAGTACCATTCTTCAGTTGGGTCCATGTATGGCACGAACAGCTCCGATACGAACCCTCTGTACAATACTTGCCTATATGTACCCTTTTCTAGATCATATATTGATGCCAAGGAAATTATTGGACCAGCTCGAACATCAAATCCTACATGGAACTCCCAATTGGCCCAACTGGTTGCATTTTAAAAGCAAGAATGAGTTACAGTGATTCTATTAACATTTCACACTTGTGTAAAATAAAATAAAGTAAAATTTTGATACTTTCTTCGGACACTTCCAAAATAAGTGATTGTAACTTTTAGATAATTATTAATTTTCTTTTGATAAGCGATATTGAAGAAAGGGGATTCAAATATAAGACGTTAATTATTCTTAATCACTTAAACTATAAATCCTTTATCATAAATTAGGCCTTAAAACAGCACTTTGGGAGTGTTGTTAAGTTAAAACTCTTCCACGAAGTTCAGTTAAACTGAAAAAGAGGAAGTTTACTATTTCCCATAATTATGCGCCAAAAGTAAGTCAAAGATAGGACTAAAATGAGGCCATGAGGTTGAGAAGAATCCACAAGTTTGCATACAAAAGGAGGTGTACACGTGCTTGAATATCTTTAAGTCCATTGAGAAAAAGACACCCCGTTGACGAATATGCAGAACACAATAGCCGGCATATTTTGTCATTAGTGACCGATTACATTCATTTTTCAATGTTTGATGACAATTTCCACCTACCTAACTATATACGTGTGGAATATTCAAGGTTAGTTTCATGGGTTTATCATTTTATTAGTTCTTGAATTTATACTCAATTTGCATTTAAGTCCTTTAATTTCCAAAATCGTTCCCGTGGTTCTTCTACTTCAGTTTCATTAGGACAAATGATCATGCCGTCAATTTTGTTAACTTTTATGTTAAATGCAGGGGTAAAATTGTATTTTTGTATTAGATTGATTAAAATATGAATAAAAAATTAAACTCTCTCTCCCCCTCTATCCTAACTTCTACTCCCCAAAACTTGATTTTTCTTCTTTTCTTTTTTTTTAATTTGATTTTCTTTATTGTTATTTTAAAGATATGATTTTTTATTCATTTTTTGTTTTAATATAAAAATACCATTTTGCTCCTGCATTTAACAGAAAAGGTTAACAAAATTGACGGTAGGACTATTTGTCTTAACGAAAGTGAAGTTAAAGGACCACGAAAATAATTTGGAAATTGCGGGACTCAAATGTAAATCGGATCTAAGCTCAAGGACTAATAAAATAATTAATCCTAGTTCCATTGACAAATATACTAATAAAAAACTATTACCTTTTTTTTCCACGTTATGAGTGTGATTTGGTGAGTGAGATCATACAATAATTTGGGCTTTCTAAGCGAATCAAACCATTTATACCATAATTCATGATCGCATCTCTGATACTAACCTTATTTTGTGCCCATTGATCTTGAACCCAGGTCCATCCGGTTGCTCTATGGCGAATCTATTCAGCCGTGGACCGAACGGCGGTTTCTGCTTCGACCGCCTGTACTCCGTCCCCTCAGCTTTTGGCACCGGAACCCTCGCCCGGTCATAATACTCAACTATCTTCAACTCATCAAGATCAACGAGCAAAGATACTCCCTCCAAGGGCCTCACGTACAAATTAGCCGATCCCTCAATATAAAAACACAAAATCTTTATCACTCTTCCACTGTGCTCCTCTCCAAACCACCCAACTGAATACGTGGAACAAACAACCTCGGACAAGTTAAGCCTCCTCTTCTTGACCGAGTCAATAAATGGTTTATAGGAAAACGGCAGTTCACTTGCCACCGTTTGTTCATCCAAGGTGAGCAAAGGGTAGCCATCATTTCCATTGTAAACTTTATCAGAAACTACGTACCGATTTGATAAATCCACTATGAGCTCATGGGATTGTCTGTTGAGCCGTGTGATGACAAAGGCTCGGCGAGGTGGGGGTTTTGATTTGGGTTTCGAGAGCCATGAATGGAGGGCCGGTTTGTCTGGCTCGTCCAAGCTTATGTATTGAAAGGTTAGGTTGTGTTTGGGGCTAGGGTATGATTTCTTGACTAGGGTTCGAACCAGTTTGAACTCAGATTGGGTTAGAGGGTCCAGTGGGTGGTGGCTTGAGGTTATTGGTGAGAAGGTGAAGAAGGAAAAGAGCAAGAAGAACACTAGTTTCAACGTTGAAGCCGCCATGGCTTCTTTGTGCATGTGGGATGATCAAAGTATTAATCCTTCCTTAAATAGCACGTTGTTGCTTCTCATTTGCTAATTAATTAGAACGACTAATTTCATTGACAATTAATTAATTATGTCGGAAATTTTGTTCAGAAATGAGGAATAGACAACAAGTTTAGTTAAACTAGACTTGTTTGGAAGTCGTTGGTTGAGCATTTTTATTCACAAGCCTTTGTTAGATGTATATTAAAAAAAATAACGATTCCTGACAAAATAGTTGACAGCCCATATATATATCTCAACGGATTCCAAATAATTTTATTTGAAAAACGCATTTTATGATAACTTACAAATTGTTTTTCAACGATCCAAACCGTCTATTGTTTAGGTCTTCATTTATAGATCATTCTTACAAAAAATATTAGACAAATCGGAAACAATTTAGACATCTAATTATATCCTACAAAATCAATGAACACGGTGCTTTAAGAAAGTACTAAAATTTTAATAATTTAATTGAATGGTCAAATGATATCGGATTCAAGTGATTTTTTGTAGAAATGATCTTTAAATGATTATCTACAAAATAGACAGTTTGAATTAGTGAAATACAATACAGAGTAAGCCCAGAAAAGGTGTCTTTCGAATAAGCTTATTTGATAGATATCCGTCAATGAAGGCTCTATGTGTATATATATTTTTTGTGAATGTAAACCCAATTGAATATAGAAGCTAAAGGACTTCCTAATGATAAAACTCATATACTAAGACCAATTTTTAATGTAATCCTAACGGTAATAGCGACTAATATAGCGAGAATATTTTTAAACCCCAAAAAAAAGTCTACATAGACTATTCTTTTGGCTTTGGGTCAACACTAATTAATCAGGGCTTTACTGGGAAGGGAGGGAGTAGATTCGATTGGGTGGAGAGAGAGAGAGAGAGAGAGAGAGAGAGAGAGAGAGAGAGAGAGAGAGAGAGAGGAAAAGGAAAAACCATTTGATTTGGCATGTTTTATTATACAAAATTTACACATCTTTATTGGGTGGTGATGACATAATACAAAATCTTATAGGGTAAAAAAAGGAAGAAAAGAAAGCTAGGCATAATTAAGAGGTAATGCTAATTAGGGTTTTGTAGTGCAATTCACATGATTAGGAGGTTTTGTTTTAAGAACTGGATTGCTCTCAAAGAAATTAGTGGGCCGAAGCTCAAACCCCCCACTTAATGTTGGCATGATTGGGAAATCTTCTTGGCAAGGAACATGATGAAAGCCCATGGTGTACCACAATACTATGTCCTTATTTTCGATCCCTCGGTTCCTGTAGTGCATTAATTTGACATAAATTTAGGAGCGAAGTTTGTTAATAAATGTTGTACAAATAGTATTATTGAAATTGTCAAACTCACACCAAATGTTAATATATACCTGAGGCTCCAAGTAGCCAATGTATCATCTCCATGGCTCCGATCAATATATTGTCCTCCTGCCCATTTTTCAGACTTATTATAAGGCGTGACCCATACATTGTAATTAGTGAAGGCACTTCGAATTTGTGGGAAATCATCAGAGGATAAAAGTGGGTTTGAAATTGACCCTGGAATTAGACGGTAGCCTATGTTGTTTCCAGTTTGGTCCTCTTGTTAGGGTTTACCACAACTAGCTCTGATGGCTTCAAACCCAACTGAATTTTGGCGTCTGATTCATTTTAGCTGTCTCACTCTCGACTGTCCAATAACTCTTCCTAAGTGAGCTCTTGTCTGTCACTCTTTTTGTCACCAAATTGTTTTTGACAAAGGAGTTGGCTTTGCCATCCACATCAAGATCAAGATAGTAGGTCAGAAATGGTCGTGGTACACCCCAATTGTGTTTTCTGCTAGCAATGTTCCATATGCCTCCTCCTTTATTTGACTCGTGTGAGTGTAATCTGCAGCCTTCACTTCTAGTATTCCTGTTAAACCTACCTGTTTTTCAAAAGGAAAACACCTCTCTCTCTCTCTCTCTCTCTCTCCTCTCTCTCTCTCTCTCTCTCTCTCTCTCTCCTCTCTCTATATATATATATATATATATATCTTATGATTCATTGTTATATTAATAATCTCATCTCACTCGCTATGAAACCATAAGTGAGTTCCATATAAAGATATCGATGTGATTTACAATGTGATCAATAAATATATTACAAGAAATCATATCATACCCCTATTTTGATGGAGCCGCTTGGCTTAAATTCCCAATCGAGTATGTAATCGTAGTTCCAATGGTTGTGACCATCCTCACTATCAAGCTCACCTCTGGCCTAACCTCTGTTATCTATACATTATATAACTTAATGCAAAAATACTACATGTAATAATTCGAGAAAGACACACTTCCGAATTATATATATTAGTTAATCACATGATGTGACAATTGATGTATTAATAGTAAGACATAACAATTGATCCATAAGTCCACCTCAATTATCATATCATGTGATCAGCTAATTACTCACATAAATACATGAAGGCAAGCATTGTCGTAATTGAATTAAAATGAATTCTAGTAAACTTACCACTTCTCTTGAAATTGCTATTTCAGTGTGACGCCACAAGACGCTCCCAGAATGTTGCTCAAATATGCAAATAGCATTGGATATTTTGACAGGGGTGCCATCCTCCCGAGCATAGTACGAGTCTATGAATGCAGCATTGGCAGGGCAATCAGCCAGTGGCTCCAATGGCACAGCCGATTGACTGAACCCAAACTCACCAGCATCAAAGAAGGTCTTGTAGTACCATTCTTCAGTTGGGTCCATGTATGGCACGAACAGCTCCGATACGAACCCTCTGTACAATACTTGCCGATATGTACCCTTTTCTAGATCATATATTGATGCCAAGGAAATTATTGGACCAGCTCGAACATCAAATCCTACATGGAACTCCCAATTGGCCCAACTGGTTGCATTTTAAAAGCAAGAATGAGTTACAGTGATTCTATTAACATTTAACACTCTATAAAATAAATAAAGTAAAATTTTAATACTTTCTTCGGACACTCTCAAAATAAGTGATTGTAACTTTCAGATAATTATTATTTTTCTTTTGATACAGAGATATTAAATGAAGGGATTTAAACATAAAAAGTTAATTACTCTTAATCACTTAAACTACAATCCTTTATGATAAATTAGGCCTTAAACCAGCACTTTGGGAGTGTTGTCAAGTTAAAAGTCTTCCTCAAAGTTAAAGTTAAACAAAAAAAAAAAAAAATTTTGTACTACTCCCATACCCATGCGCCCAAAAGTCAAAAGTCAAAGATAGGACTAAAATGAGGCCATGAGGCTTGAATATCTTTAAGTCCATTGAGAAAAGGACACCCCATTGACAAATATGTAGAACACAATAGCCGGCATTTTTTCATTAGTGATCGATTATTTTTCAATGTTTGATGACAATTTCCACGTACCTAACTATATATGTGTGGAATATAAGGTTTAGTTTCATTGACAAATATACTAATAAAAAACTTTCACTTATTTTTTTCTCGTTATGAGTATGGTTTGGTGAGATCATACAATAATTTGGGCTTTCTAAGCGAATCAAACCATTTATACCATAATTCATGATCGCATCTCTGATACTAACCTTATTTTGTGCCCATTGATCTTGAACCCAGGTCCATCCGGTTGCTCTATGGCGAATCTATTCAGCCGTGGACCGAACGGCGGTTTCTGCTTCGACCGCCTGTACTCCGTCCCCTCAGCTTTTGGCACCGGAACCCTCGCCCGGTCATAATACTCAACTATCTTCAACTCATCAAGATCAACGAGCAAAGATACTCCCTCCAAGGGCCTCACGTACAAATTAGCCGATCCCTCAATATAAAAACACAAAATCTTTATCACTCTTCCACTGTGCTCCTCTCCAAACCACCCAACTGAATACGTGGAACAAACAACCTCGGACAAGTTAAGCCTCCTCTTCTTGACCGAGTCAATAAATGGTTTATAGGAAAACGGCAGTTCACTTGCCACCGTTTGTTCATCCAAGGTGAGCAAAGGGTAGCCATCATTTCCATTGTAAACTTTATCAGAAACTACGTACCGATTTGATAAATCCACTATGAGCTCATGGGATTGTCTGTTGAGCCGTGTGATGACAAAGGCTCGGCGAGGTGGGGGTTTTGATTTGGGTTTCGAGAGCCATGAATGGAGGGCCGGTTTGTCTGGCTCGTCCAAGCTTATGTATTGAAAGGTTAGGTTGTGTTTGGGGCTAGGGTATGATTTCTTGACTAGGGTTCGAACCAGTTTGAACTCAGATTGGGGTTAGAGGGTCCAGTGGGTGGTGGCTTGAGGTTATTGGTGAGAAGGTGAAGAAGGAAAAGAGCAAGAAGAACACTAGTTTCAACGTTGAAGCCGCCATGGCTTCTTTGTGCATGTGGGATGATCAAAGTATTAATCCTTCCTTAAATAGCACGTTGTTGCTTCTCATTTGCTAATTAATTAGAACGACTAATTTCATTGACAATTAATTAATTATGTCGGAAATTTTGTTCAGAAATGAGGAATAGACAACAAGTTTAGTTAAACTAGACTTGTTTGGAAGTCGTTGGTTGAGCATTTTTATTCACAAGCCTTTGTTAGATGTATATTAAAAAAAATAACGATTCCTGACAAAATAGTTGACAGCCCATATATATATCTCAACGGATTCCAAATAATTTTATTTGAAAAACGCATTTTATGATAACTTACAAATTGTTTTTCAACGATCCAAACCGTCTATTGTTTAGGTCTTCATTTATAGATCATTCTTACAAAAAATATTAGACAAATCGGAAACAATTTAGACATCTAATTATATCCTACAAAATCAATGAACACGGTGCTTTAAGAAAGTACTAAAATTTTAATAATTTAATTGAATGGTCAAATGATATCGGATTCAAGTGATTTTTTGTAGAAATGATCTTTAAATGATTATCTACAAAATAGACAGTTTGAATTAGTGAAATACAATACAGAGTAAGCCCAGAAAAGGTGTCTTTCGAATAAGCTTATTTGATAGATATCCGTCAATGAAGGCTCTATGTGTATATATATTTTTTGTGAATGTAAACCCAATTGAATATAGAAGCTAAAGGACTTCCTAATGATAAAACTCATATACTAAGACCAATTTTTAATGTAATCCTAACGGTAATAGCGACTAATATAGCGAGAATATTTTTAAACCCCAAAAAAAAAGTCTACATAGACTATTCTTTTGGCTTTGGGTCAACACTAATTAATCAGGGCTTTACTGGGGAAGGGAGGGAGTATCAATGGCATGCGATTAATTTGGTTAGTCTTCGATATTACATGCTCTTGCGTTTTTGTAGCATTTTCCAAAGTCTTTTGGGGCTTAGACTAAGGCATTTTTTCTCATCACATTTATCAAAATTATTGATCGTGGTCTGGCCTAAAATTCAAGTTCACATTTAAGCGGGTTCTTCTCATACCGTGCTTGAATCGGGCCTGTGCTTGTCCCATTTAACTTTGTATCTTTTTTTTAAACTCATGTTAGCATATTAAATTTATACAAAAATATATATATAATGAACATATTATATATATGCAATATGAGACTAAAAATTGAGGACTTATTTCAGTATTTATTTAGTATGAAAATATATGATTTGTTGGAAGAAAAAGCCACCAAATCACAGTCCATATATGTAGATATCGAGAGGGGAATGAGGCTAAGAGATAGTTTATGTAAAGTGGGCCTTGACAACAACAACAAAAAACAAAATTAAGTGGGTTAGGCTGGGCTTGAAGCGGGGTCAGGCCAAGCTCGGCCTATGGCTGGTAGCGAGCCGGCCTGATCCATTGGATTTATTTTCTAATCCCGGCACGACTCATGCTTTCGTATCGTACCTAGCACGGCCCGCTAATAATCGTGCTCGGGCCGTGTCGTGCCCCATTTAAACATATTGTGCTCATATCGTGCTGGGCCGGCCCAACCCATTATTACAATTATTTGCTCTACTCATTTTGTCAAATTATTAGCTGACTCATTCTAGCCATTCATTCATGTGATGGTTAGCTTAGCTTACACTATGCCAAAATTTGCTTCTAAATACCCCCAACCGAGGTATTCGTCATCGTGGCCTTTTACTAGTTAGAGGCATCAAAGAGTTAGACATTGGAGTCCGATACGTATTCCACTTACAGCATTAGTATGGATTGATGTTTATGAGACTTGCATTTACGTGATGGGCGTTGACTTCCGATGCCTAAAAGCATAAGGGCATTAGTTGCAACATAAATTCTAATGCCACATAGGAGAAATAGCATCACATCTTTCTACTATTCTGATGCCTTTCCTATGTTATGACATCAAATTTTATGCTGGCGCTGATACTACCACCACCCTTAAAAGGTAATATGTCTCATAGATAACCTTTTGTTAACTTGTATAAGAAAATTAAAAAAATGATCATATTTCCCCTTCTTGCCCATAAGGAGGAACTCCTCCTTACCTACTGATGTGATTCAACCACAAACTAACACTTGTCTTTTTTATTTTATTCTCAAAGGTGCATTTATTTATGAGATATTTAGTTATTTACTCATTCATAGCACTAGTGTTATAGATAAACACTACACCATTTAATTTCTATAAACAAACGCAAAAAAAATCCTACTATTGCCAGCTACCCTATTTTTGAGTTTACTTAATATACTAATTTCCAGTTTTACCCATTTGTTTTGAGTGTTTTGGGTTTTTTTTGTGAGGTTTTGAAGTTGGATTTGTTTTAAGAAAATCGATGGCAGTTTTGTAAATTATAGGAAGTTCAAAGCCTCTTTGTTATGTTGTAAATGAGATTTGGGTGTGTTTCTAAAGTTCATTTCATATATTGTTTTTTTATACAATTTGGGCTCGTATATTAGGTATAATAGTGAGACTCCCTTTATTTTTCACTTTAATTATTCTTAACAAGAGAGGCATGTGTCAGATTGTGACTAAACCACATTAGTAGGCAAGGAGGGAAGCATTATCCTTTTCAAAATGTGTTTTGGGACTTGCACTGTAGATTAGACTAGCTAATTCAACAATCTTATCCAATTATGGAAAATAACATGTTTGTTGTTTGCAATATTAAGATGGTCCTTCAGTAATGGCAAGTTATCATTACTTCGATATCTCAATAGGGGTTGCTCTCAATCTCTTGCCTTTTTTTTAATACAAACGATACCGGGGGTAGGACTTAAAATAAAATATTAGCACCACAATCAATTTGTTGCCATTACATTCAATAGAAGACCAGCTAGTAGCCACAGTTAATTGCCTCATACTGTCAACAAAAATTGGCATTGGCCTTCTCCCTAGTCGAATGAGTTGCTTGAAATCAAAGTTGTCTTGGTTGGTCCTCCAATGGGATTATATTATACTACCACTCGTTTGAATAAGCTTAATTAGTGACGCAAAAACAATACAAAGAATGAGAGCTTTATTCTATAATTTGCAATTAGAGGCAGGCTATGTAACGAAAAGAAAAAAGAGGAAAAAACAAACAGAAAATAGCCAAATTTATAAGCATACGAATGCTATTAGAAAACAAGAAAATTCTGAAAATAAACGGAGCTTCTTTCTTTGATTATAATTTCTACTTAAAATCTTCATTTACAACAAGAATATAATAACATAATGGAAAAATTGTTTATACATTATAGATGTTGCCACTTCGGCCCATGTTGTAGATGTTACCATTCTCAGAATCCAAAATCAAAGCTCTCCCCTTGGGGATACTTCAACTCAGTGGGTTCAATTCCAAGATTACTTCCATCAACACTGTCGGCGTAATATAGCCACCCTCAAACTTCATCATTGAACAGCCAGAAACCTACAGGTAGAGAAAAAACATGAAGCAGAATACCTAGGTGATTGTGTGCCATTGGATCAAGTTTCCATACCAAATAACAAATGAGGTTGGTTGCCATACCTTAATTTGGAACTAGATGCCTCGGCGATACTCCAATTGCTTTGTATTCTCTAGTAATACCTGTTATACAAACCCAGATGAAAATTCCAATAAACATAACAACACTGGAACATGAAGATGAAGCCTCATTGATCAATGAGCATTGTCCAAATACAGAAGCCACATGACAACTGACAAGGAAGAACTTTTCATTTGATGGGGAAAAATGCAGCAAAGAAGTCCTTACCTCTCGAATGTAGGTTGCAACCGCCTTGCAGCCTTCGATCGCAAGTTGCATTACGTTTTCAAAAGTTTCCACTGATAATTTAGCATCCATCTGCATCAACGATCATCACGAATAAGTCGTGTACAGAAGGCAAAGGCAAAGGAGATACCCTCGGTATCAGCTGATACAATAATTGCAACTTAAGATTCGGAAGAATAAACTGAAAAGCACATTATGAAATAAAAACCTGAAGAAGAGTCACTTTGTCCAACTTTGGCAAAATGCCTAAAGTGACATCAGCACCTCCAGCACTATCTTCTATGTAGTTTAAATCTGTCGTTCCAGCAACAATAAGCTCATATGAAAATTACAATATCGTACTTGTACAGAGAGGCCTTCCAAGGGCTCCCAAAGAAAAGTATTCTTAAATACAAATATAAAATAAAGAAAACATTTACCAAGCAGAGGTGTGCTATTAAGATAGCCAGCACTACAGGAGGTAACAAGATCACGCATTGGAATTCCAGCATCTGCAAGGGCCAGGCTTGCAGCATTAATGCATGCAGATCTAGTTCCTGCCAAAAATAAAACCAAACAAAATCAAACTCAAGGATAAATCGTTCCATTCTCCAATTAAAATAGTGAAGCAGCCTGTTCAAATCTAGTAGTATTTGCTAATAGTTAAAATTCTAAGTGCTACACAGATAAGAGTGACTAGCATTAGACTTTGGGAACACTGTATCAATCACTTATTCTATTCGAATATGATGCCTGGTTCAACAAATATATTGAATAACAGAGGATCAAACATGCACGCACACATAGACGGAAACAGGGCAGCATGAATTTATCATATCATCTGAAAGTACATTATCATATAGAACCATGACTGCAAAGAGACATCACAATTTACCTCCATCTGCTTGGAGGACTTGCACAAAAATATCAATCTGAAAAAAACAGATACAAGGCTCAGAAAAGAACAAACTACACATTCATGCAAGAAAAGTTCCCCAAGATGCAACAGTGGAACCTGGGACCGAGGCATTAAATGTGTCATAATGCATGCTTCCATGGTTTGGCGAATAACTAAAGATATCTCTGTTGATCGCCTGAGAGCATCAAGGATACGCATATTATTTATATAGTTTAACCTAGTAATGGATACAACATTGTTATGTGAAATTTCGAATGGAAGATCATACAAAGCATGTATGTTGGCAATAAAAAAGAATATTAATATCTCACCTATCCCCCTTTGGTTTTCTCATGCGATCCCCAGTACTAAAATTTGCCATGGTGTACTCACATCGCACCTAAAGTTATTAACAATTGCAGACAACATTATATTTACAAATGTATTAAATGCCTGTCAGATTTAGGTTTAGCATATTAAACACAACATATATAAGTTTGATACACAAAGATTTAGATGAATTATTACCAGTGCGCTGTCATTCAATTGTTGGCTCCTATTTTGGACCTAAAAACAAAGTAATTTTTTAAACAGCTTGAATGAAAATTTAACTTGAAAATTAGACAAAAATTTCGAAACACTAATGAGTACCGCATTTGACTTAGGTGTTAATGAAGAAGAAAAAAAAGTTAACTAACCTCTCTAGGGCCATACACTGCAGCAATGACTTTGGTGTTACCCATCTCAAACAAAGCAGAACTGAAAATTTGATGTGCAAGATGAATTTAAAACAAAATCAAAGCCAATGTAAAAAAAATGAAAAGAAAAAATTACAAGGGTTTAGTAATTAGAACCCGTCGGCTTTGGCAACAACACCAATCTCTGCACGAATTTGTCTCATCTGGGATCAAAGAAGAAAAGAATAAACTATTTAATTCATAAAATTAAATGAAGCATTATGATAATTATGATAATTATACTTAAATAAAAAAGAAAAAACAGAGATAGACAAATACTTCCATGGGGCGGCGACCATCTAAGCGAAGGCCTTCAGGGCTCACATACTCCATCTCTTGGAACTACATAAAAAAGAAATTTCGAAATTACATAATTAACAAGAAACAAATAGTAGGAAAGCTATCACCCTCTAAAACATTTCTCAGATGCCAGACGAAACCTTGGGGTTGCACAATAATGGAATATATAGATGAACATTTCCTGAACTTTTTACGCAGAGAAGCTGTTTGATGGAATGACTAAGAAGAACAATATGGTGCGGATGACATTGAGGTTGCAAATTCGGGTTTTCATGTTTTTAATACCAACCAAGTTTTCATATTTTTAAAATTTGCAGAATAAAGCTCAAAACTTTCAGATTCAATCCTAGTTTTTTTTTAAAACTATTTCCGAATCACAAACCCAACGGAGCCTCACTCTTCCCTTCCACAAGAACCAAAGCTTAAAATTCAAGTAAAATATTTTATATCATCTCAACAGTATGACCTAGTTAAATTCTAAATTAGAAACAAGAAAAAAAGAGACATTAAAAGAAGAGGAAATACCTGGGTGGGAAGAACAGCTGCAGGCTACAAGGAGAAGAGAAAGCTCAGACCTCAGAAAGAGGGTTTAGAGAGTTGACGTCTGGGGTTTACAGAGATGGAAGAGTTGGGCTGGAGGCTGGGCCTGTCTACCTCCATTTTTATGACACCCATGAAGAAAAGCCCATAACCTGAAAAGAAACACAATCAGCCCGAGCTCAATACGCCGCCGTTTTATTGGTTGGGCTTCCTCCTATCCTATCTTTTCATCGGGTCAAACACTGCCTAAGTTGTGTAGACTTTTTGTTCATGCGTTGCATATGCATTTCAACTCTAGAACAGCACACACAAAAGAAAAACAAAATCTTAAATTGCATGTGAAAAAATTGGGTAAAATGAAATTCATACCGTAACATGAATACCTAACTTATTTTGAGCAGTCAAATTTTCCGTTCTTACTCAAATGGCTCTAATTTTGAGTTGTCTTTTCATCTTTTCATCAATTTGAGTACTAAATTAGGTTTCTTTTTACTTAATTTGACCGGTTCCATTCCTAGTTAGTCTCCAACAATTTAGTTCTCTATTTGAATAGTCCGACCACCATATATCAATAACTTCAAAGTTCCATTAAACTTCAAATTCAACCTCCATATCTAGTTATTATCCAATGAAAGGATTACGTGTGTAAAATAAAATAAATATATAAGTGGACAGTCAGTTCGGTTTAAGTCTATTTGCAAAAGCTCAAAAACAAACCAAACCATTTACGATTCAATTCAGTTTTGAAACATTTGACTTTTTCTTGGTTGGCCGGATTGATGCCCACCCTTACATATAGCTAACAAATAATTCTCGTAAGAGTACTAAAAAAAAGAAATTCAACGCATCTAATTCAACTAACAATAGGTAATATGGCAAGACTAGGAAGAGTTTTTTTTTAAAAAGGTCCTAAATCACATAGTTTTTGGCCTTGGAAGTCTGTCAATTACGTATGGTTTTGATCTTGTTTGGTACCATAGGAAGATTACTTGTTAGTAAAGCTCGGTCTAACTAAACTTTGAGAAAGTGTTTGCTGGTGAAGTTAGGCCTATATCGATAACAAGTGCATAGCTCCTTTATGTATACCGAGGAAAGATGTCCGACCAAGAGGCGTACATGAGTATTTCAAACTGGATATTTTTTTGTGCCGTTAAGAAAAAAAGCATGAGAAAAGCAAAGGCACGAGACGCATTATGGGAAATGAAGATAAGGCATCATTTTAGGTGCAGCAAGGCAAGCAAATAAGAAATCTATAAAATCATGTCATATGATTTGTTGGGTGACAAACTCTCGGCCAGTGCAATGATTTTTTTCACAGGTCATGAAGATAGGGGAACACAATATTGTCCTGGGGACCTTTGAGTTTGAGTTTGAGTTGAGCTCAGCCTTTGAGGTCTCTCTCTCTCATCATAACCTTTCTAAAACAAGAGTTTGGCAAATCCATCATCACCCCCAAACACACAACAATACAAGTAACAAGAATGATTTCCTTGTATTCATAGCTGGCCTGCATCAAATACAATGCCACCATGCTAATTCAGTGGCCTGCCCACATTTTTTTTCCTTTTAATCTATTAATATTTTCTTCATTTCCATTATACTATTATACACATCATTCTGATGCCAACCTTACGCCACCGAATATGGACCTTATGACTTTGGACCCCATTAGACCCACAAATTGTTGCACAAGTTTGGATAATCTGCATAGGAAACCAAGCATAATATGTGGAGAGACTGATTTTGTTCTCTTGTGTTTGTTATGTGTAAATTTGATAGTCAACTCACACTATTTTTTTCAACATTTTAACATGTGAATGCGCTCACAAAAGTATTGCGTCATGATAAACTTAATGTAAAATTTCTCAAAACAAAATGTAAATATAATATATATTAGATAAATAGTGAAGTAACAGTGTGGTCATTGATTAGTAAAGGGTTAATTAGGGTTTACTAATTATAGGATAAGTAACTTTGTTAATTAATTATATTAACGGTGGGTGTGGGGTTGAAGTTATTTCCTGTTTGGGGGGAAAGAATTGATGCGTTAATGGTGAGGGTGATGATGAGTGCGCCTGCCACAGCACGCCCTCCAAATCTTTTGAAGCAAAGAGAATGTTATGATGGTTTCCAGTGCACGCTCCTCTCTCTCTCTCTCTCAGCTTCTCTCTTCTTCAATTCCAACTAAGATTTGCACACATTCTTGAAGCAAAGAATATAACCAGATTTTTCGCTTGTTGTCACCCCTCCATCATCATCTTTTAACCTTTTCCCCCCTATAATACCCAGTTTTTCTTATATTAAATTAATATCATCATCATCATGTATCATACATGTATTCATACATACCATAACTATGATATCATAGGTTTCATTTTTCACATTTCGTTTTTTCATTTGTTTTTTACCACAAAGTAACATTCAAACTACTATAAGGGGATTCGAACTTGAACGTAAAATAACAGCCATACTACCTGATCAGCTACTGAACCCACATTTGACGTTGAGATGTAGTTACGCGTCAAAGCCCACTGCGTATTCCATGGAACTATCTACATACCTAGAAGATCATATGTTGAAGAATCTGATGGTTGCAATGGTGCGTTAGTTTCACTATCATTGCTGTTATGGATAAAAAAAAAACTAGACATTGAACAAAGTAAACAGTGGTACAAGTTACAACCACGCAACCAAAACTTAAATAGTCCCAATTTCCCTTTACTTTACGAATTCCGATGAAGATATCTCGGGGCTGCATGCTTTTATGTCTCAAGCACACCCACTTCAATAGATTTTCATTGTTCTTTTTTTTTGGGATATGTTTTTTTGTTGTTGCCATGATTTCCTTAGCTTTCTATCCAACCTAAATCATAGTACCTTTCGATTTGGCTGCCACCTTTTTGCTTCTTATATTGTGAACCCTCCTCCTTCTTCCATCACTTACCTCTCCTCTCTCTCTCTCTCTCTCTCTCTCTCTCTCTCTCTCTCTCTCTCTCAGAGAAACACAGAGACTGTGTTCTGTTTTGTGAAGTATTTTGGCATAGCCAGCTATAGGAAAATGGGTGACATTTCTTATTCCAATGGAACCAACAATGGCAATGGGAATGGGAATGGGAATGGAGTAAATGGAAAAGCTCATTCAGTTCTGAATGGATACAGGAAGAGCTGTTGGTATGAGGAAGAAATTGAAGAAAATTTAAGATGGAGCTTTGCTCTTAATAGGTACATATTTGTTTGTCACCATGTTTCCTATATCTTTAGATAACTCAAATGGTTTCACATTTTTGTTATTTTTGTCCCAAAAATAAAAAATAAAAGCCTGGCCCCCATTGTTGTATTAACTCTTTGCTCCAACTTCTTACTACCTCTGTTTTTCTTTTTTCTTATGGTTTCCCTTTTTTATTATAAACTTATGAGAAGGTTCATGGAAAAAATCATTAGGAGTTTTTCACCACAGCCCCTATAATTGGGTGAGACATTATAAAGTCATAGCTGTCTTCCTTGAGTTATTATCAGAATTCTAGATTTTGATTTGCCTTTTCTGACTTATGGCCTTATTTTATAATCTCAGTGTCAAACTTCCTTACTTTAGAAAATGATAGAATTCTTAAAGTGAAACACTGTCATGAAAAGGTCAGACAAGACATAATAAAAATGTTAGAATAGAGTGCAATATTCTAATCACGAAGTTTAGTTTCATCATTGAGATATTTAATAATTAACTCTCTTTTTTTTTTTCTTCTTTTTTTTTTTTTTTTTTTTGTTTTTGTATCTTGCATACGGGAGGCTACTCCATACCAAGACATTGCATTGTTGGACACCAAACCCTTTGGAAAGGTTTGATGAATTCTACTATGAGTAAAAACAATGACAGCAGATAGCAGCAAGTGGCTCATGCAATTTTCTCTTCTGTATTTTGCAGGCTTTAGTCATTGATGGAAAGCTTCAAAGTGCTGAGACTGATGAATTTATCTACCATGAATGTCTTGTTCATCCACCACTTCTTCATCATCCCAAGTAATATAACTTCTCTTTACATATAAACATATATGTTTTGTTTTCTCTGTATATTGGATGTTAAGGCAGCAAGCATTGTTTGTTCATAACTCTATAATTAATGTCAAATTTTTCAGTCCAAAGAACATCTTCATCATGGGAGGAGGTGAAGGCTCCACTGCAAGAGAACTTCTGAGACACAGGACTGTGGAGAAGGTTGTCATGTGTGACATTGATGAGGTAAAAAAACTTCCCCTCTATCATCTTTCCTTATCAAAAATTAATCTGCATAAAACTAAAGAATTTACTGTTTTCCAGCTTTTGAGCTGTTTTTACCAAGGCTCCTTTTCATTTGTCTGTTATTGAAAAAGACAAAAAACAGGATTTAACATATATATAGAACTATTGTATATGACAAAGTTATTTACTCTAAGAAGCAGTATTATTTGTCAAGTAATATCATTTGACATGAACTAAATAATTGCATCAGATGCTTAACTGGTTAACTAATACATGATGCAGGAGGTGGTAGAGTTCTGTAAGTCATATTTGATTGTAAACAGTGAAGCTTTCTGTGACCCAAGACTGGAGCTCATCATCAATGATGCCAGGTTTATTCACAACCTATATATATACAAATCATATTGATTATATTTTCAAAATTACCAACTCTGATATCGTTGTTACTAATTACTGAGGTGTGTTACAGGGCTGAGCTAGAACACAGAGAAGAGCAGTATGATGTGATAATTGGAGACCTTGCAGACCCAATAGAAGGAGGCCCATGCTATAAACTCTACACCAAATCCTTTTATGAGCTGATTGTCAAGCCTAGGCTCAGCAAGGAAGGCATTTTTGTCACACAGGTATCTAACACACCCTCATATGCATGCGATCACATACAGAAACAGAATCATAATGACAGAATTAACCACTTCTTCTTTTGTATTTATGCAGGCAGGTCCTGCTGGAATTTTCAGCCATACAGAAGTGTTTTCTTGCATTTACAATACTTTGAGGCAGGTCTTTAAATGTAAGTCCTCTTGATAAGTTAAGAAAATTATTTTTCTTTAGCCAAACTTACCCTTTTGATCTCCACCATTTTCTTATTGCTGCTTTGCATCTGCAGATGTTGTGCCTTATTCAGCTCATGTTCCCTCATATGCTGATATTTGGGGATGGATCATGGTACAAAAACTAGCACCCTCTATGGCAAATGAGTTTTTTTTAACAGCATATATGCTCTGCCTAGGCATAATGCATGCCATTGTTTATGTTCTCAAAGTCTTATATTAGTTTGACAACAGAACTGTTGCTATAACATTTTCTTATTTATACAAGTGCCACAATTTTGTTTTTTCAATTGAAATTAAGGAGGCTAAGGAGTTGTTTAAAATGGCAGGCTTCAGATACCCCTTTTGAGCTAAGTACTGATGAATTAGACCTCAGAATTAAACAGAGGATCAAAGGGGAGAACAGATACCTAGATGGAAAAACCTTATCATCAGCCTCAACCTTGAGCAAAGCTGTCCGGCAATCGTAAGTCCCGTGCCATACATGTTGTTTGTTCTCAATTTTTTTTTTTTGCCTTGTGGAATTCATTTTTCGTCTTAGTAGTTACTGATCTAGCTAGGATGATGGGCTTTTTTGCAGGATGGACAACGAGACTCATGTATACACAGAAGGAACGGCAAGGTTCATATATGGCCATGGCCATGGCAGTGCCTACAAACAAAATTAAGCTTGGGAAATGGAAGAGTGAAGAACCACAACCAAAAGGCAAAGCTAGCACTTAGAAACAAAAGAGTGCGAGTGGGAAGACAATCTTGGGTCTTCCTTATCTTTAGCTGTATTTCTCTTTTTCCTTTTCTTTCTTTGTTTTTGTGTAGTAACTTATAAAAACTATGGTATAAATCTTTGTTTGTGTCTCTCTTTCTTGATATGTCTATTTGGAATATGGGAGTTTATGTGAGTATGAAATGGCAATGCAACTACTTTACAAGACTGAAAGTTGAAAGTTGAGACCCCACTTTTGTAGTCTGCCTCCACTCCACCATTGGTCCAATGGGTTTGAAGAGATTGGGCCTTCGATGGATTTTGAGGCTTATTATTGCTGTATGTGCAAGGGGGTTATGGATTTGGAGGATGAGCATGTTGAGAGGTTTCAATCCCACTATCCAATATTAGAGTTCGAACAGCATAACCCCTTTGCTCTCCTCTGCACCAATAAGACAGAAAAAATTGAGTTGAGCAGCTAACCTGATGATTTATAAGTATTTTATTAAAACTTAACATTAATCTGGCTTCACACGGGAGCTGGGGAGTTTAAGAAGCTAGGGTTTTTTAGAAGTACTTCCACCCCAAAGAACTAGGCAAAGTTTGTCACTATTTACGTGCCACTGATATTATCACTCCCAGCCATAGATACACCGATATCTCTATAGATATTTTCATCAGTAACTATTCGAAACAGATGTGGTGTGTGAGTGAGAGAAGAATCTCAAAGGCTGATCACAGTACTCAACTTTCTTGTTACAACTCAAGAGAAGGACGATATGAAAGGCTGCACCTGCATCGTCATCAATCATCGTGTTTCGCGTTGCTTTGTCGTTGGCCCGTGAGAAGCAGGTGTCATTTTCCCTTTCTCTACAGCCAATTACCAATTTCAACGTTGAGTTTTTATTGGGTTAATAATATTTAACGAATTTTATGGGCATTATGAAGGCAATAATGGGGATTCAGAATAGATCGATGTTGCATCATGCACACTGTGTCTGTGGTTGGTTCCCACATCCATCCATCACCGTCGTTAATCACAAGCAGCATCACTTGTGACACAGACCGCGTTGTCATGTTCTTATTAAACTATTTAATCGCTTTCTTTTTTGTTGTTAATCGATTGTGTTTGGTGAGCAAAGCAAACATACTTGACAAAAGGAGTCTCATTCATTTGTCAAGCGAAACATATGGAGTTCCCTTACCTCATGAAGTTAGCGTGTGGTCTTTTTCAACAAATAATGAAAGGGAAAGAATCGAACTTTTATCGTAAGTATGAAGAACAAATACTTTATAATTAGAGTTAGAAGCATCAAATTGTAAATGTCTCTAAGCTTCTAATTAGGAGATATCTATATCAACATCAAATTTATTTGGAATCTTTGAGAAGCATATATGGTGTCCTTAGTGGTATATATGTTCCTTAGTGGAGAAGCTATCTCTCTATTTTATCTGTTGGAAAAACAGAAAAGAAGTAATTACTTGTTAAATCACAAATCAAAATTCATTTGACGACACTTTAATTAGTGGAAGATATCTCAAGTTCAAATCTTTGTGATTAATATAAATTAAAAAACAACGTCACTTTAGTGGAAGATATCTTAAGTTTAAATCTATGTGATTAATTAAAAAAAACAAAAACAAAAACAAAAACATGATGCATCAATCTTTTTATTTTATTTTATACATAAAAGGAAATTTCATATTAGGAAAACTCTATTGCGCCCATGGTGGGTTGGATATTAGAGGATATACAGCCAGCTAGGCTCACCCAATTGTCCGTAAATAGGTGTGTGGATACAAAATCATGGGTGTGTAGATAAGATAAGCTCACCCATTTGTTATGCTAAAAGTGATTTTGTGCAAAGACAACTCATTTGATACCCTAACTTAACATATCTAATTCAGTATAAAATTGGTGTTTCAGAAATGGGACTTTCTTCTTCCAATCACTAATTTACTCAGCACACCCCCTAAATATTAGATATTCATTCATTTTATGCTTAGGGTGTGAGATATTAAAATGGAAAAGACAGGAAGAATTTGACTGAGTGTAAATGAAAACCACATCAAAGAACACCAACAAAATACAGATGTTTTTATGGACGGTTCACATGGAATTTGACAGTATCTTTTTTCTTTTTTTTTTGGATAAAATGGGGGTTGGGGGGGGGACAAAATTTGACAGTATCTTTAGATACTGATTGACTTCCACCATCACCATGGTAGCTTCTGGTATAAAAAAATCTGCCACCTTTTCCACATGCAATTGGATGAAGTTTCTGAGCGAGATGGACACGCATGCAATGTTATTCCGAAATTACTAAAATGCCCTTCTATCTACTTTAATTAAAGTTCAACTTTAGCACAACAGAACACTTTGAATTGCTGACGTGTTTTAGGCCAATTAGTCAATGCAGTAAGGTTAACCTCGTTGCGTTCAAGTTCAAGTTCTCCTCTTTACAGATTAGATTAATTTATAATAATATAAACTACCGCTTGTATAAAATATAGTAAAATAAAAATCTTTGAATTAAATTATGATAAAATCAATTTTAATCAGATTATCAAAACGTGAAAAACATTTGTCTCAGAAAACGAGTGAGTGTAGTTTCGTCCACAAAAATTGCTACCTGCTCTGCGTTGGGAGGAGGGGCATAATTTGGCCTCGACGTGTAGGTCCACAGATGTACCGCGGTAATGCATAATAATAAGTGAGTTTGTCTCTCTCTCTCTCTTGGTCTTAGTCATAAACTTATCCTATCACTACTTTCCACGTGTCCTTGCCCCTCATCTCCCTCCCTATATGCGTGTATAAATGCCTCACCTGTTCTCATCTTCCACGCCCTCCCCTTTGTCACATTGCATTTCACGTTTTTCACAAAACCCCCCAATCTTCTTCTTCTCCGCTCTCTTTGCCTTTGAAATTCGGTTACAGCTCTCAGCTCTTCTTTCCGTCTCTCTCTTTCTCTCTCTGAGCCTGACATGGATTCCTGCAGTTCCTCTGTTCGCGATTCTTCTTCTCCTTTTGATTGCCTCATCTTCGGTACGCGCAGCTCTCTCGCACAATTCCAGAATCCTTAACTCATTCTCAAGCTCATAATTAAATCTTGGATGACATGATCGATTAATTGTCGCTTAATTTGCTTAATTTTGTACAGATTTGGACGACACTCTGTACCCTTCCAACACTGGATTAGGTGAAGCTTGCAAGACGAACATCGATGGTGCGAGAAATCAAACCTTCACTTTCTTCAAAACACAAAACTTGACAATGAATAATTTTTTTATTCAAGATTAAATTAATTTATATTTTGAAATGCAGATTTTCTAGTTGAGAAATGCGGGTTCCCGGAGAGCAAAGCCTCCAGTCTTCGAGTTGAGCTTTTCAAAAGCTACGGCAGCACCCTCGCCGGCTTACGTGTAATAATTCATCATCCTTATTTTCTTTTAAAATGTGTGTTTTTTTTTACCGCAAAATAATTTATTTCCCTCTTTCATTTTTCAAAAATTAATTTTTTGTTGCTTGCTTTTGTGCTGTAGGCGTTAGGCTACGACATCGACGCGGACGATTACCACAGTGTCGTGCACGGAAGGTTGCCGTACGATCGGATCAAGCCCGATCCTCAACTCCGAAACCTCCTCCGTAGCGTCGCACAGAGAAAAATCGTAAACGCCAAAATCACCAAAAACAAAATTTTAATTAAAGAAAAAGAAACTAATTGATTAATTTGAATTTGTTGCAGATATTTACGAATTCGGATCGGAAGCACGCGGTGAAGGCGTTGGATCGTCTGGGAGTGAGAGACTGCTTCGAGCAGATCATATGCTTCGAGACGATGAACCCGAACCTGCAGAGTTCGATTCGGCCTGACGAGTTTCCGGTGGTCCTGAAGCCGTCAATGGAGGCCATGGAGATCGCGCTCCGGGTCGCCGAGGTGGATCCTCGTCGTACGGTAAGGCCACGAAGCACGCTATTATTTCTCATTCGGTTGTCAATTTGGAGTTAGTTGTGATTAGTTTAATTGATTTTTAGGCGGGGGAGGTTTGAACTGTGAAGTTGAAAGATTTGATTTTGATTTTGATTTGACGACGCGTTTTTGTCTTTTTTCGTGTTGCAGCTGTTTCTGGATGACAATGTCCGTAACGTCGCTGCCGGGAAAGCCGTGGGTTTACACACCGTTTTGGTAATTAACTGATTTTTAAATTTTGTCACTCTTGTAAATATTTGTACATTATTTTGGAAGAGTGTATCATACCAGCGCATAATAGTCTCCATGTAATTGCGCCAGCCACCACTGAAGTGGTTTCTTGTCCGGAATAAAGCGCTAAAGTGGGGTGGGAAAGTAAAAATGATTTTAGATAGTTTTAACTTGAATATTATTTAAAATAAAACGTTTGAGTTGTGACACATGATATAACAGATCGTTCTACCGAGAATAACTTTGATAGAGTCAATCAGTCATCGTCCTTATCATGATACGCTTTCGTTACTAAAAATACTTCATTGAATAGAATAAAAATCCACCTAACTTGCAATGCAAGGTTTTGTTAAAATGGTCAATTTGGTACTAATTCACATCATCTGTTGGAATGAAGGTTGGAAAAACCGTGAAAAGCAAAGAAGCAGATTACGTGTTAGAGAACGTGAACAACCTGGCACAAGCAGTTTCAGAAGTATGGGTAGGCGGAAAAGATGGTGGTAGTAACAAAAGGATCAGCCGCACCAGAAGCGACATTGAGGTCGATTCCATTCTCACAACCACAGCTGTTGGAGCTTGACCGAGTTGACTCGCCTTTCCACCTTCCAGATGTTTTTGCTTGCTGGCTGGCTCGTGTTGGGTTTGGGCTTTGGGGTTTGGGTTGGGCCCACTGTATATGTACATATTTTTCTTAATTATGTCAATATTGCATAATATGTGCATAATATGTTAATATGTATGGGTATGGGTTGTGCATATGGGAGCATATCCTAAAAGTATAAATTTCCAAATCCAAAAAGTGTATGTATGCAATGTACCAATAAATAATAGTGTTATTTTAAGCAAAGAAAGTGATTCTTCCTTGCTTTTGGTATTGAAATCTTTCAACTTTAAAATAAGACTGTTGGTGATTCGATCGTCAATTTTATAAATTTTTTTGATTCCGTTCATATGGTTATATGTAAGCTTTCGTTTAACTTTTGTACTGCCTCAAAAGGAGGGTATCTAGCTGATAGACTCGCAACATCAAACTTGTCATCTTGATTTAAATTAAGTTCTAGAGACATTATATTATTATTGTTATTGTTTGATGAAAGGTATATTATTATTTGGATAGTGATCCTTGGACAATTTCATATTATATAAATCACGGATTTGGGAATGTTGTTATCACATTATATTATTTGGGTCTATCACATCATATATTGTTGGTTGCTAGAAAAACTAAAATAAGTAAAAATTATTGTTGGTTGCTAGGTATAAAAATGATTTTTTTTTTCTTGTTAATTTGTGAAAGGATTATTTTCTATGAAAACATATATAAACTTTGATTTTTGTACAATCCAATGGGCTTATGTTATCTCTCGTTGAGCCCCTGCCCTTTAGAAAAAGAAATTATGTAAGACCAAAAGTTTATTTAAACATGAACTAGGTCCAACAGGACATGCCTAGCACCAACTTAACTTGAATTTTAGCGGGTTGAGTTGGTAAATTAGGCCCATTTACATGTTGGGCTGCCCAACTTAATGAACTCGGGTCGAGTAGCGGAACCAACCCAACTCAACTCGATTTTGCCTAACCCTAATTGTTAGTACTAAATTACTAAACTAAACGTGTAATAAACATGCCAACAGGGTCTAGCTCAGTAGAGAATGACATTCACTTGCATATCAATGATTTTGAAGAGCAATTCGAACTTAGAGGGTTGGCTCACTGCCCTGACCAACTGGCCTTTATCACATCGTCATAAGGATGCCATTTTAAAGTTACTTTTATATGTGATGCTAATTGAAACAATGGAAATACAAGAATTATATTGAATATGGAGGGAACCCATCAGCTAATTTTAATTTTGATGAATCTATTAATAATATTATTGATGGTGAGGCTGCTATTACATGTTTCTTAATCAGAAACCATTCCGAAAATGCAATTTTAGCTGGCTCATTTCCTATAGAAATGTCTTTAGTCTTGCAAGTTGAGGTGTTAGCTATTCGACAAGCTATTCATTGGATATAGTTAGATTACAATTTTAAAAGGTGTAAATATAAGGAGATTCAGAAATACTGAGTCAAGCTTTTAAATTCGCGAGGGTTTGTCAATCTATAACATTCTTATCATCATTCGTGTATATATATTTGATTTAGTAATTTTCATGTACTGATGTTATATTTGATCTATGGCAATTAATATATATATATATATATATATGACATATACAAAACAAAACCAAAAAAACATTAACCCAAATCATGTTTCTGAAATTGCATTTTAATGAAATCAAATTACAAGAAACACAAATTATACTCACATAGTCATCATGATCGTAAATACAATTAAAAATACACACAAATCACATATTATATGTCATAAACTTGCTTGCCAGTGAACTTGACCTCAATTGGGTTCACATTCTTCCCAATAGACCTGAAGTTCTGGCCAACCCCTTGGCGCCCTGGGTTCACCTTCTCAGGGTAAACTCCATCCTTTGGGTGCAAATATTGAACCTCCCCATTAGGGAACACCCTGTAAAACTGGTACTTGATCTTGTACTTTGACCTCAGCCTTGTCCCAAGAGCCAAGCATTGCTCTTTCCTAGCCAGTTTCAGCAAATTAGGACCCTCCCTCATAATGGCTGCTCCTCCAGTTGGCATCTCAAAAATCTGCTCCTTTGGAGACTCCCATGTGATCACATAGAACTCTTCTTCCTGGGCTTTCCTCAACAGCCCTCCCGTGCTGCCACCAAAGATTGGTGATGGGGTTGTTGGGTCGAGTTCTGGTGGGGTGAAGCCCACTGGAGCCTCCTTTGGTGGGGCCACAGTTTTCTCTTCTGCTGCTGCATTGATCCTCATGGTTCTTGTGGTGGAGGAGAGCATGAGTGGCTTTGGGGCCATGAAGGAGGAGGACACTGATTGCTTCCATGGGACAGTGGAGCGCTCAACGCTGGTCTTTGGGGCTGAGGGGGTTGGGGTGAAGAGGGTGGCTTGTGTTGCCATGGCCATGAGGGACAGACACAGATAGAGAGAGAGAGAGAGATGGTTGTGGTCTAATTTTTGTTTTGGTTTATGGGGTTATGGAGGATTTTGGTTGGGAGAGTTAGAAGGATTTGATGTGGGTGGTGAGGATTTGGGTTTGGATAAGGTGATATGGGTTGGACCAATTAGGATCTGTGATTCTGATACGTTGGCTGGCCTACCTGTGCCTCATTTTCATCTCTTTTGTTTCTTCTTTGCTTCTTTGCATATCTTATTTCTGGTCATCTTGTAAAATCCTTAGGGAGAAGCTAAATTGTATTTTCTATTTTTTTTTTTTTCCTCCTTTTTCCTTTTTTTTTTTTTTTTTTTTTTTTTTTTTTTTTTTTTTTTTAAGTGATGATCCCCAATATCATCATATTTTGTTTGAAATGAGTTTATTTGGTTGAGTTGTTACATATGTGACACGACCTATGGTAATGAGCGTTTTGTGTGTGTTGGTGCACATATAGTTTTGACAAATATACACACGTTATACCGTCTAGTCTAGTGAAAAAGGACATTTACTTGTATACCAATGGTCACAAGTTCGAACTCTCATGATATTTTAGTAGTATGTGTGAGAAAGTAATTGAGATTATCTTTTATATTTAAAAACAAATTAATTACATATTAGTTCGATTTTGATCAATTGTTTGCTCTTATTTTATTATATTAATAACTTTATAAGATTTGAACTCAAGACTTTTCTTAATAAAGTAGACTAATGAACTGTTGTGATCTTTCATATTTTGAAAGATGGGAAAACAATTAGCATTCGTTTGGATGAAGTAAATTGAAAATTACATAAAATTCTAAAATGATGGAATTTATATTTCCATTATTTCAATTTCTGGCAATTAAAGATTTCAGTGTTTGGATTTATGTATGTCGAATTTTGTAAATGGTGCCATGGAAATTGTGAAATAACGCCTGTTTTGATGGAAATTAAATTCGGGAATTTGATGCCCCAATTTTCACAATTTTTCCTCACGTCATTTAATAAATTCCATGCTTAAGTTGCCAAACAATGAAATTGTCAATTTCTCCTTTTAAATTCTTGACTTTTAGCTAAATCTAAGTTATTTTCCCTCATCCAAACGAAGAGTAAGATTTTTTTTTTGACCACCTCTAAATGGGCCAGCTCATACCCACTAGGTCACAACAAGCCATCACAAATTCACAATTCCCCCGAAGGCTACTATTTTCTCTATGGATATAGCAATTGCATCAGCCCCGAAGAAAAAGCTACGGCACTCGCGCATAATTGTCTTCTTCAGCAACATCAACATCCTTGTTGGTACAAGAAAAATGGAAAGCCATATGGCAAGTCAAGAAGGTTGCACGTGGTACATGCAACCAATCGGTGAGTCACAGGAGAGGCTAAAGAGTCGCGACTGCAAAATCTTCTTCAATGTTGTGCAATTTACTTTGCAGATTGAGTAAGTTCTCTCTCTCATTTTATCTCTCATAATTGCTTGCTTGTTGTTATACTGAATGTAAGCTCGTTCTATGCAAATATGCAGATACTGTTTTGGCATAAGAAAATGGTGCAGATATAGCTCCTGACATACAGGCAATGTAATGTAGCAGACAAGCATCTTTTCAGGTTTTTGATTCGAACGATTCGTCTTCTCTTCTGTAGGCAAATTAATAACAGTTTTTAGTGCTCTCATTTTTGTGTTCTGAGAATGACATATAATTCACACATGCACAACACCAATTCATTCATACCACTAAGATAGTATATACAATCTGCACAACCACTTTGGTAGAAGATTATGATAAAGAAAAAATATGACAGGTACAAAAATCCTATCTGGTACTCTAGTTGCACGACCATTTCACACTAGAATAATTATAACTGCTTCAAAAATATCTATCCATCTAGTAGTATGCAGATCAAAAAGTTCATATAGAGACACTGTTGGGAATTCCTCTCCCAGTGAGTCCACCCTCTCTCTTTGTGTCCGAGGTGCTAGGATACAGCAACGTATAAGGCATCTTGACAGGCCCAACTCTGTTCTTGTATTTCTCATCCTTGTTCCTTTTGTCAATTCTCTTTTCAATTTCCATCAGTGTCTCTCCGAATTTCTTAAATGCTGCTCGGGGCTTACCATCCGAAATCCACTCAGGATTATCTGTTTGCCCAAGATAAACCTCATCAGTTGAGTGTCGGGATAGAATCTCTATCAGAGATATACCGAGGAGAGTGTTGAATTGGGATGTTATTGTTTTGAGGAAGGCTAAGTCAGGGTTTGACTCAAGCTCAGCGTATTCATCAGTGCCTGCCTCAGGCATGAAACGGCGGCTTACAGTTGGGCGGTTAGGGAGGAAGCCAGCATAAGGATATTGCCCAAAATTAACAGCTGCATGGAGGGCAGAAGCCACCCATATGATTATGGTACATGATTGGATAAGTTCGTCTCTTGTTTGCATCTTAGGCCACCATAGCTCTTTCTTCTTGTCGCCATGGCCTTCATTGCGGAGCTCTGTCCACCATGACTTGAGTTCAGTATCACTGTGGACCTCATCGTCTGTTTTGTAGTAGCAAGAGCAATATTCAGTAACCCAAGTTTCAATAGCCGACCATATTTCTAGCCCATCAACAGCAAACGGGTAATCTTCAATCACAAGTCTTAAGCCCTGAAGGCCATTTGGGTCTGGAAATGCCATTCCTCTGAAATCAAACAGAAGGTGGAAAGAAATTCAGTTTGATTGAAGTTGAAATCTATTAATTTGAATTCAGGCTTCCTGGCTCACCTCTTGAGCAAGTCAGCAGGTAATGCCTGCTCAGTGAATACCCAGTTTTTGTAAATAGCGGATGACATTTCCATGGAGAATTTAGCTGGGAAGACTGTTCTCTCAAGCACCCCGCCAGCATTGATGAGGATGTGCCTTGCTAGGGCATTTATGTTCATCGTGTCCCGGAAGTGGGGTTGCAAGAGCTTATGTATTGGGTGAAGCACACTCAACTGTCTATTTGTTGCAATCACAAATGGCTCTATTACAGCATGGGTGTTTAACCTGCAAATAAAATTAGAAGCTTGTAAACTAGAACCAAGCTGCTACCTGATGCTACAATACAGCACTTTCTTTGTTAGGCTTCATACCAGTGGCTGATAAGCTGATGATAGCCAGAATCATTTACAGCAACGTAAGCTTTGGCAAGCTGCCACACTGAATCCTCAATGCGTTTACTGCCTTTTGGTGCTGGAGTGAAAACTTTGCTATCAGCACCGTGATGGTCCCCTTGTGGATGTGGTAAGCTTAACTCAATTGCCAAAGGCTTCAATGTCCCATCTTCTTTCAGGAAGAGGAGAGTTCTGGTGGCGTAGGTCTTCGTGTGTGTTGAGTTTATTCGCCTCAGGTATGGCATTAATGCATCATGATGATCTAATATGAATAGCCTGTTCCATTGCATCGCCTGTACAAAAAAGGGCAGAAATGATTACTTATGTTACATGAATTTAATAAATATTGGATTATGATGGTTTAACCCGCAATGGTAGACTGCAAGAAAGTTGAGCATGATTAGTACTTGTTCAACAGTGAGGCCATCCATGTTCTTTTCTATGTGCTCTTCTCTTATTGAACTGTTCTGATTCCCATATACATCAGGTTTTAGCTTGCTGGTCGGGGGAAATTCCTGCCGATAGAATTTCAATGATGTATCGAACAACTTAACATAGCTGTATGATTGTGATAGTCAAATGAATTAGTGAAACTTGTATCTTACTTGGAGGCGGGCAATGTTAACCGGGCTCACCCCTGCCAACATTTCTCTTGCAAACTCTTCATCTGTCCTCCATGCAGATCTATCCTCTGCAATTATATCATGAAACCTTCGTAGTTTAGTGTATAAACATGTTTAAAAATCTAAAAGTTTAGCTTATCTGAAACCAAGTCATAGGGGTAAAGACTTTTACATACTATTAATCACATCAGGCAATGGGAACTTGAGAAATCGCTCGCCATCTGAGCGAACTAGTTCCTTAAACAGCTCCCAAGGGATGCAGTCCCGTATTTTCTTCAGTGTTGGCCCATTTGGTAGCTCGATACATCCATCGTAGAGATTAAATACATCCTCAAAGGTGTCAAACTCATTGATAGTTTTATCACACAAAGATCTCAGCTCTGGAAGCAATACCTGAGCCAGGGATTTCAGGAAATAGGCAATAAAATCCGAAAACTTAACATGGCTAAACCGCTCATCTCTTGGAACATAGATGTTTAGATTTAGTAGTGCCAGTCTGCTCTCAGAATCGGGGTCTGTTACAAGCATAAAGAAAAATTGGTCATTCATTATGAAGTTTTAAGATATATGAGAACCATTCAATCATAAACAGTCTCTGTTCATATTCTATTTATGTTCCTAACCAGTCTTGGTTGGTTTTCGCCCGGTTTTTCCTCTTCTTGGATATGGACACTCCGATCCACCAAGTACAGGGCGTGCATATTCTGGACCGTCGTCTGGACTGCCCAGATCATTGTAGGTAGCATAGTCATACACTCTGTCCCACTCCTTCAGCTTGCGTGATCCACTCCCCCGGAGATTCTTGAGTTCTTCTTCCCTGTAAGGGAGTAATAGCGGAGGGGTTTCCAATGGCAGGTAGGCCTAACACAGAAACATGAAGTTTTCGGTTAGTGCATTCACATAAGTTCCTTAACCCAATTATAGCAAAACGTTGGTGTAAGTCTCATTTCTGCATTTCAATGAAGAAGAGAGAGACCAAATTTGCTGTAACTTTTTGAAATTGTGGAATTATGGCCCCATAGAAAAAGCCATTGAATATAACCACACGCACATCATAAGTTATAATGTTTTTATATACACAGAAGAAAACTCTACAATTAAAGAAATATGAAGCCAATCCAATAATGAAAAGACTTGGTGCAAATCTAGCTGGAAAAGTAAATTAGAGAATGACTTCTCCACATTAAAAAGTTAATCACATAGATGTTTCGATTTTTCCAGATAAAGTAAGTTTTAGCTTCCAATAAGTACCCTCGAAAGAAACAATCATAGCACATCTCACCATATGGGTCGGATAAGATATGATGCTAAGACCAATTCATCATGTTATGAAAGAGATCAAAGCCTTGTTTTTTTAAAACAAAGACTGACAAAGCATGCTGCATGAACTTCAACATTTTATAATAAAAAATTAAATTTAAAACAAAAACAAAAACAAAAATGGACAATCTCTCTCCCAGATGCATGTTATCTTATGGAATTTATGTAAATCAAACTGAATTTACCTTGTTGGGGAAAAATATTCGATTATACTTGTAATACCGTGCCGGGTATACCCAGGAATTGCAGACGAAATGGAGTCGACCGTGCTCCGGAACGTTTTCTAATGTGATTGTCTTGAGGTAGAATTGGCTGTGGTGATGGTTTTTAACCAGTAAAGCTTCAGGAACTCCCATGGAGTTTTCCCAGTCCATGGAAATGGTGAAAGTAGTTTCTCCCGCCGTCGTTGATGTAATGGTTGTAACCCATTTCTCCAGGTATGCTACCTTTCCAAGCCTCCCTCTCGATATCAACCCATTTTCTGCAAATGATCAATAAACATTTTTTGGCCTTTGTCAAAATTGAAGTCATGGGTTGTTGCAAAAACTTGAACAAAAGAAGTTTAGCAAATGTTAGAGAAGCTGACCTGCAGGTTCAGGCTGGGTTTTACTGATGAGTTGCATGGAAACACCTTTGCCCAAGAGCTCAAAGATTCTATCGGCGAATGAGGATCTGATATCAGTGAAGTCCATTACATTCTTCTTCATCAACACCACTTCTCCTCTGATTTTCCTGCTCCCTCCACTCACCACCATGTTGTTATTATTTGGCTTCTCTTTGTTCTTCAGACAAAATGCTTCCATCACTTTCCCCATGAGAGAGCTCTCAGCGGTTGAAGAAGATCTGCAACTACAAATTGAGATACCCAATGCTCAACATGAATATTAATGGTCTATATAAAGCCAAGTTTGAGGAAGACGATGAGAATGAGAGCAAATATTTGTATTGGTGCTCTCTGCTTTCATTGTGTTTCTAATGGTTGTTAATAATTCTCTGCATTTTTGACTTGGAAGTGACAACTAATAGTGGGGTCCTGATGGAATTTTCAAACTTTATCTCTTTATTAATAGATAATCAAAGAACAAGATTCGATATTGGCAAACCCAATTCGCTATCATTTGTTTTTTTAATCAGTACATATAATTGTACAATATATGCATGTTGGTATATTTAATGTATTTTCTTTTTGGTCATAATATATTTAATGAACTTTGTTCCTCGTGTGAATTATTTTAGTTCACATTAACATTCACACTAACCGTTGATTTAGGTCTGACATGTCCCGTTGGACTTGCAAAAACTATATATATATTTTTTTCTTTCTTTGTATGATGATGCCCTGTCGATCGATGGATGCTTCCTAGCGGTCTTGTACTACGGTCTATATTATATACTAATTAAATTTATTATTCTTAAAAAGGGTTGTTAATTTTTCGATTTAATGATATTATATGAGGGGGCGTGTAGAGGGATTTAATCCGGTCGTTCAATAATAACCCTCTTGTTCTAATTCCTCATTACAGTCTCTCTGGCTCATATGAGGGATGCTGTAATCAAGATGTAATCAACTACGTGGTCAGTTTAGGCATTCTGAAATTGCAAAGACAGTATAGGGATTGTTGTGTCTTTAAAAAAGGTTGTACCTTTTTTTTTCGACACATATATATTGAATTTAGAAACAAGTGACAAGTGAGGATCAATTGTACCAGTTAGATCACGTGGAGTTAAAAGCATGCCTGTCTTTTGGTTGTGCAGTAAAAGTAATAATCATCTATCAACTCAGATGCGAAACTTACCAAAATGTAATGTTAATGCTTGAAATTCGTCATGTCTGGTCCCATGATATGTTAATTAGGTGCGACCCCACAAAAGGGCAATGGCCAATTTTTTTATTATTTTTTCTCTCTCTTTTTTTGGGCTACTGTTGCCCAAAATGGCCACTTCTTCTCGTGCCTAGTCCACTTTCATTTTACTGTAACACTTCATCATGGAACGGAGCAGAGATTTTCATACTTACAAATTGAGCGAATTTGTGGATTTTCATAATCAAGCGGCTTAATTTATGTCTTTGAAAAGTTCTCGTGTTGCATTCGCTTCTTTATTTGTTTTTAAAAAAATAATTTCCATTTTTGAAAATCGAGCGTAATTTGTTCACTGATTATTCTCCTTAAACCAAGCGTAGACATATTAATTATTAGTTTTTGACTTATGTGCTTATAATTTCACAACTCATCCTTTTTTCATTTTAGAAATTAAAGAATACTACGATATAATGATACATCTTGTACATGTGTTCATACGGCTTCATGCACCTTTCATGAAGACGGATGCATGAATAGAATTCAATAGTTTTTGGCTGAAGTTTAGCGAGCTTTTTCATTATCAAGATTTTGATAACTTTTTATATAATTTTGAATTAACTGTTTATCCTTCTACCTACCAGTTGTCTTGTCGATAATGTAAGCAATAATATATATATATATATAATTATATTATGAACTTTATTAACCAATTTTCAGCTTGTCAATGTAATTGACCAAATATTTAAAATAAATTCACATTGTCAAAATGTAACGTATATACCAAATGTGACTATGAAGTTAGCAAATGTGATTATTATCAACAACACTAACTTGCCTCCGTGGAGTTGTTTTGTTCCCTCCTTTTCTTGTTGGCCATGGAAGGAAGGAATCAAATGCAAAGTAACCAAAATGAAGAAACCTGAAAACCAATCAAATTTTGCCCCTCATCTCCTCCGACCGAAAGAGAAAGCACCGGCCTCACCCTCACCTCACCACATGCCCCTCAAAGGAAGGGAAAAAAGGAGAAAAATAAAAGAGAGAGAGAAAATTTTCTCATTGGAATTTAACATATTCCCTAGAATGCTATGATCACCGAGCTCATATTAAGCATCATAAACCAACATTACATGAGTGTTTATTTAATATTGCGCCATTAACATTAATAATATGCTTGCCTAATTCTCTTGATCATTGTTGTCCCCACTTTGTACTTATCCTTTTATCACTTTTGTCTCAAACAAAAACTTGGTGTTGTTATCAATCGTCACTCTTATGATTAAACAATTTTAGGTTGATGACAACGTTTTCATGTTTGAAGAGCTGACTGAATGTGCATTGAAGAAAGTCACACCACCACCACCATACCATAATGAGATTAAAGTATTGAACTAATCATAAATATGTATCGTCCTTACATTCATGTGAGCGAAACATAACATTGAAAAATAAATGAAAGTAGGTAGAGCTCAACAACGCGAACAAATTTTTTTATAAAGGAGAATTCTATTGATATGTCTCTATGAGCATCTAACACAAAACAAATTGGGAAATAGGTAGAGATGCTCTCAATAATATTTAAACAATTAGGCAAAAACATTAATTCCCCAACTAATAAAATACACTCTCTGCTGAACAATCCCAAAATTAAATGGGCTGAGCTAGGCCTTTGTACTCAAAGCACACACTAAGTTGAGGCCTGCAAAGAAGTAGGCTTGCCAAAGATTAGGCCTGGACATCACATTTGCTTGACCCATACAGAAAAACAACAATTTGATTTGGTACCTTTGTTAATCTTAAAATAATCGCTATAAAACAAAACCAAAAAAGAAAAGAAGAAACACTTATCACGTGGATCCAAATATTCATAATAAATTACTCATCTCCTTTTGATTTGTTGACCAAAAGAAATGTGGAATTTGACTTGTAAGCTGACCTTAGTTTTCGATTTGAGTTTATGCATAATTTAAGTAATCACATCACAACCTAACAACTGGATTATTTTAAGTCAAAGATACATGAAGATTATAAATTATGTAGCATACCATAGGGACTGCAATTTTGTTATTGCCCTAAATCTCTCTCTCTCTGACCTCTCTCTCTTTCTATAACGCCATTTCTTTGACCTTTCTTTAAGCTTCACCTACAGAATGACCAAGAGGGAAAGGCATGTGCTGATCAATAAAAGAATACCAAAGCCTGATTTATTCACTGGTTTGAACTTAAAAAATTATAATTTTTTAAAACTGTATCGGATGCTGCCTTACAACCCCAAATAGAAAAGAAGTTTATATGAAAAATTATTGTATGATATTGAAATACGGAATATGCTAATTAATAGCATATACATGCTTATGCGTGCACAACTAGCATGATACGATTAACATGTTAGAAGAGGGAACAACTTAAATAGCTATATGTATGTAGCATATAACAAATGGGATATTCCCATGGACAAGCATCTTTATCCCTTGCTTCTAAAGCTTCAAAGTGCCTAGGCGTACACGCAATGCTTGTCCTTTATACAAGACCATATGCGATATGATACCACTCAATTCACAAAACTAAATCCATATCGATCACAAAAATTGACTACTTCTTTTCTGTTATTATTATTATTATTATTATTGCAAACCTTTCGTATTAAGAAAGATGATAATATATTGAATTCATACACACACAACACGAATGCTAGAGCTCGAATCGTGGCCCTTTTCGTGAACCGTGGACCTTCGCAGTTTTTTGTATAATAAGAAACAATTGGCCATTCAGTTGTTTTAAGTTTCAAGTCAGAAATAACAAATGCAATGACTTTCTAAATCATGGTACAATTCTTTTTTAGCAAAAATAAGAAAAGAAAAGAAAAGGGGAGTATAAATTTATTTCCTTAAAATATTTTTTTAGCCAAAAAAAAACATGGTAGATGGTGTGGCTCTAAAAATGGGTGAAATGACCTTTCAGTAAGTTGGTTCTCGCCTTCACTGAAAGGCACGACAAATAAGGTTATAGCTATAAATAAATAAACAAAATAGGCAATTGCAACAGAATTATGGAATGTTTTTATTGAGTTATATTATCCTAGAATGGAAACAGCCAACCATCTTTTTATTATTTCTTTTGCCTTTTGGCTTGAAATGGCTAATATACAAGTAATCTATAGTTTAAGATATAGATAAAATTAGAGGAAAAAAAATTACAAATCGTAAGCACTTAGTGCTTAGTCCAATTAGTTAAATTTCAAAGAGACGGGTCAGCGGCCCACAACTAGCAACGTTAATATTGTCCCCAACTTAACCATCTACAAAGCCAAGTAGGTGTGAGGTTTTATCACAAAAAATCTCGGTAATATTAGTAGTGAAACCATTCATTATATGTTATATTTTATTTAGTCAAGTTTTCGATGTGTGACTTTATATTCTTCAACACAATTGAGATTAGAGAATGCAAATTAAAAAATGAATAGTGAACTAGAAGTTTAAAAGAACAAAAGAAAAAGATGAAAAAGATAGTTTTAGGGTAACTATTGTGAAATAAACTAGCATATATCTAAGTTATAAAAATATATATACATTATTAATTTTCAAAGTCGATGTTGCTAATAAAGGATACAAAATCATTCTAGTGACACTGAAAGATCACATCATAAAATAAGCTTTTGTTGATGTTGTTGAAAGATCATTGTAATGTGGGGATGTCATTACTAACTTAAAGTCAAGTTAAATTCTACACACTTATTTTAGTTTGGATTGAAATACTACAAAAACTAATTTGAATATATGAACTAATAAGAGTATTAAGTATTTTACGGCCAATCTTTTCATGATAAACTTAGTTAACAAAGAAAAGGCAAAAGAAATAGACTTTTCTTCACCAATTTGAAGGATACATCCTCATTAATTAGCAAACTTAAGAAGAAAAAGAACTTTTTTGCTAATGAAGAAAACAAAAAGGATAGTAATAAGTTGTGTATATTATTGTCGTTGATGAAAAATAAATATAAAAAAAGCTTTTAGTTATATATATGCACAAACCAAATAACACGCGCACATTCATACATGAAATAATATATAAAAGCTCCACTTCACGCAAACTTCTGGGGATTTTTGGTTTCTCCATCTCTCTCTATTTTTGGGTCCTTTAGATCTGAAATTTTGATTCAACTGTTTGATCCAGTTTCAGACTTTCAAGCACTGGGTTCACTCCAATCTCTTATTCTCTTACAACCCTTTTTTATTTATTTTTAAATAAAAGAAGGAAGATTAACATATATGAAAATTTCATATTATTCATGAATAAAAGAGGGAGCTTTTGATTGTGGCATGTGAGCCTCCTCTAATGGGGTCCCGTAAACAAGCAAATTCTTCTTCTTCGTCATCACCTTCGTCCTCTCAGCGCACGGAAATTTCGATCTCAGGCAAGTTATTCAAGTTCTCTAATTTTCTCATTCATTATGCTTTTTTGTTTTATGCTGGAATTTCTGAATCTGTAATTGGAGAACCCAGAATTCGTTTTAAGTCTGAAGTTCATGTTTATTGATTTTTTGAGTTTTCATTCATTCAAAACTTAAATGAATTGAACTTAGGTCTCAAAGTTTTGGATATACTGGAGAAAAGCAGAATTTTTTGTTTATTAATGGAGGTGGGGGTTAGGTGATAGAAAAATTCATTTAGTGGTTTCCATATAGAACAATGAAGTAGAACATTATAGGCCAACAGGGCCTCAAGCAAACACTTCTATTAGGCGAAATAGGATCTGAACTATGTAGATTAATGTCCTAAGCTATGCAGGTACTGGATTCAAAACAATGAGAATGCTTTTGATGCTTATCACGAATTGGATTGGGTATTGCTCGTTTTCTTGTGCGGTCATGCTTGACAGACTGCAATTCTATTGGTTCTGGACTTAACGGATTTTGAGAGTGTGTTTAGTTTAGTAGGACGATGAAAACATAAGATACCAATGTTCGTTTTAGTTTAGATAAGCGAAATTGTTTGGTACATGTTTTTCTGTGATCTTTCAGTTAAAAAGCTTCCATCTTGGAGATATAGACATGGTCATTCAACTTGTATACTTGCACCACTTGTTAATGTTACAGTTGTTATCTCTCTTTCTCATAAATTTTGAAACTTTCTTTTTATAGAGAACATAGAACTTCATTCTGAAAAATACTATTTTGCCCGCGCCCCCTCCCTTTTTTCTTTGTGCACGCTTTGTCAAAAAAGCTTCAATATTATCTGAGATTAGTAGTAAATAAGATTAGAAAGAAAAAGGAATCAACTCTCCATCATCAATCTCTAAAGGAAGCTGAAAGGTCCTTTCCGTCTTAAATGCTTTTGCTGATTAAATTTCATATTGTTTCAGGGCTCAGTGAGAAGCATCAAGAGGAACTAGAAAACTTGACACTAACAACACAACCCTTCAGAACATTGAAGTTTTTCATTTTGGCTGTAGTTCAATATGTGAAGCGTTCAATATCGTATCTGTTGGCAAAAGGTGGTTGGCTTATGCTTTTGAGTACTGTCGTAGCGTCACTTGGAGTTCTTCTAGTGACCATTGATGGCCCTCATGAGAAGGTATTTTTATGTGTAGATTATATTAGTGATATCATATTTGAGAAGATGCTATGTTCTTAAGATGGACCCCAAAGATCTTTCTGGCTGAAATTATGTTCATTTCTTTTAGGGTTGTTTATTTAATGGTAATTATATATTGCTTCCTGATAGGATGCGAATCTAGGGTTAACCGTTAACTAAACCCTTTCTTACTTGAAGGATACTTATTTTTATGAACCAACAACAAATCTCTACCTCCAATTTGGTTAACTAAATTATTTTTAATTTTTTATTCGTAGCATCACTTCACAAAACTGATGCTTATTTATTTTTATTTTTTTAAAAGTATTCAAATATTTTTTTAAATATTTCAAGGCTGTGAAAAATCTTAAAGCTCATTACTTTGTGTGGTGAGGATGTTAATGCCCAGGAACATTTTATTCATAGCCTTCTGATGGTTAACCGTGATGTTTCTTACTGGTGTTGGCATTTAATCTTATTTGTTTTGTTTAAATGCTAAAAGTTGATGGAATGATTCTGCAGCATGTTGAGGAACTTCTCAAATATTTCCAGTTCGGGCTATGGTGGGTGGCACTTGGAGTTGCATCATCAATTGGTCTTGGTAAGCAGTATGAAAATTATGAATCATTGTTTTTGTATAAGGCTTTCTGATGGTGCAAGTAATTAAAACATGGAAAAAGTATGGAACAAGAAAGAGCATCTCTTCTGTATCTGTTTTTAAATATTCAGCAACATCTTTCCTTGTATATATTGATGTAACCTCCCTGATATTGAATGGAAGCATAATATTGTATTCTTTTGCTTATTTTTCCTTCAGGATCTGGTTTGCACACGTTTGTCCTATATCTGGGTCCTCATATTGCCTTCTTTACTTTAAAGGCGATGCAGTGTGGTCGAGTTGATTTAAAAAGTGCTCCCTATGATACAATACAGCTAAAAAGAGGTCCTTCGTGGCTTGGGAAAAACTGCTCTGAATTTGGGCCCCCATTGTTTCCATCATTACATGGTTTGCGGGTTCCACTTAGCAGCATATTACCTCAGGTCCAGCTAGAGGCTGTTTTATGGGGTGTTGGGACTGCAATTGGAGAGCTTCCTCCATATTTTATCTCAAGAGCAGGTAAGCAGAACAAGTTGTAGGTTGATAAACTGTCCTACAACCAAGATTTTTGTGCTAAGTTTTTTTTTAATGAAAACTGGATGAAGATCCATTTTGCATGTACGAGGATGTCATACAGGCAAAATGGACTGAAGGGATGGAGGACACTATTCATCCAATGATCTATGTGATTTATGCATCTAATTCTGGTCTGCTTTTGGTTTACTGCTTCATGTAGCAAGCTTATCTGGCAACAAAGTGGATGGCATGGAAGAATTGGATGCCCCCTCAGATGAAGGAACAGGATTCATAGCTACTCATCTAAACCGAGTCAAACGCTGGCTTCTATCACACTCACAACAGTTGAACTTCTTTACGATCTTAGTGCTTGCTTCGGTTAGTTTGAACATCTTTCTTCTTCATTACTAGAGTGGCTTTCATAAATTATACCTTTTTGTTTCATCGGAGTGACCTTTTATTCTTTGCCATATGATTTCTATTGTTTCCTCTTCATTACAGATAATTGGTGTTTCTTCTGTAATATTACACAAATATTCATGTGCGTGTGTCATGTTGTATGCTAACAGATTAATGAGATTTGGATTTCTATTACCATCCAGTAGTTGCATGAATCATTGTTTCTCTTCAAAATCTAACTTTTAATTAAAGTTGGTGCTCTAGTATATTTGTACTGTTTAAATTCTAGTTTGATCTTAGAATGCAACAACTGTTATGCTTATCTCAAAATTTCGTACAGTACTATTTTCATTGTAGCCTGCCAGTTAACGTGGATACTTTTCAGGTGCCAAATCCTCTTTTTGACCTGGCTGGCATTATGTGTGGACAATTCGGTATTCCATTCTGGAAATTTTTCCTTGCGACAGTGATTGGAAAGGCAATTATTAAAACTCATCTACAGGTTTGTTAAGTTCCTTTTCTTACACAGTTTTGACCATGTTTTGGTTCCATTTTTGCGAAGTTGTTCTTAGACCTCTTACTTTGAATAAGATATATTGATTATATTTTTTGTTTTGGCTTGTCCAAATGTTCCCTATTTGCTTCTGATTCATGGTTTTTGTTTGTTTATTTTCTTTTTATGCAGACGGTCTTCATCATCTCAGTTTGCAACAATCAACTTCTTAATTGGATAGAGAATGAATTGATTTGGGTTTTCAGTCTCATTCCTGGTTTTGCTGCTGTCCTGCCTAACCTCATTGCCAAAATTGATGCGGCAAAAGAAAAATATCTCACAGCTTCTTCTGTATCCTCAAATATCAAGGTAACTCAACTGTTGATAAGGCATCCTTGTTGTAAATGGACTTTTAACTTCTTATGGTGTTGATTGATATCAGGTGCTGGATTTATTTCAATTTGTCTAATTTAAAATCCTTGCCAGGTGAAAACGTGGGATTTCTCTTTTGCATCAATTTGGAACACTCTGGTCTGGCTTATGCTATTCAACTTCTTTGTCAAGATTGTGAATGCAACTGCTCAGAGGTATCTGAAGAAACAGCAGGAAAAGGAGCTTGCTTTGTTGACAAAGAAGTCGTAAAGCATCACACAGCTGCATGATGTTTTGCCATGCACCTTAAAATGGCGGTACTGCTCTTCTCTCTTTTTTCCTTTTAGAACATCACACAGTAGCATGATGTTCCACCATGTCCCTTAAAACGGCTGTACTGCTCTTCTTTCTTTTTCCTTTTTCTTTTGTTCTTTTATCCTACTCCGTTTTTCTGAAGTAGAAGCAATAGAAATTCCTTGACACAGCTGTTTCGGAAGTCATCATTGGTCTCTCCCCAAAATGCTCTGTGCATGTCCTTGTTAGAAGAAGCTTGTATAGGATCATGAATCTAATGGAGCACTGTAGACGTTGCAGGTTTATTATGTGTAATTTTGGGGGGGAGGCATTACTTAGGGTGGGTTTTTTCACCCCATTGTCAACTAATGTTGAAATTTAGAAATTGGAAATCTTACTATTCTTTGCAATGCAAGACAAGGTTACATCTTGGAGATTCTATACATTTCAGTCTTTCATATTCTTTAAATATAAAAATAACTTATTCACCCCATTTCTTTCACAATAATCCCTGTTGAATCCACTACAAAAAACATAAGTCCAAACTCAAAATGGCACCACATCAGCTAGATCATATAAATTTGGATTAGTTACACTTTCATATATGAAAGCATCACTTTTGTTCATCATATAATATTAATGAACAAAGCCTACATAAAATAAAATTTCCAAGTAGTAAATTATGAGAAGCAGTCCAGTCAGCATTGGTGTTGAAGTTTGTGTTCACGTTCCCAAGATCATGGTTTGATTCTCATCTTTAGCCCTTCTACTCGATTCCTTAGCCAACAAGTAGATTAAAATACAACCCACAGCACAGGTGTAACACCCATATCACATAATCTATTGCATTTGGCCATGAATATTAAATTGGGTTCTTTAAATAATCATAATGTTCTTTGGAGAGAGAGAGAGAGAGAGGGTTTGGTGATAATTTTGTCAGAGGAAGCACCAAATATTAAACCTGTAGGCTGTGGGAGATCCAATGTATTATTCTCCTGGACAGCATAACCAAGTCCATCCATGTGTAGAAAATAATTTCTTATTCTTAATATGCATAATTTCTTATTCTTTTTTTTATTTTAAATTTGTAATTTGGCATGTTGAACAAATTTGGGTGGTCAAAGAAATGGGTAATTGGTGCCTAATATATATATATATATATATATATATATATTATTTTTGGGGTGAAGTGGGGGCAAATGAATGAATGAAATCTTAGAACATGGATTTGACCAGATTTTTGGGGTTGATTGAAGAGAGAGGAGTAATTTATCAGATTTCCCTAATTTTTTAATCAAGGCCTATTGACAATGCATATATACAACTATTATTGGTTTATTTATTATTTGTTTAAACAATGCGGGGATGATTCTTTTTGTTTTAAAAAAATATTATAATTGTATCTTTGTTTGAATTATACAAACTAGCCCCTTAGCACATGCTTACGCATGTACCAATTGGTTTTATTTTTTATTTTTTATTTTATTTTTGTATTAAGAAAAGATAACATGGGTTGTTATGTTCCATAAAAGTAGGACTTATTATCTTATTTTGTTTTTAATTTTAATTTTTTTAATATAAAAAATATGAATTTACCATATTATCCTCATTTAATTAATAATTCTAATTTTTAATATTTGAATTAACCAAGGGTATTTTCTAGTATTTTGAATGTTTCACTATTCTCTGCGTTTTGCTTTATATATATAGATATATAGACTCAACTAGTCATCTAACCATTTTCATGCATTCATTCATTTCTTATTCATTTCTCAATTCTCGACTGCATGGATAAAGTATTAAATAACTTCATTTTATATATATATATATATTTTTAAAGCGACAAGACAAACTTCACATTTCACCTTCCTGTCAAGTGCGTATAATATTTCAAAGTGAACTTCATACCTAATTAATTATCTGTAAATTAAGTGTTTCTAATGAATTCGAGTAGGTAGACCGAATTTGGCTTTCTCAAGCTTTATCTAGTTTTAATTATTTTGAATTTGTAATTTTAGTTGAGATGCTTATGCCATAATTTCTTTAATCATGCATGATAGTTAGTTGAAGCGCATCAGATTGTCGTAATTTTGATGTTAGATCGCTCTGTTATTGTAATGGTCCTTTATAGCTAGTTTGTATTGACCTTTTGTGACTAGTGGCTTTGTTGATTGAATTATGAATGCAATCTTAGAATTTCTATATAAATAAATAAATAAATAGAATTCTACTAGTTAACATTTGTGATAGTTTAGACTTTAAAGACGTATGAGTTTCTTTAGACCCATTATAATCGCCCTATCTAACAACCCTGAAGGTTAATTAATTTCATACAAAAGTTAAGTTTAAGAATTTGACTATGTGGCTGTGAATTGACAACAAGTATGAAATCAAAGTACTAACAATAAAAAAGAAGCGCCAAAAACTTTATAATAAAATTTTCCACCTTGAAGTTACGGAAAACCCTTGGAGAAATTAACAACATTTTGTAGCAAAAAATAAAAAATAAAAATAAAGTGACCTGGCCGACCAGGGGTCACATCAGAGTACTCTCTCAGTCACATGCCCTCCTACTTGGGTTAGTGACTGAATGCTGAAACGACGTCGCTGTCACCGTAAACCCCGTAAATAGAAAGAAGGAACCGGGTGGCAGTGGGGCCACAAGTGCATGGTGGGGCGGCGTTACATTAAATGTGGCCATTTTCCTTGTTGACGATGCAATTTGATTATTTATTTTCGTAAAATATCTAATGGCAATTAAGCTTAATATTATGCATTAACAACACGAAATGAGACATATAGGTTTGTCGGACGAGGCTGACATGACTGCTGACATGGCTATTGGGCGGGACCCGCATCTGCGATTTTTCTGGATTATTACCTTAATTTTTGTAACATTGCTGTCTCCGTACAAAATACATGATACATCTACTACACGGTTATTTGCACATTTCTTTGTCCGATGCATTTTCTGTTCGCAATTCTTCTGGGTCCCACCCATGACCCCACCTCCCTTTCCTTTCATTTCTGTGGCGGGAAAGCAAACAGATGGTGGAGGAGGGATGTATTTTTCATGTCAAGATTTCAATCCCTTCCCTTCTCAGCAATGAAAGAATTGAGTTTGAAATTCTTTCTTTTAATCCCTCTCTTATCCCTTTGCTACCAAATAAAATAAATATATTTTATATTAAAAAAATGTATCAGTATTTGTAAAGTGGAAAGTTCAATTATATTCCTTGGTCCAGCCATTGACTTTGGGGATGCAAGCAATCCTTGTAGGTGTAATATAATCTAAGTTTGAATAAACAAACCCTAGCTGGTAGGGTTGGGTCCCATTGATATTATTTTATCAGTATCTTGGGTCAAAGATGAAGCATTCATTCCAAGTTTCCAACCCGAATTAATATATTTTATCAGTATTTTGTTTCAGTGAACAATCAGTGACTAGGGTAGGGATGATCGAGGTTCCAATCTTACCCCTTTACCAAACTTGTTAGTATTAAGTGTCGACAAGATTGTTGCTTTTGGTTTATGTGTATATTAAACGACCAAATGGACCCCAATAACAGCGAACACCAATGGAGAGATGGAGGGAACTGGTTGCAAATTTTGAAATGTGTTGGAACCCACCATTTCCTATGTCTGCAACTGCAACTAACCCAATGAGCATGTTGCCTACTCCATGCCCCTATCATTAATGCGGTGAATGTTGGGGTGTAAAAGCCTAAAAGGTGTGAAGATGAAAACAATAGAAACCCTGTGATGACATTTTGTTAACATATAGGTTCATTGGTCGGGGAATGCTTACAACTTTAACTTTATATTTTCCCCTTCCACATTCTTTATTGTCCTTCTTAATATATAAGGTTGTTTGATAATTGAATACAAGATCATTTTCGATGTCACTTGGCAAAAAAAGTCAGCGAAAATGGTCCGTTGAATTAAAAATGTGTTAGTTTAATGTTTGATCAAAATACTAGATTCGTTTATTTAGTTGATAACAATTACATATCTAAATGATTTCTGATTTGGTTGAGATGACTTTTACAATGTGACTTAAGAAGATACACGATTCTGATCATAAAACCACATCGCAGGTTGAGGGTTTATTGCACCCCCCTCAATAGTGGTTTAATGTACATTAATTCTCTGAGATCAAATGAAGTCAAATGTCATTAATGTAATGATATAATCAATGTACCTAGATCTTGTTTCATAAATTTATGAGATTATTATAATCTAGAACATCGATTGTACCAATTGAACTTGAGAGAAACCTTCTGGTATAAAAGGAGAAGAATTTGAAACCACTTGCTACTAGTTGTTAGAGAATTCTATACACTCTTGATTAGATAACGTGACCTGCATGTGTTTTTTAGGCATCTTGAGAAGAGTCTGAGGTATAGCTAGGAGTAGATAGAACAAGATCGAATCCAAGCCAAGTTCAATCCCGGAGAGAAATTTTGATATTTGAAGATTTCTACTTTCATCCCATGGATTTTCTGTTTCTAAGATTTCATCATGAATCCGGTTTGTCTAACATCTGCAGAGCAGAGGATTACACAAGTGAAATCAGATATTCATTTCAGTCATTCATAAACGATGTGATCTTGATCATGAGTTGTGCTGGTGGTTGAGGAAGAAGACACAAGAAGTCAACTTTCCCCCATAACTCAGACGAAATGGCGGCAAGGGGCTTCTGGTTGGTGGTTCTGGGTGTTGTGTTGCTCGTGTTTGAGGACAAAGATTGAGTTCGACAAATAATTAATATCCCTATCCCTATCTACGTAGTTCATAGTTATATACTTAGAGAAATTATTGTGTAAGTCGTACATACTGAGGCACCACATCAAAACGTCATTTGATTTGCCGATTACACTAAATAGAGTTTTTATAAGTTGACACGTAGAATTTAAATATGTAGAAAAACAGTCCAAGGAAAAAACAGAAGTAGACTGGGGCAAAAACAAAAGAAAAACAATTGTTGATCACCAAACCACCCTATGTACAAGCAGAGGTAATAAACTTGATTAACGATCTCTACATATTTGGGTTGGGGATTTGAAACACAACCCTAATACCCAAGAAGAAATCTATAATAAATCAGACACCATATTGTATGAAATTCTAAGCTGTTGACAAATTTGCACACACTTTAGTAAATGTGGCTAGTTAGTTAGAGTAGTGTGTCTGTCCATTTACACACAAGTACGAAATCTCCTCTCCTCATATTAGTGTAGTAAACTATCGATATGTCAATCAAAAAAATTGGACATTTTGTAAATAAATAAAAAAGTATATATATTGAAAATATTTTATATATGTTTATTTGAGTATTAGAGAATCTTTAATCACCCCCACATTGGCGTCACTAGGGGTGGCATTTTAGATCGAAAAACTGCAAAAACCAACCGACTATTTACCGCAATGAAATCGTGATCGCGGTAAACCGAACTGCATTTGCGGTATGAAGAACTGAACCGCATTTGTGGTTGCGGTATTTGATTTTCAAAACTTGCAGTTACCGCAAACCGCAAAGTATAGCCAATCTATGTTGTTTTATTTGATCTTCTTATAATAAAATGTACTAAACTATGTTGTTTTATTAGTAGATAGCATTGGTGCTCAAACAACACAACGGGGTTCTTCAAATCCACTCACCACCAACACTTGAGTTTGTAACTTTAGTTTGTAACATTGGTGCATTGCATTTTTCTTTTAGTTTGTAACTTTAATTAACTTTGAATTGGATTTTTCCTTTTAGTTGTAACTTTAATTCATTTTGCTTTGTATTTTTCTTTTGGTTTGTAACTTTAAAGGATTTAGAATTGGAATGCTTGAGAAGTTTAACTTTAATTGGAATGCTTGGAATTGTAACTTTAATTTTCTTTAGGTTGTGAATGCTTGAAAAGTTGAGGAGATTGTGAATTTATATATGCTTGAGAAGTTGAGGTTGTGTATTTATTTATTTATGTTGTGAATTTATATTTTTGTAAATACTTGAGAACTTGCGGTTTTAAATTGCTAATTCGCGGTAACCGACCTTTTTTGCAGTTTACAAGCGGTGGGTTTGCAGTTTCAAAAATCACCATACAGCAAATAGTCGGTCGGTTTGCGGTTTGGGTAAAAATTCGCGGTTACCGAACCGCAACCACCCCTAGGCGTCACTATCATAACTACTCTTGTTTTTTTTTCTTCATGTATATAATATTAAATTTCAGGTAGTTTGACGTATTGACTAAATATTAATTAGGGATTCCATGAGTCTTTTAACAGAATATTACGTCAACACCTTTTAAAAGTTGCTTATCTATATCCATTTCAAACTTGTCATTTTACTTTGAACCTTTAATGACTTTTATGATAAACTTTCTTGTTCATAAACTTTCTTGTTCAGATTTTGCGAACACAAATTAAGTAAGGGAGTTTCATTTAATAAATAACTTTAATTAAAAGATAATTAACAAGTAATTTAGACATTATTCGAGAAATTCTTGAATCCAGCAAGTTGATCACGTTATTTGTTTGGTCACAAAGACAAACAAGGGGACCCTCTACATTGGAGTGGGACTAGCATGGAGCTATGTGGAAACAAATAATGTGGTCACTCTCGTTTGTGTGTAGTTGGACGGGTGACGTTGTCCAACTATCTATTCCAAGAATTTTTCCAGCATTACACTACACATACTTTTATATAGTTGAAGTGGGGTCAGTACGGTGTGTGATTACCTAATTTTGGGTGTGATAACGTAATCCGTTTTTTAAATTTTAAAATTCAGGCTTTTAGACTTTCCTCTGTAGGTCACTTTCTCTCTCTAGAGAGAGAGAGAGAGAGAGAGAGAGGGCAATCAAGTGCAAAGATGTACAAGTTTGAAATGTTGAAATATTCTTACAAGTCTCCTTATTCCATCACGTTCAGCATGGGATTGGGAGATATAGATGTATGAATGTATGAGATCCCTTTCTTTAATCTTCTCAGTTTTTTTCTTTAATTGGTCCCACACAATTATGGAATACCTAAACTCACTTAACATCCCAAACACCAAAAGGAAAATATATATTAAATACAATTTTATTTATTGATAGTATAATTATTTCCAAAAGCAAAGGCCAAAGAGCAAAGGGTGTCACCAAGTCTTAAATTTTCTGCCTTTTGTGGTTCCCTTTTTCCTGATAAAAGAGTATAAAGCATGTGCATGGATGGACCGAGTTGGCGTTACCCCTTTTCCCTGAAAATTCAAATGAAAATGAGAACATAAAAAGACATGTGAACACGTGTGTATATGTGACTAAGTCTTTTTTATATAAATAAAACATATACAAGCGATAATCTAACTTACGAGAAAATGAATTTCTGATCAAGATCCTTTCTTATTAAACTGAACACCGTCGTTAGATGATGCTAAATTACGAAGATATTTGTTTAATCTCATCACCAAAAAGATAAAGCTCCAATATCTCTACAAAAAATGGACATCATCCACGTGTAAGATACTGACAATAAAAGAGGCGCGCCCTTTTTCAACAACCAACTCCTGTCAAAAGACTAGTGGGTGCCATTAACTATTTGGCAAATCAAAGAAATTATATATAAAAAGGCCACAATGAGTGGGAGTGACTTTGGGGCCCCACCCACCATTGTCCATTTGTATGAAATCAAAACACTTTTTAAGTCTGAAAATGGAGGTGTACAATTTGAACTTCCTCTGGCTCCTATTTATACACCTCACCCTTCCCCCTCACCTCACATCACACGTCTCTACAATTATCTATTAACTCTGTCCAAAAAAAGTCTTTCTACTTTATCACCAAATACGTTTATCAGAAGGTAAAGCTTGTGTGAAACTTATATTCGGCCAATCACAATATTTTCCACTCGGAGTTACCGTGATTGACCGAAAATAACAACTATTTTGCCATGCCCGTTCCAAACAAAGTGTTGCTCCCTCGTAAGTGAGAAGATCATAAAGGTAAAGTGAGGCATATAAATGAGGCAACCCCAAAATTCAGATCTTTTTTTTTGACCCTGTTCATATTAGATTCACATTCACCGGGCTAAGTATAAAAAAATATTAGGAGGGTCACCCATTATATGTTGTAGAAATATACACATATCACCCTCCACACATTCCATTCCATTCCATTGCCATATATATTATGTCAAAAGTTTTAATGCTCTTTCTGGAAATTTAAACCTCCAAAAAAGAAATAGGAAAACGGAAATCCACCGTTACAGCCCCTAAAGAAGGAAAGGTGGGTCTTGCTCTTCCTGCTCATCATCCTCCTCCTCCTTTGTGCCCAACATTAATAATAATTTCTTTTCTTTTTTCGCCTTTTTTCCCTTACATTGCCCAACCTATCCTCTCATCAAACCAATCAAATTTAATTAGACTTCACCATCGACCCTGTCAGATTATAGACACAAAAGTGTACATAGCTGAATACACATTCATTAGGACAAATTTCCCCACTCGCTAAACTTCCTTCCAAAATTGCGGGTTCAATTCCACCTAGCCTCCCTCTGCTCCGTGCTTCTTCACGGGTCTTCTTCCATTTCTTCTCAGGCTGCCAGAGGCTATGCAAACTTGTCACTTCCTTGGGCAAAAATCAGCCATTCCTTTCATATGTTCACAACCCCCATCCAAATATAATGCAGCTTCTTTTTCCACTTTTCATTTGTCAATATATGGGGGTTGCAATGTTTTAACACAGGAACATCATTCTACTCACCAGCAGGTTGTTTCTTCTGTTCTGCCGGTTTCACCTGGACCACGGTAGGAATAGCATGTACATAAGGGAATCCCCCAGGTACAATCTGATGTGGACCAGAGGACTGTGCAGCAGCAAACTGAGCATGATGCATAAGAGTCTGTGAGGACAAGCCACTACCTTTCATGTTGTTAGCAGCTGCAGCCGCTGCCGCCTTTGCAGGATCAGTGGTGCTAGTATTAGAATGCATAACGGGCGGGCAGAGTGACAGCATCCCACTCGAGGATGACCCTGATGAGCCCTGTGGCGGCTGCTGTTGCTCAGGCCGACGTCTTGTAATATTATTATGATAATACCCACTTGAAGGGGCGGTAGAGGTGGCATTATTTGAATGTGAAGCTTGTGGTTGGATGCAGGCATTAGAGAAGAACAATTGCGCTTGCTGAATTGATTGCTTAGACAACTGCTGCTGATGTTGATGCTGCTGTTGTTGATGTTGATGATGCTGCTGCTGGAGTTGATGCTGCTGCTGTTGCTGGAGTTGTTGCTGCTGCTGTGGCAATTGTGACTTAGTTCCAGTGCTTGAAGAGGTAATATGGGTGTTGCCTAGGATCGAAGGGACATTCCTCCCGCCAACAGGAGATGACTTCTGACTGGGCACTGATGGTGAGTTCTTGGCCTGCTGAGACGACAAAGAAGAAGCTTGGCCAGCTTTATTTCCTGTGGAAGTCGAAGCAGTTGTTCTTGGGCTTCCACCAGCACTCTTGGACATTGACGAAGTTGTGGGTGTTGGTGAACCAACCATTACTGGAGGAGATGGGGACTGATTGCTACTGGCAGGTTGTAACCCTTGAGATTGGATTGAAGACTTTGTGTTGGCTGCAAAAGATATCTGTGTGTGGCTTTGCTGCGTACGAGCATGCTTCTGAGGAAGGTTTTTGAGGGATGATGAGGTCGACGAGGCCAAAGACGATGAAGGAACTTGGGAAGTGGTTGTCCTTGCAGAATTCTTCCACTGAGGAGATTGAGCTGGACTGCTGCTACTTTGGACAAGGTTTTGGGGGAATGAAGATAGAGCATTAGGAAACTTTGCAGCCATAGAAGAGGTTGAGGGAAGGTGATCAGAGTAGACGCTGCCATTACTAGTTGCTGGTGTCTTGCTTCGGCCTGCAGCAGAAAATTGCTGCTTATGAAGCTGAATCATCTGTTGCTGTTGCTGTTGCTGGTGATTCCGCATTTGCTGCTGCATTTGTTGCTGGAGTTGCTGCTGAGATGTGGGAGCATTTACAGAGCTGACAGCGGGGGGCAAAACAGAACTAGAAGTCCGGCCAGGAGTAGAGCTGAGGTTAAGAGTTCGCGTTGAGCTATCAATGACATTGTTGCTCGGTATTGTAGAACCAGATGTATCCGTCAAGTCTGTCCTGGAGAATGCAATGGAGTGCCCAAGAGTTGATGAAGCTTTTCCTCCCATGGCCTTTCTTTCTTCCTCCACATTAGGGGAATCACCTCCTCCCGTTTTCCCTTCTTCAGGAACACGATAACTCTTCTTATGTTGTACTGCTTGGACAGCCATAAAATGTGGATAACTCTGCCTTACATCTGGAAAGCTCTGGAGAATTGCATGATTATGAGCAAGCGATGTAAGGTCAATGCCAGTAGCAGCGGTAGCACCATTCATGGAAGCAAAAGACATAGCAAAAGCTTGAGATGCTTCAACCCCCGTCTTTGGGCCCTGCGGCTGTTGCTGCGGCTTCTTCTCAGTACCACTTGCACCTGTTGCAACACTGGCACTACCACTTGAAGGAGGTGTCATCAATGGAAAGTTTGGTGGGCGCATTGGCATTGGAAAATTCTGACCATAAATGTTCACATTCGCACGAGAGACTCGACTATCAGCAGTTGATGGGCTATCTTCGCCCCCCATTTCAGGCTCAAGTTGGCGAGCTTGGTGCGGAGGATGTGGGTTCTGCTGCTGTGGCCGTTGCTGCTGCTGCAGCTGTAGTGCTTGTGAAGATGGGTTTTTTGAGGTAGGAAAGCCTTGCAAGCTTCCACTGCCACCATTGACACCACTGGGATGTGGCCTCTGCTGCTGATTTTGCAAATGTTTTTGGGATGATGATGAGCCACTAGAAATGCTAGGGTTTTGATGACCTTGTTGACTTTGCTGTGACTGGGATGGTGGTGGTTGCTGCTGCTGCTGCTGCTGAAGGTGAGAAGGATGGAGCATTTGGGAAGAATAGAAAGACCCACTAAAATAAGGCATTGGCTGAGCATGGGGTCCTCTATAAGCTGGCGGTGCACCTACATGAGGCGGCATTGTAAATGGATATGCATTATTCTGCAAAATTGCCAAATACTGAGGTTCGTTCCCCGCCATATTTGGGTAATTGAAGCTCATTGCTGGGGCTGGAGCAGCGGTTGCTGCAGCTGTCATTGGAGCAGAGTTAGATGTACTTGACAAAGCTGCAGCACCAGCATTAGGAGACTTCACAGATGCAGGTCGGACAGAAGCAGCAGCAGCTGCATGTTGCTGGTTCAAAGGGAATATGAAAGCAGGACCATGCTGAAATTCAATAGTGAAAACTGCATTAATACTCAAATCCTCCCCAGCAATACAATTCAACAAATATCAAGAGAAGTGAAACATACCAAGATATTACTAGGTGCCCCTGGAGGCAGAGCTTGCTGGAGAACAATTTGCTTTCTCTGTGCATCCACAAGGTTTGCTGTTTGTGAACTTTTGTCCTTCGCAGATGGACCAGGAAACATAGCAAGCCCCTGTCCCTTGTCCTGCGCTGAATTCACCCCTCTACCTGGAATATTCCCATGCAATTCTGGAGGTAATACATTGGGATTGCAATGCTTTCCCCCATATAGAGATCCAGAACCAGCTGCTACTGGCCAAAAAGGATTCATCCTTGACATTTGCTGGTGATAGTATATATTCCTTGCAATGTAGCAATGGGTTTCACACCTCTTTGGCCGAGGTTGATTAAAAAGCAAATGTGGCGGCTGTACAAGTTCAGAAGTTCATTAGAAAAAGAAGACGACACAGCTCCAAAGAGTTCGAAAAAAGAGAAGAAAATAACCAAAAAATACATACTTGTATAGCAGCTGAAGAAACGGTGCTCCCATCCATGGATACAACTCCTTGTAAAGGTGCCATATACCTGCTGATGAGAACAGTCATTTCCCCAAGAGATGTGTATATATAAAAACCACGGAAATACACAAATAACCCAACAAAGAGTAAGGAACACATAACAAAATAACGCAACCGTACCCCATTGGAGGAAGCCCGCCTGGCCACGCAGCCACAGACATTGGCAAAGGTACAGAGCTCGATTGGACTGAAGAATAAGAAGACAAGATCTTTGAATAAGTAGCCCAAATGGGTCAGTCAAAGCTCCAAAAACCCAAAAGGGGGGAGATAGAGACGGAGATAACGAGAGAGAGAGAGAGAGAGAGAGAGAGAGAGAGAGGGGGGGGGGGGGGGGGGGGGGGAGAGAAGAAGAAATGCACAAACTAAATTACCAGTTTTCTCAGTGTTTTGCTGCTGCTTAGCAACATTATGATGCAGCTTGTTTCCACTAAAACAAGCAGTGCCACTATCCCTATCAGTCTTCTCCAAATCAAGCTGGAGATCAATATTCCTTTCTTTACTACCAACAATAGGCTTCTTGAACTCAGCTTCTTCCACCGCAGCTTTGCACTTCTCAGTTTCCACATTTGCATGCTCTTCCTTGCCAAATTTCACAACTTTGTCATCTTCTCTATTCATAGGCTTTATCTCCTGCACCCAAACAGTGACCCACATTAATTAAACTTTCACACCAAACAAGACTAGGCAAATGGCAGGGGTGGCCCACTCACCGTTTCTGCATCTATGACCGTAGGCTTAGGATCTACAGAGATAAAATCAACTTCACCGTCCCTTTCTGGGGGAGCCTAAATGAATCAACCAAAAAATGTCCAGATTAAAAATTGCCCTTAAAGAACATTAAAAAATATAAATATCGAAGATAAAATCCTGTTATGACCAGAAGATCCTCACCATCAGATCTATCTGGAATTTTTCTTCTCGCTGGTTCTCAATCTCAGAGACCGTTGTATTTCTGAATAAAACCCAAGAAACGAACATTAGAAAAGAGAATTAAAAGGTTCTTTTGTTTCCAAAAAAGGGAATCAATCTTTGGTGCTCACGCTTTAGTCATTGTCATATCCTGACGATTATCATCCAGTCTGAGAGCAGGAGACTCCTTTTTGGGTGATTGAGGTTCCTCTTTGCTCACTTGAACATTTTGACCATCTGATTCATCGTTTGCTGGCTTTGAATCTGAGACAGCTTTGCTCTCCGGCATATCTGGCTCCGGCTGAGCTTCTGAGGATGCTGGAACAGCGTGAGAATTGGCCAAATTGTACGAAAATCCGCCATTTTCAACTGCAGATCCTGGGTTTCTCTCCAATTTCGGAGACGAAGTCTCAACCTTTGCAGGCTGATCAGTCACCACTTTACTCATAGTCGAAATGGCACTGTTTTGAATGGTGAAAATTGATGGGTTCTCATCGTCATACTTCACAGGTCGCGGTCTTTTCCTCTTGGGTGCTGTTGATTCGAATCAAAGAGACCAAATTTTCATCAGTCACCATAAAAACACAAAGACCCAGCTCTGTTTGCTCACCGAAAAACCAAGCTTTACAATCCCTTTAATCTCAGTCTCTCAGCAACCAAACGGAGCATTTGGGGTACCCAGCAAGAAATGAATAAAACCGAGCTCTGAGAGAGCTTAAAATACCCACCAACAGCGGACAGGGAAGTGACAGAGGAGCTAGAATTCTGAGTAAAAGCCGACGGCAGCTGAGGCAACGCGCACGGCGAGTTCGAGATCGGCGACGAAACTCTCGATTTGGCATCGCTGGTGGACTTGTTGGCCTCTCTTGATTCAAACTTAATTGAATCGGTGACTACAATTTCCTGCTTCGTTGGTCCCTGTGGCTGCCTCTGCATGCCGTACAACACCTCGGCGATCTCTATTTCTATCTCGTCCTGATTAGACGACGTCGTCTTTGCCGAAGACGACATCTTCGGCGGCCTCAGCTTGGGTCCGTTGGGCTTCTGCAACAAAAAAAAGTCACTCAACGTTAGAAATGAAAAGTTCAAAAATAAACAGAGCATAGAAATAAATCGAACTGATGAAATTGAAGACCCACCAGCTTCTTCCGAACCGCCGAGGCGTGGGAAGAAGAAGGCGAAGACGGGGATGGCGCCGCCATCGACGATGTAGCGGGCCGAACCGGAGATGTTGAAGCTTGCCGGTGAATTTGGTCTCCTCCTACAACACCACAACTCGAAGGCCATTCATGAGACCTCTTCGTCGACGCTGAAAAACGACAAAAAAACGCACATCAGAATCCCAGAACCATTAATTTATGACGACTTGGAGCTTCTTCTTTTTCCATTAAATCACTTCATTTTTCGCTCTACCTGACCGTGCTTTTCTCGGTACGGACACACCAATCATCTCATCGGTGACCTTCAACGCCGGGTGCGGTCGAAAATGCTTGTTGTTACTACTGATATTATTCACCGGAGAGAAGCTTTTCCGGTGATTCAACAACGACGACGAAATAGATGTCGTTGATGATGGGTTGGGCGGAAGCATCCGAATCGACCCACCGCCTCCACCGCTCACACCAACGCCTCCACCGCCGTCGTCGTCCTCGTCTTCATCTTCGTCGTTCACACTCTCCTCCGAACTGTCATCGCCGCCATCTTCTCTATTGCTTCCGTGCATCAATCTCTCACCTCTTCGCCTCTTGCTCCGGCTCAACCGATCCCTATCGCGGTCTCGGTCCCGGTCTCGGTCTCTCTCTCGATCCCGATCTCGATCTCGATCCTTCTTCCGATCTCTGAGCCTCGACGTCTCTTGTAACTCCACCGGACCATCGTCCTCTGGAAAACCAAAAAAGAAAAAAAGCCATTAAAACCAATGAAAAACCCAACAGCTGGGTATTGCAGAGAGGGCTTAGATCTGGTGAGGGTCGAACCTGGAGAGTCTCTGAGGCTGCTACTTCTATGTCTTCGCCTTGACAACCCATTTGGGGCCGCCATAGCCGCTCTTCTCGCATCTCTATTTCTATCCATATCTAATATAATTATCTACCAGCAAATCAGCTAGAACCAGGAGACTAATCCCATCTCTCATCACCGGAAACCCATCACAATTCGCCGGATAATTTAGTCAAAGCCACCGGATTTGCATGCTCCGAGCTTCGAACCTTGCAAATGATCCCCCCACAAGCCTTTTCACACAGCCAAAGATCTCAGCTTTCGCTTATCTTCTTCACCTCTCACTCTCTTGAGCCCCCCCTTTGCCCTTCTCTTTTTTTTCTCTCTCTCTCTCTCTGCCTTCTCTCTATTTCCAACTCTCTGTCTTCTTTTTGTGCTCTCTATCAGTCTATCTCATCCTCTTTTGCGCTATTTCACTCCGAGCGAAGCCCACCCCAAAGTCTCGTAGACGGCCACGATTCACAGCTACAACACATCCTCCAATATCAGCCGTCTATTTGACGACACATCCTGCGGTTGACATTCACGAAAACCTACATGGCAAAATCCCCACCGTTCAAAGCCGTACCCCTACCTTTTGCTTGTGGTACCGCCACGTGTCATTGTTTTTATTTTTCTTCCTTCCCAAGCTTCCATGTTTACTCACTCACTACCGATTTGGTACTTTTATACTATAAAAATCATAAAACAAATCAAATAAATACCGATAATCAATGAATATCGATAAAAGATAATAATAATAATATTATTATTTCCTTTTATTATTTTATTCCTCTCATAAACAAGAACACTGCATCCCACGAATCCACGATCAAACTTAAATATTTTATAATAAAAAACCCTGAAATTGGCCTAAGCGACGTCGTTACCGGCTATTCCCGGTTGCAAAGACCTCGGTAAAAGCAACGTGACGATCACAAGGAATCTACATGACCGCAGATAATATCGTTCCAACCGGTCAAATTCATTATTTTGGTCCCACGTTTTTGTGTTTTCCTTTTTTTCTCCCTCCTTTAAACATTTCGTTTAATTAATTAATTACGGATTGATGGCAAAATTCTATAAACAATTGCCATAAATTGACAGCGCGGGCCCCACCTTAATGGAACTAGATGGCCCCTGAACGCTCCGGATCTTCCCGTTACCAGTAACACGAACTTTATTCGCCGTCCGATTGCGTTCTGACGTGGCGATAAGTTAATAAAAAAAGAAACCCCAAAAACCCAGATTCGTCCGAGCTGGCACCAAACTAAAAGGGCTCGTGCGTGTCGATCAGTGCGCCTCATCTGGACCGTAAGCTCATTTCCATCCAACGGCGGATGGAGGAGCAGGAGGGAGGGAAGGAAACTCGAGTCACGGTCACGGAACTTCCGAGAGATGTGTGGGTCCCACGTTAGCTGCCGATCTAGAAATTATTTTCTCGCGTTGGCCTATTGTCACGTTCGTGGGATATGGCAGCTTAGTGTGACGTGTACTGGGTCCAACTCTACGAATAAAATAATAAATAAAAATATTTTGCGCGGTCAAAATTTACAGCGCAGTTAAAAAAAGGTTAATTTATTGAAAAGGTGGATATATTACATTTTTTTTTTATAAAAAAAAAGCGCTTTCCGGCTCTCTCTCCACGCGCTTATGGCGGAGTTCACATTGAATTACCCAGATACATATAAAGCTGGTCACTCGTGGCAGTGTTTTTTTCTCTACGTGGCGCTCGGTTATTTGGACACGTAACCTGTGATTTGCTGATTCGTCGCCACGGATCTTGCTATTGGCTACTTTTCTACGCTCACTAGCTAGTAAATATCTTTTTGTTCGGAGGTGGCGTGATAATCTCACCCGACTGTGAGGTTCCAGCTGGAGCGGCTGTGTGCGAGGTCTTATGGCACAGCTGGGTGGGCTAATTAGTGCTCCATAAAAATAAAAAGGAAAGTATAATTTGGGGGACAAGTGTGGCCACGTCAGACTGGGCCCGCGGAAATGGTTGACCCACCACAATGGATCCCTTTCTCCAGCTTTTGTCGCTTTGCCAAGGGGAAGGGGGAAGGGGTTTTGGCTTTCAATTCCCTCCCTCGCTGTCGCGAAGTCTCGAAGAGGTGCCACGTGTCCGGGATTGGTGCTACGTCATCTGCCTCCGTGGCTTTGTTTATGACCGTTTACGTGAAACCCTAGCCGTCAACAACACCACCAATACACACACACACAAACATAATCACACAGCCTTAAGTTGGGCTTATATAATTATATTAGATTAGATTAGATTATACTCACCACCACCAGTCACCACCCATTAATTGATAAATAATTAACTACTCTAAATGGATTTGATTGACGCATTATAATATAATACAGTCCCATTTGGTAACATAATTGAGTATGATAATGTGACAACCAAAATTAGAATAATAAATAATTTAGTGTTATATTGCATAGTTGCATAAGAATATTCATTGTCGATAAGGAGATACTCACCCTTTTTGCGAATCACAGTTTGACACATACGCAAAAATAATTAATAAACAATACTAAATGAAAAACTTATACACACATGTTAGTAGGAATGCAGAAACTCCTACATACATGGTAAGGAATGAGGAAAGTATTTTCTGTCATGTAATTGCAGTATAATGTTATTTCCAATTGGGGTGCGTAAATGAAAAGGCAATTTGTTACTTGGGTAAGTTTATGAAATGTTACACTTTTTGTAACCCGAATATACCACAAAATTAGTCTATATTTGGTAGCAATGTCAAGTTGAAGATTCCGATTTTCAACCCTGATTCTTGATTGTTCTGTGTTGTTCAAATGTTGGTTATTTCGCACGTGTTTGTTTTTTCCAATATGATGAGGAAAATGACAAGGTATCTGCTACTTGGTTTATGTATGTACTTAAAGTATAGACTACGGATGAGGTTGCATGAAAATCAAATCTAAAACGCAATTTAATTAAAAGTGACTGCAGCAGGTACAGTCCGAAACAAAAGGGTCAATTAGTCAATTGCAATACCATTATCCCATATTTAGCAATCATGGTATGCGATTAGCCTCTAGATTTTCTACGTTTCTTCCTTTTCATAGAATTGTGTTTAAGGCTTTGTGATGTGACTGTGCCAGTTTTGGGTTGGTGGTCACCTGCTGTTTGCAATGAATTGGGGTAGTAAATGTGTATAATGCTGCAGCGTCGCACAAGTCAATCTAGAATGCAGGTTTTATTCATCTCAATTTAACCTATTTGAGATTGATAAACAAATTAGCCAATTAAAGTTAAATGAAAGTGATATGAAATTAGTAAATATTAGGGGTACGGTTTGGATTGGATTAGTTTTACTTTAAAATCACGACTAAATCAATTACAACATAACGGTTTGATTTTAACAAAAGTTATAAAGAAAACTAAATCAATTTAAGATAGTTTGATTCGACCGGTTTGGGCTTAAACCCCATTCTCTTTCATTTTGCATTTTTTTCAATATTGTTAGTCCAATTACAACCAACAAATTCACAACTTGCTCCATACCTAAATCATTCACATATATTTATTACCTAATTACAATATTACACATGTAAAATATAATATAAATAATAAATATACACATAATCATTTTTATTTCATTTCTTAATTTTGTATTGTACGAATCCTTCTAGCATTATAAGCTCTTTTTTCAAAAGCATTTTTACTTAAAATGTACAAGTGAGTGATGAGTGTACATAGTTTATAAACTCATAATGTCTAATGTTTATCATTTATGAATTGCGTGTGTCAACTCAAGCATGACACCTTGAATAAACATGTCAAATTAGTGTTGAGTCATTTAACATTCTTAGGCAAAAAAATCAAGTTAGAGCCAACATGTACTTCACGTGTATTCGAACGGACAAGACATGATATGATACAAAATATCACTGCTTCTTGATTGTCACTGTAGTTATTGTGCGTGAAACATGAAATTACGCAATCGGTGGGGTGTCGATGAATGCCACATGAGCATTTTAAAAGAATGACACACTATTTGGAAGATTTGGCAAGTGAGGTGGCGACCCAATGTAATAGTGTTAGATGAGTTTATCACAATGTAATGGATCTAGTTTTAAATGGTAATATGGCATCGTTTGGTCGGTGCCCATGTTGTTGCTTTAAGCAAAGTGGTTTTGGGGATGAGATGCTAGTGAAATTGGAAATTCAGTTAAGTACTTGCTTAGTAATATTTGCTCACATTTAAATTGTGGTAGTTTTATTATTACATTTAATCCTTTTTTGGGAAAATGGTAAATCTCTAATTTACATTTAATCCATTTCAAGTAGTGGGAACCCTAAAGGCCCCGTTTGGTTCATGAAATGAATTTGATGGGAAATCATTTCCCATGTCATTCCCCAATGAATGGGAATGGAAGATTCATTTCCCACGTTTGGTAATGCTGGGAAAGTAACCGGGAAATATAACTTTATTTCATTTCCCATGTATGTTTTGAGTAGGAATGTAAAACAAAGTTTGTATAAATTTTCAATTATACCCATATTAAATATAAAAAAGAAAAGAAAAAAAGAATGCATTTAATGATATATTGTAATTCTAAATTGTTAATGGGGATAAAATGGTCATAAAAAACATGTATTTAATGTTAGCTTATTTTCTCAAACTTTCCAATGATGAGGGAAAACAAAACTCAAGTTAGGAGGATGACTTCACTTTCGTCTTACTTTCTCATAAGTCAGGCAACGATTTCTCATACCTAGACTTACCAAACATGGAAAAGCAATTGGCTTGCTTTCCCATGAATCAAACGGGGCCAAACTGCAATGTTATTCTGGTTCTTGTTCTTTCTTAGCTCAGTTTAAGAAATTTTTTACAAAAAATTATAGTTCTTTCTTGTTGAATGCAGCACATTAGTTAAATAAGATTTGATAAAAAAAATAGTTACCTAATAAATAAAAAAGTGAGAGGCATTTTTTATTATTAGAAATATTTGCTAACAGCTAAGAAGTAATATTATACAGCACTTTGTTTATTTTGTTGTGTAGTACATATTACAAAATTCAGGTAAGAATGAAGAAAATAATAATAATAATATATGAAAGCAAACTTAGGGTATGGTGCTCATACAAACAATCTTCAGTGTGAACAAGCCACGTGGACCACAACCCCTAATGTTGTAGCCTGTTAGAGTCCAATAGTTGAAAAAAAAAGAAAACAAGAGAAGAGCAAGCTTTTGTGGTAAGTTATTTTTTGACGGTGCGATGTTTAAAATAAAAAAAATGCATGAGAAAGAAAGGTCCACAAAATGGGACAAAGCGTGTAGCATCAATACAGTGACTTTTTAAATCGGGTTTTGTTTATTTATAATAATCCAATCCAAACTTTGCTTCTCTCTCTCTCCCTCTTTGTATCCGAGTTTTAAGTTTCAGAAAAGGGGACTATCTTCTCTTTAATTTGCTAAAATACATGGAACCAGTTCTTTAAAAAAGCACATAACATTTTTCACAACATATACTATTGAAATTTGGATTGTTTTGACCTAACCTAAGCAATGATTTAAATATGTTATTTCACTAAATTACTTATTTTTTGTATGATAGTGATACATGACAAGTTCTCTCATGCTCTCTATTAGTATAAAACGAGAGAATAAAAAAAACACAATTATCTTGTCTTCTAATCTCAAGATCCAAGCTTATGTAATTGTGGACAAAAAGTGATTAGCATAGTTAATTTTCTGTTAATAGATTGTTAAGGGTTATTTAGTATTGAGTCATGTGACAAAGAGCAAGGCTATGACTTGGAATTTTTGAATTAGTTAGCATGTCACCCATATGGTTCGTGTACTTGGGGTTGTTGCCTATGTGAGTAAGGAACAAAGGGTGTGTGACATGTGGCAACTAGTCATACTTTTCTTAGTTTAATTTTTCATTACCGACTATGATTTAGGAGGATTTACTTCAGTTATTGCTATTGCAGTGCATGATTTTGCTATCTATTACTCAGCAATATACTGCAGTTTGTTTATTATTGCAAGATTTGGTTACTAACAAATGTATCAGTAATTTATTTATTTCATGACTGGACTTAATGTGAAAATTATTTATTTACAATATAAAAATGGGAGCTTTTTTTTGTCCACTTACACTCTTTTATGGTTTTTAATACTTTTGTAATTACCATTAAAAGAGAGTGTAAGTAAACAAAAGGAAAGTGAGAAAATTAATTAGTAACAAAAAATTAGTGTAATAAGGCTAACGGAGTTTAGCTTAATGGAAAAAAAAACATTGACTTGCAGATTAATAGTTTTAGATTCGAACTTCCATAACACATTGACAGTGTTTGTGCCTATCATTTGTATTGTCGTTGGTTGAAGAAGTTCATTTGCAGTTGAATAAGAATAACTCACCTAATCCTAAATGATTTACCTTGTTGATTTTACTCTGAGATATAGAAAGTAAAAGAATTTTGTATTGGTTAGGATTTGTAAATTTACTGGGGTAAGAATGCTTAACATTGTAATCTCCAATTTGCATTGTTGAAAACTTGCTCCTGCAAGTGAAGATAAGAATGCTTATTGGGCTGCTCTCCAACTTCAAGTCGAAAGTAGGACACATAAATGCCACTGGTTCTGTAAAAGTGATCCCAGGTCGCAGTTTTTCTATTTGGGCCACATAAATGCCACTGGGTCTGTAAGTTGTGGGCCGAGCATTTTTTTATCTTCTAACAAAAAACAAAAAAACCAGCAATTCTTAGTTTCATAGTGAAACATATAGATAACAAGTAAAATCATGTATGTATAATGTATGTAGTGACCCCTTATTTCTCCATTTATAATGTATGTATAAATGGAGATTTTGAAGCAATCTGTAGATAAGTTTTATGTCAAGACTATAAGTTTGATGTGAGTAATTTTTGTGATTCTTAAAACAACCCAATGCAAGTTGCAACTGCACTTTTGATGTGTCAATGCGAAGCAGAGTAAAGAATTTCTCACGTTTAATTTAACTTCGAGACCACAAACCAAACGCAAGAAAAGTAAACACAAAATGAAACACCATATTTAACGTGGTTCACCCAAAATTGGGTTACATCCACGGGCGAGGATGCCAATGATAATTCACTTAATCAAAAGGAAAAGAGTACAAAGAGTATGACACGAAAGAACAAATAGGTTCTCACCATCAAACTAAATTTATCTTGCTTCTCTCATCCCATTATTCCCTATAGAAATAGAACCCCAAGTAGCAAGTACATCCAAGGGTCACTCATAAAAGCACTTCAACTATCTTTCTTCCAAGAAACAGGACGCAGAGCTTGACTAGCCAGGAAAGTATTCTCTACGAGAAGTGCTTCTCTTAGAAGTTGATGGAAAACACTTTTCCTCATTAAACTGCACCACAACAACAAACAAGTTGACCCTGTGATGCAAAACTCATAAGAATATAACTCAAGATTTGATGATGAGTGTCGAGAAAACAAATTAAAGGGATAGTGGCTTACCATTTTGTCCAAAGCAATAAGTTCTAGACCACAGGCACATCGCATGCATGAGTTTCTTTTTCAATCTCGACTCTGCAATGCATGGTCAATATAACACCAAGACCAACTTAGCAAGAAATGTTCAAAATAACCTTCAACTTTTCAAATGGTGGTAAAAGGCTTATAACTGAAGATTATTTTACCTGAGTCTTGCAATAGCATAGGTAAATGACATGCTATCAAATAAGACTAGGAGCAGAGGCCTTTGTTCTCTGTGATATGCAACCATGCAAGAGTCCATGACCTTAATTACAGAAACAAGAAAAAGGAAAAAAAAAAGGAAAATAGATCAACACCTTCCAGAAATCGTAATTTCCTTACACTACATGTATAAATTATGATTGTTTTGGAGTACTCTAAGATATGCAAGTAAAAAAATCACTTCACCATCAACAAATGACATACCATTTATAAAGCTGAAACCTGCATTATGAACCACACGTTGTACAAAAAGGTTAGACAGCATATGAGTATTGATTGCAGTATCTCCTTGCCTGTAAAAGAGAAAAATTAAAATTTGAAACAGAAAATTACAGATGTCTCAACGAGGACACCAAGGACTCATAAACACCTGCAATTATATAGATTGACAGAAAAACAAAGCAGTTCTGTGAAACTAATGACTAGAAAATTACAGATGTCGCAACTACACCAAGGACTCAAAAACACCTGCAATTATATAGATTGCCACAAAAACAGAGCAGTTCTGTGAAACTAATGACTAAAAGCTTCTGTTCGATGATCCAAAAAATTGGAATGAAATTGTGCAAGAGCTGAAGTGTCTTGCCTGTTCTGTATGTATTAGTTTGTCTTCTATACTAGCAAACCTAATTTTCCTCAACAATCTTAAGTGTTATCCCATAAAGATTGTGAAAACACAATGTCATATTTAAAGCAATAAATTTTATTCTTCCATGATGCAAGAAAGTCTAAGATATTGAAACCAAACCACTAAAGAGTTGAATATATTCCTGCAATGTATAGTAATTGCCAAAACTTTTTTATTGGTATAGTAATGGTAAACCTACTCCTTTTTTCTCTTTCTTTCTTTCTTTTTCTTTTTCTTCTTCTTCTTTTGTGTTGTAGTAGAGAAAAAACTTAATGGCCACTAAGTTAATTAACTATAAATGAAACGTACACTTGACTCTTGGAAATATGAGAAAATCTTTGCCACTTGACTTGGGCGGCTCTTCTCTCGGTGCATCTTTTTGTTTTGGGGATGTTTTCGGAGCCTTCAACTGCAGGTAGATACTCATCACTCGAGTAAATCCTCACAGATACTAATAGATAGTTTATCAACAGCTGCAAGGTTCCCTCATCACTTGAGTAAATCCTCTGGATCATCAATTTTTTATAAACAACTTCTAAGGACTCTTTAAACTTCAAATGGATGCTTGTCCCAAAAATCTGCAAACGAGTATCATCAATTTCATAAATAACACAGGTTCTTCAGAAATGGTTACACAACAAGCGAAGAGAGGTGAAAGATACATCCAGTGGTAAGATGGAAGCATATAAAAAAGGTTGATTAATACATGAAACAAACAAATTACAAAAGGCTGCTGCCAACACAATTCTTATTGAAAAAAAAGAGACATACCATTAAAGCATGAGCAAAGGTTAACATCAATTCACTAATAATAATTCAAGCATACATAATTCTTAAGAAATAAGTAACTGACCAATGTAGGACAACAGGGGAAATAGATCTCAAGTACCTGCACCTTGGAATCTGAACAAGCTGCTATTTCTCCCGCTTACGCACCTCTAACCCTCCACTGATTGAAGCAGATGCAAAATGAATGCTGATCAAAACCTGACCAGAAAAGTATAAAAATTTGAAATGATAACAAAACATATGAAGAATATATTACTGAAACCGATATGTAAAATAAACTCACATTCGTGTAAGAGCATCAAACTAAAGTGCATTAAGAATGAGCAGAGGTTAGCATCTAATTACCGATAACATATAATGTGCACATAATCTTTTCTGAAACAGAAGGAATATCATACAAATGATCAAGGAGCCCAAATTTTTTATTTGTTGGCTAGTAACAGACAAGTAATCTGAGAATTCAAATCTCTGTCATTGCAAATCAAAGTCTGTTTTCATGATACAAAACTAGTAGGCCAGCAGCAGCAATAAAATGTACAAGGAAAATACTGCTATAGATTTATGAGAAAGAGATAAAATCAGCAGTAATTGAATACAGTAGATTGCAAAGCTAGCAATGAAGAAATTAACTTTAAACTAGTTATCGCCATTTTATTTTTCCGTTGTAAGTCTCCCCTAAGAGCGTATAAATATAGTATTTTATTTACAAATGAAGGTAGAGTCAGAAATTTAGCAAGCTACAGATGAACACGTATAAAACACTTCAAAAGTAAACAATACTAAACACAACATTGCTAGGGAAATGTATATATCTCAAATGATAAGGACTGAAGCTAAACATGTGAATACTTTTCTCATATATAAATAGGAGAATGATTTCTAAGAATAATTGTTTTCTCCATGCTAGTCAAGTGATCTTATGATTATAAGATGTGAATGTACGATATGATTATTAGGGTAGTTCTAATCAATCCCAGTCACCATTTTTTCTTCTTCTGCATTTATATCCAAAGAAGTGAGTAAATAACAATGCAGGGAAAGGGAACTGAAGCAAAGTACCTAGACTAAGTTCTGCATCACCTATTCCGGAAGTGAAATCCAACAAATTGTGCCAAATTCAACTGATAGTAAATGCCATCAATAACACAACATATATGGGAAGATGTGGAAAACATTAAGCAGAGGCTAGAGAAGAGCAGAAATCTCTGCTCTGTAATAGTTTAATGATTAATATGATCAGAGAAGGACGTAATTAGTTAGAGAAGAAGAGTAGGCTCACTCTCAGAATCATCACCACTTGAAATAGAATGCTCGTAATAGGTTGGGTTACATCTTCAGAGTGGGAGTGGGTCAACTAATTAAAAAAGGTGTTTGATCAATACAGAAGAAAAGAAAAGTGAGAAGGGAATTGAACAAAGAAGGAAGGATTTCTTTTGAGAATATAATAACTTGATATACATGGGACGTGAGAAATCTTGTGGCATTCTGGGCCGCTCAGGAGGGTGGATCTTCCCCCTAGGCCGGGACATGTAACAAGTTTGGTGAGGCGTTGCATAACCTCAACAACAGGAAGATACACCAGATTCTCACACGCCTTAATCCTCAGATGGGTAAGAGATGTAAGGTTACCCCAATCACTCCGGAAGAGCCTTCACGCTGTCGAAATCCTGCATATACAAATCTTGTAGACAAGTGCAGTGTTGAATTTGTTGTTGAGGTAGAGACTTGAGCTTTGGTTACCCTGTGATCTTCAGCAATAACAAGCAAAGAACTAGCTCATACAAGATTACTACCACTGGCAGCAAACATATAATGGCCTGTATCAATATTCTCTCATGATTCCTGCAAACCACCATATTTCATCCTTATCAGTTTGTGCTTGCCATGACACATCGTGGTTGATCAGCTTCACAAATCCATCTGATGGACACCTTCACCTACCTCATGCAAGGATCTATAGCAAAATACATCCCCATCCCCTCTGGAAAAGAATCAAGTGGTGAGAATGAGGCAGATGAAAAATGCTGATCAAAACCTGACCCGAAAAAGTATAAAAAGTTGAAATGACAACAAAACTTATGAACATATTACTGAAACTGATATGTAAAATAAACTCACATTCATGTAAGCGCATCAAACTTAAGTGCATTGAGAATGAACAGAGGTTAGTATCTACTTAATGATAGTATATCATGTGTAAACAGAAGGAATATCATCTAAATATATAAAGCAAAAGTGTGAATACTTTTCTCATATATAAATAGAAGAATGATTTCTCAGAATAATGGTATTCTCCTCTGTGCTAGTAAAGTGATGTTATGATTAGATGGGAATGTATGATATATGATTATTAGGGTAATTCTTTCTTTTTCTGCATTGATCTCCAAAAAAATGAGTAAATAACAATGCAGAGGAAAGGGAACTGAAGTGAAGTACCTGGACTAAGTTTGCACCTAATTCGCATTATTTGTTCTTCAAATTGAGTAAGATCCTTCTGCAAACCAACAACGTATATAGGAAGATATGGAAAACATTAAGCAGAGGCTAGAAAAGAGTAGAAAGCTCTGAAAATCTAGTTTAAAAATAATCTGATGAGAGAAGAAGAGTAGACTCACTTTGTGCTCCAACTGTGATAGCTAGTTTGTGAAGGGGTTGCATGGGTCAAATCATCATCACTAAAAAGATTCCGATGATTCTCTTCCGCGAACTAATTAAAAATGTGTTTGGTCAATAATACTGAAGAAAAGCAGGGAGATTCTTCAATAAGTATTTTATGTTAGAGGGTTGGTTACAAATTTCTAATCTCCATATTAAATCTAACAACTCATCTAATGAATGCAATCCGAGATTAGAAATATGTACCCAATCCTTAATTTATACTTTATTGGAGAATTAAGTGAGAAAAGGGAATTGAATGATTTCATTTGAGAATATTGTAATTACCAGTTATATGCGGGATGTGAGAAATCTTGTGTCATTCTGGGCCGCTCTCAAGGGCGGATCTTCCCCCTAGACGGGGACATGCAGTAATGAATAGATCTTGTAGTTTGGTGAGGCGTTGCATAACTTCAACGGCAGGAAGAGACACCAGATTCTTACAGTTGTGAATACCAAGGGTGGTAAGAGAAGTAAGGTTACCCAACCACTCTGGAAGAGCCTCCACGTTGTCGAAAGACTCTATATACAATACTTTTAGACAAGTAGCGTGTTGAATTTGTTGTTGAGGCAGAGACTTGAGCTTAGGCCACCCTGTGATCTTTAGAGTTTGGATTTGTGATGGAAGCTCAAAATCAGGGAAACAATTGAGCTCCTCCGAAAACGCACCCATTTGCATATGTTTTAAACTCGTCAGAGAGCGTAGCCCCTCCATTCGCAAATATTTTAAATTGTGGCATGACTCGATTGTCAACTCCTCAAGAGATTTGCAGGATGGTAGCCCAGTGGGTAGACTTGTCAATCCATCACAACCCATAATAGTCAAGTTATCGAGGGATGTGAGGTTGTCTAAATTGGGAATAGCCTCTAGATTAGGGCAACGAGCTATTGTCAGCTGGTAAAGAGAGACGAGGGTTTGTCGCCCATCAGCCGGTAAATGCCTCAAATTTTGACAATCACTAATATACAGTGAACTAAGAGAGGTACAAGATTGTAGGCCACTCAGTATACTCGTCAATTCATTGCATTCTTCAATTCTCAAATAAAGGAGGGATGTGCAACCAACTAAAGACAACCTGGATGTTAGATTAGGGCATCTCTGTATACTCAACTCCTCAGAGAGATGCAATATTCTAACCTGGTCGGCAGCTTGATAATTTCTCACAATCCTCAATCTTCAATGTGCGGAGACATGACATGCCCTTGCCCAGGGTAATTGGAATGAACTCGAGACTAGAGCAACTCCTTATAGCCAAGTACTCAAGAAGAGGGAGTGTGGAAGCATCAGAGTCAGATTGTGAAAGTGGAATGGATGTTAGATTGGAGCACCCAAGTATAATCAACGTACTAAGAGAGGTGCAATATTCCAACCCACTTGGCCAACTTGATAATGCCTGACAATTGTCAATCACCAATTCACGAAGCCCAACCACTCTCTGTAAAGAAGGCATATACATGAGATTCTTACACTCCTTGATACTCAGGTGGGTAAGAGATGTAAGGTTACCCAACCACTCTGGAAGAGCCTCCACACCATCGAAAGATTCAATCTCCCAAGTTGTTAGAGAAGTAGTCAAGTGTTGAATTTGTTGAGGCAGAGACTTGAGCTTAGGCCACCCTCTGATCTCTAGAGTTCGAATTTGTGATGGAAGCTCAAAATCAGGGAAAGAATCGAGCTCCTCCGAAAACAAACCAATTTTCATAGATTCCAAACGCGTAAGAGAGCGTAGCCCCTCTATTGGCAAATAGTTTAATTTGCCACAATTAATATATGTAGAGAGGAAGAGACTGCAACCTGGATACATCGAGATCTGCCAGAGATATCAAATTGTCGCATGACAGGATTCTCATTTCTTAAGAGATGTGCAGGATTGTAGCCCACTCGGTAGACTTGTCAATCCATCACAACACCAAATCACCAACTCCTGAAGAGAGATGCAATATTCTAAGCTAGTCGGCAAGCTTGATAATTTATTACAATTCTGAATCTGCAATTTGCGGAGACATGGCATGCCTTTGCCCAGGGTAATTGGAACGAACTCGAGACTATCGCAATAACTTATAGTCAAGTCCTCAAGGCAGGGAAACACGCTACTTTCTCATCTGTTGGCAGTTCCTTCCATTTAATTAGAGCTGGGCAATAATGAATAGTTAAGCTTTTCATGCTGGAACAAAGTCTCTTTCTTCTTCGTACTCGTAGCCGCACCGTTAACATGGGTTATAACCCATAAAACTCAACTCCCACGCATTTAAGCTTATCCATACAGCTAAAATCAACAAGCCTAAGATTGGTAAATGGCCAAGTGATGGGACTTGTTCACATTCATTGCAATTCCATAAAAGAATCTCTGTCAAATTGCGTGGCAACGAACCACTCATCATCCATGATGCTAATTTAGAACCCTTGAACTTGTCAATCTTTAAGATTTCTAACTCAGAGTTGGGTCGGAGGCCTTCTAGTACATCAATATCTTTCTCGTTTCTGCCCCTGATATAAGATCCCCAGTCTAATGTCAACCTTCGTAGATTTGCTTTCCCAACTAAATTTGATGCCCCTGCTTGGCCTCTGTCCCTCACATGTTCCAAACCTCTAATAATTAGTTCACCTTTTAATTGGTTTAAGCCACCCAGCTCGTCAATTCCACGATTACTTTCCTTGTCCAAAGTAAACCAAGGAGAAATTGTTTGCAGATGTTTCAATTGTCCCATCCCAAATGGAACTGGCTTATCACGACGATGGAAATAACATGCCTCAAGTTGATCAAATTTTCCATTTCCTTTGGAAACGTTAAAAGATGCCTTGTATTCTCCATCTTAACGTTTGTAGGTTATAAAGCTTGCCAATAGACTTAGGGAGTTCTTTGATGTTTGTTTCAGAAACGTTCAAATACCTCAAACGTATCAGACGCCAATTGAACTTGGCAACTCCTCATATCAGCCCCATATAAATTTAAAACACGCAAAGCCTTAAGGTTATAAGTAATGTATATTACTGAGGGCTTGATCACCATTCACAAACAGTGACCGCCGTTTCTCAACATTTCTTTCGGAACTTTTGGAAGGGTCCCATGCCACGTGTTGATTCTCAAGTTTATCTTCCATTTCTGATCTTGATACAAGCTCAGCAAGATCATGTACAAGATCGTGCATCTTGCAATGGCTAATAATACCAAAGGAATCCCTTCTAACATCTTGAAAGAGGGAGTTTTGCAACAGAATCGTAAAATATTCGTCTCCTGTATCCTCCATATCTTTGTTAGGAGAAGAACAGAGAAATCCTTGAGCCATCCATAGCTGGATCAAGTCTTCCCTTTTCATTTCAAAATCTTTCTTGAACTTTGAGCAATATGCAAAACACTGTTTCAAAGAAGGCGATTTCAAATGATCAAAACTCAACTTCAAAACCGACATAATTCTTTCATCTCCTTCTGCTAATCCCCATATCTTACTTTTTTGAATTTCCAACCAGTCATCGATACTATCTTTAGAGCGCATCATGCTTCCCAAAACCTGTTGGTGCATAAATTAGTGTATACATTAAAGATTAACTAGGTGACTTGGCTATAATAACAGGAACCATAATTTGTTTTTTTCAATAAACTTAGTTGTATGTTACGAGTAAATGTTAACATTGGACCAAAAACTGGTATTTTTTTGGAATGTTTAAATCCTTAGCCAATGTTCATGTGTACGTAACTAGTAATTTGGGTTTTCCCCTTCAAACAAATTTTTTCTTACCTACAACTCATCACCTTATTTTTGAATTTCTCTATTTAAACCCTACACTTCTCTTTGTTCACCATATATTCTAAGTTCACCCAACTTCTAATTCAAATTTTCACAATTTCTAAGAGAACTCGACTATCTTCCCAAACTACCCCTAAATACACACCCAACTGAAGGAAATAAATTAAAAAACTCATCAACTCACAACCCACACCCCACACTCCACTATCTTGCCCCTATCAACTCTAAATTCACCTCATCTCACATTACTTAAAGAGATAAAAACACTGTTTTCAAACTCAATTGACGACCTACAAGCCACTATTTGCATACCGTATTTAGGGTTTGTGAAGAAAAGATGAGAGTGTAGTAGGTTTCTTGGATTGAAAGAAAAGAGTATTTGGCAATAAAGTGTAGAGGAGTTTATGTTTTTGTGCTTTTCTAAAACTTAATATGAAGAGTGGTTGGGTGTGTGTATAGATGTATTATGATTAAGTATTAAGTTGGATGACTTTTTTGTCTTTTTACATAATAATAAAACTTAAAAGCTTAATGATTAAGTATTAGGGTGAACAAAGAAAAGTGTGGTGTTTAAATAGAAAAACTCTTTTTTTATTTTTATTTTATTTTTTATAATTATAAATAAAACCCAATTTTTTAAGTAAAACCATATGACTAGAATCCAACTAAGCGAGTTACATAATCAAGCTTAGGGCTTGTTTGGGAGTGCTTCTTCCTGAAGCGCTTATGCCAGTAGAGCTGATGACATAAGCGTTCCTACAAAGAAGCAGTTTGTCTTTTGGATGTCACATTTAAAAGTGCTTTTACACCTACATAAAAGCGCATTTGGAGAAAAGAGTTCACAACTATAGCTTTAAACCATAGTAGTCTTCTTCACAAATAAAGTTAGAAAGTAAAGAGCAAATCTCTTCAATATTGAGAGAAGCCCTGAGAGAGATGGAATAGAGCTTAAGGGTTTCCATGTGTGTTTTGGCGTATGTTGGGCTTTTCGCGGGTAGTGTTTTGGTTTTAATAGGAGAGAAAAAGAGAGAAGAGAGAAGAAAGAAGAAAGAAAGAAAGAAAGAAAGGGTATTTTGGCATTTAAAATTAAATATGGGTATTTTCAGCATTTTAAAAGTTTCATTAAAGGGAGCCAAGTGTTTTCCTCCTGCTTTTGTCTTGCAGCGCTTTTAAGAAGAAGCATATCTCAAGTGCTTCTTCCAAAGCACTGCTTTTGGACCTCACCTAAAGCGCTTTTGTAATTTTTACCAAACACCATTTTTAAAAGACAGAAGCGCTTTCACCCATTTAGAAGTGCTTTTCGCTGCTCCAAAAGCACTCCCAAACAAGCCCGTAATGTGTTAAATGTTATATTTTTGGATTCTTGAAATACCCCTAATTACATTGTAACGATATTGTTTTCAACAAATTAATTGCAATTCAATGCCAGTAATGGTGTTTCAATTTTGCATAAATTTAGGGATTTTTTTTTTTTTTTTTTTTTTATATAATATTTTTTTTTTTTTTTTTTTTTTTTTTTTTTTTTTTTTTTTTTTTTAATACATAATTAACAATGAGTAAATGATGTGTTTCCAAATTTGACTGCGTGATAATTTTTGTTTTTGTTTTCAAATTGATTAGGTAGTTTTTGTTTCAAATGGTTTAATTGTTATAGTTTGAAATTAATTTTTCAAAGAGAAAGAACACGTTTTGCTTTTCATAGGTCTTGATCCTTGTGTTTTAGCTACATTATAATTTACCTACAATTTTCTTAGGATATATGTTGGTAAATTGTTGAACTTGCAAAATCTAGGTACATTAATATGGGTTAAATAATGTACCTATATTTATATGTAACATTTAGTATTTTCTTAGTACATACCTATTATTTTTATGTGAGTAATGTACCTATTAAATTACCTATCCTTTCTAAGTACATATGCCAATCATTGTACTTGCAAATATTGATAAAGTAAGATACATGTAAATATAGGTAAATTTAAAATACAATTGTAAAAGAAATGAGATGACACACCAAGTTAACTGTCAAACTTGATGCTCCATCAAAACTAGGTGCACTAATTTAATACAAATTTATAAATAAACCCAATTCTAGACATGTATTTATAAAAAAAACCCAAGCACTATTTAAACATAGAAACACACCCAAAATCAACCCCAAAATCAACTTTTTGGGTGTGTTTATAAATGAGTTTTGAGTGTGTGTAATGATGGGTTTTGGGTGTGTTTATATGTTTAAATAGTGCTTGGGTTTTTTTATAATTTCAACCCCTATTTTGGGTGTTTTAGTGAAACTCCCCTATTTAACCTCAATATTAATATTTTCCCACTCACCTTATTTTCTCACTCACTATGTAAATTTGAAAAAACATAATCATATCTTTTCACCCACCATTATTCCTAAAATACTCTTTAATTATTAATTCAAGCAAATTCATCTTGGGAAAGGTATCGATATTCTGAAAGATAAAATCTATTGTTGAAATTTTTTCCTCAGCCTTCTTTACTGCCTAACGGAATGCGTCTAGTTGATTTCCGGCTTGTGATATGAATGATGTTTTGAATTTGTTAAAATGCGATTAAAAAACATGATTTGTCAGCACATATGGTCTCCCTTGTTAATGGCATAGCTAAGGCAAGCAATTGCTGATTCTGAAGCAGAAGTAGCATCAATTTGTTCTGCAATGGGGAGCGACCAGTACATATTCGACATGTCATGAAGCCACTGTGGCATCGATTTATTTCCCAAGGAAATAAACAATGTGCAAAGTTTGTTTTTCCCTAAGTCCTTAGAAATTATTTTACAAAGGGGTAAATTTATCATTAAATATTTAAAAATAAGGTGGGTGAGAAAATAGAACAAGGGGGTGGAAATAGCAACACTCATTGCATGAAGGCATCGTCCCACTTTTACTTTTTGACATAGAATAATATGCATGACACCTTTTAAATTAATACTTGTCCCTTTTTTTTTAAAAAAAATTCTCAATTGTATTTAATTTTGACTTTAAATATTATTAATAAAAGTAGACGAGGAGGAGTTCCTCCAAGGAGGGAAGCATTATCCTTGTAAATAATGAACAATTTGTCGTTGAATTAAATTTTGGGTTTTCGTTAGAATTAAAAAGTATGTGAGTTTTTGTCTAGACTATTTTAATTGCAAGGGGCTATAAATGAATATCTTGTTGTATGTAAATTATCTGAATACTTTTAGTACTTGTAACAAATAAAGAAATGCATGCAGAAGAAACTTCAAATTGATATATCATTACGTACCTTTGCCGTTAACGGTATACCAGCACACTTTCTTGCAATCTCCCATCCAATTGTTTCTATATCCTTTGCAATAGGAGCACTACCATCTGGAAATGCCCTTTTCTTTCAGTATGGCCCAACAATCATCAACGGATAGACTTCCCAAACACACATTGGAAGTCTTACTTCCGTGATCGATGAAACAGTGGCACTACGAGTAGTGACAATAACGACGCTTCCCCGGGCACTGTGAAGTTTTGACAAACAAGTCAGCAAATTGCTCCATTTGTTAGGATCTTCGTTCCAGACGTCATCAAGCACGAGAAAATATCTCTTCTCTTTCAATTCTTCTACTAGGTTTTTAAGCAATGCATCTTGGCGTTGTATCCCAGCCTTTGTTGGGTTAAGATATTCTAATATCCAGCATAAAATCGAATTGACCTCAAAAGTGTTAGATACACACACCCATATTTTTTTATGGAAATGGTGACCAATAGAATCATCATTGAATACTGACTTAGCCAAAGTTGTCTTCCCTAGGCCTGCCATTCCTACAATGGGCATTACTGAAAGATTTTCTTGATCCAAGTTGGAGTTGGTCAAGATTGTAATTATCTTTGACAGATCCTCCTTCCTTCCAACCACGATTTCATCTTCATCAAGAATGAGTTGGTTTCTCTATCCCCTGCAATCCCTTGAGGGGTTGCATCTATTTTCTTGGAAACTAGCCCAATGAAAGATGCCTCAGATTTGAGATCCACCAAAGAGGCGTTGATGGTCTTGATTTTATGTGCCATTTTTTGACGAAACAAATGGGGATTGGAGCTGGAAAGGAAGTTGAGTACCTTTTTCCTCTTTTGGTTTGACAGTTCCACTTGACTCCGGAGATCTTCATAGTTGATTTCATCCAAGACATTGTCAGCATCATCAGCTATGTCTCTCAGTTTCCTCACCCACTCCTCCACTGCCTTGCCCCGTTCTTGTGGCTGGTGGGCAACATCGCCTAAGAAATCTTGAATCGCGAGTAACGATTGACGAAGCTTTGTTAGTTCCTTTTTGAATCCCCGGAAAAGACTGATTTCTTGAGCAGCAAGTGAAGCCAGCTTGTTCAGTATTCCCCTCGACAGGAAAAGTATAGAGAACTTCTAACACCTTTGCAGCTTCCATAGTCACGCGAGACAGAGATGAGAGAGCAGAGAAAGCAAAAGATAGCTAGGGAAGCAAGAAGAAGAAGATTGAAGACGCACGTAGTGTTTCAGTGTTTCTCTCTGCTATACGATACTATGATCAATTGAGCGTGATCACCAATTTGCATGTCGGAAAACGAATTTTAAATTAGTATTATAAAACAAAATGCTTTATTATTAGCTTTTCCTTTTGTCTTCTTCGATATCTTCTTTTGATCAGACACAACTTACCACCGTAGCAGGACAGGACCACTGGCACACACACGTGCTTTAGTATTTCGAGAAATATAAAACGGGCTGCCAGCTATTTCTATAAACTGAAATATCATTTTTGCCCTTTTACCAGGCCGAGAACATTAAGAGAAATGAAAAACCTCATTTGGTTAAAACGGAAGTCACTCAAAATTTGGCCCTTCTCATCCATAAAACAAAAAAATAAAAAAAATCCGAAAATGCAATATAAATTCTTCAAATCATTTTTCTGCTCATTTCTCTCATTAATGTTATTGTCCTGATAAAAGGGCAAAAATGGTAGCACAAGCTGGTATTTAAATTGCCTCGTAGATTTCCAACGGTAAGAAATACGAGTCTGGATCCCCTACCCCAAAATACTAATATTTTAACATTTGTCCATAAACATAACGGAAGGCAAACTCTGTTACTCATATAAAAAACAATAATAATTACATAATGGAAGAGTCACTCAAAATTTGGTCCTCGCACATGGCTTCTATGATATTTGAGGATATCTTAATCTCATTCACCCATGCTGACTTCTATATTGCAATTTGCATTTAACAATTGGAACTGTGCAGGACGGTGCATAGTAAGTAGTGCAGTCATTGTTTAATCCATTTTGTGTCTGAATCAAAATGGATTAACAATTGTTATTTAAAGACAGAGATTAGGTGGTGGTGGAATGCTTAATTAATTATTATTTATAGCGCTCAAAGAACGAGCATTAGTAAGAACATCACTTAGTTGATCTTCTGTGTTCACAAAAGATGCGTCATCACTAAACAACTAAGGCCTGTTTGGTTCACGGAATGGATTTGAGGGAAAATCACTTCCCATGTCATTTCCCAAGGAATGAAAATGAAAGATTCATTTCTCACGTTTGGTAATATTGGGAAAGTAACCGGGAGATTTCACTTTGTTTCATTTCCCATGTTTGTTTTGAGTAGGAATGGAAAACAAAGTTTGTATAATTTTCCAATTATACCCATATTAAATCAAATAAAAAGAATGCATTTCATGATACGTTGTAATTATAAATTGTTCATAGAGACAAAATAGTCATGAAAATTGTGCATTGAATGTTGGCTCATTTTTCCAAACTTTCCCATGAGAAGGGAAAACAAAACCCAAGTTAAGAGGATGACTTTACTTTCCGCCCTACTTTCCCATATGCCAGGCAACCATTTCCCATGTCTGGACTTACCAAACATGAGAAAGCAATTGAATTCCCATTCCCAAGCCTCTTTTCCTATGAACCAAACGAGGCCTTAATCATTTTAACTTTACGAGGTATCATATGGTCAAACTTACAGCTTGTTAGCCACCTACGGGTATGGCCAGTGTGAATCTAAAGAAAATGTAATTAAATATTAGAGATTATTACCACGTAGAGGTCAAAATCATACATAGAGATATATCTTGGAGTTTAGATTTATTGTTTTCTTTGCGTTGAGTAGCTAGCCAGGGAAGTGCAATGATTCAATTCGGGCGGATCTGCAGTTTCATCGATTCGGGAAGATTGATGTCCACCCCTAGTAAATATATATCGGTTATGATTTAAGTAGTCTTTAAAATGACAGGTTTACATCACAGAATGTCATTTTATTTTATTTCTTAATTTTGTATTGTACGGATCCTCCTAGCATTATAAGCTCTTTTTTCGAAAGCATTTTTACTTTAAAATGTACAATTAGTGTTAAGTCATTTAACATTCTTAGGCAAATAAATCAAGTTAGAGCCAGCATGTACTTCACGTGTATTCGAATGGACAAGATATGATATAATACAAAATGTCACTGCTTCTTAATTATCACTGTAATTATTGTGTGTGAAATATGAAATTACGCAATTGGTGGGGTGTTGATGAATGCCACATGGGCATTTTAAAAGAATGACACACTATTTGAAAGATTTGGCAAGTGAGGTGGCGACCCAATGTAATAGTGTTTGATGAGTTTATCACAATGTATGGATCTAGTGTTTTTTTTTTGGGAAACACAAGGGCGATATTGTTCTATTAATGAGGAGAAAAGGGTAACAAGTACAAAAAAAAGTCCTAGAGGATTAGGCGAGTACTCTACACCAAACGCAGCGTAGTGGTCGTCGGCTACGAAGTAGCCTACCTCCTCAAATGCAAGCGGGAGAAGGAACCTTGCCTCCGATAGAGTCCCCTCCTATCCCCTAGTCCTATGTCCGTAAAAAACTACAAGTTACACTCCTTATAAAGGACATCAACTAGAAGATATGGCGGTTCTTCAAACCAAGTAGTTGTCGTTCCAATGTGGGAAGCATAACATGCCATGTCGTTTGGTGGGTGCCCATGTCGTTGCTTTAAACAAAGTGGTTTTGGGGATGAGATGCGAGTGAAATTGGAAATTTAGTTCTCGGAAAAAAAAATTTGGAAATTTAGTTAAGTACTTGCTTAGTAATATTTGCTCACATTTAAATTGTGGTAGTTTTATTCTTACATTTAATCTTTTTTTGGGAAAACGGTAAATCTCTAATTTACATTTAATCCATTTCAGGCAGTGGGAACCCTAAAATGCAATGTTATTCTGGTTCTTGTTCTTTATTAGCTCAGTTTAAGAAATAAAAAAAGTGAAAAAAAATCTAGTTCTTTCTTGTTGAACGCAGCACATTAATGAATTAATATTTCATAATAAAAATAGTTACCTAGTAAATAAAAAGTGAGAGGCATTTTTTAATTATAAATATTTGCTAACAGCTAAGAAGTAATATTATATAGCACTTTGTAAGGGCTGCTACTATTCACGTGAATAGTAACAATCATTGCTTTGCCCTTATCTTTGCCATGGCAAATGGGTGGAAATGCTTTAAGAATAACTGACCTAATCCTAAATGATTTACCTTGTTAAGTTGTGGGCCGAGTATTTTTTTTATATTCTAACGAAAAACCAAAAAACCAGCATTTTACAAAATTTAACCGACTACTTCGTAGTTTCATAGTGAAACTTTCCTTTCAACGTAAACATATAGATAACAAGTAAAAACATATATGTATACTGTACATAGTGACCCCCTATTTCTCCATTTATAATGTACGTATAAATGGAGATTTTGAAGCAATCTGTAGATAAGTTTTATGTCAGGACTATATAAGCTAATAAGTTTGACGTGAGTAATTTTTTCAATTTTTTTGAAGCAATCTGTAGATAAGTTTTGCATAAATTTAGGGATTAGGGGTCCCTTTTTTCAATATATATATAATTAGAGCTTCTTCTTTTTTTTTCTTTTCTAAATGCTACACTTACCACATTTTTATCCCACATTTCTATACCACATGATATGGCATGTCCATATTATATGCCACATCAATTAAATCAATGAAGTGTATTTTAATTAAGACAATTAGAAAAACAAATACTGGAATAAATTATAAAAGAAAAGAAAATATCAAATAATTTTAATTGACATGGCTGTCCACTTCAGCTACCACATAAGATGGTATAGGGATGTGGTATACAAATGTGGTAAGAGTAGCATTATTCTTATGGAATATATAATTAAACAATGAGTAAAGAATAATACTAGTCTTACCACATTTTTATACCACATGATGTGGCAGCTGATGTGTACATACCACATCATGTAAAATACTAGTTTCTGTTTTTCTAATTTTATTTATTAAAATACACTTCATTCATTTAATTGATATGACATGATATGGACATGCCACATCATGTGGTATAGAAATGTGGGATAATAATGTGGTAAGTGTAGCATTTGATGTGTTTCCAAATTTGACTGCGTGATAATTTTTGTTTTTGTTTTCAAATTGATTAGGTAGTTACTTCCTTTTACTTATATCAAAGTTTCAAAAGTTTTAATTGTTATAGTTTGAAATTAATTTTTCAAAGAGAAAGGATAGGTTTTGATCCTCCATCAAACTAGGTGCACTAATTTAACCTCAATATTAATATTTTCCCACCCACTTTATTTTCTCGGGTTATTCGTAGCAATGGTCTCTCAACTATACCCGAAGTTACACTTTGGTCACTCAACTCAAAATCTTTCTTGAACTTTGAGCAATATGCAAAACACTGTTTCAAAGAAGGTGATTTCAAATGATCAAAACTCAACTTCAAAATCGACATAATTTTTTCATCTCCTTATGGTAATTCCCATGTCTTATTGTTTTGAATTTCCAACCATTCATCGATACTATCTTTAGAATGCATCATGCTTCCCAAAACCTATTGGTACATAAATTAGTGTATATATTAAAGATTAACTAGGTGACTTGGCTATAATAACAGGAAACATCATTTAGTTTTTCAATAAACTTAGTTGTATGTTACCAATAAATGTTAACGTTGCACCAAAAACGGGTATTTTGTTGGAATTTTTAATCC